GGCTAAGAGACGCCGGCTTATAAATCAACGTTAAAAAGAGCGAGTTTTTAGTTATATAAACTAAATACTTAGGCTTTATAATTACAACTAAAGGAATAGAAGTCGATTAAGATAAAATCTCTGTAATAAGAGATTAGAAAGACCCTAGCTCAGTACGCGGAATACAAAGCTTTTTAGGCTTCTGTAACTTCTATTAACGATTTATAGCGGACTACGGTAAAATCGCTAAGTCGCTTATTAATCTTATAAAAAAGGAAGTATAGTTTAAGTTCGATAATAGCTATAAAAATACGTTCGAAAAGCTTAAAAAGAGCTTAATTATAGCACCTATACTATGTTACTACAACCCGGAATTAGAGACTATAATCGAAACTGACGCTAGCGATAGCGTAATAGTAGGGATATTATCTTAAAAACACCTAGACAGCGAATTTTACCTTGTAGCGTTCTACTCTAAGACTATAGCCCCCGCTAAGTGTAATTACGAGATATACGATAAAGAGTTATTAGCGATTATAAAATCGCTTAAAAACTGGAGATCTGACCTAGAGCGTACTTACTAGCGTATAAAGATCTACACTAATTATAAGGCGCTAGAGTATTTTATAATAACTAAAGCTCTAACTAGTAGATAAGCGCGTTAGGCCGAAGCGCTAGCTAATTATTACTTTATTATTAGCTATCGTAGAGGTTCCGAAAATACTAAAGCTGATATTCTTATAAGGGACGAAAGCGATACTAAAAATCAAGACGCTATAAAAGTAAAGTATTATCTGAAATTGTTATTATAACCTGATTAAGTGGAAGAGGCTATAAAAGAGGATTTATAGCTAGCTTCTATAAGTACTATTATAGACGACTCCTACTTCGTTAATAGGCTTTTAAGAGCTAATAGACAAGAAAAGTCCTACGAGCCTCTAAGGATAGAAGCAAAAGAAAAGCCTAATAGTAACTTCTCGCTTAAAAACGAGCTGTTATTATATAAAGGAAGACTATTAGTCCCTAATATCACTAATTTACGATATCAGCTGATTAAGGAGGCTTATAATCAGATCTCTATAGCTCACCCCGGTAGAGATAAGACCTATCAGCTTATAAAGGCTCGATATTATTAGTCTAATATACTAGTTGATATCGCTAACTACGTTAATAGGTACTACGATTATTAAAGGACTAAAAAATCGACAGATAAAACACCGGGGTTATTATAACCTTTACCGATTCCTAAGAAGCCTTAGCGCGATATTAGCATAGATTTTACAGAGCTACCAAAGGATCGACACGGCTATAACTACGTAATAGTAGTTATAGACCGTTTTACAAAGCAATCGATTTCTATTACTTATAATAGACGAATAAACGCTAAGTAAATAGCTGCGTTATTTATAAAATACATCTATTGATACTACGGCGCCCCGGATACGATTATAAGCGATAGAGGCTCTTAATTCGTTTCTAAATATTAGTAAGAGCTATATCACTTATTAGGAACTAAATTAAAGCTTTCTATAGCGTATCACCTGTAAACCGACAGTTAAACAGAGAACTATAATCGCTACTTAAAACAGCGACTACAAGTGTTCTTAAATCACTATTAAGATAACTAGTCTAAAATACTACCCTTATTAGATTACACGTAGTTAATATTACCGCACGCTAGCTTAGGGTAGCTAAGTCCTTATGAAGTACTTAACGGCTATAAGCCTAAGACGTCCTTTGATTAGGAGTAATTATCTAGCGAAGCCGCTAATAATATCGGAAAAAACAATATAGCCGCTATAACTAGATCTAAAACTCTATTAAAGTCCTTAAATTCAGGCGCTAGTAATAACGCTAGCTCGAATAATCGTTAAGTGTTAAGGTCGACTACTTAACACTTAAGCGAGGAATATCAAGGTAAACAAATATCTAGACTAGATCCTACGCTAAGTAGTACTAGTTATACGCCGGTGCGGGAGCTAAAGGGTAGCTTTACCGTATAAAAGGGTAACTAAAGTGTGGGGGGAAATAGCTCTACACTATACGACAGGAGCGATATTAGGTTACCGGATTCTACACAGGCGTTAATTCCACACTAAAACACGGCAATTCCCGTGTTAATTCTAGGACCCGGATCTAACGACGAACCTCGCTTAGCTCTACTACCGTTCAACGCTAATACGTAGCGTACTAGAGATAATAACACAGTTACGTAATATGAACGTACTTAAAGAAGTGACGTAATAAATACCTCACGGCGTATATATGACGTAATAGAGCGTGCGAAGGTGTATATAAGTAAAGCGCAGGCCTCTTAAAGAGAGTATACGAATCGTTCGAGACGAGACGTTGATTTTACCGTAGGAGATCACGTGTGGTTATATACGGAAAACCTTAAGTCGATACGGCCTTTAAAAAAGCTAGACTTTATTAAGCGAGGTCCTTATAAGGTTATATAATAAGTAGGCTACGCCTACGAGTTAGAATTACCTCCTTCGATGAAAATCCACCCTATTATTAACCTCTCTCGATTACAGAAAGCGTATAAGCGAGCTGATAACGAATCAAATATCACCGACGCTATAGATAACGTAGAATATAATAAAGACGAATACGAGCTAGTTCGTATACTAGCTTATTGTTATTATAATAATACGATATAATATCAAGTAGAGTAGAGAGACTACCCCCCTAATAACACGTAGTACGACGTAAACAGCTTCGGTAATTCAGCTAAAGCTATATACGACTATTATAAAATCAACGGCGGAAAACCTCTTAGCTAATCAAAGCTCGCCTTTAACGCTCTATTATAAAACAACAATTTTACTTTTATAAGTAATAATCTTATAAGCGAATCAGAGGCCAAAGATTAGCTAGAACAGCCTATTATAGCTATAACCCCAGTCGACGATTTAACTAATATCAACGAACTAGAGCCTAGATTCCCTGCTCTACAGCTTACGCCGCAATAAGCTTTAGAAGCTAGCGAATTAGCTTCCTTATTACCGGCGTATTTACTTCACCTTACTAAGCCTATAGCTCGATTCTTCACTAAACCAGACGGCGTAGTAAACCCCTTTTATCAGGTATTTAACGAAAAGCTCTTAACGCTAGACGCTTATAAGTCGAATTATAAGCTACAAGGCTTAAAACCTAATAGAGAGCGTATTATAACCTACGTACGAGCCTGGAACCGAAAACTCGTCGAAATCGCCTGTATTATAATACAAATAGAAAAGGCTTAGCGAAAAGCTAACCCTAATAAGGAATAAGCGGTCTAGGAATATCTGGTGAATATGCACTATTTATAGTTATAACACTGCTAGCGTTAAAAAAGTACTTTGTTTTATCTGCTTATTAGTTTAGTTTTATACCTCTTTTTACTTACTTTTAATCTCTAATATATAATAATCACTTCTACTTTGTTTTTTTAATTGTTTTATTACGCTTTTAGGCTTATAACTCGATTTTTTCAAAGGGGGGGGTGATATAAAGGTAGTAGTAACTACTTCTTTACTATACCCGATTAAGAAGAGTCTAGAGCTCAGTAAAGCTTAGTAAGACTTAGTAGAGCTCGGTTAACTCTGAAGGGGTTTACCGATAGTTACCTACTTAGTTATACGCAAAGGGAAATAGCTCTACGCTACTATAGGAGTTTACGTCAAGTTTTACGTCAAGTGTAATTAGGCCTAATCGGGAATAGCCCGGGGAATTTATCTATATAGGCTCGAGCGCCCTCCACGGAATCGAGGGCTCCTCAGCTTGATATTCGCGCTAATAGAGAGGTTATCACCTGATCCGTGGTTATTTCGCTCACGTGCTAGCTAACGCTAAACCGTGCTATTACAGATGATTTTGAAGAATCTAGCTAGAAACCCTTTTAGAACTTTATAAATATTAGAGTAAATAAAAATCTATAAGCTCTCTAAAGATAAGAGTACTTATTTAAATAAGCTTATTAATTTAAATAATACCTTATATATTATATTAATATTTATTTTTAAGAGAGGGTGATATTTTTTAAAGTCTATTTTTAAAAAGTAGAAGGAAAAGCTACTCTTTTAGCTGCACTTAAAATAACTTACGAAATATAACTTATACTAATTTACTTCTTAGATATAAAATAATCTCCTAAATCAGAGCTTTCTAATAGTATTTTTGTTTTTTTATTCTGAGTTTATTTAACTATAGGTTTATCGTGTTAAAGTTGATAAGATTCTTAGCTAAATTACTTAACGAATACACTAAAACACGCCTGAATAACCTTAGGCCCTCTACGGAGTTTTACTCTCCTTAAGTCTTAATTAGTCTAAATGCCCCTGGATCTACTGTAGGTACGCTATTCCCTACTAAAAAACGCCTGCCTAGCCTTGATCTATAAAACTCGGAACTTAGTAGAGGTGCCTAAAGACTGAGGTAATAGTAAAGTAGCTCCCTTAGGTATAAGAGCAGTTTGATAAAGTTTAACGGAATCGATTAAACCGTTATAAGGCTATAAGGCACATATACACCTGAATTAAACTTTATATCAGGCACGTCTGCTATTTTAATAAGCGAGAATCCTCTCCTAAACCTCTATAATTATATATATCCTTATTAATTATAACGTATTCATAATAACTGTTTAAATATACGATCTTAATAAATATATTAAAGCGATTTAAATATACTTTTCGAAATTTTTATATATTGTTATTTCGTGAAGTTATACGATACTCGTGCACGCAACTACTGATTTTCACTAAGTCAAATCAGTGACCGATAAAAGCGGCATAGATGATTTCTGGTGTGGTATATATGTGTGCCTTATGGCCTCATGACGGTTTAATCGTACCCAGTTTGACGGGAGTGTCCGTAAGAGCAACCTGCCTCGCCTGCAAAGGTGTGTCTCGCTCGATATCCCAAGGATTACCTATGCCACCAGCTGTGCTTACGCAGAGACCCGTATTTTGTTTGTACCCACGTGATACCGCATTTCTTTCGCACATGTCACGTTTTTGGGGAACTTCTCTTTCTCCATGCAAACGCGAAAGTCGCGACTTCATCCCAACACGTACTGTGAAAAAGCATGCCGAATGCTCATCCCTTACTCACACCTTCGAGCCATAAGGCCTCGTCGGATTCTAGTGTCCCGGATTCGTTGTTTGCACTCTGTCAACACCACCACGTCCTTTCGCACCAGGCCCGCCCATCCAGCTTACCGAGCCCAGAATAGGGGCAAGAAAACCAAAGCCTCCATTAACCTCGACGACCTCCCTCAAGGCGTCATTCCTCTAGATCCTCTCCCACTCGAACAAGATGCACCTCCAACCTACTCGGCTGTTGTCCAACAGGCACGGATCAATATGCGGAAGTTCGAGAATTGCGTCCTCCTTACCCGTGTTGGCGGCTTTTATGAGCTGTACTTTGAGCATGCAGAGGAACTTGCTTCGCTGTTGAACTTGAAGGAGGCGAGGAGGCCGACGAGACCGGGTGCGCCGGTTGTTCCTATGGTATATTATCTTAATCCATTTGGTTACTTGATATTGATTGTGAGAAATAGGCTGGCTTCCCTTTCTTCCAACTTGATCGCTACCTCAAGATTCTTGTCCAAGATCTGAATCGCTACGTGGCTATTGCAGAGGAGTTCCCAAATGATGCTTCTGGCAAAGTCAAAGCTGGGGGCCTGATGCATGATCGGAGGGTTACTCGTATCATTACCCCGGGAACGCTTATTGACGAAAATTTCATGGATCCATTCTCCAATAACTATGTTCTAGCTATACACATAGCTGAAGACCCCGTCGATGTACCTGCTCAGGATCTGCTTCCAGAATCAATATCAGCAGTTCGAGATAATATGCCTATTGGTCTTGCTTGGCTTGATCTTTCTACTGGCCACTTCTTCACGCAGTCAACCACACTCGCAAACTTACCTTCTTTCTTGGCCCGCATAAGCCCTCGCGAAATAGTCCTAGACGAAGACCTCCAAGCCTCAAAAGACCATGGTATCTTTGAAGTTCTTGCTGATGACCACCACCATCTCATCACATACACCGACCCATCCAAAATCAAGGAGATATCTGAATGGGAGCCAATGCTAGAATCTCCTGTTCCAGCGCGACTGATCGGTGAATTCACGGCTGAAGAGGTAGCAGCCGGAAGCTCTTTACTTAAGTATGTCGAGACTCGACTCCGGGGTTCAAATATTAAGCTTCAACCACCATCAAGACAGCTTGATATGATGGGCATCGACAAGAACACCATGCGGGCTCTCGAGATTAAGAAGACCATGAAAGATGATTTGGTGACAGGTAGTCTTTTGCATACTGTTAGGCGAACTGTCACTAAGGGTGGTGCGAGATTGTTGGATAACTGGCTGAGTGCGTGTCTACATCAGAGCCATATGTCGAAGCTAATGCACAACAGGCTCGCCTTCAACTTCACTAGAAGTCATCAATTCCAGACTAGACCTGGTGACGAACATGCTGAATGATGATCTTCTCCGAGAGCGGATCAGTATCCTTTTGAAACGTAGCCATGATTCCCATCGCTTACTGCAGAAATTTGCTTTCGGTCGAGGCGACCCAGATGATCTTTTGGCTCTCGCAAGTACTATTTACGCGACTCAGGAAATAATCACAACCCTCTCGCACGATAGTTCTGGAGATGCTTGTATCCAAAGGATGATAGGCCGCATTGATCTCGAGGGCCCGAACGAACTCGCTAAACGCATCCGAGAAGCCATCGATGAAGAAGGCATCATGCAGCAACAACGACTCCAAGACAGCGAAGCAGGAGAAATTCAGGCTCTGGCCGAGGCAGTCGTCACATCAGAAGGATCCAGGGAAGATTCGGCAATCCTTCCCAAGGGCCCACGCAAGAAGAAACCTACCAGTATCAGAGAACACTACTCAGACGACAACGAGCCCTGGATTATGAAGCCCGCCGCAAGCGAGACACTCACCCGCCTCCATCAAGATATACTCTCTCTATATAGCGAGAAATCAGAACTAGTCGAATCTCTGTCCCAACGTCTCGGCGCAACAACCCTCACCCTCCAATTCCGTCCCGGCCTCGGCCACATCTGCCACATCAAAGGCAAAGACACTCGCCTCGCACTCTCGTCAGCCTCAGGCGACCCCCTTCGGTCCGTCAGCTCCAGCAAAAGCACCCGCTCATTCCACCACCCGGAGTGGACATCTCTAGGCCAACGAATCGATACTTGCAAAACACATATTCGTTCCGAGGAACAACGTGTCTTCCACGCTCTCCGCTCCCAAACAATCCACAACATCATCAAACTACGCCGCAATGCCGCCGTCCTTGACGAGCTCGACAATGCCTGCTCCTTCGCACTCCTCGCCTACGAAAAGCGCTGGACGAGACCTATCCTTAATACGAGCACTTCGCACAAGATCGTTGGCGGGCGGCATCCTACTGTTGAAGGTGGATTGGAGGAAGAAGGTCGAAGTTTTGTCACGAACGACTGTTTCGTTGGCTCTGCGCCAGAGAAGAAAATCTGGCTGATCACTGGCCCGAATATGGCTGGCAAGAGCACATTCCTGCGCCAGAACGCTCTGATCACTATTCTCGCGCAAGTAGGCTCGTACGTGCCTGCTGAATATGCGGAATTGGGTATAGTAGATCAGATGTTCAGTCGTGTAGGCAGCGCCGATAATCTGTATCGCGACCAATCGACATTCATGGTTGAGATGTTGGAAACGGCAGCCATTCTCAAGCATGCTACGCCTAAGAGCTTCGTGATCATGGATGAGATTGGACGAGGCACGACGCCTAGCGATGGGGAAGCAGTGGCGTTTGCGTGCTTGGCACATTTATACAAGATCAATAAGTGTAGGACGCTCTTTGCGACGCATTTTCATGGCTTGGTGGAGTTGATTGAGGGTGAGCGGATGGAGAGTGGCGTGGGTTTCTATTGTACAGATGTGCTTGAGGATGAGAGTGGTGAGGGGTTTAGGTATGTGCACCGGTTGAGGGAGGGTGTTAATCGACGGAGTCATGCTTTGAAGGTTGCGAGGCTGGCGGGATTGCCCGAGGAGGCTATTTCTGCCGCGAGGAGGGTACTTGAGAGTAAGGATGTGTAATATAGCAATGCTGGGAGTCAAAGAGTGTAAATTTATGGACAGATGTAAGATACTAATGTACAAAATCTCCACGAGACGGATGGCTCAAGTAGGAAATTGGAAGAATTGAAGACAACAACTCTTTGATTTAGGATACCACCCCATACGCAGTTAAATTTCCTTCAAAGATTCTCTATGAAGTAGATCACTTAACATCCTGTATTTCTCTTCCCTATCTATGTAAACAACCATCCTTAAATGTACTTTGACTGACCAAGATCTGCTCACTTGTATTCATTTTTAAGTAAACAACAATAGGATTGACAGACATCAAGATCTCTTCAATGCAACCAAATCTTTCCAACGACATTGAATCCCCATTTTCAGCGATTGACTTCCTCTTTCACTGCCGAGTATATTGCTATTCTTCAAGCCATTACATTGCGAGTCTGCGGTTGCAACATGTGTCCATTTGAGAATGACATCATGACCCTATTATGACCCACGGGCGGTATGGAATAAGAATAGGATGAACTGATATGACCAGGCACTATGACAAAGCCATGACCATGAGTATTCTCCTCGATAACCACTCATCGCCGTAAATTTCTATCACTCGCCCACGTACGGCAGGCAGGCATAGGAGACTCACGAAGACATGAAGGGGTGAACAACCGTGGGAATTCGAGAATCGACATTGGGCTGTACTTAAAGTTGTCTTGGTGAAGAAAGTGACAGAATGGGAAAGTGGTAGAGGCAGTGCTTTTGGACGGTTGAAAGTCGTGAAAACCTTTCTGAACATTGAACTTACAACTTCCAACTTTCAATGGGTGAAGCATGAGAAATTCCAGAGACTCTTCTGATTCTGGGGAAGAACTGTATTTGAGACTGGCGGATGGTATAAAGGAAGCATTTGGATATTGGGAACATGTTGGGTCCTAAAGGAGTGGTAAGTCCTGAGGAGGTTTTGCGACTTTCGATGTTCGGGAAACTGGAGGCTTGGATAGTGAGAAAGTCAACTGTGTATAGCCTAGTTGGGGAGATGACACTCGAGGAGTCATCGAGACAGGATCCGATTCTTGAAGATCCTCAAAGAATGTAAAGTAACAGAAATTCCTGAAGACTTGCAGCCGCATCGACATAGATCAACAAACAGGTGTCAAGATAACAGCGATGCTGATGTCAGGATGGGATATGGTTGACCGTATTGAGAGGCATGTAAGGGAGTGTGAAGACTATGAAGCACACGTAGAATGTCACGGTATAAAAAAGTGTAGTTGGGAGCAGGCTTAGGTAGGTAGGAAATGCAGAAGACAGCAGGTTCGGTAAATACTATCACGTGACTGGTCGTGTATTGGTGCTTCTCCTCGAGGATGTCTAGAGATTGTGACAGAAAGGCAAGCTCAGCTAACAAAGACATGCACCATGGCGCTTATAACGTTTAATAGTGCAGTGTTAAAGATACCAGGGATCGTTTGGAGGCATTTATCATTGGCCTAGCATTTTGGAAGGCAACAAAGCTTTGTTTTGTAGAAATCTGGGATATCTCGTCAGCATCATAAATCCACAAAGATTTCTTGTGCATCAAGAGATTGAACAGAACAGCATCGAATTCAGTAAAAAATTAGAGATTAATGAGTCTTCAAGGAGGTGTGAATTCCATTAAGGGTTAAAAAGCTTTGATTGTTCATCATTATGCTTGTGTGGAGGAAATGTGTAGTGAGGAAAAGAGAGTTCTGACAAACCTTTGCAATTTTTTTGCTACGCCCATAGTCTGGGTTAGCCTATCACTTCCATGGAAGTCACACATATTCGTATTGTTCACCCAGTCGTGTCCCAAATGTGCCGAAGCTACATTAGTGTATCTGCATATCCTCTATGTGCATTTCATGATTCGTGTCGTAAACCCTCCCATGAAATTCATCAATGTATGCGAGATAGCGACCCGTTTAGTCGAACATGCCTCCGAAACCCTCATCAGCGGAATCCTCGGCCTCCTCTTCTTCCTCCTCCTCCTTGGCGGCCTCAGCAGCTGGGGCGGCATCGGTGGTGGCAGCAGGACCGGCGGATGCGTAAGCCTCTGGGTTGGCGATACGGTCCTTCAACTCCTCAATCTCAGACCAGCTGTACTCGGTGCTGATTGCGACGGCCAAGACCTTCTTGTAGCTGTTGACGACGGAGTGCATAACAGATGGAAGGGTTGGGAAGTTGGCGGCTAAGGAGATAGCGGCGATGGTGGTGATTGCGCTCGAGAAGGTCTTGAGCAATTGAGACTCCTCGATGTCGAGAACGCTGGGTGGGAAAGCGTTGCCTTGGTCGTAAACCTGCGAGATGCTCATACCATATGTGAAGGGAGAGATGTTCAACATGTTGAGCAGGGTAGCCTCGGAGGCTCCGACCTTGGTGCCAGCCTCGACGAGCTTCAAGTCGGCAGTGATTTCAATGGTACCACGGGCAATCTTGGTTGGGACACCGAGAGCCTGGAAGAAAGAGGTCTTTCCGGGTTCCATACCAGTGTTACCAGCTGGGACGTAGACATCACCAGGGGCGACGGCACCAGCTCTGGCGGGAGCAGCGACCTTGTTGGCGAGAATCTTGTCACGGATAGACTTGAGGTCGGAGTTGGTGAAGACGAAACCGACGTTGCCCTTGACGAATGGCAAAAGGCGCTCGTACTCGGGGGAATCGGCGACGAAGCCCTTGATGGCACGACGGACCTGTGGAAGATGACGATGAGCTTCTGCAAAATTGAGAGCATTGCGCGGGAACAAGAAGAGCATACCATGGTGTTCTTTCCCATCAAGACGACACCCTCACCACGGAGGGCCTGTCTGATCTCGTGCATCTGCTGGGAGCTGACATTGTCGACACCAACGATGAAGATACTCTTGTACTCCTCGAGGAGGCCCTTGAGCTTATCGAAGTAGCCGGCCTTGTTCTCGGATCTGCCCCCCATATCTTCTTATTGAAGGCAGGGATGTTTTAAGGGTCAGATGAAGGGTGTATTTGAAAAAGTGTCTCGAGAGCTTGAGACGTGTAGTTGTTGATGGGAAGAGGAAGAAGTTGCACCATCCCGAAAGTCAAGATTTGGTTTGTGGGAGTTCGATACGCTAGCGGCCGCGCAGAATCTCGTCTGATTGGCTGGATCTCAACACCCCTGCCAAGTTCCCGTGAACTTTTTTCAACCTCACTTTCATAAATGCTGCGAGGATGATTTGGATCTTTCATATTTTTGAAAAGACGAGTTCGTGTTATATTTCGTGTTCCAAGGTAAGCTTCTCACAAGTCCCAGAATTTGCCGAATCTGATTTAATAAGTTGGAGCCCACAACACTTAATAACACAGTGTGAGCCAAGTACACGAATTGCACATAGCTTCACTTAGTCTGAGAAGGCTATATGAGCTTGATTCTCAACATGTCTCATCGCCAAATGCCATACCAGTGTATGGAAACATGTGGTAACATCTTAGTTGCAGCTCGAGGATCGAGTATTGACTCCTTTAGCCTGGAAAATGGCTCCTTACTCTCAACATGGACATGCCCGGCCTCTTCAGACACTACGCAGACAGAGAAGGCGTCCGCTTCTGAAATCCAGAAGAAAGCAGCGAGCCTGGAACCAGTTGTACCAACAGGAGAAGTAGATGCTGGGGAAGATGGCCCACCAGCAAAGAAGAGAAAGCTATCGTCTGGGATCATCGAGGAGACGAATGAAGACGACTCAAGCTTAACACCAGACACCAAGCAGGAGCAGCAAGATGGCAAGAAAAAGAAACCAAAACATAATAATCGCTCAGAGGCTATAGCTAGTGGTCTACAAGCCCCAGCTGTGATTGCTCTGGCTGCTACGAAAGATGGGAAGCACGTGATTGCTGTTACTGGGGAGGACAAGAGTATCAGGGTGTTTGAAAGTCTTGAGGAGGGAGGATCGCAAAGACTTCAGCAACTTAGTCAGAGGTAAGCTCATAAATGCACTTCAAAGACTATAACTCGTCCTGACATCAAACAGAGCCATGCCCAAAAGACCATGTTCCATAACCATCACAGCAGATGACCAAACTATAATCAGCGCCGACAAATTCGGCGACGTCTACTCTCTCCCACTGATTCCCTCCTTGGAATCCGCAAACCCAGCCCCTCAAACCCCGGAACCATCAGCAGCAGCCAAACCATTCATCCCTGCTGCCAATGAACTGACCATCCACTCCCAACGCAACCGCAAAGCCCTCGAGAACCAAAAACGGCAAACCAATCGGCCCACCGAGAAGTCAGAACCAACATTCGAGCACAAGCTCTTACTCGGACATGTATCCATGCTTACGGATATAGCTTTGGTCACTGTCGAAGGACGAAACTACATCGTAACGGCTGATCGCGATGAGCACATTCGCATCTCGAGAGGAATACCTCAAGCGCATATTATTGAGGGGTTCTGTCTAGGCCATACAGAGTTCATTACTCGACTATGCTTTCCGGGCTCGAGACCAGAGGTGTTGATCTCCGGTGGTGGGGAGGAGGAGTTGTATGTGTGGGAGTTCTTGCCTGGCAAGCTTGTGAGCAAGGTGGATTTGAAGAGCCATGTTCATGGAGTGAGAAGGGAGCTGGATGTATTCAAGGGGATTGATGGCGGTGTTGAGGCTGTAAAATTTGTCGTGTCAGGTCTCCTCAGTGTTCAGACAATGGTTGGATCTAAGATCAGGGAGGTTATCGTTGTTGCTTGTGAAGGGTAAGTACATCTGCCCCAATCAACCAAATCCGAGAATAAGAGCTAACATACCCTAGCGTCCCAGCACTCTTCCTATTCCTTCTCACACCTTCCAATCGGCTCGAATATCTCCAAACCCTGGCTTTGCCAGGAAACGTCCTCGCCCTGTCCTTAACCTCGTCCAGACTCATCGTATCAATCGACACAATCCACAAGCCTGGCTCAACTAACGAGCTTAGAACCGAGACCACAGAGAACTTGAATGTTTTACAAACTTTTGAGTTCTCAACGCAAGAGTTGATGCTGGTGGAAGGTGCGTTGGCATTCGCGAAGATTGAGGAGGATTGGAAGCTTGATGCGGTGGGAAGATTGGGCAATCTATTGTACGGCTTGGAAAATCTAAGGAAAAGGGAGGGAGATGGCGGGGAGGAGTAAACAGTGGAGTGAACACAGACTTAGATGGAATCATCTTGCTTGTCGAAGCAAATATACCCCAAATCTTCCTGTGCCGAAAGGTTTCTAGCTCAGCGCGAGGTCTAATACCGATCTTCGCTTCTAGGTTGTCCGAGTTTCTCCCTCATGTTTTGGGCGTCCCAATCTTTCAGAGAATAAATCAAGCAAGCGTAGTTGGCCACAAGCGTGTGCTTATGTTGATACCGCTTGGTGTGCTCTTTTATTTTGCCTCTTGAACTCACTGAGTTCGACTGTGTAAACATAAGGAATGAATATCTATGGCTCCCAGCTCAACAGTAAGATATGGGAGACAAGATTTCAGCTCTAGTCAAAGAGCTATTTCAGATCCCTTTATAGGCTAGCATGTGACAGCTCTTAATTTTGTCGAATACCGAGTAAGCAGCTAGGAGACAAGGAAGTACTCTATCTGGTACTTGCACCAAACAATCATGACCTCACATCAACCGAGACAAGGTGTTTTTTTATCATTCATTTTTGCCATGCTATCTATCCGTCTAAACGCCCCCGACGTCAATCGAAACACACATAGTCAGCTAGCCAGCATCCTCCCCCGCAGTTCACAAACCCACGGAAGAAGAAGTAAAAGCAATATCAAGCAAACCAAATGCTCAACAACTAGAAAACCGCAAGCAATGCCGAAGAAAATAAAAGAAGAATGAAGGCATGGTCGAAGTAAAATATCGGCGTTTTCCCGCACATAGACCCGTGGTGCTGGCTCATCTTCATCACTCGTCAGATGCCATTTGCGATCTAGCGTATCTTACTTCCGAAGTATGATTCCCCGATGATCGGTGTACTAATTTCGTTGCTCGACTATCTGCTAGCCAGCCAGAGAAAGGCCCAACCCATGCAAAGATGCAACTGAGTTAACCCCGGTCTTGATCCCGTGTCTAGTTCGTGTATTGGCTCGTTACTGGGAAGCGCACTGAACACGTTCGCCACCTGGGTGTCCATCCTCATCGTCCTCGTCCATTGCCGTTGCGCCTTGGGCTCGTGCTTGCTGGGCAGGATCAACGTCTTCGAAGTCAACCGTTTCCGTCATGGTATCAGCTGGCGGCGCAGCAATGGTGTGCGAAGGAGGGATAATGGCCTTGAGAGCCTCGAATGCAGCAGGGTCGGCTGTAAAGTTCTTCTCGGGAAACTTGACATCAAATTGGACGTACATGTTTCCAAAGTCGTGATGACGATATGATGGCATACCTTGGCCTCTAATTAACTTGACGGTACCTGAGGTCTGTTAGCAGATGATAAAAGTAGTACGGGAACTGGATAATTACCTGGTGAGATAACCTCTCCTGGAAGAATGTCGACGCTCAACCACCGGTCGTCCAAGTGCTCTACGAATATAGTTCCTCCGGCAAGCGCAGTCACAAGGTCGATCTCGGCTTGGTAGAAAAGGTCGTCGTCCTTGCGTTGGAATCTGGCGTGTGGCTTCTGCTCGATCTCAAAAATAACATCTCCCGGCTGCACACCTGGAGTTTGGTCACCCTCGCCGCGGAAGTCGATCTTGTGTCCAGTCTTGACACCTCTGTCCACATGGACGTGGAGGACCTTTCTCTCAACAACGGTCTTCTTTCCGTTGCAGCCCTTGCACTTATCCTTCTCGCGGATGATCTCTCCCTCGCCATTACAATCCGGGCAAACTGTTTGGAAACGCTGGATCATGGGTCCCATCTGGCGCATCATAGTCTTCATACCATGGCCATCACAGCCGGCGCACTTCTTAACGGCACCCTCCTTGCCACCACGGCCGTCGCACTTCGAGCAGATGACCGACTTTTGGAGCGCAAGCTTGGAAACCTTGCCCCGGTAGATGTCCTCGAGTGAGACCTTGTGTACGTGGTGGATTGTCCGGGCCTTTGGTGGTCCACGCTGTTGCATGCCTCCGCCGAACATACCTCCAAGTCCACCGCCGCCGCCGAAAGCTCCTCCTCCACCAAAGAATTGTGAGAAAAGGTCCTCGGCGTTCATGCCACCTGCAGCTCCGCCACCTTCGAGTCCTTCTTCGCCATACTGATCATAGATAGAACGTTTTTGAGGATCGGAAAGAACTTCGTACGCATGGGAGAGATCCTTGAACTTGTTTTCCGCATCGGGGTTGTGTGCGTTCTTGTCTGTGAATTCTATTAGGTCTGCTTTTAAGCAAGTATGTCATAGTGAAACCTACCAGGGTGATGCTTTAGAGCCCCGATCTTGTATGCCTTCTTCAACTCTGCCTCTGTGCAGTTTGGAGAGACCTGTCACGACCGTCAGCAGCGTATCTTGTATGTATGAAGATGGGTGTATGCTTACACCAAGGATGTCGTAAAACTTTGTGTCCTTTGCCATTTTGGCGGGCTACGGATTTGTCGAGAGGGTGTTTAGAGACGGTACTCGACGATCGACCAAGATCTATTTGCGATATACGACCGAGCCTTATGACTTGTGCCTTGTCGGGGTGGCGGGTGAAGTCTGCAGTGTACAAGGTCAGTGATAGTTCAATACAGGAAGACGCAATGGCATGCCACAGAATACGAAGATGGAATTCACTTTGAGCAAAGTGATGGTCGCAGGAGAGTCCAGGCAACAGATGGAGTGGTTGAGAATACTTACAGACTTGATTGCTGAGGCTGAGGCCTTGCTGCGCGCACAAGGGAGGATCCTTTTGTCTGGGGGAATCGCAAACTAAGCTGAGTAGCGGGATCCGATTTTGCTCGACCGTGTAAGAAGTTCGAGATTATGCTTGGGGACGTGTGGTGTGCAGGAGTGTTGTATTGTTACGGGCGAGTCCAGGGCGAAATTTTGAAGGTGATGTTCTTCAATCTCAGTCCAGGCTCTGTTCAGTTCGGTCCAGTTCTGTTCTGCTGCTGAAGCAACCAAGTAATATTGCAAACAGTGGAAGCAGGCAAGTGCAGGCAAGGCAACGCAAGGCGGGCCTTTCTCAAGGCCGTGATTGATAAAATGTCGGCTTTGACAGGGATCCAAGGGTTTGCGTGCGATTCTAGCACCATCTATCGAATTCGGAGCTGTGGCGGCTGAGAACGGCGAAACACGCCAACAACAAATGGAAAAGTGAAGTGGTTTGGAATCTGCACTATGAGTAGCCCGAGTATATGATTCGAATTTTCTGAATTCACTTTTGACTTTTATCTCGTCGTAAAGTCGCAGATGTTGTCAAAACGATTCCATGTTCTGTTCCTGATACGGCTTAGCACGGCCCTGCGGGATAAATCCCTGTTTTCGGCAACACGGCCAATCACACAGTTAGTTATTTTCTTATCGATAATAAGGTATCCAGAAGTGAAGTGGAGGAAGGACAAAGGACTAAGGACGCGAATTTGTCCACAGCTGCAGCCATGTTCACCAAAACAGAACAGAACGTCTCGGTGCTTTGATGAGGTTGTGGCATTCGTTACTGATCACTCCCATCAAAGAGCTGTAAGTCTGTATAGATCTAATGCAACCTCTATTGGCTTTAGGGGGACACCTATTCTTGTGGAGGGGTAGAGGGGCCAGACGGGTACCTGTGGCGGCAGTAACAAACAAGTGATTGCATTGCACTCTCAAGATTATTGTAAATAGTTCTAATGGCATCAAATCTGGAGATTCATTCTCTGGCCATCTGAACTATGAAAATTTTATTTCAGTACAAGAGTCCACAATTCCATTGTCTTCCGGCAATGTCATAGCCTCGAGTAATAGATCCCACATCTCTTCACTTGTATCCTTGACGAGATAACGCCTCCTCCTTTCTCACAAATCTTTACTCGCCCACAATCTCTTCTTCGTACTCATTCCATTGTCCACCATACCACTAGATCCTCTCCAAGATGAATGACCAAGAAGGCCTGGCTATTGCCATCGAAGAGGCAAAAACTTCTTACAAAGAGGGTGGCGTGCCGGTGAGATCCCCCACTCTTCTATCTTCTTCTCTACATGCCAGGAGTGACTGCCTAAGTCTACTTTGAATCTGACTATGGAACTGACGGCGGTGTGTGCGGTCCCTTGAATTGCCCTTCTTTTCCTCTCGGAAGCACGATCAGGAGACCTACCTAATCCAGGCGATGCTTTGTCAAGAGTCGTGTCTCCATTTCCGTCAGATTTGAAACATGCTGGATTGTGCTCGCATTGCTATAGTAACCATGCGCTGAGAATACTGAGTATGATTCCATAGATCGGGGCCGCTTTGGTATCAAGAGATGGCAAACTCCTCGGCCGAGGACATAACATGCGCGTCCAAAGCGGAAGTGCAATCCACCACGTAAGAACGTCCTCACCAATTCCTTAAACTCATTAACCTCCTCAGGGCGAGACATCAGCCCTCTACAACTCCGGTCGTCTCCCTGCCTCAGCCTACAAAGGCGCCACCATGTACACCACACTCTCACCATGTGACATGTGCACAGGAGCTTGCCTTCTCTATGGCATCGGTAGGGTGGTCATTGGTGAGAATAAAACCTTCCTTGGGGGTGAGGCGTATTTGAAGCAGAGGGGTGTGGAGGTTGTAGTATTGGAGAATAAGGAGTGCCAAGATTTGATGGATCTGTTCATCAAGGAGAAGCCCGAGGTTTGGTAAGTTGAATGCACTTCGGGGCGGTGTTGTTGAAGCCAGTAACCAGGGCTGACTAGAATAGGAATGAGGACATTGGTGAGGAGGAGAGAGTTTACTCAAAAGAGGCAAAATGAAATAGAATTTGTTTTGGAGCAATCTAATACATTTTGAGTCACAGTCGACTTCTATTTGCTAGTGATTCTGTGAATTTCCTTGAAATAGAATTTCAGATCATCAGGGTTTACACCAGGTGTGATACCTAGGACTTTGTCAATACTTCCAAGGAAGCCAGAAAATTGGGAAACTTACCATGGCCAAGGTTGGAGATCCAGCCCTGCTTTCCGCCTCCAAATCCTTCAATCATCTTCTCCAAAGTAGCAGTAATGTTCTCTCGAGTCCCGTACAATATACCTGGATCCGCGTTTCCTTGAAGAACTACAGGTCTATTTCCTCTAACCTTGACAGCATCTGCTGGATCTTGCAGCCAATCTAGTCCGACAACTTGATAACCAAGGTCGCACAGTGCATCTAGAGCATACCATGCTCCCTTAGCGAAAACAACCATGGGGACAATCTCCAGATTCTTCTCCTTTAGTCTCTTGGGAAGGTTCTCGGATATATAGGCGAGGTATGGTTGAGCGAATTCTTTGAAGGCTGTAGGTGATAACTCTGCCGCCCAAGAATCAAAGACTTGAATGATCTAGAGAAGGACTTTAGTAATGCCAATCTCAACCGAGCGTAGACAACTCACCTGAGCTCCAGCCTGAACTTGCAGTGCCAAGTACTCCACACAGACCTCTGCAATCTTCTGTAGCATAGCTTTGGTCTCCTTGGGATACTTGTAGATCCAGGTCTTCGTCTGAATGAACAGTTTGCTGCCACCTCCTTCAACCATGTAACAGAACAGCGTCCATGGAGCACCACAGAACCCGAACAATGGAACACGCCCCTTCAACTTGTGCCTCGTCATAGTAATGGCCTTATAGACGTAGTCCAGCTCCGCAGCCACATCTACATCCTTGCTGAGTACTGTGGCGTACTGTCCATCATCCGGGGACTTCAATGGCTCTGGGAAATGCGGGCCCTTCTTGTCAACCATCTCGACTGTCATTCCCAACGCCTGCGGTATAACCAGAATGTCGGAGAAGATGATCGCAGCATCCACGAGACCTGCAAATCGGTCGATGGGCTGGAGTGTCAGGGTCGAGGCGATTTCTGGGGAGCGACAGCATTCGAAGAAATCGTGGTTTCCTTTGGCTTCATGATATTCGGGGAGATATCTTCCAGCTTCGCTAAGTTAGAGAACTGAACCCAATCCAGTGCCTGCGAGCACACAATGAATCGTACCTTGACGCATAACCCACATGGGAGGTCTTTCTACTTTTTGACCTGTTCATTCTTGTCAGCGTCATTCCTGGAATGTTGGATAGAAGGTCAAAATCGTACCCCATGCTGTTCTCAGGAGAAGATCATTCTTCAATGGCTCGAATTGGTGGGCCATTGTGACAGGATCCCAAATATTTGGGTGTTGTCGTGAAGAAGAATGGTAAGACAAGAAGTTCCTGCCGCGTAGGTATCTCCCTGTCCACTTGCAAGCTGACGAGACATCACCATCACATCCCCGCGATGGTTCCTGAGCTCGGCGACAGGGCGACTCCCCACTTCGCTGTGGCTTCCATTCCATCCAATGTTGACCTCGGGACAGGGTGTCAAGCCACAGCAGCCTCACCGTACCTACTACTGTACCTAATCTTGGCACTCGGCGCTCTGCACCCCCTCAGGCCATAAGGCCCTCATTTACATTTCCTCCAGGTCTGAACCAGCTGTGGGTTCCAATTGGCAACATTCAACCGCTGCGCCTTTGTATGACCAACAACGCTCAATTGAGCCAGTCAAGCAATTTAAATTCGCGCGTTATCCTTCATGCCATCTTGTACCAATTGATGATCCCCACTGATCAAACGATCGATCTGGCGACCGCCGCCCAACGAATGCCGCGAACTATCGAATTCCAATAGCCCATGCTTCCTCCAGCTTCTAGCTGCCTCCGAGCACTGCAGCGACAGCTATCTACATCTCCAGATTCGATCTGGATATCTGATGAAGCTTTGAGCCATGCTTTTCAACGTTTTTGCGCGGTCTCGAAGACCAGGAAACGCTATGGAAGCTTTGTACCGGGACCGTTGGAAAGTAGAAGGAGGCTGGGCAAGAGACGAATGACACTTCAATCCAACGCTACTCCTACGCCCTCACCTGGCCTTGCTTCTCTATGGAGCTTCTTTGTCGGAGAAGTGGATAGGACTCGATGGCAATGGGAAGCTCCTACAACACGGCACATAACATCTGAAGAATGTTCATCGGTTCTTCCAAAATGGTTCGTGGAATGGGCAACAGCCTCGGACTCTGTTCTGGATCCTACCAAACGGACGAGTGCAGAATCTTTCCTAAAGGCCAAGCCTAAAAGGTCTGTGCCCTTGAGATTCGAATTTCTGTCTCTTCGGAAGGCCCTCAAAACGTGTCGCCCTGAAGAGATCCGGGTTTTGTGTGACGATTTCAATCGAAAGTTAGCGCAAACGCTTTCGCTCGGCCTCCACACCGAGAAGTTGGCTTTCTTTATCACGAACCTTGTCATAAAGGACATTCATGCAGGATCACTGAACTCAGAGGAAGCAAACGCGCAATGCCTCGCCATGTGTCAAGCGATGTGGAATGGGATTTCGAGCTGCAAAGTAGTACAATTTTCAGACCTTGGAATGACAATTGCAGGACGATTTATGGCCATTTTGAGCCATATCCGGATGTCAGAGGGCTTGCAAGCTCTGGCCATGGAAATATTGTGTTCGGTGTCGAAGGCCCAGCTGCAAGTGATGCATGGAAGCATACTTCGCTTGGTGCACTCATGGTTGCTGAGCTGCGAAGGCGAAGAAGCTCTCCGAAAGAGCGAATCACCTCTAGCATTGGCTTTTCAGAGTGTGTCCGAAGCTACAAGTGCTGTCACTTCTGTAAAGGCTTTGACAGAATCGTTGGGAAGAAGCCCTAGTTTTAACCAAGATTTACCACAATCTCGCGAGATTCTGAAAATGGCAAGGGATGCCATTATATCTAGCGCAGGTATTCTTGTGGAGGCGGAATGCATCATCTCATCTCATCATCGCAGTCTCAGGACTCTCACGGCAGCCCTGAGTCACCTTCCTGCTGGGTCTCTTAAGACAATTATCCAGCAATGCTCGAGCAGGATCCTAAAAACGTGCGATGATGAAACCATTGCCCATTCACTTCCAGGCAGGTGGCTGTCCTTGATTGCCCAGCTGCCCAACTTGGACGAGACATTACTACTCGAAACATGGAGACAATTTGGCTCGTATATAGGGCAAGATACGGCTACCGACATACTGCTCAAATACTGGATCGGTCGCGACCTGTTCGAGCGCCCAGCTCTAGCGACCATTATCTTCGACGCTAGAGTTTCCCAATTCAATCGAAAGGACCCCAGTACTTTGTTATATGTCATAAACGAGGAACGGGAGAAGTACTGGAACAAGATGAGGCTGCTGTTCACTTTTCTGGACAAGCTTGGAGACCATCAAACTATTTACAAGACTCTCTGTTCTCTCAAAAGGCACCAAATGAAAGTTCCATCGGATATCATTGATGAGGCCTTGGAGAGCATGACCATTGGAAATGAAAATCTGCTTGCTCAGAAAACTTTTAAACTTTACCGGTTCATCCGATACAACAATACACCCTTGCGATTGGAGAAATGCCCTCATTTCATTTTCTCAATGATTAGCAACGGTGCAAGATCCAGCATCATCTGGAAATCCTTAGGGATACCATTGTACGAATCGACGATGCCCTCTCTCTTACTCGCAAGACATACTCCTCCTACAGAATCGAGCCTGACGGCAGCCGTCGCTGGCCACCTAACGAAAATGGCAACGCTCTTCGCACACTGTAAAACACGATCCCATCGAGTGGCATTCCGTAACGTCATGCAATGTCTCTTCCATCTCCGTAGGCACAACGCTCCGATAACACCGGAACTGACTCGAGCAATGGTTCAGGCGGGTATCTCAAGGAAAATCTTAAGTAACGGTTGGATTGCAAAGGCGAAGGCACAGTGGCTACTGGAATCGGTTGAGAAGGTGGAGGGAACAGATGTGGCTGCTACTGTTGACGAGATTGTCGAAGTGTGGAATCAACATATCTCGGAGAGGGTCTCGAAGCGAGACAAGGCTCTGAAAGTATTTTAAGGTGGGCAGTAGGTTAGAAGTAACGAGCGTATACCCAGACATGCGAATGCTATAATGCCTATTTCGTGTATTTCTTGTCTGGATTCGTTTGCCGTGCCAGTATGCCATTAAATGGAAGTGGGTAGTGCTTCAAAGAAATTTACGAGCGTCAGAGCTATTACCTAAAGCTCATAATTATGTAGATGAGAAAGTTATCATCATAGCGAAATTCCAGATCCAGCGTGAGCTCTCCTATCTCTTGCTCCCATTAATGATTAATGGAAATCCAAACTCCATTCAACTCTACCGCCCTTTGCATCAATACTGCCCCAGCCCGCTTGTGAACGGAAACCCTGGTATCTCCGGCTCTGACTGTGCACGCCCCGGAGGGAAAAGTGCGTCGAAAGCGTCCTAGATTGAGCAGTATCAGCACATCTGCCATACAAGTGTAGAGCAAAAGCAGGGAGATGAGAAGAAAGGGTACCCACCCAATCAATGTCAGCCATCAAACTATCATTACCCACCACATTCTCGGCCACTCCTCCTAACCCTGTCCCACCACCACTTCCAACAGCTACCTGCTGTCCTGACAAACTCGTCGTATCAGAACTCGCCTCAGGACTCTGACTATTCGGGAAAGCCCACAAACTCTCTCCATTGGACACACCCGCAAACTGCATATCCTGACCAAGTGGCACCCTCCCAATCGACGAGTCATAAGCAGGACCAGGCACAAGACCCAGAGTAGGTCCCATCCCCAGGTTCCCCTGCGCCACACTCGGCCCGTACTGCAGCGGCTGGAATCCAGCCAGCGGCGATGTCTGCTCCGCCTCTTGCTGCTGCTGTTGGTCGAAATCTTGCCCGGGCTTTTTCCCTTGTTCGGGTACGATGAACTTCAGCTCTTTCATGATATTTTTGCCGTCGTTTTTGTCCGAGACGCGGGGTTCACGGACTCCAACGTGCTTTTGCATTACGACCGGAGCGCGCATGCCGCGCATGCTTTGGTAAACGGCGGTTTTCTGCTGGAGTTCCATGAGGATCTTCTTGCCCTTTACGCGGCGAGGGAGGGAGGGATCGGTTTCAAATATGTAATCTAGGCAAGTCCACTGGCTTGGGTGTTAATGCGACTCTTGTGGGACAGTGGAACCAGGCAAAAAGACGAAAAACAATAAGTGGCGAGAAAGTCGTGACTTTAGAGAAGAGACGGTGCTTACAATCCGATCTGCCTCCTTCCGTTGAGGATACACGTATATCTCCATGAGGAGAAGAAATGCTGTGTGATACTGTTGGTAAGCACCTCCGTACCAAGACCAAGGCCTTATGTCAGGTATCGTCTCCAGAGCTACGGCCATCTCGATTGTCGTGGTGCCTGCTGCTAACATTATCTGTCGAAGTCGATCAGGCATAGGTGCCACAACAGAGTTGTGATAGCGATGCAATACCATGATATGAAGTCGAGACATGAGAAGTGCCTAGGGGTAAGTCAATAGCCGCTTCCCAGGCATGAGACAGTAGACTGTAGTTTACCTTGACTAGCTTTGCACACTTTTGCAACGGAATCTTGTCATCTATGAGATGGTCATATTTAGCAGCCATGTTGGCGCGGAATGTCTCAATCTTGCTAAGAACAGCAGTCAAGCTGATCTTCCTTCTCTCAATACGTGGTCGATCGATCCATATTGTCCTCATCATCTCATTGATTTCGAAGCGGATAAGCGAGAATGTTGTATCGGTCCACTTATCTGCACCCACAGGTGCTTTTCCAGTAGGACGCAAGTCAACATCATTGACGTTGAGAGGAAGCTTCGTATCAAATTCGTCGCGTCGTATAGTCGGGCGAGGTCCTTGTGCTTCACAGGTCCGAATATCGAGGAAACATAATTGGTGCCATACGAGGCGTCGGATGTGAGTCTCTAGAGGGTTCATGCCATATGTCTGACCATCACGGTGGAGACCCATACATTCAGCCATCCTGATCGCCGCGCCCAGCAGCACCGAGTGGGCTCTTGACATTTCTGCCCTACAGAGGGGTATCTAAAACTGGCATCAACTCAAGCGAAGCAAAGCGAGGGACAGAAAATACATACCAGGTACATGACGAATGCCTGGAGAACTTCAATCTTGGTTGTTCGCAGAAAATTGGCTCTGGCCAGAGCTGTTTCTGTACCCAGCTTGAAGTTATCCACCAGGCTGGCCTAGTGTTATAGCATTAAGTTAGCGAGGCAAAACTTGACATCATGCTGGAGTACTTGTCTCATCGATGACCATAATTAACAAACCTTTGATACACCAAACTCTTGCAGGATAACAGAATCATCCATACTAACTACACCCGAGAACATTGCCGCGAAAACGATAGTCTGTACGGAGTTTGGAGGCTCGATACCAAGAGTAACCTCGTCCCAGAAGGTTTCCCACTCCTTCTCAAATGTAGGACGATGAACTATCTGGCAGATTGGATGAACACACGCAAAGTACTGCTTGATTAATCGGTCGGCAGCTAAGCGAGATGGGAGAAAGTCAATGAGAGAAGCCTGGGATCCAGTCCCACCAAAGAAGAATCCAGATGTCGGCAAAATGTATTGAGGTCCAGCTTTGAGCCATTCTGATGCTGGCGGAAGTGGGATGGCGATGTCGGGCGGTGCAACGGTTTTATTGTCGTCTATATTTTTGTCGCCTGTCATATATGTATCTTGCATCGTGTATTCGAGCTAAGGTAACCGGTCAGTAAGGTCGACTTGTAGATTACTTCCATAACCATATCAAAGTCTTAATGAGAGACACGAGTACATCCCATGAAGCTGAGCCGATCAACTGACCCAGTCTGTGAATAGTAATCCTATTGAACCTCAAGCTCAAAGTCACCATGCACTAACATGGTCCATATTTCATGCCATAACAGCTGCAGATCTGAGAATACGTTAAAATCATCAGAGCCAGTCTGGTGCAAGATACCAACAGTACGTCGCAATCTGCAATATTTTGCGCATGCAATGTTAGGAGTTCCTTATGATCCCTCGCTTTCCTAGACGAAATTTGCGAAGGTACTGGAGGTATAAACGAGAAAATTCAAAGAGATGATATGGAAGAGAGGTTTGAAAAGTACGGGGATTCCTATTTAGTGACGCAAAAACGAGATCTGACGTTGAAGGGATAGAGACAAACCTCCTCGGATATCTTTGGCCTGAAGAAGCCGCCAATACGCTCTGTGATCCTCATTTTGCCCAGCTGGATTCCCAGATCCAGAAGATCATCGTCCTCTCCATCAACTTCATAGGCAGCATCCACAACAGCAAGAGGGGTTGGTTCCAAGTCTTTCTCGTCCTCGTTGGCTGGCAAGTCTTCATCTTCTGGAAGAGCGTTGTCTTGACTAGGAGAGCTTGTTGACTGCTGTGCAGCATTCTTGGCAACATCTCGTTCCAGTAGTCTTTCCAAGGATCCAACTTTCTCTTTAATCTCTGTGAGTTTGAGCTGACTCGCTTGATCCAACGCTGGGGCCAAAAATACACAATCACGCTGGAATTTCACGCAGTTTGTGCATGGGTGAGACTTGTTGCATTTGAGTTTTCGGCGTCGGCATTCCAAACAACTCGTGATCATGCGATTCCGTCTTCTGATTCGAGTTGCTGTTCCAGATGAGGCTGTTGCGGGTTGGGAGCCTGATTGGGGTGCTGGTGGTGAAGTCGATGTCCTCGCTTGAGCGTTTCCAGTTGACGAGGCTGGAGAAGTCGTAGAGTTTCCTTGATTAGTATCAGGAGAGTTTGGTCCTTGAACGTTGATGGCGTTAAAGTAATCCATCTTGCAGACTAATGCCTTTCTTGTACACGGAAACCGTTGCCCGGGATGCGGGTATAGTGGTGGCACGACTACAGAGTCGCAAACCCGAGCCAAACAGAACTATTACAGGGATTGGTGTACCCGTGGATGGAAATTCAAGGCGGCATATACCGTCGGTTTCGGATAGATACAAGTTGAAGTTGAAGGTAGTGGCTATTACGGCCGAAAGAAAGGTGGGAATAGATGCACGTCAACCCTCCACAAGCCGTCCAGTCGCAAGATTGTCATGCCTCAGGCAGCAGGTCAACACTAACCAATGGGGCAGGACATAAAATGCTTCCTAAAGGAAGATAGAGATGGGAACTCCGAGTCATCTGTGTAGTGCAGGTACAGTAGACTTTAAAAGCTGCAGTCTTGTGATTAGATAGTGTCACTTATCCTTGTATGTTCAAAAAACTTGGGTCAAGGGCTAGGATGTCAGACTTAGAGGATCAGCGAACCTAAGCTGCGCATGGGTTACAAGCTTGCGAGTACTGCATTGGTCTCGATGCATAAACAGCATCACTACCGCTCACAGAATTTCTGCTCGTCGGCAAGGGAGTTGTCCTTGAGCGAGGAGAGCCTGGTGGAGCTGCCCCCTTGGTAAGAAGCAACAGGTACCACTTTCAACTCCACCCAAATAAGGCAAAGAAACCAGCATTTCCTTCGAAAATAGTGCATTCTTCGTTGGCTGCTCATAATACACGCCCAGTCTTCTGCGCCATGGTCTCCAAGCCAGAATGTTGTTACATTTGTGGTGCTTTCCAGCAAACTCCCTATCCTCTACACATCAAGATCCATTTTCTCTCCCAATGCAGCCTCATCTCCCTTCAGTTCGTGTACTGTAACGTATTTGCTGATCTCTTCCCTCGTGATAATTTTCTCGTTCAAGACAGCTGTAGTACCTCTCTTGAAGACATAACTCTTCTGCTTCTTGCTCCGCTCGTTCGGCTTGATATAACCTCTCTTTAGCGTCGTCTTCTCCTTCGTAATAACCGCGACATCGACATTCGATCCGGAACCCAAATCGTTGAAAATACCAGCTTGAATCGCGTTGGAAGCTACGTCGATGGCCTCCTGTTCTGTCAAAGATGACTTCCATTGGGTCTCGAAGACGGACATAGCTGCCATTGAACCACTTCCCATGGTGACGTATGGAAGCTTGTCCGTACTACCGTGCGCGTGGACAGTGAACAATCCCACACCAGTGGGGTCAACACCAGCTACAACCAGATATGCGCCAATATGTCCTTGGTATCGGAAAAGGTGTTGCTTCAGCATTGTCATGCAGGTAACGACTCGTGGCTTGCGGCCGGTAGAGAGGGAGTGGAGCTCGAGTTGTGAAGAGATGAGGGCAGTTGTGAATTCGGTGTCTGCTGCAGTACCAGCTCCGGCACACCAGATTTGAGGAGCGATGTAATGAAGCTTCTCGCAGTTCTGTTTGGGAGGAGTGTCAGTCCAATATCAATGTTTCAGCTGTATCCCAGCTTACCTTATCAGCTACGATCGGTCCACTGGTTGCTCTGGTATCTGCAGCGATCTGTAATAGTATGCAATTAGCTTGTGGTTCGTCGATCTGAAGCTCCAAAACATGTCCAGTCTGCTGGCATAACAAGGCCGGAAGAGTCTTGGAGATCTAATGGAGTTGCAAGTGCTGAACGTACCACAACACCACCATCAAATATACATCCCACGATTGTCGTTCCAGTACTTGTAGCCTTCGGGAGTGGCACACCTCTTGAGTGTAGGGCCGCATTGCGGGTGTGGTTTGAGAAGTCGAAACCCGGCATGGTGGCAGGTGAAGCTCGAGGAGCTTCTTATTGATCGCTCTTTGGAGGTTGTGTTGAGCAGGCGACCGCTGAGATTCTGGATGAAGGAGATATGTTTGTTTGATGTGGAGGTTGTGGAGGCGTGGTGGATGTCTTTCAGTGTCTCTTCCCAGGTAGGTAGCTGGCTGACGAGGTCGCGGTGCCTGGCGCCGCCTGGTCGCGAAGCTTCGTGGTGCACGGACCTTCAGTTTTTGGCGCGAAGTTCGTTGGTGATTGATTCGAAGTATGGTACCAGTACCTGGTGGTAGGGAGCTTCATCTGATGCCTCGGACAATGCTCTAACTTCTGCGCTCACCATTCTACCTCGAACTGAGATCTCCGGATACTATTAACATCCACCGCATTTCGGCACTGCAGCTTCGCATTTTGTTCCTGCCAAAGCTCGAGAGATATTCATTCCTTACAACCCACGCGCTTTGTTGCCCATTGTGGAACTTCGACTTCAACAACACAGCTAAATGCGCAGAAGCTCCCCATAACAAACACCTCCCAAGGCCGGATACTTTGCGACAGTCATGGCATTTAGCTTTGGGAGCCCTGCACCAGCTGCAACAGCTACGCCAGCTGGTGCCACCGTGCAAAATGGTCCTGACCTCGAGGACATTCAAACAGAGGTTCGTCGAAATACAAAGCGTTTACAGCTTCTGGAGAGAGTCTAACAATCTGTAGGCTCTTGGCTTCAGAGCACTCTGTGGAGAATCCAAAGTCCAATTGCTGCCTACGCCATGGCCTGCGGATCAACTGCCACCTCCCACTTCGTCTCTTCTGAGTATAGCTTCGCAAAAAGGCCTTGTTGCTGCCGCCGGACCAGATGCAATTATTGTCGCATCCACAGAGTCAGTCCGGAGGGCTTTCGAAGCGAAAAGTGAAAGTGGCAACATAAAGCAATTTCACCCTCAATTGAGAATACCTATGCCCATGCGAGTATCTCAAGTTGCGTTTTCGGCGGACGAGACATACTTAGTCCTCTCTGCGGAAACTGGTGGAGGGCTAGCGGTCTACGAGGTTCAGTCACTACAGAATGGCTCGACGGAACCAGCATATCAACTATCTACCGAGAATTTGGCATTAAGAGCTTTGATACCTAACCCAACCCCAGAAAAGGCCGAGCTTTTTGCTCTGGTGACAACGGATGGGAAACTCATGATGGCAAATTTGAAAGAGAGAACTTTTGTTTCTACAGCAAACGGACCTGTTTTGAAAACTGGAGTGAGCTGTGTTTCTTGGAGTGCAAGGGGCAAGCAGCTGGTGGCTGGTCTAGGCGATGGTACTGCATCTCAAATGACTCCAGAAGGTGTAGGTAAAGCAGAGATTCCTCGGGCTCCAAACGTGGATAGTGGTGACCATGGTAAGGTTCCTCAACATGAATTACTGCTATTGCGTTGCTCTAACATTCTCAGTTTCTTCTATAACATGGTTGGAGAACCTGGTATTCTTAATGGTTCACACGCCATCCCAGTTTGATTCTGGTCAAGCTCCAAACTCCACGTTTCATTTGGTCACCAAACAGTCATCGAACTATACTTTTCAGAAGATATCAGATCCTGCGGGACCGTTTGGATTGAATCGGTCTCCACCTCACCACTTTATGCTACGCCTGAGAGACTTCCCTCCAAATCTTCAAGATCTGATCATCGTCGCTTCGAGTGCCTCTGCCGACATTGGATTGTTTAGCAGGTCAAAGGTTCCATTAACGTCCGACAAGCCAGCCGACAGCGTGACAGGCGTATTTACTATGACCGAGATGTCTGACGATTCTCGTCGTGCCGCACTTCCGATGAGTGCAAACTTTTCCGATACTTCTCCTATTGGACTTGCTATGGACTTTTCAAGCAACCAGAAGGTGGAAAAGCCGATCGCAGGTGATGAAATGGATGAATCGCCATTTCCGGTACCTGCTCTCATGGTTCTCAATAATGAAGGTGTCTTAGCTGCTTGGTGGGTCATTTATATGGATTCGATTAGACAGGGCACAGCATATCCTGGCCTTGTAGTCGTTGGTGGATCCCAGACGGCCCAGCCTGCCACAGCGCCTGCTGTAGCTCCAGCGCCTGCTTTTGGTACTCCTTCACAACCAACTTTTGGCTCGTCTGCCTTTGGCACAGCCAACACCAGTTCCGCTTTTGGAACTGCCAGACCTACCACCTCATTCGGCACGCCATCTTCCTCCGGACCGTCCACAGGTGCATTCGGTGCTCCATCCGGCCTTGGGAAAAGCCAGTCTCCTTGGGGCGCTTCCCCATCGTCCAGCACCGCTTCGAATGCCCCAGCATTTGGATCTTCTACTTTTGGCTCTGCAACGGCTGCTTCTAATCCAGCATTTGGAACACCAAGCTTTGGCGCCACTAGCAAGCCTTCTTTAGGCAATCGAGCGTCTCCTTGGGGGTCAGCTGTAGCCACAGGCACTACTGCTACCTTTGGTCAAGCCGGAGGTTTGGGTAAGCCAGCTTCAGTCTTCGGTAGTTCAATAAACGCTGGAAGCACGCTCGCAACGCCTTCTGGATTCGCTTCCTTTGCCTCAAATAAAGGCGGCTTTGCTGCCGCTGCTGCAAAGCCAGCTGGAACTCCAAGCGTATTTGGCTCACAATTAACTCCGACTCCGAATCCCTTTTCGTCATCTGCAACAAGTCAGCCAGCGGGTACAACGAGCATATTTGGGTCGCAGCCCGCCTCGAATCCAAATGCATTTTCTACGCCAGCGACTGGTCAGACATGGGGAGCATCGAGTGAAGCTTCTGGCGCAAACCCTTTAGCCTCTGGTGGTTTTAAACTTAGCACGTCGTTCAAGGCAGGTCCATCTGCAAAGGATGAACCCCCGGAGACCTCCGCTGCACCTCAAGGCAGCTTCTTTGGTGGAAACTTTGGTAGCGCCCTCGGGGAGGCAACAAAGCCTCTAGCTGCTGAAACTCCTGTGTCCAAAGAAACTGATATGGACTCAGATGACATGTCGAATAAAGCGCAGGTCAGCAACATTTCTTCGACGACTCCAGCATCTACACCGGCGGCACCAAAACCATCTATTTTCGGATCGGCTCCCCCGGCAACTGGTGGACTATTTGGAAACTCACCTGCTACCTCCAATTTATCGTCGAAATCTGCCTCAGCCGGTTTCGGTTTCGGTAAGCCATCAGATGATAAGCCAAAGCCTGCAGCTTTCAGCTTTGCAAATGTAGCCGTGAACAAGTCGCCTGGGCCGAAGACACCATTGCCTTCCGAACCCCAACCTTCACCTACGATACCGAAGACGCCTTTATCCCCCAAGATCAAGCAAGAGGCGGTCACGTATACCCCGAATGACATTAACAAGATCCCGGAAGCGCCTCTTCCACCTGACACTACAAGTAAAGTGAGCTTTGCTGCTGGAGAGTCATCGGGATCGTCTGTTGGTGCCGATGCTCCTCTACCCCCAGATTTCATGACAAAGTCTCCGCCTAAGCCCACTCAACCTATTTCAAGTCCTGCTCCACTTCCTAATGTGGCCAAGCCTATTCCTGCGGAATTGATTCCACCAAGCGATGTGCCTGGTGGTCCAGACGATGATGGAGATGATTCGGGTTTTCTGACAGAAGAGGGCGACGATGAAAGCGACAATGGTAGCGACGATGTCAGTGAAGAACTAAGCGAGGAGGGCAGCGGTGAAGATGTCGCGAAAGACCTTAGTCCTACTTCAGAGAACAACCAAACCCCAGCCATCTCGCCAGAGAGCTCTTTTGGTGGCTTGAAAAACGGTAGTCTGGAGAGCAGTGTCTTTACCAAGATCTCGAAGGCTGGCCAACCAAGGCCTGCTTTATTCGGCGAGCTCAACGGGTCTGCACCAGTTCTCCTGCCCCCCAAGGTTCAATTAAGTCCCCGGTCCCCGAGTCCAGTTCGCAATTCCATACCCGGAAGACTTCGTCCCGAAACTTCTCGATCATCGAGTGCCCCTGGCTTCGCATCCCAGCTTTTAGGATCTCAGCGAGGCGGTCGCACAACTATCCCGGCGCAGCCTACCCTCGCACAGACGGAGGCTGATCTTCTTAATGAAGAAAGACGTCGGCAGGAAGTAAGAGCGAGGAAGGAGGCAGAGGAAAAGCAAGCCTTGGTTGATGAAGAAGATGACAGATTCCATGCATTTATGAAATCGGAACTTGAGCCTCTAAGAAATCTACCTGATTTTGAGGTCCATGCAGATTACCAAGGCCAGTCATCTTTGGACAGTATTCCAGCCCAGGTTGAGGCTGTGTATCGGGACATTAATTCCATGATTGATTGCTTGGGTGTCAACGCACGGGCGATGGAGTGCTTCATCAAGTTCCACACAGAGCAGTACAAGGATGAAGGGCGAACGCGAGAAGATCTCGAGAGGGACGATGACTGGTGTCTCGTCGAAATCGATAATCTGTCATCGGTTGTCGAGAGGGATCTTGCACAGGATCTTGCCAATGGTCGTGTCAAGGATGTTGACTCTAAGCTTCAGAGCTGCGATACTTTACTAAGGGAACTTATCAAACTTCGAGCCAAACACGAGGATCTCAAGAAGATGATTGACGCTCGCCAGGATCCGACTTCTCTCGCGATAGCTCGTGCACAGCCGCTGAGTGCCGAGCAAGCCGCGCAACAAACAGATCTGCGGAAAGACTTCATCAAGTTTCAAAAGCTGCTATCAGAGACAGAGGAGGCTCTAACGATTCTGAAGGCGACAATGGTATCTCACGAAGCATCAAAGAATCGCGGCAGTGGATCTGGTGGCCCAACTGTTGAAGCAGTTCTGCGGACCATAAAGAAAATGACAACCATGGCAGAGAAGAGAAGTGGAGACGTCGTTCTTCTCGAAGAACAGATGCGAAAACTTCGCTTCAACTCTGTAGACAGTCGGGAAGGATCCCCTTTCGCTACACCAAAAAACAACAGAGCGTCTTTGCGCAACCCAGCTGCGTCCAGCACATTCGGATTGTTCTATACCCCGGACAGCATCAAGGAAACCCCTCAAAGGTTCCAGAATTCTTTGATGTCCTCGGTTGGCTCGCTCGGTCGTAGCTCTCCTCCCCGAAAGAAGATGAGTGGCTACAGCATACAGGAGAAGACACAGTTGAGGGCACAGTTGGCGAAGAAGCAGGCAGTAACCGAGAGACTGAAGACAGCATTGAAGAAGAACGGCACGAAAGTCCGTCCTATGGTTGACGACGACTAGGCAGTGTTTGGAAAGCACCTGGCATTTATGGCGTTGTGGTCTTGAGCGCTTTGGAGCATGAAAAGGGCAATGAATAATATTGTACAAGGTAGAGATTAGTAGTGATCCATGAACCGGACTCAATGAAGGATATTCCAAGAAATCAATGTCTGAATGACTGAACATGTCTGTTATTCAAGACAGCCGAGCTGAAGGAGATCAACAGTAGCTGTCGTCTCCAACAAAACCCATCCCTTGTAATCCCCAGCTCGTCGCTTTAATCTCTACTCCGTAATGCTTTATGAGGGCTAATTGAAAATGAAAGGATTTTGGTCGGTTCGGTGTAATTGAAATCGAGCGATTGGATAACCCACAGATACACCCCGCATAGGCGACCCCAAGTACCGCGCCAACCCGTAAAAAGGCAGTACTCCACAGCGATGAGCCCACTGTCATCAAGAGCCTTCAGGCCCATCCGTGTACCAACTTCGGCTAGTACCCGATGCCTCAGCCCTGATTTTAACACGATCCGGGGCCATACCCGATGTCCACTCCCTGTGCCAATGACTCGAGACTCCGCGTCTGTCCAATAAATATCGCCATCATCATCAGCATACTTCAACTTTCTCAAAACTCTCTCACACTCACTTCTCAAGCCTCCCTAACTCAATTATTTGTACAACATGGCTGTAACCGATACACCGAAGAGCAACTTCCACGTTGCAGTGTGCGGTACGTTGTACTTACCATTGCTAGGCCTGAATTTTTCATATAGACTTTACATATTTACAGCACTTGTGTAAATCGAATGAGATTTAATAACGATATAAGTTGTACCGAGTCTGAAAAACATACTGACGAACTCTCCAGGCGGCGGCATCGGCGGCCTCTGCACCCTCATCGGCCTCCTGCACCAAAACATCTCATGTACGCTTTACGAAGCTGCACCAGCATTCGCTGAGATTGGCGCCGGTGTCTCATTCGGCGACAATGCCGTTAGAGCAATGAGCCTTATAGATCCTGAGATCAAGAATGGCTACGATAAAATTGCTACCAGTAATGCTTCGTCGGCGTGGAAGAAGTGCTGGTTTAACTTCACGTTGGGAATGAAGGATGATGGTTGGAAGGATTTGAAAGCTCCGGGGAAAGAGGGCGTGCAGGTTGCTCCGGTATGTGTATTCTCTCGCCGTATCACATGGGTTCCTTAGGATTTTGAACTCCACGCAAGAGAGTTCTGTCAATGCCTCACGTTTTGTAAGCTTTACTATGAAAATATGCTGATACACCATACAGGTCATGGCTGGTGACGTAGGCCACAGCTCAGTACACAGAGCACACTTCTTAGACGTACTGGTCAAACTCGTCCCAGATGGTGTAGCCAAGTTTGGAAAGAGAGTCGAAAACGTAGAGAAAGTCGGCGATAAGATGCAAATAACTTTCCATGATGGAAGTACCGCTGAAGCCGATGCTGTCATTGGATGTGACGGCGTGAAGTCACGGACGAGACAGATAATCCTAGGAAAAGATCACGAGAGCACGAGTCCTACTTTTACAGGGAAATATGCGTACAGAGGTCTGATACCGATGGAGAAGGCGGCAGATGCTCTTGGAGATGATTTGGCGAGGAATAGTCAGATGTATATGGGTCGACACGGGCACGTACTCACATTTCCGATTGAGAACGGAAAGACGATGAATGTTGTGGCATTCCAATCAAAGCCAGATGGGAAGTGGGAGGATGAAAGATGGGTTTTACCTATGAAGAAGGAGGATATGTTCAATGATTTCCAGGGTTGGGGGACAAGCGTGCAGCAGATTCTCTCGGTCAGTTTCATCTTCTTCCAAAATTGGGGGGTGATCAGTAATTGACACGAAATAACAGTTGATGGAGAAGCCTGATGTATGGGCACTATTCGACCACCCTCCAGCGCCAACATATTACAAAGGTCGCCTCGCTATCCTAGGAGATGCCGCACACGCATCAACACCTCACCAAGGTGCCGGAGCCGGACAAGCAATTGAAGATGCATTCATCCTTTCCAACCTTCTCGGCCAGGTAAAGACAGTCAACGATATCGAAAAAGCTTTCCACGCATACGACGCCGTGCGTCGACCGCGAAGTCAGCAGGTAGTGAGAACTAGCAGGGAAGCGGCAGCTATCTATGAATTTGAGGATGAGACTCTCGGAACGGATTTGTCGAAGATTAAGAAGAGACTGCAAGAGCGGTTTGAGTGGATTTGGGATGAGGATTTGCCACAGCAATTGAAGAAGGCGCAGGATGTGATGGATATGAAGGCGAATCTGTAGGAATGGAAGAAAGGCTAGTCTATTGAGTCATCTCGAAGAGCGAAAAGTTCCTTCATCACACCGTCGGTTTTGCTGCGGATTGCATCGTGGTACATGGAGTTGGTGATGTGTCTATCAGTCACAGTTAGCAAGCTTTCTTGCCGAGTAACGAGGCATTAAATGTCAACATGTAGATATTGTCAAACTCATTCCGAAGAAACGTACTGTTTGCAGTTTTTTACCAGTCTGGCTGTCTCTTGCGCGAAACCAAAGTCAACATACATGTCATCGATGAACGTTGCTGAGTACAACGGGACTTCGTTACGAGCCAACTGCGGCATTCATCAGTGTCCAGCCAGCATATGTGCTGAAATAATTTCACAAGATTCTACATTCACATACCTGCCATGTGTCGTACAGTTGTCCCCAGCCAGAATATCTGGCAATGATATCTGCCACTGGTGCCATCCTCTCCAATTCAGGGAATATGTCGAATAGGAACGGGTAGATCATCTCTCCAGAGAAAAACAGGGGTGCCTCACGAACGGATGATGGGGATTGTGGCGACTGAGAAAGCCATTGGAACTCTCTGAGAGTCTTTCCCACCTTATCGGCAGCCCAGTTGCTCGCCTCATTTTCACAATAGACTGCTTCGTGGATAATGGCATATAGAACGTTATCGTCGAAGCTAAGTGCACTTTCAAGTGCTGAGAGTGTACTGTGACATGTCAGCGTTTCTTCGCGCTTAATGTGGGACCTCGACAGTGACGTTTTGTTACGTACGGCCTAGTGATGAATTGGAATTGCTCCAAATCGGTCTTCATCCTGAGCACCAAGTCATGCACGGAGTCTAGTCCTCCATGAGCTCCAAAACCTCTACCTAGTGTCAAAAAGCCCCGTACAGTGAGAATGCCGCCAGACGGAAGTTTCACGCCTCCTTTACTTTTAATATGAAACGCTAGACCGTGGACCGCGTCGACATCTTCGGGAAACTTCTTGTAATACGCCTATATATCATCAGCAGTTGAGGTCAAGCATATTGAGTTCGTGTTTACTTTATTCCTTTCGGCCACTTTCTTGAACGTGGCCCTGTAGACTGCTTCGGGTGACTGGCCAATTGGCGCTAGACCTCCTGAAGTAAAGGCTTCTCGGAGACCATTGGGGTATTTGGATAGGTATCTTTCCACGAATTAGCCTCTCGGTGATAATTCTCAGAGTTGAATTTATTTGGTGTATTGCCATCAATACACATGCCAAAATTCTTGGGATCTGACATGATTTGAAATGAATCAGTGTTTCACTTACGTGAGAACGCAGAAACCACCAAACGATTGTCCAAAGACAGACCTGCGTTTTGTCAAATCAAAGTGTCGTAGAATCAATGCGACACTGAGAGTACACAGAAAGCTTACCATTTCTTCAGGTCGGTGGGATAGTCTTCGGTAAGTGTTTTTCGTATAGCCTCACAATCTTTCACAATATTGTCGGCACGGAAGAGCTTCAAATAGTCAGCTTGCCTGTGGGGATCGCCCTGGAGAGCAAGCGTCGCCGCTGATATTGGAGTGCTTAAGCCGGTCCCTCTCTGATCAAGATAAAGCATCTGATATCCTTTGTCGAGAACGGTATTGGTCATAGGCGTATTCTGAGGGGGAGAACATTGAAAGCCAGGTCCTCCTTGAAGAAATACAAACCATGGTTTCTAGATCCAAACATTATTCAGTATATTTTTATAGTTTTGTCTAATTCCACATACCATGGCCTTCTTCCGCCGCTCTTCCTCGGATACGATTGCTGCTGGTTTCTCATATCTCGAGACTGACCGGGCGAACAGTTGAATGGTACCCCGATCTGGGTTTGAATAGTCTTTAGGGACTTCGAAGAACAACTCATTCACGGCGAGCTTTCCTGTTTGACAAATGAGCATTATATCCGGCTTCTAAATTGTAGCAAAGGAAGGAGATACGTATGAGGCTTCCAGGGAGAGCACAAAGAGCCTGATCACATGACGATTTAAGCTTACCTGGAATGAGATGAGTCTTCGAGTCGAGAAGTCTGGCGGCGGTCATTTCGTTGGTGGGGAATGCAAGGGAATAACGAAAGATCTGTAGATATTTGTTATGTTTTGAGAGTGGGCTGAGGATAAGCCGAGACTGGGTGTGATGTGAGTGGGGAGAAGAGAAGGTGATGGATCATGGATGGGATGTTCAGAAGCGAAAGCCTTGGCAAACCTTGCCTTTACTGTACTGCGCTGACTGCACAACGATTTCACACCCCAGGACCCAGGGAGCATCAACATCCGGTCGCACAGCTCTCCGCCAGTCGTGTAATGTACTCGTGATTTCGCAGGACTTCAGGTACCTAAGGCATGTACGATTTCTTAAAGAGCTTCTCCCATCTATGAAGATAGTGACCTCCTACCTACTCAGAGAGATCGGCTCTCTTTCAAGCTGTGCAGAGACTTCATGCATCGTCGATCCCTCTCATGTCGACTTCCTGGCAACTTTTGGGGGACTGGGAGGATTGTATTTACTTCAGACATTGGCTAATACCTTTAAGACCTTCATAAAGTCACATTTAAGGCCAGGAAGCATTCCTTTGAGTCTGGTATCCCCACGTGACTACTATATCTGCTCGGTACCTAGGTACCTAAGGTACTACCTCTAGGTATCAAGGGAAGCTTCCCGAGCACCCACGACTTGCGATGGCGAAAGACAAGAAAGGAGTCAGCGAGGGCAAGAAAGCCAAGAAAGCAGAAAAGAAGCTGAAGCAAGAGAAGAAAGGAGAAAAGAAAGAGAAAGTCAAGAAGTCAAAGGCAGAAGACAGCGATGCTGAGGACGTGGACCTCGATGCCGTTCTTGCTGAGTATGCAAAGAAGCAAGAGCAATTTCTCAAGGTCACCGAGTCTCCGTGTGATCCTCCAAGAGCTCGTGCCTACGCTACTTTCATAGCTTCGCCTGCGAATGATAATGAGCTATTTCTTTTCGGCGGAGAATACTTCAATGGTGCTCTGGCAACATTTTTCAACGATCTCTATGTTTATCAGATCAATAAAGACGAGTGGCATTTGGTTACATCACCGAATACACCACTTCCAAGATCTGGGCATGCATGGTGTCGCGGAGGAAATTCCGGAGGAGTTTACATGTTTGGTGGAGAATTTAGCTCTCCGAAGCAGGGAACATTCTATCATTATAACGATGTAAGCAAATACCATTCATATGTACTGTAATCAGATACTGACTTCTAATTATAGTTCTGGCGTTTCGAACCATCCAACCGAGAGTGGACAAGGATTGAGACCAAGGGCAAGTCACCACCAGCGAGAAGTGGGCATCGTATGACCTTCTTCAAGAACTACATCATTCTGTTCGGCGGCTTCCAAGACACTTCTCAACAGACGAAATATCTAAGCGATCTCTGGATCTATGATACGAATAGCTATGTGTGGCATAACCCTGTTTTGCCTCTGGCGACTCAGAAGCCGGATGCTCGGTCGTCATTCTCCTTCCTGCCTCATGAGTCTGGAGCCGTGCTTTACGGAGGCTACTCACGAGTCAAGGCTACTGTTACCGGTAAACAAACCAAAGGTGGGGGCCAAGCTCAGAGAAACGTCCTCAAGCCATCAGTCCACGAAGATTGCTTTTTCCTCCGCATCATCCAGCCTGCTACAGATGCACCTCTCAATACCCTGCCGACTGTAAGATGGGAGCGAAGAAAGAAGCCAGCAAACGCACCAAATCCTCCACGCGCAGGATCTACTATGGCACATCATAAGGGCCGAGGCATAGCTTTTGGAGGTGTGCATGATGTTGAAGAGAGCGAGGAGGGTATTGACAGCGAGTTCTTCAATACTTTGTTCGCTTGGAACATTGAACGAAATCGATACTTTCCTCTTGCTTTGAGAAAATCACGTGTCAACCAACGCAAACCTCAAGAGGTACGAGGGGGTCGTCGTGGGAGAGGGCAAGCGAATGAAGATGAGCTCCTTCGGAACCTGGCGGCGCTTGAGACGGGAAAGTCTCTAGATTTTACCGATGAGATGGACATTGAAAAGCCGAAAGATGTGTCTGATGAGTCGCCATTGCCAAGCAAAGAAATATTGATGGAGTTCCCACATCCGAGATTTAACGCCCAGTTAGCAGTCCAAGACGATGTTCTGTATATCTATGGTGGTACATTTGACAAGGGCGATCGAGAGTTTATATTCGACGAGATGTACGCCATTGATCTCGGCAAACTTGACGGCGTCAAGCAGATCTTCCGCCGTGAACCTGAGAACTGGCTGGGTAGTGACGATGAGGAGAGTGATGATGAGGACGACGAGGAAGACGAGGAGAGAGATGTCAAGATGACTGATGAAAAGCCTCTGCATACGGAAAGTACCCGCAAGTCGAAGCGTAAGGAGAAACTTTCAGCAGCCTTCGATGAAGGTAGTGAGACCTCGTCAGCGCCATCCACTACCTTCGATGACACGCCAGATAATGCTACAAATGCGACGTCTGCTGATGACAGCTTACCGCACCCTCGGCCATTTGAGTCTCGAAGAGATTTCTTCCAAAGAAGCGGTAACGAGTGGCAGGAGGCACTGATGACTAGTTTGAGATGGAAAAGTATTCAGCCGGAATCTCTATCGGTTAAGGAAATTAAGACAAAGGCGTTCGAGATGAGTGAAGAGAAATGGTGGGATTGCCGTGAGGAGATTACTGCCTTGGAGGACGAGCAAGAGGCTGCTGGTATTGGTGAGGTAGTTACCTTGGCAGATCGAACTGAAGCCAGTGGCGGTGCAGGGAGACGACGATAAGGATTGTTGTGAGCCCCTCCGCTAGGCAGATACGTAAAGCTTGGTTCATCACTAAAAGGTTCAGTTCGGATGTTCCCGCTAAACTTTGTGACATTGAGAGTTTTGCTTCTTCCATAATTGGGAATCTGTCCGCCTCAAACCCAGATGTCAACAAAAAGTTCGCTTATACTTCTGTAAGGTCTAGCTAGCTAGACCTCCTTAACAAAGCCCACCTCAATAACCCGATCAGGCTGAACCCTCAAGTTCGCGATCTTCGTACGAGTATTATCCCTGAGCCACAAAAATGCATGTAACATAGCCTTCCTCCACCAGCCCGTACCACTCTTAACTCTCATCTGCTCCTTTCCAATGATGTACAAAACCTGTCTATCGAAAGCATGTTGCAATTTCGCCAAGTCTTTTGCGATCGTCTCATCGGTTGCAAGAGACTTCATCTCATGTCGCTTCTCATCATTTCTCGGAAGAGGTGTGAAAGCTACATCTTGTGTCTGGATAGACGTCGAGGGAGTCGATTTGAGAGAGTCACCTTGGCAGACAATAAAGTTGCGGACTTGTTCGCAGACAAGGGAGGCAAGGTCGGGGGTGATCACTTCATCCATGTAGCCGTGGCGGACGACGAGGCGGTAGCAGTTCGGGATGGCGACGCGGGTTACGGTGTAACGATCTTCTGGAGCTATGGAGGGTGTTTCGAGAGGACGAAGATGGAAGAATACCATGATCTAGGTTTGAGTGAGCATCTGACATACCTTTACGCTCTTTGCGCAACTGAATATTCTAGCGATCAAAGACTTCGAGACTTACCTCAGGGGCAGCAACGAGCTTGCTCAAGAACTGGGTAAATACCGCTGGGGTAGTCTCTCCAGCTTTGTCGAAGAAAATACCAAAGCCTTTGATGGAGCTCAAGTCATCACCGCCGTACAACTGCGTAAGTTTAATTGCTCCATCGTCTCCCTTCTCGACAAGATGTGTAGTCGCGACGCGATCTTCAGCCTCGGAGCACCACTGCTGTTCCTTCTGCGAGATATTAGCTAGTGTTCATCTACTCATGTGTCGGGAGCATTTGGTAGCACAAACACTGAACGCTCAGCTGGTGGGAAAAGGCACTGCCAGAATAACGTACCCCAAATCGCCAGAGAATCAGAAAGCAGGTAATGACTCCAGAGAGTAGCAATGTGAACCAGGCTCCGTCTGGAACTTTTACGAGAGATGCAGATAGGTAGACGCCATCTAAACAGGCGAACACGAGCCATGGTAGAAAGACAACATAGTATGGTAGACGCCAGACGATTAGTGCGGCGAGGGAAACCATACAAGAGTCGAAGAAGGTGACAAACATGACACAGACCCTAGAGAAACAAATCAGTGTGAAATTTGTGGGTGTCAGCGCCGGACAATTACCCGTAAGCATTACCAAGAGATGTGGTCTGGGGTGAAAAGTCAGCTTCCAATCCGGGGCAACCTTCGCTTAATCAATAAGCGAGGACTTACGTTGTTGTAAATTCCTGCAGCAAGGACAGTTCCGATCATGAGGAGCCAGTTAATCAAAGGGATGTAGACTAGTTTTTATGTCAGATTTTGACTCCAGACAATGGCGGACGTGGGAAATACCTTGACCGTGAAAAATCTTTGAAGTGTGCACGACTTTGATTTGGGGGAAGTAACTGAGTTTCATCACTTGGGCAAGAAGCTATCATCTGTCAGCACCAAACGATATCATTTGACTGACAGATATACCTGGAAAGTCGCGGTGATGATTGCCTGGCTTGCAACAATGGCAGCCAAAATGGCGATGACCAAACTCGGATAGAGCATACCAGGAGGAGCAGCATTGAAGAACGGGTTCGTGTACGCTCCTTCATTTTTACTGATGTATGCTGCCTGGCCAACATACCCCAGGAGAAGACAAGGGAACGCATATGCGAGCCAAGAGATTTGTATGGCCCTTCTGCTGAAAGCTCCCAGATCGGCAAATAGAGCCTCGACTCCAGTAAAAGCTAGTAAGATACCTCCCAGCATTCTCCAACCACCATGGCCATTCCTCACTAAGAAGTCAAAGGCATAACCTGGGGAGAAAGCTTTCAGAACAGAGTGATCGAAATTGACAAGATTGTAGATTCCAAAGCCAGCGTTGAAACCTAGCCAGACAATGACGATTGGTGCGAACGATGATGCAAGCTTTGTTGTACCAAAAGGTTGTATGAGGAAGAGGAGGATTAGGATGCCGCAGGTAGTCCCAACGATTGTCGACTTCTCGATATCGGGTTTCACGACGCTGAGACCTTGGACTGCACCCAGTACAGACTGGGCGGGAGTCAAGACCCCATCGGACATGACCATAGATCTGAGATTTGTCAGTCTTGAATGTCCCGAATCTCAGTTTAACAATCAGACTGGACGAGAAACAATTCCAAGAAATACAACGTACACAGCCAGAACACCGATTGTCTTCAACAGACCTCGCGCCAGCTTACTCTTCTCGATACGCGAACGGACCCTGAGATTGGCACCTTCAATATCGCCAGTAAGATATCGTTCCATCTTTATGAGGGAGGCTTCGCGCGGATCTCGTTTCGTGATGTTTGCCTAGCATTTGTTAACCGAGAATGCTGTGCCAAGAGCAGCTGGTACTTACGAATCTCGAGAGTAGCGAATAGGTGCTGAATGTCCCTCCTTCGCCCTCGTTATCGGCGTATAATATGATGAGGACATATTTGACCTTCAATTTTCAGTCAATGATTTCATGAAGTAGAATACAGTACTTACCGTCACCATCATAGTGAGAGACCATATTATCACTGTATTTGTATCAATATCATGCCTCTCTGACCACAGTCCTTCATCTCAATATATACGCACCCGAAAGCACACCAACGAGGTCCTGATAGGACGGTTCGGAGGTGAAAGTAGAAGAGTACACATAAAGAGGACTTCAAGCTGGTCAGCATCACGGTGTTCGGAGTGCCTCTGAAACAGAGCACAGCTAGGATGACTCGACGCTCTTCTCCATAACCCGGGGCAGCGTACCTGGTTCCGATGTCACCATATATCACCTAAATCACAATGTTAGCACCTCGTTTAATCTTTGTTGGAGAAGATATTCATACTCCAATGCTCTGGTAAGCTAGCCACAAGAGGTATTTGCCCTTGAAGACCTATGAGGGTGTGAGTAGATACACTGTCGACAATGAAGCGCAGAACCATACCTGTTTCTTCTTGAAATCTCCCTCTTGACGCAACCCCCCGTCATCATGTACATTGTCATTGAGTCTAACACCTCGTCGCTCCACGGAGCGACTTCTGGTGGCCCGAAGGTCGACCAGAGAAGGGTTTCTGATGGGGTAAACACCACCAGCTAAAGCACTGCTCGTCCCATCATTCGTTCTTATTGGATGAATTTCATCTGCAATTCGAATCGTAGCCATACCCAGTGAGGGATTTAGTAATGGAAAGTGACGAGACAATGATATAACCTGGGATGGGCTGGAATGTGACAAGAATGAGGCAATTAAGCTGCCGAGGATGCAGAAAGCTAGAACTGCGAATAATGCAAGTTGGACTTTTGGTGAGAATGGATGAATAAGAAGATTGAAAGGGAGGCAGGGAAGGATATTAAACCGGCCTACATTCCTAAGACTCTCAGCTTCGAAAAGGCTTGCCCGTGGATAAGCGCATAACAGACAATCATAACTCCCAACCTACCCAACCAACTGTCAAAGGAGACATTTCACACCTAGAACCCATCCCCACGAGTGTACTTGGCCGTGTCACAGCATTTTTCAGAGAAGAAAATGTATGCGGGATTTTTGTTTTGCTGGATATTGCAAGATAAGGGTGCATCCTCGAATCAAACGCCAGCTTGCTTTGATAGTCACTGAAGTGACATATGCAGCGTTTCCCAAATCCTGGAAAGGGGGCAGTGCCTGACAGATGCTTGTTCTCAAAACCGGCCAAACAATGAGAACTCATGGGGAATATCCCACAAAAAACTGGAGTTGAGACCGAGGCGTCCAATGGTAGTGCCTCGTAATGGCGGAGATTTCTTCCATAGTGAGGCATTTCTTTCCCGCGACGCCACATTCTCCATACAAAAAAGCTAGGAAAGCTTGCCTCCAACCGAGACCCTTGTTTGTCACAAGCTTCTACACACTTGAGCTTCTGAGGCGCTAATCTATCACTAAAGATATCATTTCGGCCACGGTTGGAGAAAGAATATTCGACTTGGAGTGGGACGAACGACCCACGGAGGGCAAGGGATCCACATCTACCATGTATTGTTTTATGTGCCGACCTTACTTTGGTATAGGAACGGACCAAGCAATATGAGGCATTAAAATCTGTGATTTGACGGTGATTATTGCGCCGACAGAGTAAAATCATTGTTTCCCATGAGCCATGGAAGCCCCACCAACGCAAGTAGATCTAAGCTTCCCAGACGGGCAAACAGCTATAGCTGCACGGACACAACCTTCCCATCGACCTTTGCTGACGTCAATGGTAGCGCTCGAATCAACAGCATTAAGCTCAAACAGCGCCGTTCCTGACGATCCTGTTGTTGAAGTCGGAGCACCTTCACATTTCGTGATAGCTCCTGCAATTCCAACACAAATACCAAGCTGGGCAACATTCGCACTGACATGTATTTGCAAGATGTATAGAAGATGATCGCACGCCAGCATGTAAATTTCGATAGGGGAATTAGCCATCAGTAAGCGAGCTGCCGGAGAATGACCTACTCGTGATATGAATAAAATATTGCTGAATCATTATTAGACTAAACCGAGAAAGGGTTTCTAGAGACAAGTCACGCAGAGGCATCGATACATTTAGTATCAAGTACAGCGTCTGGACTGACAGCTTTTGAAGCTCGCGTCTGTAGAACTTCAAGATGTTATGACTGATACCGACGGAGGCGAAAGGAACTGCGGATATACAAGTAGCAAAGATGGCTTGGACGAGAGCTAAGATGTGGAGGGACAAAATGATGGCGATGTGCTGAGAAAATACGTCGAGTCTCGTCATATATAAGTCTGGACTACTGACCAAGAGAAGCGAGGGTTCGAAGCAGAGAATGGCACGATCACGGATCGTAGGGTATTGAAAAGAAGGAAAATAAGGACAACTGATCAAAGTTCAGATGGAAAAATACAGTCGTATATATACCACTTGATTTTCAGTCAGCCCGCGGCCATTGATCGCCCTCATCGAGGCGAGGATGACAAAATCCCACCAAATCGAATCTTCAAACAAGACATTTCTCACGAGGCCATCATACTTGGTCTTGATCTCGTCTCCAAATCTCTGCCGGAGCCATCCAATGTCGTTAGCGTGTTTGGAAACATTGGATCGTTTTTTTCGTGAGGACAATTCGCTTGTTAAGGGCTGTGAAACCACTTTCAAAACAGTCCATCCTGTATTTGGTGGCTGTCTGTGTTTCGATCATCCAGTCTCAGAAAATTCTCATTGGAAATAACGAAGGTAATCTCCCTTACCAAGTTAGCTCTGATCTGATGTGGACTAGATAGGCTAGTTATGCTACATATGGAGTCCACGGATCCCTCAAGGAATGTATTTCGGATGAACACGACCAAATATGAGCCAGTGAAGTGCAAAAACAAGTTCCTGGTATCTTCCAAACGCCAGCACTGCAAACAAGATGCCATTCTTAAAAAGTGGCTTTCACTTTCTGATACCACAGACTCCACATAGGCCAACGTCTCCCGCGTTGACATACTTACTCTCCTGGCAAGTTTGGCTTTTGCAATGCCAGGAATTTGCCACGAATTCCGGCCTGAGAACATTCGCGCAGACAAGACAGGTCAACGCATTGGGTCCGTTGTCGATTGAACAGACAGGGCAAGATACTTTGGCGACTGGTTGGCTTTGGTACACAGAATCATCTCCGCGAGGTGCTCTCGGAGTTGGAGAAGGTCCTTTTCCATTAGATGGCTCCTTTCTGTGTTTGGCTGCTGGGACTTGAGAAGACTTTTGCGGCTTCAGTGTCTGATCTGGCTGATGGTTGGAGTTTGACGAAGACGTATCGGAGGTTGTAGGAAGAGATTCTTTATTGATACCATTCTTCGAGAAGTATTGCTGCAAGTGACCTGGTATACTTTGCAACTCGAGCAGCTCTCTCTTCGCATCGACGTCATTCTTATCATCGTCCTCACAGACTTTGACCATTCCACGACCATGTGTATCAGTGAGCCTCTTCCCGTTGATATCAATTGCATCGTCAGGCTCAGGCTTGATGTACACATTATCCTCGTTGTCGCTTTCCGCTTCACTGTCGGTGACAAGATCTTCATCTTTGATTTGCGGCTCCTCTTTGACCTCAAATCTAGCCAAAGCAGCAGCGGCACGTAACTCCCTTCCTCTCGCACTACCGGCAACTCGCGGCTTGCCGGCAGGTTTCTTGCCCTGCTCCAGCTTCGTCTTGATATCTTCGTCAGCACCTAGTGCAATACCATTGGCGCCAAACTTCTTCCTGATTCTCCTCTCCTTCGCCTCCTTATACGTGATCTTAGGCTTAACCTTCCGCTTTTTGCCACCTCGCGAACGGAATGTACCTCCACACATATGTTCGGGAAGGACTTCTCCATCTTCAAGTGTGTCTCGAGCGAAAGCTCCATTTTCCAGAAGCACTCCTCTCCCCCATAAACCTTCTCCGGTGTAGGTTTTCAACCATAGGCCCTTCATCTCGGCTGCGAAGTCGTTTCTAACAGCCCAGAAAGCTTTCGAATGGTTCATCTGCTTGTTGTGTGCTAACTCGTGCATCATGACCATCTGGACGAAATTGAAGGGAAGCCAGTGGCCAGTGGACGGCGACTTGAGAACGAGTTGGATGACCTCCCCGTTGTTGAAATTACGTCCTGTAGAGTCTGTTAGTCGGCTTCCTCAAATCCCGGGGCAGGTCAATGTACCCCAGAATTCTAGATTTGGTTCGTATTCCTCGAGAGACACCACGGCCAGGTGATGCTTGTTCATAATAGGAACGCATTGCGCAGCTATCCTCTCGAGAAAGTCTTTGGACGTCTTCTCGTCTGGGCCAGGAAGAGGTTTGATGAAGACGACATTCTTGTTTGGTTGAGACTGCTTGACGTTGATTCTTTCCCAGCCAAGAGGCATTTTGAAGTGCTGTTGTTTGAGGTGAACAGGAATGGTGGTGAGGTGGGGTTGAGAATAATAGCCTCGCCACTGAAGAGACGCGACGAAATTTGGCGCGTACCACGAGGTCACATGAGAAGTAAAAGCTGGTTCGAAACTTATTACAGCCTCTGAAGTCCAATATCCGATTTTGATATGAGACAATTAATGAACCAAGATGTCAATACCGAGTTAAGAGTTAGATAGCATTCCTGGATCCTCAGTCATTGAAATGCGGCAACAAGACTTTCTCACACGCATTTTAACGTAACCATCTACCGTGCTCGTACATCTGCCAGTACGGTAAATGGACAATTTCTCTGACTTCTGATGTAAAGATATTTGTCGACTTTGAAGTTGTACGGTTACCGGGGTAAAAACCCCTACGCCAGTAGCAGCCATCCCTCCCAAACGCCATGCAATCCATCATTAAGCTCCATATCTCTGGAAGCACTCCTGCTGATGAGTGGTCAAGCACTCCAAAGCACAAACTTTTCCACCACATCTCATACACTTGACCCTTCCCCAATACCCACATATCTCACAAAATTGCTTAACCGGCTTCCTCATGTCCTCCTCAATCCAAGACCCCCTTGCCTCATTATATGTCAGCGGCGGAGCAGACAGAAGCTTCTCTATTTCTACCGCTGAAGGCATTCCTGGGATCCTCGATATGAGAAGTGCATCCTTGTCTCCTGGGTGTGGAATTGGCAATGTTGAGTTTCCCTGTGAAAGGACTGGAGCGTCTGGCATCGGTGTGTCCTTCGTGCTTAATTCAGACTTGATGGGTACTGGTGTTGAGGCTGTAGCGACTTTGCGGAGTGGTGTGGGGGCTGCGACGGAATTGGGATCTTTCTTCTTGTGTGATCGTGTCCCTTTACTTGTGAGGTGCGGTACTACTGTACCGGTTGCTGCTCGTGGAGTTGGTCTTACAGGAGTCAAGACCGGTTGAGGTGTGGGAGCTGCGGATGGGTTTTGGGCGAGCGCTTCGAAGTCTGACAGATAATTTGCGAACGTTTTTTGAGATTGGAGGATCTTTCGAACATTGGACGTGACTTTGCCATGGCTCACTGTTTGATCATACCATTAGCAACTCATTTGTTCAGCGGGGCCTTCTAAGAGTATATCAAAAGGACCTACCTCGCCCAGCATTGTCACGGTGCCGTATAGGCACTGGAATCGATACATCCTTCGCATTTTCTCGATCTAGAGAGGCTAGTTCTCGCAGTATCTTAGCATCTTGCCGCGCTGTGTTTTCGTGACTGCTGGCGACTGTCTGGTTGCGAGCGCGTTTTCGTGAAGCAGGCTGTAAGGCTGTGACAGAAGCATTGACCCCTGTGTCTGGAACGTAGGCCCAGCCTGGAGCTGGAGCTGCTTTCGAGTTTGCGACCTCTCTGACGCCGAAGTTGATCATTTTGTCATAAAATCATGTCAAGTGTGTTGGGTGGTAGATGAGAAATTTCGATGTCGCGTGTTGACGAATACATGAGCTTGGAGGCGAGGCTAGAAAATCATGGGCATGGAAGCCGGGAGGGGCAAGCTATTCGCCACAACTTGCTGAGCAGGTATCAAAGCGACTCTCAAGAGCTGAGACATTGTATCGTATCATTTGCAGAAAATGTCCTGCTTGGTATCTCATGTACTTGTAGTGACAATCGCATAGAAATCGAGAACTGTTGTACACCTCATTCGGGATTTTACCATGATGTCCTTCCCTTTCCTTGCCACAAGCCTTCCCAACCCAGGTTCAAAGATTATATCCCTTCATTAATCTCTCACCAATCCATTAAACGCCCTTCATTCACTTTTTCTTCTTTTCCAACTCAGAAAGCTTCTCCTCCAGGGTCTGAACATAGCTATGGACGCGTTGTACCGATGCTTGCAAGCTCTAAAATAGAAGTCAGCACAAGCTCGATTTAATACCAGCAACCCAAACAAGGTCCGCCTCTTCCGGAAGGTCTTCTACGGTTTATTGAGACGAAGAACTAGATGCAGAGACGCACATAGATATCCTCAGAGAGCAACCCATTCGAAACCTTGTACTCGTCAAGAACATAATAGTAAACACCTGCTCCTGCTAGTGTGCTTCCTAGAAGAAATCCGAAAAGTCTGGTAGAGAAGTCTGTTAGCTAATTGAGTCTTTGTGGTAATCTCCACGCCATTCATCCATAGATAGTGATGACTACAAAAGAAGAGCAAGGATAATCTGCTATTCAGCACGCACACAGCGTAGCAGAGCCTAGGAAACTGACCCTCCTCTAAATGCACCAACTGGCTTCCGTACTGGCAAAGGAGCGGCGATTTCTGCGGATCTTCGAGTGGAAGTTTGGAAGCTTCGCGATGTAAGAGCAGCTGAGGATGAGGACAGGCGCATTGCCGGTCGGAGGATGCGTGATGCCATCTTTTGTGTTGTTTTGCTTGAGCGTTTGGAAGAGGTTAAGTCCGTATCGGGGTTCGAGAGGGATCCTGACCCTTTGCCTGGTTCAGTAGTTGGATTGCTTTGAAATGGTCTCGTGTTGTTGTCAGTCAAGAGCTCCCCCGGATTCTCCACCTAACTAAATACTTTTAGCCTCAGGCTCAAAGTCTGCAATGCAATAAAAGCGCGGATAGTACTAACATTCACAATACAGCGCACATTCAACATGGCCAAATTGGCGCGTTTCTTTCACTGGGGGATATGGTCTGCTGATATGGAAGATGAGATTTTCGAGTCTGAGTGGAGTTTCACAAGTCAGGAAAGGTAACAAGGTAGTAGGTATTCGGAACAAAATCTCGCCGGCAATTTCACTATTTAGGCTTTTCCAATCCTTAAAAGGCCCTTTGCATCTCCTCTCTGCATTTCCTGAGGTAAAATACATGTAATGAAAAATTCGCTCCAACTAGTTGCTGAAACCTCTACAACTCATCATGCTCCTCGGCTGCCTCGGAGGCCTTGCTCTTGACTGCCTCAGTGGCATCCTCAACTGCCTCCTTAGCTGCCTCAGTTGCAGCAGCGGCTTGCTCGGCCATGGACTCAACGACTGGCTTCTCAGCCTCAGCAGCCTCTTCCTCATAAGTGACCTCAACAGCATGCTTGCCGTTCTCCTTGACGAACTTGATAAGATCCTCGATGCTACGGCTGCCGCTGTATGTAACTGGGTTCTTCTTGTCGCCAGCCTTGTAAAGCTTAATGGTAGGGAATCCTTGGATCTCATCGGGGACATCGTTGAGGGTTGCATCGACCTTGGCGATTGTGACCTTCTCGGTGAATCCACCATCGACGTAAAGTTGGGCGAGGATGTCATACTTGGGGGCAAGAGCCTTGCAGTGACCGCACCATGGGGCGTAAAACTCGATCAAGACATCCTTCTTGTCATCCAAGACAATATCGTCGTAGTTCTTGGCAACAACGATTTGAACTGGGCCTTCCTGAGTCTCTGGGATTGGCTCCGACTTGATGCTAGGCTCAACCTTGCCATCAGCGAATTCGGCGACAAACTTGCCAATGGTCTCGGCGGTGATCTCCAATTCTTGGTCATATGGGTACTTCTTGTTGTTGACGGTGTCCTGGATGGCGAAAGCGGGGAACTTGTCTGCCTTGAGGTTCAAGTTGCCAGCGTGAGCACCGAATGCCTTGGCATCAATAGTAGCAAAGCTAACCTTGCCTCTGTGAAGCTCGGCAACATCCTTAAGGGCCTTGGAGATGGTGGTTCGCTCCTCTTCGGTCTCAGCGAAGATATATGCCAAAGGAATACCTGTGGCCATGTAGCCGGCATATGTCTCTGGGCCAACTTCGCCAATCAATGGAATGGATGCGGTATTGGCAAATTTCTCAATGGTCTCAGCGTCGAAAGTCTCGGTGAAAACAGTCTTGCCCTCATCGAATGACTTGTAGAGAACGACAGCTGGGAAAGTAACACCCTCAGCCTTAGCTACATCGGCGTCATTGACAGCTCCAAAAAGAAAATTGTCCCGGAGCTTCTCAGCAACGGTTGTGAATGTGGTGTTGGAGGTCTTGTCATCAGCGGCCAAGTAGGCAACCAAAACGACCTTATCGGCAGTCTTGAAGTCCTCCAGGGTATCCTTAGAAAGAATTGAGACGGCAGGGAGGGACTGCTTGGTCATGTAGGACACAATTCTGTAAGAATCATTAGCAAAATTCGAATCACGTCTGCGAGCACCAAGTAACGTACGCAGGTGCCTTTCTCGCGCCGGAGTAAGGCGAGACATTATCAGGACCGCGGAAAAGCTTCATAGTTGGGTATCCCTCGACGCCAAAACTTTGGCAGAGATCGGCCTCTTCTGTGCAGTCGACCTTGGCGAGCTTGATGTTCTTCTCCTTCAATGTTGTGGCAGCCTCCTCATACTCTGGTGCGAGCGCCTTGCAGTGTCCACTGGGATGCAATTAGTAATTGGCTCTGGACAGGTGGCAATTCTTAGGAAACTCACCACCATGGCTAATTTGGAAGAGCACGCGTTAGTAAGGGCTCAAAGAACTCTGTGGGATCGGAAGAAACATACTGCAAAGACTAAGAGAAGGAAGATTGTTAGCTGGAGTTGGCAAAGTTGGGGGCATTGGGGCATTTACACTCAGCAAGGACTAAATCGTTTTCCTTGATAAAGTCTGGGAAAGTGTCTTTGGTCAAAGATGCAACATCTGATGCCGATGCGACAGCGGCGGAGACAAGGCCGAGGGCCAATGCTTGAAAGGAGCGCATTCTGAAATTTCGAATTTCGTGGAGGTTTAGGTGTCCTGTTACAGCCTCGGGTTAGTTGAATGTCCGAGACGAAGACAGGACTTTGGGACTATAATAACAGCAGATGGGAATTGCCAAACGTTGAAATATCAACGGGGGCTTCGACATACCTCTGCGATTGTCGAGACGAAGGATTGGGGTTGAAGGGAGGGCAGGAAAGTGGCGACGGGGGAGACTTATGAATAGAATCAAGAAGGGAGGAAGGCTGAAGCAGCTGAGAGCGGGCGCTAGCGCTTGCGGGGGTGAGCTTCCGATTATGTGTCCTCTCCTCTCCTCTGTGACCGAGGAATTCCACTTGACCAGGTTACTTCCCTCTGAAGTGGCATTCACTAGAAACGAAAAAGGTAACTGCTGATCACACTCGCCAGGATTGCGCAGAGACGGGTAATCAATGTTGCCACAATGCTACTAGTGACTCCGAGAATTTATTTATATTCCATTGGCACGTCCACCAATTGCGCCTCCTGAATCCTGTTATGCGACTGCCACAATAGAAACTTTAAAGGCTGAGGCCACATGTATGATCCTTCCAACCTCAGCACTGCATTTCTAAACATGACATTATCCACAGAAAGCGGAAGTAAAGCCTTTACGAAGCAATAATTCGGGCCTCTTTGCCGCCGCCATGGTACAAGCAACCGTGTTCTTACCTCCTGTTCACATAATCAAGGATAACGCGAGACGGATAACACCTGTTCTTCTATGCGAGTGACAAAACACCTTGGCAATGTCTCTTTTGTATCACATAAGCGCACATGTACTCTCTTCAACTTAAGATGAATTTTCCTTTTCCAGGAGCTATTGTCTGCGGTTAAGTGGCCTCGGGACAAGCATGCGGCTGTTTCTAGCTTGCCATTTCATCCGAACACTATCTGTGCATATGCCCTTTATCTGCAGTACATATTTTACACTCATGCATTTAGCAACTTTCCTGACTTTATATTCTCGCGTGTCTTTTGCCTCCATGCTAGATGGACAAGCCTGCTACCCTTCATCCATCATTCCTTTGGAGCGATTTCTCTTTGAGGCAACATCTGGTTATATACCCGACTCGATCACATTGTCTGGATTTACTTGTGCATGTACAACTAGCTTAAGCGGCCTGTTCCTAACACTTTGCGGGCCACACTGGACTTTCAAGCTGTGAAAACTTTATGAAGACTTTATGAATTGGTATAATTGCTGCCCAAAAAAAACTTTGGTTCACAGGTCTTTGTGTACATTCTGTCATCTTGAACTCACTCAGGCATATCAATTCATTATTGAAGACTTCTACCTCATCTAGAGTTGTCAATATCTTCATACGAGGCTGTAATCTAGAAACAATCGGCTTTGTTGATTTCCAGCTTGCATCAAAAGCAAATTCATGTCTGCTTTCATAATCATACATTTGAAGTTACATCTTCTTTAGTTTTGCAGATCTCGTCGCTACAAGCTCATTTGGTCTTTCGTTTAGGCACACAACGCTAGCTTCTGATTTCATCAAGATTTTGTCCTGTGGGGGTTTATCTTTTAGTCAAGGCCCTTGCTTGGTGCACTTTCTTGTTCCTGCTTCTAGCGAACCACCTATCAACATGAGGTCGAGTGCAGAGGCTCGGAAATTTTGAACCTTGCTTTGAAAGATCCTGAGGCTGTGAAAGTCCTTGAAGGTATTGAATTCGATGCCCACACTGAGCCATAAATTGGTCACCTGGACCGGATTCATTGCCTATTCCTGCTGTCTATACGTTTTGGAAAAGATTTGGACGTTCAACTGCTCTATTGCGAGGATACTCAATTGCTTAAACATGTCAAGATTCTCTAGGAAGAGAGATGTCTGCTTCTCTTCGGACGTGACAGACAGCAGCGAAAGAGAGGGTCTTCGCTACTTCTCGCCTATTTCAACTGTGCCAAGAAATACATTCTCCTTCATGGCGGAACACAGCACATAACGCTGCTGCTCTAGAAAAGGTTGCATGGCAAAGAGAGAATGATCGTCTACGTAGTTACCAATCCCGCCTCTTTAGAATGCTTCGCCTGGAGCTGGAAAAGTTGATCAACGCGCGACAATGTTTCGTGACTTCCTGTCGGGTCAGAGCAGTTCGAGACCCGACGTTCCTGCCATTTCTGGGGAGCCAGAACGCGTGCTTCCTCCCACGCCATTTCATCATGCTCCTATTACTGCTGCTGCTGCTGCTGCTGCTCCTGCTCCTGGGCACTGTCGTCTCTCCCATCTACATCCACTTCCATTTCCAGCCTCGTCCACGCATACTAGGTACGTATCAAATCCGCAACGCAGCAATGATGCTTGTGATACTTGTATAAATCGCCTCTTGACCACCCTCCATGTGATATCGTGGACCGGCTTGAATGGTGGATGCTGGCGTCTGAGTCTGAGGGTGACTTTTTCCACTCCCAACAATACCTCATACCACAGCTTGCGGCAGCAGTTCCCCGACATCTCCAAACGATGGATTCCATTCGACCTCCCTCCCGCCCGACGGGTCAAGATACCGGCCATGGAGATTCGATATCAACGCGTCCTCGAGCGAACAGTGAAAGAGATTTGATACGGAGCAGCATGAGCATCCACAGGCCCAAAGAAAATCGGTCTCCAGCAAACTTCCCCAGAGCCTGTGAGGGTATGCTTAAGACCACCACCGAAACAGGAGATATTGGCATGTTCTCAATCAAACCATCCCGAGTGCCTCAATCGCTCGGCACGCCTCGAAAGCGTGGTACAAGCTTCCATCGCGAAAATGGACACCAAAGGCCAAGACAGAACTTCCAGCCATACGGTGTACCAGTGGTCGATGATAGGAGGCGCCTGCCTTCCTATGCTCGAGATGCCGCGTCCGAAGTCATATCCATGTACGAGAGTGCCAGCCAGAAGTCCGCCAGCCGAGTTTTCGACGAACCCGACTATCGATCATATTCCATGACTCAAACATCCTACTCATCTTATACTCTCTCAAATCATCGATCTTACAACAGTCTTCGAAGTCAAGCGGAGGCAAATCCTCGGGTTCAGCGCCCACGCTCCCCGTTTGCGTATCCAGCTCGATTGAAGCGCCCTGGATTCCGGCCATCTTCTCCTGCACTGACCGATGGAGGCGTCGTGGACTATAGCCGTCGGGCTGAAATTGAAAGAATACCTCCAGTGAGTGATACACCTAACCATTCCCTTTGTGTCTTTACTCCGAGTGAGAGAGAGAGAGAGAGAGAGAGGGAGAGAGGAACTCATGCAGCATGTATGAACAAAGTTAACACTCGCAACTAGGGACCCGTACAGAACACCTCCTCTCCGTCATCTTTGTATGCGCATAGGCGTCGACCTCACCAATCGCTCCGGCCGGATGCAAATAGATCGACACCTTCTCTTCTCAGCCAGCCTTCTCCTCCTCGGCGGTGCTCAAGTCCACTGGTGTCCCGTAGTAACGGAATCTCGAGCCATGACTGGGCTCGCAGACCTGGTCTAACGTCTGTTAACACGTCGCCTGCTCGTAGCACTTTCAGTCTCGCGTCCACGGTCAATTTCTACGCATGTGCGCAACCATCATCAACAACAACAACCCCTGGAAAGGTTCCTCCACCATCGCCACTTTACTATGACTATACCGAAGATTTCGAAGTGGAGACTTACAACGAGCCGGTGACCGTCGACCCACCACCTCCATTTCGAGTTGAAAAAACCATTCCAGAAGATCGTCCTATGAGTTCAGAGAGACCGGTGTCCAAAGGACATAGCTCGAGCAATGATATCAGCACCTTACAGAGCTTGCCCCCCGAGTCACCAGTTCCTTTCACCTTCGACCAGCAGGAAGCAGCCAGCCAGAATCCATTGGAGGTGTTGAAGGAGAATCTCACTATCCAGTCAGGACTGGCCAAGACTGACACACCTTCCCAAGATGAGCATGGCTGCATGTCTAGAGACAGAAATTCGGTGCGTCTGTCAGGACTCGGTTATGGAGCCCTGTTATTGCGAAGTCATGTTGATGAAGCATTTGGAAATTTCCCATCGTCTGCGCTGGACTTTACGGATCCCAACAAGACAGAAAGTGCCGAGAAATCGGAACTCCAAAAGTCTCTTACACCAGGCGAAAACATTGAAAAGGAGATGGATTTGCCATCTACTAGGAGCTCATACAGCATTATGACCAGTATTCCTCACTTTCCGTCACCACCCCCTACACGAGATTTTTCACAATCTGAGCATTCGACACACTCCATAGCTCATCGGACCACTGAAGGACCTCTCTCGAAGGCAATTGGATCTCAAGATCCATCAGAGTTAGACCAGCCTCATCAACCATCTGTCAGCAGGCAGCATCAAGGCATTTCTGTAAACGCACGCGATACTGGATCAAACAGTGGAAAAACATCAAGCGAATCCACTGGCAGCGAATCAGTCGTTTCTGCAACAGCCATGACCATCAATGCAACTGAAGCAGACATCGGAATTGACAGACAACCAAGCCAGCAGCAAATATCTTCGACGGCGCCAGATGCCTTGAGAAGAACTCCTATGACGTCCCCAACCGTTCCCGAGGGGTTCAAATTGCGCAAGACAGACTTTGACCAGTGTCATATTCTCCCTATGCCTCTTCACAGTCGACGTAGGGGTGCGGATGATCCGCAAATTCAGCCCCTCAAATGTAGCCAATACTATGGAAGCCGCCAATTGGACCTGTCTGCTATATCAGACCAAGGAGTGGTCAACATTCCAAACTTCAGTCACCGAAATCCAAAAAGGGATATGCCTCGTTCAGAATCTCCTATGCTGGCACCAAAGCCAATATCTCCTGCAAGACAACTGAAGTTGAAGAATAGTGTCCCACAACTTATGAAGGCTCTTCCACCTCTTCCTCCAGAGCCATTAAATCGGCCTGGGTCGCCGAAAGCTCAACTGGGAGCCGAGGAAGTCGGGCTTCCTTGCAACTTCTCCCGTATTGGACGGGGCGTGGGCAACAACTCGGACGAAGGAAAACAGCAGATACCTGCAAATATCCAATCACCAAACCCAATCTTAGGAAGTGACAAAGATAAAGAAGAGCAGTCCGAGGTTCTGGAGGTCCTCACTACTTGTGCCATAGAAGAGATCGGATCACGACATGGAAGCTCTGAAAGTTCACTGCCTCCGCCCCGAATGAAGCTCAAGGTCAAGTCATCTGGCTCCTCTCAACGCCCTACATTGCCCCCCGACTCCCGCCCATGGAACTTAGCTGAGAACTATCCTTGGTCGTCGCAAATTTCGATTGTTCGCCTACCACTAGTCGTTCCAGACCACCAGGTCTCAGTTCCGAATCCACCAAAATTCAGATTGAAAGTTACGAGAGCATCGAACTCTACTCATGGAACGGTTCGTGTGAACCGTAACGTAGGTGACTCAAAACCTCTGATGCATCTGCGAAATCCGAAAGACTTCTTCACTCCCTCTACAGGAATCGACAACATCTTTCGCCAAGTTAGTAGACATCTACATTCAAGGAAGGCCAGTATGGCCAGCAGTCACGCCAGTCAGAATGATGCGAACTTACCAGCAAGCTCAATTTCAAGTCCCAAATCTACAAATAACCCTCTGACTGTAGACTCAACTATCCCGCAACTTCTTTCGTCCACAGCAAACCCACTCAATTCATCAGAAGCACGGAGCGTTTTCTCGGATGATAGCTCGAATGTTCAGGGAAACCATAGTCTTCGTCTGCGAGGAAGACTTTCTAATTTAAGGGCTAGGATTGCAGTCCCCTATGCAATGAGAACTGGCTCTCAGTCACACGACGATATTACTTGGAGAGACAGGAATGGCACGAACGCCGCCCGTGTACCTCCCGCTGCTAGGTCAAGCCCTGACCTTCATGGTAACAGGAAAAGTACCGAAACAGCAAGGCCGATGCGTCGATGGGTCGCGAGAGCACGGCAACACAAGCTGAAAGCCAAAGTTCATCTTCAAAGCTGGCTGAAGGAGGCAAAATCGGCGGTGATTCGAGTCAGAACACGCAGCACTACAGGAGATGGAGTGGAGTCCATGAGAGATTGATTGTCTATCATAAGGCACAGCTTGAGCTCAGTTGTCTCCCTGAAACGATGTTCTCTTTGCGTTTGGCTTGACAGGCAAAGATAATGTTGCCTGAGCAATGAATAGTTTGGAGGAGGTGAACCCAATTTTGGTGGCTGCACTGGCATCCTTGGTGTTCGCTCAGTACAATAGTATCGTTAAACCAACTTGTGGAGCCAAGGAACAAGCCGCAGACTTCGCACTGGAATGACTTAGTCTGTCAGTCTGGGAATGTTGTCTGTCTTTGCTGTCGCTTAAACAACTTAGTAACAAGAAGGGGCCAAATGGTGGTCACATCATACAAAATCGGGCCTAGAGTTTCACTCAAAGACCAGCTCTCAAATAAGTACCAATGAAATGTCTACAATGCTATGAGTTTTGGTGAAGCCAAGGGACCGAAAGGCTCGAATGACCACCCTCTCCACTTCGTGATGTACTGGTTTACAGCAAAAGCCCCCATCCCCCATTTTGACAGCTTCACCATGATGGATGCCCACCGGGGAGGGAGCTACTACTTGATAGACATACAAGACCTTCGGAAAATCTCCCAGTACCTGAAATATAACGTGCTCCCCTTGACAGTACCTCGCTTTCCAGCTAAGCACAGCTCTTCTACGACCAACAGCAACGCCAGGTAGAGAGTAAGGAAAGCGACTCAGCATCCAGTTTCACCACAGATATGATACTAACCACTCAAAGAAACCACAACCAGGAAAATATGCCATCCTCGCTCCCATTCCGATGGATCAATGCTTTCAAGCCAACTCCTTTCAACTCAAATACAGACCTGCTCCAATACAGCACCGTCCCCATCGATCCCCACCTCGACCCTCGCCTCACAGCACAAGCTTCGATATATAACCACACTTCCTACCATCCCAATTTCGAAAGTGACGAAGGTACCACCAACAACAAAGAAGCTGTAGTCGAGTACAAGAACATCCGTCACATGCAACCCCAGTACGTCACGCGTGTCGATTCCAGACAATGGAGGCGCGCTCAAATCCAGGAGGACCAAGAAGCTCGGCAAGTTAAGGAGCAAAGCCAATGTCCATCCCTGAGACGTGGGAGTGTGTACGCTCGTATCCAAGCCATGTTACAAACAATTTCCTGGGCTTCCTTTTCCTCTTCTTGTTCATCAGAACCTTTACCATCTATTGAATTTCCACACCCAAGTTCTACTTTCAGCTATGATGCTACGGCTAATGAAGCTCCTGAGGAGGATCCGTTGGCGTTTGCTAAGGTGGGTGAGGTTGAGGTGAGGGAGGGTGAGACGGAGCAGATAAGTCCCACGATCTGTGATGTAAGTTTAGGGGAGAGAGGTATGAGGGAGTCGGCGGGGAGTTGCTTTGCGGCTTTCAGGAGGTAGTGGTGGGAGGGAGTTGGGGACGATTGAGCTTGGGCTTGCTTCTGCTGCCGTTGCGATGGCTCTCTGGGCGTTGAGGGTTTGTAAGCGGAAATTATATGGTGTGATTTTTGAACTGAGATTCTCTTGAAAATCATAGTTGATTGCGCGTATTTCATATTGTCGAGCGCAGGTCCAAGGAGAGCGTATGAGTTTCCATGATTAAGGTGTATACCACAGCAAGAGTGTATCTCCTATTGGACGTAAGACCTTGAAGCTTCTTTTACCTCATCGTTGAAATGTGAGACAGTTTACTAGTACTGAATGGATCTTGATTTCTTGAGATCCTGGACGTCCTAGAATACAGCACCACCAATGATGAAGACTCGTTCTTCCTCCCTCTTCACCCACTGAATGACCTTGTTCGCACCTTGGGCGAGGCCAGCCCGAGATGCATTCGGTCCTGCGACGCAGTAGAACTCGAACAACGGCGTTGTCCACGCTAGCGAGATACTATCTCGGCTCACACAGTGCAGGACCTTGAGATGGGCATGCTTGGCATGGGTGGAGGCATGTAGATTGTGGTAGAGCGTCATGAGTCTGTCAATATCCGTGGTTAATTGGGTTCAAGAGGACAGTTACAAGGAGTAGAAATACGACGAAATGTCCTTACTTTCTTCTGGCTACTGGGGTGCTGAAGTGGGGAGAGAACGATGGCATCGTGAACTGGACATTCGACCGTGATTTGTAGAGGAAGTGTCGTAACGGTGTTCCAGGCACAATGTCTGTTGTGCTAGGGCGGCCCTGGCGGACAGCTGTCTTAATTATTTGCATGCTGCCATTATTGTATAGCTGGGCTACAACATCATCCCGCATTTGCTTCAAGTCGTAGAAGCTTTCTTTGTCCGCACTGATGAGCAAGACCGCAATTTCATCTTCTCGACTGCTGCTATTCGCAGTAGAAGGCCGTTGCTCTGATTCCTTTTCGTCATCCAAAGCACTCAGAAAGCTGACATACATGTAAAGGTATCCTCTGTTGTTGAATCCTGGTAGGCAAACGGGTATCCAGTTCTCTCCGCCGCCAGCCTTCACACTTCCGGCTTCAAAGAGCATGTTAAAAATCAATTGGAGATCACTAGGATGCAACGAGTGTCGCTTGGGTCTGACGACACTGACAAGCCTCCCACCGGCAACGACAAGTCCATAGAGAAGCTTATCTGTCCGCGCTTTCAAAAATGTATTATTAATGACATTGCGTTGTGACTTTCGGATTTTTAGACATTCCAGTGCCGAAAGCAATGCAGTAGGAGAGCCTTTCGTGAAAGTGTCCGCCAACGACGACAAGAGGATCTCGGTACCCTCAAGAGGTCGCCGCAGATCTGTATTTGGCCGATTCGTAAACAGCTGAGTCAGGGTCGGTAGCGTCAGCGTGGAAAGAATTTGCATGTATAGTGCCTCCAATTGGGCTCTCAGCTGAGCATCGCTCTCTCCCAGCTTGCTAATAGCTACGAAGTACAGCGGGCCAGCAATGGATACCACGAACCGGGTGCTTCCAGCTGTGAACCCCATCAACGGGTCTTTTGGTCCTTGGAAGAAGGATATGATGGTCTGAATAATCCCGATATAGCCATTTATTAGGTTTTGGTCACCATGTCGACTGTATATAGGTTTCCCAGCGGAGGACAGGATGAGATAATGTTTGAGTTTGGACTTCCATTGCAGGAGGACTTCCTCTGTAACGGCACAGAATCAGCATGGAAGCCTGTCATATATTTGGCTTTGCTTAGACCTACCTCCATTGGCACCTTTGTTGTCCACTTCTTCGATCTCATCAAACTCGTTCTCGAAATTGGCTATTGAGGCATCCTCAAAATCCACAACTTCAAAAGCATTCACAGACTCGGTTTGTGTACTGAGCAACTTCCATGCAGCACTTTGGGAGTTCAGTCCGTCGTCCAGCAGACTTGCGAGATCTCCATTCGCCCTTAGTGTCGGGGCATGGCTCCTGAGACTCGCACTGTCGTCCAAATCACTTCCATTGCGACTAAACTTCCTACTTGGTGTACTCTGTCCTCCAGCTGTGCCTGGTATGGATACGGACTCGGAGACCGATCGACTTGTTGGTGTTGAGAACGTCCCTCGTGAGCCATCCGGAAATGATAGCGTCTGGATATCGATCGAGGATAGGCCAGTTGTAGGTTTGCTCGCATACGCTGAGCCTGGCCGAGCTGAAGGCTTTAGGAGAGAAGGCCTAGGGGGGAGAGGAGGCCGCGGTTCTTCTGCTTCTTGTCCTCCACCACTAGGATCCGCTGTGGCAATCTGAGAGGTACTGGCCTCCCCCTTTGAGCTTCCGCTTCTTGTCCCTCCTGAATCCTCGTTCTGCTCTGCCGTGGTCATCGGATCGGTGGCATTATTCGGGGCTGCCTGCACCGTTGACCTTGATTCGATTGGCACATTGACTTGAACTGAAGAGGCCTCAGTAGGGCTCGAGGGTCCCATTCAGGATGAAGTTGTAGCTATTCGCAGGTCGTCATCGATCAGTTTCTCGGTCTGCTTAGAGTTTAGATGTGGCGGGTGATGGTGATGCAGGGCAGGGATGCTGCTGAGTGTGGACGTGGGGTGAGTGAGTGAGTGAGTGGCTTGCCGTGCCGCGAGCACAGCCTTGGGGACGAAAGAGGCCACGGAACCGCCCTGGAGATCCTGACTTTCAGCCTTGAGGCAGGACAGAGCAAGAGCAAGAGCAAGAGCCAGAGCCAGAGCCAGAGCCAGAGCCAGAGAGTTAATTCTTGACGAACAGCACAATACATTCGCACTCTTTAGAGCTTTGCGCTCTTCCTACGAGACGCTTGGACAATGCCAATGATCTTCAAAACTCCAGCAAACTGCATTAACTATGGCCCTTGAGGCTGACATGCAGTCGGTCTCTCCTACAAGCTCTGGGAGAGCTTCACCAATTCCGAGGAAGTGGAGGAACCAGTTAGGCTCCGGTACAGAACTCCAGTCAGCTCCGAAGGCACATGAACTGATACTGTCCTAGATGAGCCTCCAAGCAAAGACAAAGCGTTTCGCAGATATGCCTCTGGTGTTGAGAGATCACTCTCGTTGTTCGATACAGCGTTGCAGGAATGGGCAGACTACATTTCCTTTTTGGGACGACTATTAAAGGTATGGCCCTGATATCTCGCTCAAGCAGATGGAACACTGACAATGCCAGTCTCTCCAAGCCCATCCCAAGGACATCAAAGCTGTTCCTTCGAAAGCAATTGTCGCAAAGCGACTTGCACAGTGTCTGAACCCTGCCCTCCCTTCCGGCGTCCACCAAAAGGCCCTTGAAGTCTACTCCTTCATATTCTCCATGATAGGAAGAGACGCGCTTTCAAACGACCTTCCTCTATATCTGCCTGGCCTCTCGTCAACCCTCTCGTTCGCATCCCTGTCTGTACGAACACCTTTCTTAGAGCTGCTCGAAAGGTACCTTCTCAACTTGGATGCTCGATCACTCCGACCAGCCCTGAAGGCTATCATACTTGCGCTACTTCCTGGTCTTGAAGAGGAGACAAGTGAGGAATTTGAGCGGACACTCAAACTTTTGGATGGATTCAAGCAGGCTCTGAGACCAGCGAGCACTGAGGACCTTGGAGAACACCACAGCAGTGGAGATGATTATTTCTGGCAGTGCTTTTTTCTTGCAGCTATAACGAGCAATGGCCGGCGACAGGGTGCTCTCTCGTACTTGGTTCGGAACCTTCCAAAGCTAGGTCAACCTCTCCACTCGGAATCAGTGATTACGACTGCCAATGGATCGCAAAAAGATGAAGCGGGAGCAAGACGGCTCGGAGATTTTGTAACATCTCCTGAGCCAGGTTTATTACTGCGGTGCTTTGCCGCTGGTTTGGGTGATGAGCAGCTTTTGATACAACGAGGGTTTCTTGATCTACTTGTCACTCATTTACCTCTTCACTCGCATGTTCTGCAGAGAAGGGTGAAAAGTGAAGACTTGGAGCTTCTGATCACAGCTGCTGCCGGTGTAGTCTCACGGAGAGAGATGAGTCTCAATCGACGTTTGTGGACTTGGTTGCTCGGGCCCGAGCCCGTGAGCAACGATGGTGAGGGAGGGCCAGAGTCTCCAACATCTGTGGTTGGAGATCCTACTGGTTCGTCGCCATCTTCGAGAACGCGGTACTTTGAAGAGTATGGTCTGCAGCCTCTAGTCCAAGCACTGTTGAAACTCATTGCTCGAGACTCTACCAATGCTGTCGAAAGAGCTCGTCCGTTTCGAATATGTCTATCATTAATGGATAGATGGGAAATTGGAGGTCTTGTGGTTCCAGACATATTTCTATCTGTCGTTGACAGCGTTCGCAAATTCAAGGGCCTTGCAGCCACCAAAGAAGACTTCTCTGAAGTGCTTCGCAGTGCTAGTGTCTTCTTCGACGGCGTCGAGAGCGGTCTGATATGGGGCGAAATTCTTGGGTTAATAGCTCAAGCCATTGGTGCTGGCGAGTTATCCACGACTGAGAGACTTGACAGGCTCTCTTTAGTAACCTTTATTATCGCACATTTCAATGTACGAGAAGAAGAGATGCTAATGATACATGCGCCATTGACAACCTTGGCCGTCCTCACGCTACTGGAAGATGCAAAGGAAAGAACTGAGCAGCAGGATGGTCAAGCTGGAACTCCCGAAAAGGTCTCAACCTTAGCACTACAAATCGCCATAGATTTGGTCGATCTTATCCCAGAGAGAGCATTTCAAACTAAGTCCTCAACGAGCCAATCAACAGCCACGTCCATAGATGGGTACTCGTTACGAAAATTGAAGAACACGGAAATACTAAGCAAGATCAAAAGATTCTACGTCCAAGACCTGGGAAATTTAGACGCGTTTCCGCCACCATACTCATCGCATGATCTCAGTGAACTTCTCATGCGTGAGGTTGGGAGCATCACATGCCAAAGCCTGTCTGATTCAGTGTCAAGTGCTGATGCTGGTATTAAGAGCAAGTTGTTGGTGATGATGATCAACAAGGTTCCTAAAGCTGAATGTCTGAATGTATCGAAGCTCATCTCATCTATAGAAGGAAGGTTAAGTGCGTCGTCACAGCTGCCGTTCGTTACATTCAATTCGATAATCTCTCTTGCCACAAATCTATACTCGACAGCATATATTTCCGCTACAGAATTGTCGGGCCTGGTCAATCCGTTAGTGCGCCACGCTTGGTCGTATCTATCAGCATCTCATCCCAAGTACCACGTTGAGACTGTTCGATGCCTTTGGCAACTTCAAACGGCATTGACGATTTCTAATCACGAAATCGAAGCTGCGATATGTGCCTTGATGGTCGAGCAGGATACGAGCGGCACTTTTGCTGTTCGAAATGCAGATCCTGGAAGAAGCTTCACTGTATTGTGGACACATACTATGCAAGATACTGCAGCTCATCTGGATCGAAGGTCTTCGAAGACATCGACTACAGGTTCAAGGGGCCCATCCCGTCTACTCGGTGTCGTAAATTATGAGGTAATGCTATCCAGACCACTGTTTTTATTACTCGACTCGCTCCTAGACGAACGGACGCAACTCTTCATGACTATGAGAACTTGGCTGCAGAGTCTTGTAGGGATCGATAGGTAAGTACAGCATCATTTTCTAGTACACCCAGCTAAGATCTTGCAGGCTCTTCCATCTACTTGTGTCAAAATTCTCGAGCTTTGCATTCCTACAAACCCTGCGCGACCTAGGCTCCAGCTATCAAGACAGCACAATCCAGCAGTACAGCAGCGAAGATGACCTGGATCAATGTCTCTACTACCTACGAACCGTGTCAAACATGTTACGCTGGTCATCTGACCATATGTGGGCTGCTCTTGCAGAGAGTAGCATTTCGACGGATGCCAGCCGCCCTTCGCTGTTCTACATTAGTAAGTTTTATTCTGCCTCTAGTACTACGCTCTCTGACATGTTTAGCCGGTCGTGATGGGGAGATCACACTTCTCGAGTTCTTCCTCCATGTCTGTCTGCGCGCAATCTCAGGAAGCCATGATTCAGAAAAGCTCGAAGAGTCCCGCATCAGTCAATTCCACCGCTCTGCTTTGACTATCCTTCACCAGATTCTCTTAAGCCCTTATTCACTCCCTCTTGCCGAGCTGCAACTGGAGAATGTACTAATTATCCGATTGATTCAATCGCTTAATGGGCCCGATCCCTTCATCCAAGTGTTATTATTGGATGTTGTGTTTGATGCACTCAAGCTTCGCAACATGTCCAGGCCAGCACTTGCGCCTCCAACGTCACCGAGAATAGAAAGCAAACGAGCTCTGGTCGACACTTCTCAGAACTCAAGACTCTCGCTTACGATGGAACGGGGCGAGCATCAGATCTCACCAAGCGTACCCCCTCCGCCCCCGTCACTAGTGCAGTGTCTTCAATCAGGATTTGCTGCACAGAGTAGCCGGCCAGTTTTGGATAGCTGGGTCAGCTTTCTTACCGAATGTTTACCCTTGTATTCTGATACAATCTTTCAAATACTGATCCCACTCGTGGAGACGCTGTGTGCACAAGTTGGGAGCACTTTCAATGATTTACAGGAAACCTTCAAGGGATATTCTGGAGATTGTGACGACTCTATTGCCCCGGAATCAACACTCATTTCACTACTCAACGGCCTCGAACATGTCCTGGCCCGAGGCCATGACCGACTGTTGCAGGATGAGATGAAGACACCTCAAGCCAAAAGTCCAGAACAACCACAGGGGTTCTTTGGCAATATGGTATCTGGAGTATTTGCATCGGAGACACCGCAGGCAAGGAGTGCCACGGCAAATAACCGGCTGACCGTTTTGCTCTCTTTCCAAGATGCAGTCCGAATTTGTTTCCTGATCTGGTCTTGGGGCGGGAAGAGTGGGTCTATGCAAGATGCAGATTCAGCAGCTTCGTTCAACTATACTTCCTTACGAATGAGAAATAGAGCCAGGAGACTCCTCGAGCATCTGTTCGCAGCAGAAGCTCTCGAGTGCTTGGAAACTGTTGTGGAGATTTGGCAAAAATCTGCCAACGGACCCAACGACCCGAAATCGCCAGTTGTCTTCAATCTTCTCCACGTGCTTGATGGGTCCAGGCCAAAGCACACCATACCAGCTATTTTTAATGCTATTTATAGTCGCACGAATCCTTCTGCTTTAGATCCAGCCCGGAAATCAACATTGACTGCCTCTTTGAGCGACACGGACCTCGTTGTATTCTTGGTGGAGTACGCTCGGTCCTTAGAAGATGATGCTATGGATGAAATATGGACGGATTGCATGACCTTCTTGAAGGATATACTGGGGAACCCTTTCCCACATCGACAGACTCTGCCAAGTCTGCTTGAATTTGCTGCAATATTAGGCGAGAAAGTGGACAATACGAACTTCGGAGAGCAAAGGCGAATGAGGAGAGAGTTAGGAGTGAGCGATGAATTGTTGTCTCTATTTTGACCGTCAGCTAACTGTCTAGGATCTATTCCTTCGTCTACTCGCCGCGATTTTCACGACCCGCCCCATAGGGTTCGCAGACGGTTCTACAGAAAGCGACGACCGCAATTCATCGAGGCCGGACGACATCGTGGGAATACTTGCATCCATTGCCCCAAACCTTCCCAAAATCCTGGTTGAACCTGATCGTATTCTTGCAGCAGCGAACACAATTTCCGCCAGTGTCATTGGGCCTACTTTCAAATCGAAATCGTTCCCCGAAAATATATCCAAGAGTACATTGGTACTTTTATATCAATTAGCGAGATTACCGAACACACAAAAGACCTGGAAGAAGGACCTAAGCGATGCGTTCAATGATGCAAGATTTTTTGCAAATTCCGTCCCGCTTATTGAAAGTGACTGGCTTCCTCTCTTGAAGCAATGGACTTTGAGCGACAAGGAGAGGATGCCGGAGCTACTTTCTCGCCTGCTCCCGCCATCCACGGCTGGAATTGTCTTTGGAGTTGGAGCTACATCGGCCAGGCTGGAAGCTGATCGTAAAACACAGCTCAACCTCCGCCGAATTGCGACTCTCATCCTAGCTACGATGAATGACAACTTCGTTAGTGATCTGCCTCTCATGCTAGAGAAGATTGTGGAATTACTCGCAGCCTCGACGACTTCGTCACCATCGTCCACAACTCGAGCAGATATCTATTTGCTCATTCGTGCACTTGCCCTCAAAACGTCAGCTGTACACCTATCCACGCTATGGCCGATTGTGAACGCAGAGCTGCACGCAGCCATTTCCTCCGTCGTCTCGCCAGATCACAGCGCTGCTTCAGAGACATTCAATAACAGTTCAGTTCTGCAAGCTTGCAAGCTACTGGACACATTGTTGTGCATCGCACCGGATGACTTCCAGCTGCACGAGTGGCTCTTCATCACTGATACAATCGACGCTGTTTATCGGCCTTCTCATTTCCACCCCGTCGCTCTCATCGACGAACTCTCCGAAGAACTTGGCTCTACCGCTCTCTCATCGGCAGTGCACATGGAGTCTGCTGCCGTGCAGGCTGCGAACGGGACAAGTCGCAGGCCACTACTGGGCCCAGGCGGCATCAACGACGAAGGGACGTGGGAGAGGAAAGATGAGCTGGTGGGCAAGGTACTGAGACCTTTTTTCAGCCAACTGAGCATTTTCGCTTTCGAGAGCACATACTCGATGAGTGTGCCTGATTGGGAGGTTTGTAGAATGGGACTCTTGAGGGATCTGTTTGATGAGAAAAGCATAGTCAAGGCGTTGTAGATCGTGTAGATGTTGTAGAAGGGGTTGCATCATACTTCCTACTTTACTTTTCTCCGCAGCCAAATGTGTGAAGTGTTGGTTCTATTGTCCAACTACGTCCTGCCAATTGAGAAGATGTCATTCGTCGATCCTGGTCTTTCAGGTACCTATTCCAGAGCCTGAGGTTACAGGCACACTGCCCAGCAGGATTACGAGTCACAACCTCGAAACAGGCAGCCACGGGGAGGAAGCTTGCCTAAGTCAGATCATACCAAGTCGTCGTCGCAAACCTCACAAATTATATACCCGTTTGTCGAAGTGAGTTTTCGTTTCTTCTTGCGTCTATCTTATCTTCTGACATTGTTCGTTGCAGAGCACTGAAGAAGTGATCCTGGAGCTAATGTGAGCCTGCCTTACAACCTCAGGTCTGAATATCTGCGAAGTGCAACAAAAGGTTTGCTTCAGCGCAAAGGTGGGAATAATTGACCCTGAGGCTTCAAGGCATGATTTTGCTTCCCCCCACAAACTGTGACAAACTAGCTACATTCCTTGCCAGTTTCAATCTGCTAGCTCGGTTTTCAATAGCAACTTTATAGTGAGTCGTCAACTGGGTTGATCTATGTTGCCGAAGAAGCTGCCGGAATGTATGCAACCATCGCTTTGCTTGCGCCTTGCATGCAATACTGCACGACTTCGATCTTTTTTTCACCAGGAGCCAAACGAGCTATCTGCCGCAGGTCACTACCACGTGGTAAATAGAGCGCTGAATCCATCGTTTTGACCACCTCGTAGATCTGCTTGATGCCGTACGGCTGCATCTTACTCAAGTTGTAAATCTCACCTTCCTCATAGCGAGGTCCACCCCACGGAGGCGAGGCGAAGATGACAGTTTGAGACGAATCAATTGACGATGAGTGCTTTGCGAGGTAGGCGAATGAATCGTCGTTGATCCATGTTATCTGGTTGGCGACGCCGTAGATAGATGCATTGTGTTGCGCGCACGCTATTACCGAGATGTCTTTCTCGATTGCGATTATTTTTGACCAGCGTTCTGACAGGGCGAATGCGATCACGTTCCCGCCAGCACCAGCGAACATATCGATTAGGATTGTTTTTGATTCCGGTACGAGGGCTGCGAAATCCTCTGCTACTTTGCTGAGAGTTGTTAGTTGAGTTTTGAAAGGAAAAGGGAGATCATCACTTTGCAACAGGTTCTGGAGTGACTCCAAACCAAGCATCATCCGTCATGTAGACTCCTTCGTCGTACAGGGACCAGATGCTGTATCGTTGCTGCCAGTACCTTTCGAATTAGTAAATGGTCTCCATCAGAGGGTGCTCGCACTTACTTCTGAATGTCATACTCAACTTCCCCTATGTGCGTGTAGTGATGGCACTGATCAGTCAACTCGAAGCTTTGAGATTCCTGGTCTCGATCAGACTCCTGGACAGCCATCATTTTAGGGCTGATTATGCTAACCCCTGTCTGCGAGAAGTTCTTCGAGCTGGTGAGAGTTGGAATGGCCTGGGTTGGAACTTCCGCTGCGGAATACCGTTTCGCCGGAGACAATCTGCTCGAGTCCAAGGCTTCGTTGGTGTCCGCTGGCGATTGTTGACATGCAAGTGGATTGACAACGATCTGGAGAGGACCGAGGAGGAGTAACATGGGCGGAAGCACCGATATAGAAGTGCGTCCCTTGCAATCTTGCGACTTTGTGTTGGCTCTAGACAGATGGCTCGCTTTTAACCACAGCCTTTGTTTGGCCTTTTTCAGTCCCTTCAAGATTCCCAAAATTGTCTTGCAGGGATTTCGAAGCGTCTGTTTGATGGCGTGTCGAATAATGCGAAGTTGCTTTCTCGATGTGGACCTTAGCTTAATAAGTTATTTCTTCGGTTTCCCTGAATTTCTCAGATTTATGTCCAGAGATGTAGGTAGCAAAGGGACGGCTTTAGATGATTTTGCTGGGCTTTTCGAGGATGAATTCCCAAACAGAGTTTCTGATCCAGGTACAAATGCGCCAGGATAATTTTTTTAGGATCCTGAGAGTTCAGGTCCTGCCGATTCTGCAAAGAAGCTTTTCTTTTGGTGGTGGTTGATCGTTGGTGGGCCAGGATCCTGCTCACGTGGCTGTAATTCGATCACAACTTGAACCGTATTCAACGTCGAAGCCTCTCTATTTGTACTGTGGCGGGCGCGTCTGACAGGACTGTTGTCAAACAACTCAATTCTCGGTCTGTGATCGCCTGCTGCCCGCAATACCTCCTCAATTTCCTTTTCCTTGCGTTTCGAATGACGCTTCTCGGTCTTAGAAAATGACTTTAGCAATACCGGGTCTCGTTCTCATTGAAGAAACCAGGTCAAGGTTGTCGTATTTGAGATGTCTGATACTTTTCAGCTGGCCATGAGTTGAAAGTGACCGATATATCGTTGAAACTGAAGCCTCAAACTGCCCATGCAAAGGCTTTACACGGAAGTTTCAAGCCTCGTCTATCACAAGTCAGCATCTCCCCTTTACTTCTGATGACACCGCAGAGATTCTATTCACATTTCTCGCAGCTCCTGCTGATATGTTTCTTCTTCACCAACTCTTCAATTAAGTTGAAGACCTGGAACCAAAAGCCTTTGGAGGCAGGGAGGCTACAATTCGAGCTCGGACCAAGTTGGTAAGCTAACCATTTCTAGACTAGCTCTAGAACAACCTTCTACGCTCTTCGGGTCCAGCGTTCCCTCACACAGATTATGAAGACTAGGTAATTCTCTTTTATTATCTATCATGGGACAAATAAAGATATCGGGTGAACCCTTCACGTTCTGGGATTGCGTGTCTGTATGGACTTCTCCGCGCGGCTTCCTTCACGTCCTCGCCTAGTCCTATGCATCCGAACTTCACAACGAACCTCAAAGGACTCTGGAAGCGGGCCCGCACGGAACATGGATATTGCTCTTCGCAGCTTTTATTTGAGGCATCAAGCTTCGATCTACGTAGAGCTTCCATTGCCAGATCCTAAATCCATCAGAATTTCTCAATATCTTGCCCGGAAAATTTGGAGGCATCGTTGAGTGCAATTGGAAGTTGTCAACTTAGATGCAGTTGAGAAACTGGAATATGTGGCTCTCTCTTACGTACAGGGACCTATAATCCTCCAGTTACAGTCATATGAAACAATCAAGCTGTCAATGTCACGCCAATTCTTGGGGCTGCTCGTCAACGACTCAGATACTCGAAGGCTGGCACGACACTTGGCAGGACCTCCTGCCCTAGCAGATACGAGAAGGAACATCGGTCCAGACGACTATAGATGGACGCTCTGTGTATTGACCCAGAGAACGTGGAGGAGCGCTCGAAGCAAGTGTCATTTATGAAAGAAATTTGTGAAAATGCCAAAGAAGTTAGGAGAATATACAGAGGCAACGCCGACTACCATATCCCTGTTCAACCTGTAGCAGAAATAGCCCAAGTAAAACCAAGTTTTGATTGACAAGGAAGTACCAGAGTCCAGATTAACCAAGAGTATCTACCTAGGGATGATATTCCAGCGCCAAGTGACGATGTTTGGGATGTAATCGACATAGTCTATGAATATACTTCGTCTCAGCGAGTCTGGGTGGTTCAGGAGGCTGTTAGAGAAAATGCTTGTGTTATTCTTGACTCCTGTGAAGTTTACTGGGTCAATGTTCATCTTTGCTCCGAGTGGCTCTTCAACAAAGACTACGATGTGACTTTGAGAAGATCGCTGCCTATCAGCGCCTCGCCTACATTGTACATCCTGAGGAATGGCGCACCTGTTCCGCCATATGTTTTTTATCATCTCAACTGGAGGCAATTGATCCGAGAGACAAGATCTTTGCATTATTCGGGCTCGATGTCAGGTGGGTTTGTCGGGGACCAGGTCCAGTTGTTTCATTCATACCTGACTACAAGAACCGCTCCTCGAAATTAATATGGACTTGGTCAGAGACTTTCTGACCTCGGAGAGAGATCTCTCTCCTGGGAAGGCCTCATAAAGTATTATGCAAAGAAAGGAGAATCTCGCTGTACAGTGGTCCACCATGAGAGAGGAGGATGATTAAGATGATTCTCATTTCCCACCTTGGGTCCCACGATGGGATCATTGTCTTGCAGCGCGGGGAGGCTTAATACGTCGCAACCATATGATTAACTGGACTCCAAGTTGAAAAGTTTCCATCGCCATTGGTGACATCGAAAATCCGAACATCCTCTCACTTGAAGGATTCGTAATCTCTTCAATTGACTTTCTTGAGCAAGTCTTCGAACGCCCTTCTCCTGACACTACAGCCGATGGAAACTTATTCGCGAATACACCCGACGAAGCTATGAGAAGGCCATCCGCAAATTCATCGGACAACACCACGAAAGCTGATTGTACCAGGACGTTGACCGCAGGAAGAAAAGGTGTGAAACGAGCTTCCGAATGAGTACCTTACACACGGAACGTCAACTAGGGAAGGGTTTCGCTTCGTGACTAACCTTTGGCGTGGGATAAATTCTTCACTACAGCAAATGGACACATGAGTATTGGCTCATGGAAAATGCAATTGGGAAATCTGATTGTTCTTTTGTCTGGTGGAGAACTTCTTTTCATTATGCGACACGAACGACAAAAATACAGACTTGTTGGAAAGTGTTATGTGCATAGACTTATGGACGGCGGGGCCATGGTAATGCTTACCTCTGCCGAAAGGGAAGAGCAGTACTTCGATCTACAGTAAATATTGTTTTGATGTCCAGAGGCTTGGAATAGGCGCCTTCTGCGTCATCTTGCGTTGGATGGAAATAGGGGAGATACCAAGTGGATTTTGCCTGATGTCAAAGTACCGGACAATGATCTAATTTGAATAATAAGATCAGGCAATAAGTGATGAATTAGCGTGAGATGCAGCCTACAAGGACAGCTTTCTGTCTGTGGTGAGGCCATTCAAAGACTCATATTCACCAGTATTACGCGAGTATGAACGAGTATTTGTTTACTTCTCAAACACTGCTATCTACAGCCATACCATCTTAATCTCTCGGAAAACTCCACCTACAAATGTAGTGTAAAGTAATTTGCCAGAAACTCTAGAGAATCGAGACCAACCGCTGGTGCATCCACCCGTTTCTAATTCCAAACCATAGCCACCAAGTTCTGTTACTCAAGGTAGAGACACCAGAAAAGGAACCTAGTACTATATCGCACTAGATCGCAAACGCCTCCATGCAGACCCGCATAATCATCAGCGTAGAAATTATTCCCATATGTCCATCTCTCCGCCGCATGTGTGCTTTGCCGTATTTTTCGCGCCCGCTATGCCCAAAATTCGAAAGACAAAGTAACACATAACGCCGTGCAATTTTCGCGCAGAATTGTCCAAATATCAAAGCCAGAACTCCGCGCAAAAATTCAGAAACCAATCTGGTTTCTTCAAAACTCAATCCTCATCATCACCATCTGTCGCGGTATCATCGTCATCCACATCGACGTCATCCTCGTCATCCTCCTCGCCAGATTCGTCGTCGGAATCATCTTCCTGGTTCAATCCTGGGATGCCCTTCCATTGAACGTAGTCCCCCTCGATCCATCGTTTGCTGACTGGGAGTTGATAAGGATCGAACGGAAAATACGCATCTAATTGATGCCAGCTCTCGTTGTTTCCGCCATTACCCGCATCTCTCAGAGCTCCGTTACCTTGCCCAGAGGAGTACTGGCTCAGGCGTATCCGCTTGTTCGTTTCAAGCAGCGGGTACACGTACATGAATCGAAGATGGTGAGCGATCTTCGCGAACTCGGCAACGATTGGAGGAGAGCAGATCTTGAGAGGGTTGAGTTTTGAGTAGATTGTGCGAGTGAGAGTGTCTTTGATTCCAGGCGTCCATGTGAGATCTTGTCCGATGAAAGCTGCGGGATCGTCTTCTTCTGAAATATCTGTAAATGTGATGAGATCTCTCCATCTGAAGCAGAAGATGTACAGCAGCGCCTGTGTCATGGCGTAGAATGTGCTGTAGCGTTTCAGATCCGGGCCGCGACATGTGAGCTCGTTATCGGATCGGATGACATCGAGATTGTTGCCAATGAGTTCGAAGACTGTACGGATGACATGAGATGGAACATGAGCACCTCTCGCCACGAAACTTGCCAGATAAGCTGCCGAGGATTGTCTTAATACTGCCGGTCGGCTGGACTGAAAAGCTAAGTGAACGCACGTGCCAGCGAATTGGTCAACGAGATGTTCTGCTGTTTGCGCGAAGTGAAACAAGAGAAATTGTGTATGTCGAGAACGATATGTTGGAAGTATGATGTTCGAAAAATGGCCAAGTAAAGTCTCGAACATCGAGGCGGCTTCAACGCTGTTCGGATCCGAGAAGTATGGGCTGTATATGGTGAACAGTAAGTCGAGTATGGCATCCATTTTCTCCACATTTCCCTGGACCTCCTTTATTCGTTTAGCATCGCCTTGGATGTCTTCGTCGCTTGTGACTGAGTCTGCATCGCTATCCGAATCCTCTCCAACGTCGTCATCATCGCGAGAAGGATTTAACGAGATAGCCTGAACAATTGCTGCTGCAACCTCATCATCCAAGTCGTCCAGATCCACCTGCATTTGAACGTCAATCTTGACCAGGCGATCCGTGATCAGCGCAAAAGTATCTGACTTGAGCTCTGGCGCATAATCAATCAGTCGGATCAGGTTGTCAATATATGTAACGTGGACCTTCTTCGTTTCGTCCGAGAAGGGGAACTTCGCAGCGAGAATTGGGGATAAAATCCCGCTGGCGGAGGGAATGAGACGTAGTAGGTACTTCAAGGCTACGTGAATTCGGGTGGTAAGCTGGTCTCGATTTACGTCAGGGTAGCCTGGAAGTCGTCCACTGGATAATCGAACTGAAAAAGAGATTAGCCTTTGAAATCCTGCCAGGAGTCTAGGACAAAGGATGTCTTACTTCCGTAAAAGTACCCCACTAGCATTCCCAGCACCGAACCGACGTATGCGCCTTGGGCACTGGCCAAACTTCCTAAGAAATGGACATATGCTTTCACAAATGCCTCATCTCTGCCCATCCATTCGCATGCGAGCATGGCCTTGACCAGGCCATTACAGTTCTTGTTCAGCAGCGATGTGTAGCTGGTGAGCGCAACTAAGTAGGTTCGCAGATCCACATTCGACCCCTCTCCCCCATCGTCCTCATCTCTCCTCGGCGCGAACATCTCTTTCATGTTATCATATCCTTCGCTAGCACCCTGATTCTTGACATGCGCCTCGATTGAGCGTTTGACTTCCGCTCGTATAGAGTCTAAACTTCTGCCTTTCGCCTGATATACCTCCATGACTTTCTCCTCGACTGTCGGATTAAAGGTGACTCGGGCTCTCTTATTCGGACTCGGTGGTACTGACATCAAGTCGATATCGAGTTCAGCATCCTCGGATTTGCGGACAGTGCCAGAGAGTGTGGCTCGTCGAAGAAGTGGTTTGCTTGGTTTGGAGATAGGCGCAGAAGCTGAAGCTGAAGGCCTGGCGCCAGAGACGAGGGACACCATGGCGAGACCACGACTCCTCGTTCAGTTAAAGAAGGTCGGCTGCTATCATGGAAGTAAATAATTATGTTGTGTAAGTATGAATTGCTGGTCGAGACGAGGGGCGGGTTGTGCTGTAGCAATGAAGAAATGGATGGTTGCCTCCCAAAATTATTTTGGTTCCGCTATTTCCCCGCTAGCTAACGAAGTAAGAACCTAGCTCACGCGAGCGATCTGCAGAGTGCTGGGGCCTCAGTACAGAATTGAACTGTAATTTCCATTATTTAACTGTGCAGTAACTTATTCGCAAAGCTTCGTATAATGCAGCGACATGCACTTGCGCATCTTTCGTGTCAAACATCTTTTCCTGTACGCAAGCCAGCTCGGTGGTTTCATTTGCAACGGTCATCAAAGTTCTCAGCACCTCTCAGTCCCTCCCTCTATGATTCACCAAACTTGAAGAAGAGCGGTATTCCATTGCTCATGCATCTAGAGAAATGATTCAATCTGTTACTATAATAATTGATGGCAACTCAGAACAGTTGAATGCTCTGGAAATTTCAAGAATTTTATGATTGACCCTTCCCGTGACACAACCAAGCTCCCTAGGAAAAGATAGAATCCGACCTGGATCAGACCAAACAAGGCAAAAGGATATTATTGACACTCGAGGACTGTTTATCCTACACCTATCCCGGTCTGTTCTTGTTGCTCTTACCATGCTCCATGGATCTTGAGCTACCTGTTGCTGACTGTGACTGTTGCTTATAAAAGCGAAGAAATCTAACAAAACACCACATACTTTTTGCCCTTCCTTCATGTACAGATCAAAGGTATCTCAAGAGCCAGACCTCGTCCAGCCAGCCAACCAGCCATGCCAATCATCAATCCCAATACCCTAGTCAATACACACGCAGAACTTAGAATCCCAATTCCGTCCAGCCATTCAGTGCAACTCCCATACGCCTATGTGCTTTGGTGAGAGCTCCTGCGACTTTAGTATCCGTCGCCAGTAGCGCCATTGTGCCCACTTGAGACTTGGCCGCCGTAGAGGTTTCCATACGATCCGGCATCATGGTCGCCTGCATCTCCTTGTTGACCAAGAATGTTGTTCGACCCTTCGGCTCCACCCTGGAAGTTAGCTGATGCTGCGTTTGCGGCTCCTGCTCCACCTGGTGCGGCGGAGCCGAAACCTCCTTGACTTCCTGGACGTTGTTCACCCCTGGTTGATTGTGTCTGTAGGAACGATCAGCACCATCCTCGAAGTCACTTGGGGGTTTCTTGTGTTCATCGTCTTATTGTAGCAACTTACTTCTCTATACTTTGATAAGTAGATTTTGAGTGCTTCTGCGTAATTCTCGAAGCCCAATGAAGTCATTGCGAACAGGATGTCCTCGCCGTTGACAGTCTTCCGCTTTTCTTGGTGACATTTCTCGGAAGCTATCCATTGCGTTAATTTCCACATGTCAACGGGATGGGACAAGCAAACCTTCACTGGTGATGAACGAGATGAACTCGCTCACACATTCTTGCATACACTCCTTTGCTTCTTTTGCGATCTTTGCATTCTCTGGGAGGGCGGTTTTCATAATCCGCGCGACTGGAGCGAAGTTACGAATGTTAGAATCGGAATAATCATGTTTGGATGCCTTGGATGGATGAGGCGTCTCTGGAGATTGAGACGAGGAATCGTGGGACATGATAGGATGTATGACAACAGTGACACCATCCAACATATGGGAAGCGTTTGTCCTTCAAGCTCAATGACTGGCCAGTCTGTAGACTCTCTGCGTCTAATACCTACGTTGTTCCAAGCGATGCCAGTCACGGCGGGGTTCGAGATGCGGGGATTTCTTGAGCACAAATCAGAGGAAAGAGAACTAACCATTTGCTATAGGTAACCATCGATCTTGTTCTTTCACCTGAAGCAAGCTTAGGAGCTATAAGTTACACATGGAGGGGCTTTCATACCTCAAACTCGACTTGAAAGAGTCAGTATCTACATGTAACTCGGTCTCGAAGTGGCACAGAGAGGGGGTACTTACATTGGAGGCCGGCGTTGTGTGGATCATTCATCACTGCATCTGGGTCATCTGGGCTTTGGACACCAGCTTCGTGGTCCGTTTCTTTCGGTGATGCAGACATCCTTATGAAGAATGGCAAGCTGCAGTTTCTCGGATAGCGGCGTCCTCGAAATTGCTTGGTTCTGCCAGGTGGCCGAGTGGGACAACTGTCAAGTCAGGTTGTAGCAAGGCTTGCGAGCGAGCGAGCGAGATCGCAGGCGCAGATCAGATCCCTCGAGAAGTGGCTTTGTTACGCTACCCAAATCAGGACGAGGCCGGCAGGTACACTAATGCACTTCTTTATGGGGGTATATCCAGAGAGCGTGTGTGTTTTGGGACAAATTGGCTGCAGGTATCCTGGATGCGCGGAGTCGCGTCAGAGATGAAAATAGCGGCTGGGGGGTACAACAGCAGGGCTTACACAGCTGGCTGGGAGCTGTTCGGAGAGTTTCGAAGCTGCTGCAAATGCACAATGCGCCTTGTGTTCAGTCTGGGTTGTGCTTGACGATGTAATGTAGGGTCGGGTCGAGCAATAGGTCGCATGCAATCGTGGTTCTCTGCAGATAAACGTGGGGTTGGGGGTATGTGGTTGGGTTTGGGTTTGGATATGGCCGGCTGATTACGATTGTATGCTTGTTGTTGCCGCGAGCTAACGTGGAGAGCTTGCACTGCTCTTCCTGCGATCCCAGCTTTTCCCTTTCTTTTCCTGTTGCCCTGGTCTGATGTTTCCGATGCGCGCAGGTGAGTGACGGCGGGTCAATGGAGGAGAGTCGGTGAGAGAACGGCAATGCGCGTGTTGGATTCGTGATTTGCGATGCTTTGCCCTGCCTCGCCTCGCCTCGCCTCGCCTGGGTGCGCTCGAATTGTCCGGGAGGAATTTACGGGGTGGGAGTGTGCCGCGCAGCGCAGTGAGTAGTGTAGTGTAGTGTAGTGTAGTGTAGTGTAGTGTAGTGTAGGTAGGTGTAACGACAAGGAACAATTGTTGTGCAGCGGGTTAAGGTATCCTCGAGTTACGCGTACTAGTAGTGGAGTGGAGTTGACGCAGAGGGGTGGTTCAGTACTAGTGCAGCTCTGATGCGACTTGACGATGTTGACTGCCCGTCGCTAGGTCAGCAGCAGCAGCAGCAGCAGCAGCAGAACAGAGTGAGTAGGTACAGTAGGCAAGGTACAATACTTTCGTACAGGAAAGGTAGAGAGCTTGAAACGACGTGCTAGCGTTGCCCCGAGGCCAGGCACAGCAACCAGCCCAGCCCAGCCAGCCCCAGCTCAGGTCCCGGGCTATTCTGTTTCGCCTTGTCTCCGCCGCCTTGTCCTTGTCACTGCGACTTCCCTGCCCTACCTACCTACCTAGGTAGTTCAGCCTTCTCTTGCGCGTGACGATATTGGCCAAACTGTAATTCTGTCTTCTGTTCCAATCGAAGAAATGAAGCTCAACCAAAGACGCTGACTGGCGGTCAAGGGAGGAATTCCCCCAAGGCATGGGCCAAGAAGCTCCAATCATTGAGCCGAAGGGCGGCTGGACAGCTCCTCCCCTCCTCCCCTCCTCCCCTCCTCCCCTCCTCCCCTCCTCCCCTCCTCCCCTCCTGCCAAATGTAGCAAATGGAGCAAATGGAACGGTATTGCCATTGCCAGCAGCCTATCAGCTGGACACCTGCACTGCACTGCGCCTGCATCGAGTCGAGTCGAGTCGAGCGCCAGCCAGGCTTGTGCTGACCTTGGGACGAGGTGTTTGGTAAATTACCATCCTTCCTTCAAAGTTAGCGAGGAAGCAAGACTTCCGCTCCCTCTTCTGGGCAGCAGCAAGCTCAATCCTCTTGACACTTAGTTTGACTCTGCTGCGACCTCAATTCTATCTATTCAGGCACTCCCTAGAGCTTTTTGGTCATAGATAACAATCATATCTTCATGTGCTTCTTGCTAGTTCTTCTGCTTGCTTTTACGTGTCCGGGTTCGCCGATGGCTTCTAGGTCCAGTCCCTTCGATGGAACTTCTGATGGTTGCATGGCATCACATTCTGTCATATGCCGCACCTACCGGCTTCATAGCTTTTCTTTTTCCTTCTGTTAAAGAGCTAAGATCCCGTTCTTCAAGCCGAACGTGGGCTGAGTTAGTGCGGCGCTGGCTATCATGACAGATCCCATTCGTTGTTATTCCAGGTCGAGATATGGAGACCCAAGGAGGGGTCAGCTTTGCGGAGTTCTGAAAATCATGTCATCACGGGGAGGCAACCATGCCGGTGGATAGAAGTCGTATTAATGGATTTTATTCCGTCTTTGCTGTTCTCATCACCAAGAATACGACATTCCACCTACATGAGGTGCACTGTTGCCCCCCACCACTTGCATGCTGCAAGAGCAGGGTTGACTGTCAGCCTGAAGGCGTTGTTGGTGTGGAGGCCAGCACATCACTCCTACATCCGCGCTTCTTCGAACCTAGCTGCTCCTTTTGGATATTGTCGGCCACTCACCATTTCGCCTTCTTTTAATTGGGCATCAAAACATCCCTCAGAGGCTTTCTCGTTGGGCTGAGAGACGCGCCTTGCCGCCTCATCGAACAGTACTGAGCCTCACTAGAGGAATAAGCTGTACAACGCATCATAACAAGCAACGACCCAACAATCTGGGAACTCAATATGAGGAATGGAGTGACGTTGTACGGCCATCTCGTGATATTGGGAACCAACTTTGGATAACTTGAATTCCCGCTCTTGGGCATTCTGTTTGGAGAAAACTTGGGTATGAATACTCGCTGCGGGTGTCACCCATCGACTTCCCCGGAGGCTACGATGCGTTCCCTCATCATCATCTTATGATTGACCGCCTTATGACCCAGAACTCCAGAAGTCTCCAACCCTTCCATGCAAACTGACGTAACTCCCAGACTCCGAAGCCTTGACGCATCCTCTGCGTTGTGGGCAAGTGAAACACTAGATGCCCATTCCATACCAACGAGTGACCGATGTTCATTGCTGGACAACCTGGATATTGTTCTTCTTCTGAAAAGCATACTGTGTCAGGTGACAGCTGTCAAAAAAGTAATTTCACTCAGTGAACATACCTTCCACTTCTCCATCTCCATCTGCTTGCTATTGTACTGCTTGACTAAATCCTCCAAGACCTTCTTCAAGCCCTCGGAATTCGTCTTCAAGGCTGGAACGACATCCTTCACCGTCCGCTCCACCAACACGCCGTTGATCATGCGGAAGCACTTCCTATCTCCCGGTAACGGCTCGAGGGTCTCAAGAACAAGTCTGTAAAGTGGTGGTCAGTAAAAGCGGTGAGAAATCAGAACTTGTTTTTCAACCCCTCCCAGCGAGCAGCGGTGAGGTACGAGCTTGCCAGATATGTAATAGATGGCAACACCACGAAACCTTGGAAGCGAGTTTCCACCCTCGTCCCGGATCGCGGGAGTGAAGAATTAGGTAGTGCAGTAGTGAGAAAAGATCAAGGGAAAAAGATGGGACGAACTTGTGTTCTTCAGCTTCAGATTCAACGTCACCGATCTTCGAGGCGATTTGTTGCAGCCCATTCTTGTAGTTTGTGTATTGCTGCTGCAGCTCTAGATGCCGAAAGTTAGTCCAGATACACTTCCAGATATTATTCAGAGACATACCTTGCTGCTTCCGTTGGGTAATTTGTTGCGCCATGTTTGTCAGTGATATTGTTATGAAAGAGGATGATGCTCCCGTCCTTGGGTTCAGAAGTTTGACGAGGCAGGCAAAGCGGGTCGTGTGATTTTGCAGCCTTGCCAATGATCTGATCGGACGAATTGATTAGATCCCGAAACCATAACCTATCTTCCAACACCTTTGAACAATCCACCACAATACAATATCCTGTCTGCAGTCTCCGTCTCCAAACACCCAAGATGCATCCTCATCTACACACTAAAGACAATACCGGTATTTCTTCCCTCTCACGGCCCAGTTGCCATTCCCGAGAAGTGATGTTAAGCTAGACTAACAATCCACGCCACAGCATGCGAAGAGGTCATGATGGCCCTGGACGAGTGCCACGCACGGGGTTTCCTCTGGAAATCGATGGGAATGTGCAATAGCGCGAAGACGCAGGTCAACAAGTGTCTGCGAGCGCAGCGGCTGGAGAGGACGAAGATCAATCGCGAGAAGGCGAAGGCGAAGAATGAGGAGATCAGGGCGAAGTGGGCAGAAATTGACGCGAATTCATAATGGCATAGGAGTTTCGGGGAGGGGGAAGATGAATGGAATTGGGAATCGGATGGAAAAGCGGCATTTGGAATGGAGTTTGATATCTGGAGGCACATTTGGCGTTCGGGAATTGATGGTTGTACAATATCAGAATCGAGTGTTATCTCTCCAACTGAACAACTTGGGGAATCCAAATGTTTCATTCGAATGATACATTTGACTGAGCGAACCCATGTCCGCGGGAGGTTGTGCGACTTGGTAAGGACCGACCAGCACAGGAAAGGCGCGAACATCAAGAGGTAAACAAAGCATTTCATTGCAATCAAGCTAATTCAGAACACCATCCGATTCTCTTATCAGCGGGCCATTCAATCCCTCATCATCTGCAATGCGTCACCCTTCAAAGCTTCGCTCTGTATGCGCTCCCATACGTGTACAATCCATAAATGGCCAACAGACTCAAACCAGTCGGCAATGGCTTCTGGCTTCTCAAAGCTCTCGGAATTGATGAACCAGCAAGGACAATGGAAGCTAGAAGGGCAAGTTCAACTCCATAGCTTTCTTTGCTCTGAATTCGATATCCTCCCAAGAGGTACTGCGTTGTTTATCAGCAAGGAGTTCTACGAAGGAGAGGAGGTGATTTACGAGTGCGCCGACTGTAACTCCTGCTGCAACGGATGGGATTGAACCAGTCTTAATGTATCCGAAAGTTCCACCGCCTGCAGTGAGAGCACCGAGGATGAATGCTGGAGTTTCGATTCCCTAAGTGATGTGAGCTGGAGCACTTCTCGTACGTAAAGCTATGCGGTGATTGTAAATGATACAGTACTACTTACCATTCTTGCAAAAGTGATTTTGGTGAGGACTTGAGTAACTCTCTTGTAATTTGATTGATATTTGAGTTGTCTGATTTCTTCAGAACTGGGAATGTGGCAGTGTTTACATGACTTATGATGCCACTGGTGAAGTCAATACCTACCTAGTGCTCGGAGGTAGGTAGCCTCATTGCCCCGCACAAGCTGTTCTGGTTGCTCCGCTCGCTCTTTCCACCCGCACCCGCTGGCCGATCGCTTGGCACACGCGGCTTCGCCATCGTGTCCTTACTGCGGATACATTACAGAGAGCTCCAAGAAGGTATATCCGAAGCTCCAACTCAGTCAACACAGCACCGAGCCAACAACTTCGATTCTCCTGACAATTGCCAATTACCAACATCTACTTCTTGACTCCAACATGGCGCCAAAACGCTCCGCCCGCGAACCCACTCCATCATCAACCAGCACTACTCAAACCTCCGTAACCTCTGCGGGCTCCGTCCCAGTACCTACACCTTCCAAAGCCTCTCCCAAATCCAGTAACAATCAATCGCCACAAGAGATTGCCCTGGGTATATGGCAGAACTATTTGGACAAGACGCCGCAGCGTACGAAGCTGATTGATGTTTTCATGAGCTTCTTGGTTGTTGTTGGAGTATTGCAGTTTGTGTACTGTGTTATTGCGGGCAACTATGTGAGTTGTTCTCTGCTGAATATGTGGAACTGTGGTTGGCATGGTATTTGATATGGAACAAGTCCTAATATTGGTAGCCTTTCAATGCTTTCTTGTCGGGCTTCTCAGCTACTGTTGGACAATTCGTTTTGACTGGTAAGTCTTCCTCTTGGTTGGCAGAACTTGAAGAGGGCCTCACGACTCCGTAGCTTCCTTACGGATACAGACAAACGTTGAGAACAAGGCGGAATTCAGTGAGGTATCTCCAGAGAGGTACCGAATCACACCCTCGTCATTTAGCTCCATTTCTAACAAGGACATAGGGCATTCGCGGACTACGTATTTGGAAGCCTGATCCTACATTTCTTCTGTGTCAACTTCATCAATTGAACTGTATCATACCCACTGGAAGCACGGAAAGCACAAAATGGAAAGAAGGGATGTAGGAATAGCAAAAGTCCATCATGGAACGCGAGTTGGTTGCAAACACGCATATAGCGATGAATAGATTGCACATGGAAGCTATGATCGTCTATTTGCTCTATGAGAACCGAGAACTCATGAATCTAATCGGCACCACTGCTTTCTGCTTCATCCTTCTTCCCTTCTGTCTCTGTAGCCTTCGGTTGACCTCCTGCTTTGGGTGGAGGCGGAGGTGGTGCTACCTTCGCATTGGGAGCATGGTCTAATTCTCTACTCTTCTTTTCTCCCTCCATGAAATAGTCATCCTATGCCGGAATTAGTATGAATCTATCAGATGACGCCAAAACCTCTATAGCAATCATGAAGCAGCTAACTTCACGAGGTACCACGTTTACCCAGAGGTGAGGAGTAGCTTACCATGACCTTGTTTGGACTATGTCCAGCACGCCCATGTTTCTTATCCTTCTTTCTACCACCAACTGGAGGACCAGACGTAGGCGGCGGTCCAACAATCTGAGCCGGAACCAGAAATTCTCCAGGCGCAGAAGACTCTCCTGGCACAAAAAAATCTCCAGAGCCAGACAGCGGGCGAGGCTCTTCATTAGAAAATCTTGCGTTCTCAGTCTCGAATAACGTCTCTCCCGGTCCAGCAACTGGCTCACTCAGGGGTGCCGGCAATCTGTGCAATGCACCGTATCCTAACACGCAGCCCAAAGCTCCCTCTCCACCCCAATCGCGGGTCGGATGAATGGTGATCTCGCGGGTGACATCATACTCGTTGTTGTAGACGTATAATCGTAGAGGACGACCGATATGATCTTCTACCAGCTCGCCCAAGCCACTCTCTCCATGCAAGACACCTTCTGGGGTGCCGAGGATATAATCACTGTATGGTAGTAGACCGGCTACATCGGCTGGCGAATTCGCTGGTACGTCGAGGATATGCCAGATATTCGAGACGGTGGAGATAGATGTCCATTGTAGAGTGAGCCCCAGGTTTGGATTCTCTGCTGGCACCGGGATGTGAATCGTTCTTGTTCTTTGGCCCTGCGGAGTGTCAGAATGTTTGTTGGCTGTATTGTATTGCTATATGGGATTTAACCTTTGCACTCCACAGTCCAAGAGTAACCGTACTTCCTGCACAATTCCTGATCTCTTGAGAAAAGAGTGTAGGGTCAGAATCATCAATTAAACGGCCATTGATTCCAACGATGAAGTCAAACCATGGCTCGATCGCAAGCTCCAACGTCTTGTTCCTGAGGACCTGGAATCCAAATGCGCCATGGTCTGATCTTTGCTGAGGAGCGTCGGAATCCAGACGAGATATGAAACGGTTTAGTGCGTTGAACATGTTGGAAACTAGGGTTCGAATATCATGTATTTTATTTGAGCAGGACTGTACAGCTTGAAGCTCGAGGTTGAATTCCAATGATCTGGTCCCACCAAATAAGGACTAGTGTAGCCTTGCTGGTCCAAGCTCACTGACCTCAACCTTCGAGGTCTGGCTCCTCTCACACATCCTCGGACAACATCAGTACATAGTGTTGAGCTAGGCCGAACTCGTCGGAGCGAGTGCTACGAGCATTGAGCTTTTGTTATTGAAAAATGCGTTTCACTTACAGGTTTATTTAGAATACCCAAGTAGTCGTTTTTTAGCACATTTCCTTCTTGAAGCTATCGAATTCATGGACCAAGGTGTTTCGGGTATCTTCGTTCCCTCTATGATATCTCAAAGTGAGTCTTGCCAGTTATTTTGCTTTGCTGTTCTGCTGATCACTGTTCAAGCTTTTTACTCCAATTGTTTACTTCTCGCCACACTTTTTCGCTTAGACGTTCACAGCCTAGCTTCCGCCCAGGACAATATCTACTCCGCCTTCATGCCAACGAGCTATGACCAACATCCAAAGAGCTTGCATGAGACAATGTGTCTTGTGATACTTCAACCTCTCTCAAAAAGTTGTGGAGTATGGTTGGGTCAAAATTGTTCGCCTTTTGACTGATTACCGTGCTGTAACGGACGACAAGCCGACTTGCTATGCTGGCGATGTGTGTTCCGCGCCAGCGCCCTCTTACGAGGACGGCAAGAAGCAAATTTCTTTGGCCTTTGCCATAGAGTATGAACAGATAGAGTGAGTTCGCGTGCCACTGCAGGTTGGAGTCAACATAGACTCCTTTCCGGATGCTGGACAATAAGGTAGATGATAATTTTAATCTTGCGACTTTTGCTTCAGGATGGTCCCATGGGCTGCGTCTGTTATATTTTCGAAATTTGGGGTGGGGGGGGGGGGGGGGGGGGGGGGGAGATTGAATGACCTTGCCGAACATTAGTTCGAGCCGCTCAAGCAAAGATTTAGCTTCCATCCCGTACCTAACCGTGTCCTCGATTGGGAAATCTCCGTGACGAGAACGACTAGTGGTACAATGGATGACATTTGGGCGATACCACGCCCAGGTGTCCAACATGGACTGAGGTAACGAGGATGAAGATAACCCAATGACCTATTATCGATCGTCTACCCTTATCTTGGCAAATAAAGATAGTCACTAAGGTTAGCAAACAATGAGAGGATATAGATGGTCCATTTCTGCGTTGTTTTTCGATGCAGAAGGAATAAATATGCGCTAATAAATCCGTTACAAGGAGAATTACTGTGTAGAATCTCGGTGAAGTGGTCTAATTGATACAGAAAGAGCTCAAGTGACCACAAGCTATGTATGTTCCGGAAACCTCGACGACAGCACGTCTTCTCAAGTTTCACCCACCTTCTCAGAAGAGCTTGCCAAAAAAGCCTCGCTTGAACCATTAAGCGTTCCCTCCACGAGCATTCTCAAGCATATCGCACCCGTAATGAATGCATTCCATAAGTCTTGGACTTTTCGACCACTCAGTACGGCATGGCCAAATGATAAGATTCACGCCGCAGTAAATCATGGTATCGTACGCATCCTGGACATCGATTGATTCGTAGGCATTTAGGAATGATTCGAGGATGAGTGTGACCGACACGAAATCTTTGAAAAAGTAGAGGATACCCAGGTCGATCGCAATCGACGAAAGATGGCAAAGTTCCTGGTCCAGCACAAAGAACAGCCGTTTGTGACTCGAGTCGACCTCGGATTTGGGTTCATCGCCATCTGATAAGCTCGCAAACACCAGATTAACCTGGTATTAGACTCGAACAACAATAAAGCTTTTATAGGATATACATACTTTCCAGGCCAAAAGTCTCCATGGATTATTCCGACATTCTGTCAATGGGTGTTGGTGATGATGCGTTGGCTTACGTCCCTGAACAGGGCCTTCTTGCTGCCGAGTACCTGTTGTAATTTCTCCATAGTCGCATCGAGTCGTCCACAGGACAGCCGAAACTTGAAAATACCGGCTTCTTTGTAACCGCCAGTTCCTCTCGAAGACTTTCTTGGGTCGGATGGGGGCCCCAGTTGTGGAAGCCCGCAGCCCACGGCCTCACGCACCCACAGCTCTTTCGCATGCTTTTGCAAACGCAGGCTCGAAAGACCTGACTAATAGATGTGCTTTCAGTGTTGAAGTGTTCGGAAGATCCTCGATAATCTGGATGTAGTTGCTAGGTAGGTACTCCAAAAGTGTCGGGACCCGGATTAGGACAGCTGGCTCGTCTTGGTCGTTATTGTTGTAAGAAGTTATTTCATGAGAAAGTAATTGGTGCTCGTAGTACTAAGTATAGAGCTCCAATATCAGCGACGCCTTCACTGCTCCTTGATGCACTGGTATGCAATTATGGCACTTTGGAAGGAGGGTGCTCACACTAGGGGCTTTTTGTAGGGTGAATCCATCTCCCGTAGTCTTTTCTATCTTCAATTTTTCTTCCGTCATCTTCACCACAACAGCTTTTCTGTGACCATTAATTGGCGTCGCAAGTTTGTTGCGGAATGAGAAATCGATAAAACCCCCAGGCAGTCGTTCGAGGCTCTGGCAGGCATAGCCCGCTCGCGGAGAGCACTTTCAACAATATCTTGGGCAGTCAGCCACTCGGCATCAGTGTGTACCATCTTTTGAATGACTGATTATCAACCGGAGCATCGTTCTATTCTGCTAAGCAAGGAAAGAATGCCAAATGGGCCCTTAATGCTTCACGATGAAGCATAGAACAATGCAGGCAGGAGCGAGAGACAAGAATATGGTATTACGAGGTTGCTAGACATACTGTTCACGAGAATGTATGTGATTGGACACTCTAAATAGATATATGTTGGACCAAGCCGAGTTGGACGCCTGTATACGCTTGTCGTGGGGAGGCTCCTCGTTGGAGCATTTCTCGTGCAACCCCAGAAATAGCGACTATCTGGAACATCGATTTGCATGAAATTGCCGTCGAGGAAACTTGATCAGAATGATGCACAAGACGCAGAACGAACAAAGAAATTGTGCCAAATCAAATATAATTGTTACGGATACTGCCCGTGTCCCGGAACAAGAGTTGACTTTTGTGCGCACCACAGAGTTCCCCATGAGGTCAGCTAATCAGCTACATTTCTGTATCTTTTGATTGAAGGTCACTCCAGGCGGGAGGCTGGATTCAATATCCAGCTGGCTCAGGTCTGCTTGGAATTGCAGGCTTGTCCAAGTTTCTCCTGCAATCTTTCTTCCAATTTAGCGGGGTGAACTTATCTACAATGCCTTTGAATGCTTCAAGGGTGCAGAAGGTCTGATCTCCATCAAGGTGCTTATTAGAAGTATTGCAGCCAGGGACAGTAAGAGGCTTTCCGTTGTACAATACGCGTACGTAGTAGCCATCTAGCTGTGTGCGCTCTGACGGGTATAATGAATCCACTCTCCTTCGGCCTATCTTTGGAGGGGATTCTCTATCGGCTGGTTTCTGGTCCAGGACTCTGTCTTGTTGACTAGCCTGGTGATGTCTGTCATCGATTTTGAGACGTTGTGCTGATGCAGCTGGGAGTGCTCCGTCGTTCACCACCCACTTTTCCTCGACATATTCTTCGGACTCTCTGAATAATTCGAGAGTAACATAACTCGTGAATTGCGGCCAAGTTTCAAGTTTGAGAGCACCAAGACTTGTTAGAATGGCCGCGAGCGTAGAATCGTGGCAGCCGCTCAAAGCCAGCATGGTGGTTGCTTTCGAACGGTTGATGCTTGAAGTAGTTCCTACCAAATAGCTTTCTTGGGACTCCCTTTCTTTGCCAGCTCCCTCGACGCTCAAGATCTTCGCGAAACAAAGTCCCCTAAGAGAGCACCGATCCCAAGAGCTCGGTATTCCTGAGATTCACCATAACCACTAAACCATTCTTCTAGCACCGCTCGATTCATTATAGCCATGCCTCTGCTGTCATAAAACTCATCAGGCAGTCTTGTTCCAGATCCATGAGCATTAGTCGCATTTATGGTGTCCAAAATCCCAGACAAACGTGGTTGCGAGTCCAAAGCAACTCTCTGATTTTCTGCCATGAATTTGCCGATCAAACGATGGATGTATTCCATCTCTGTCGATGTATTCCACTTCTCGGCACTTCTGCGAGAAAATGCCTGAGCTAGTTGCGCGAACCTCTTACAATAGCCATTGTTCTGGTTAAGCGTTTCTTCGGATGGTGCACGGAGAATTATTGCAGGAGTCGGAAAGCGTTCCGATCGAAAATCCGGAGGATACAAAGCCCCAAATGCTTCTTGTAAGGACTCGATAGCCCGAGGTATGCGAGTTGCTCGCAGATATATCGTATCTGGATCGTTGACTGTAGGAGGCAGAAATTGCAATTGATCCACGTACAATCTTCGAAGATGCGCACCTAGTGCTCTGATGCTCCTCCTCCCCGGATCTGTCAGCTCTCCCAAATCACAGATTCCTTCGATCGCTCCTTGAGAATCTGATGCGAGCACAGGATCATCGTCAGAGCCAAATGTCTCAAGATGTCGCCTCCAATGTGAAGTGCTCCAGCTGGGAGTTTTGGAAGTCGTCACGGCGCTGACTAGGTGCTTCACAGCGGAGCAATACGGCCAAAAAGCAGGCAAACCTGTGTTCTCAAAGCGAGCCGAGGTAGGGGTACGCTCGCCATGGCGTAAGAAAACTTGAACTTGATGTAGCTTCAGATTGCTAGGGTATAGGTTTTGTAATCTTGAGTCGAAATAGGACATGGAAGGTGGGGACTGAGCCATGACAGTTTGATGGTGGGTGGTATGGGTAAACGATGTTGTTACTTGTACCGCTTCGAGCTTAGCCTGTTGGATTGATCGAGTCAGCAAAGTAAAACTTCGGTTGTCTTCACCACCTCCCTTCAATATTTGTCCGTGTTGCTGTCTCTGTGATCTGAACTCTTCCACTTGAATTACTTGAGTCCCAATATATGTAGCTGTCCCCGAAAACCGTCCTAAATGTGTTACGCTGGGGCTGCACGATGACCGAAGAACAGCCACCAATATTCGACGCAAGCGGATAACATTACCCTAGGGTAGCGTAGATTCTTGAAAGAGCTCTATGCTGTTAGAAAAGCTATGGAATTCGATATCGTAGCAGACAAAGAAGTCTTCGGCGATTTGTATGTGAGCGCAGCCATGATGGGCGTTGGCTTTCAGTGAGTGTTTTCGGAACCAGTTATACGTAGCGGACTACGATCGATATGAACGGCTAGCTAAGGAGCATAAAGAGAACACTTGATTTTATTGGTATAATGATACATGTACTGAGATTAATTCATCATGTTGTTTGTGTGTAGAGTAATGTCAATATAGCAAAGTCTTCCTTGATCTTCAACCAACATTCCACCATATTGTATGTTTGTTGAAAGTGGACTTTATTTAGCGTTCCCGACTTATCAATTATCCATTTCAAAGAATTTGAGACAAGAAAAGATCTAGCTGCAGCTTGCTTATCCGACATTACTTCGCTGATCACTGGTGATTCCAACTTCTGCATCAGCGACCAACCTAAAGAGTTAATTCCCTTTGCTATCCTGGATCGACCCGCCCATGGCTTGAAGCGAGTGTCTTCCTGCCTAGATACAGTACTCATGAACCCTATTGACGTAAAAGGATGCATCATTCGAGCGGAGTGTTGAGCATCGAGACCATTGGGAGACAAAACAGGATTGACGCGGACAAAAGATTTTGTGGAAACCAGACGCCAAGCAGTAACATCCCGATGCTTGCATTATGTTCGTGGAGACTAGAGGTCTCGGCATTCAAGGAGCATTTGCCATATACCAGGAGTATTGTGGCAAGATTCATTCCTACATCCAGCCAAGACTGCTGGTCTAATTGGCAAAAGCTACTGCTATGTCTCCAGCTGAAGGAGAAAAGCCTCGAAGCTAGCACCTGCAAGACACCAAGAGCTGAGGGATCGCAAGAGGCAGCTTGTCTCTTTTTGTCTCCTTCCTAGGCTTTCAATTTTCTCCTTTCTACTGATGTCTTGACAGGATCAAATTGGTGGATTTATCAGAGTTTGAAAATGCAATACTTCGGCAGAAATTGAAGCAGTAATGAATCACAAGAATGCTCCACCGTGGTTGTCAACCTCTTCAGATCACACTAAACCAGCCAAACTTGCTACAGAGCTGTCCCAAAATACTATTAACACGATTTACGTTCAGCAAGACGGAATACTTGACTCTTGGTTGGACGTGAAGCCCCCTCCTCTCCACGCTCCACTGTACGGATACATCCTCCCGCCGATCCACCCTTTCTATCATGTCCAATCAAGCGAATTGGTCTTACAATAGTGCTGGTTTATACCCATTTCTATGTTTCAAGTAACCACAAGATATTTTTGTACCAATGCAGCGGCTTCTGGTGATCCTTGCAATGCACCTGCGCGTGAGCGAAAATACGTCATCCGAAAGTTGGGATAACCTTCACCAGTGAATTAACAAAATCTAGACAAGACTTCTGGCCTGCTTGGCCGGTTGCCGAGGGCGCTCTGTGGTCGAGCTGCTGAGAATGTTTCAGTCAGTCTATGGCCAACCAGAGTCCTGTTTGACAACAGAGAACAGACCTTAGTGAGGCGAGACTTCCTTTCGGAGGATGCATATCCCCGTAGATATTTGTGACATTGCCAATGGCATTGCTGATACGACGGTAGACGGTATCAATCTGAAAAAAAGACTGATTCACGGCGATGATTTTGCATCGAACCTCTTCGAGACCAAAAGGAGGAAAGGGGGGAGGAGGTCGGGGTGAGATCGTCGGCTGTCGAACAAGCCGTGTTATATGAACGTCATCAGAAGTCTTCTCGACCCAAAATTAGGAATTGCTCTCGGCATATCAGATCTCTTGTAAGGCATGGCTCCTGGCTGGCACGAGTGCAATGCATAGAAAGGTGCTTGGTCGTGTGCTCAGTTGCTTGTTCTCGCTTGGCCGCGCGAATACCTGCTTCCATAAACACCCCCTGTCGATCCCAGGGCCAGAGACGAGTCGCTCGCAGCGTGCTGCTGACCCTGCCTGGCTGCACTCTTCGACTGCACTTGCTGGTGTAAACAAATATTAACGATTGGCAGGGACTGAGATCCTGTCCCTTGGGCCCTGTCGTGTTAAAATCCCCGAATACCAAGACTCTCGGCTGTCTCATCCTGAACACAAAACCGCCCAGAATATTGGCATTGTCCCATCCCCATGCTACACACCGACGATGGTGGATCTCTCCACTCCATCAACCCAGCGCGTTCGTGATAGCATACGGAACTCTGTTTACCATCTGTGCAGTTTCATGCGTCAATCGCTGTGACATCCACTTGACAGTTCCATCTAGTTGCTTGGCCAAACTTAGCTATTCTCGCCTCCCCGGCGGCTAGCTACTTTGTTCTCAAGTACATTTCGCCCGTAACCTATCCTGTCTCGTACTTTCTTGTCTTTCTTGACCCTTTTCTGTTCTCTTTACAGCTTTCGAGAATGATTGCTTTCTAACCAAGCTGGTCTTCGCGATTATCTTTCTTTGTCACTGGCAGTGCCAATTTCATCCGTTCTTTTCAACTGTTCAATTTATTTCAGCCTACCACAGGAGCTGGATTCCTCTTTTAATATAATCAACAAGATGTCTACAGATAGGTTTACGTTCCCAGTGAGGGACCCTGAGAGGATTATGAGGAGGAGAAGGCGACAGGCTCTTCGTCGTCAAGCACCGGCACCCACTTCACCAGAGTCGGACAGCATATCGGATGGAGTATCAGATGGAATCGAGTCAGAGAGTAGTGACGACGAATCTTCAACCAATACTCCAAGCCAGGCACAGACTGAACCACCTCCACCTCCAGCTTCATCAATTTCTTCACCTCCTGCTATCCCTACGCTGGTCAGTTCAGAGTCTCCCCTGTTTCGTGCTCCGCACTCACCCATTCGTAGACAGCCATTCTGCCACCCGCGCAAGCGACATTGTTGACAACCTCATCATCTGGCCGTGCTATTACAACACTTGTAAGTCAGACGAACTTCAATTTCACCTGTTTTGTGCTAATTCTAAACAGACAGCAATCCTTCCACCAGCGCAGGCCACACTTTTAACGAGCAAAAGCATTACTACATCAACATCAGTATCTCAACCACCAGTGGATCTAAATACCTCGATCCAGGGCAACAGAAATCAGCCTCCATCTCCATCTTCCGTTCTGGTATCTTCTTCGGCAATAGAAACTCCCAACACAGTTATCGCAACGTCAACCGTGAATCCTCAACCAAATGCTGGCTTAACATCAACATTGATGGTGTCGACAACTGCAACAACCTTCATCTCATCATCTGTATCTGCATCAGCGACAACCAAGGCTCCAACTCCAGCAAACGCTTTGGGGGAGACCAGTGATGTACCAACAACCGGGACGCCTTCAAGGGACAAGGGACTCTCAAAAGGCGTTGAAACTGTGATTATAGTTATCTCTGTTGGAGGTACGCACCTAAGTTCACAGTGCAACGTTCCGAGACATACTGACTACTATTCTAGCCGTCTTTGCTGTCCTCGTATATGTAGGGCTAATGCTATATCGAAAAGCTCGCCAACGAAAGCTTGAAAACAAAACCGGTTTCACCAATGGTACCCGATCAATCTGGGGAGGCAGTGACCACAGCTCCTCGTCAGGTGGTGCCCCTCAAGCCCCTCAAATGGCCTCAATGCCGTCGAATGGTCCTCTGCCTACCTATATCCCACCAGCAGCCAGGCAACAGGCCCCACCACCAGAAGAGAACCCATTCGCCGACCCTGACCCAGATCCAAGGCGCTCAGCACTTACTAACAATGCCGTAGACCGGCAGGAACGTCTTGGGCGAGTTCGGGCTGATCTACTCGCCCCACGAGAGTTGACAGGTGGTCTCATGCGTTCTACAACACAACGGGATCCCAACATGCCAGAGGCCAACCGAGGCCATATTAGAAATGCAAGTGGGAACAACATCGATAGCAATGCAACAGCAAGCTCTGGAGTATTTCCTTCGAACAGTGGGAACACTGCTTGGCCCGCAGGAAGGGTAGATGAAAGTAGCATGCCCCCGAACCAGAGATTAGATATAGAAGCCGGAGGTCAATGGGACGATTCCGTGACGGTGGCAAGGTACTCTCGAGCTGACACAGAGAGATCCATGCCGCATTACCGCACGCCAAGTCAGTGGGTATCGGATCAAGCCAAGAGGAACCAAGGTATGACCAGGCTGCCTGGGTGATGATCAAAAGATCGAATATGATGGGAGGTTCCCTTTTAAGGAGTGAGAGATTCGGACAATCATACGTCAATACCCAAAATGCTTATGCGCTGTATTTATCATGGGGCCAGTACACTCTTTTAATTTACTTGTGGTCTTATGTATCTATTCCGGACGCTTTTTGTTGCTTAATACCAGACCAACTTGTTGATCTTGATATGTAAATGAAATTTCATTGGTTTCTGATTGTGACTCTGGCATGGGGAAGCAATGGAATGCATTTAGATTAAGAGGAGAGCTTCAACCAATGCCTTGAAAGAGGTCTGTTTTCAAAGGGCAGGTGCGCTATGCTATATTTTGTTGGGGACGTTGAATCTGGACCCGGAGTTCAAAACTTTCATTTACTGAGTAGGTAGAAGTCCAAAAAGGGAGGGAGAATGCCAGTGAAACACAGTGTGAGGGAAGTGACCTTTTTATTTTCGGATTTCCTGGGTTTTTCTGGGTTTTCACGGTCGACTTGAATCTGAGCTGCCTGACTCTACAAATCAAGTCAAATTCGCTCCAATGTTGCAAATCGTTCCGTCCTATCCTTTTTCTTCAGTCATTACTCAGTTGGCGGTGCCTCTTTGCTCTCAACCTTGCTTGAGATACACGTTCCTCCTTTGAAGATTGACACCTCTCCTGAAAAATGCGACCACCTTCCTCATTCACAAGCAATAACAGCACTGTCGAACAAACTTTTGTCAAAGAACCCCTCAACATCATCTCCACTTCTTGAATACAACAATCATCCACAGCAAGTCAGGTCTGGTTTGCCCTCTCTTCACGAGAATCTCGAGCTTAACAATCCTGGGCATGAAGTACCAGCAACAGGGAGGAGAGTATCTTCTCCTCCCACCTATGCACTCGCAAAAATCAGGGAGCACTCATGAATATTCTCATCTTGTGCTCAAATAGAACCTCAAGTACACAGCAATAACGACTTCAAGAATTGTCTACTCTCTTGGAAAGTAGAGCTTTGTCCAAGTCACAAGCAATACATACATAGCAAATGGTGCCTTTGAGGCATCTTGCGAAGCGCATTCAGCGCAAGTGGTTGAGTGCCATTCAAGAAGCCCTCATCTTGGTATGAAATCTGCATCTTGCAAACAGAGAACAGTAACAATCGGGCCTCCTTTGTCATATCTGGTCCAGCAATGAAATCAAGCTGAGCTGACAGTATGTCAACTATACAAACGTAACGAGCCCACATCTCTTTCCTTATTGGCAACCAAACGCAACAAGCATGCATGGAATTCCCATTTTCAAAGAGCCCTCTACCCACTCTCGAGGCATTGGACCTACAACAAAGTACTTTGAAACCAAACGGCATACCATGTCTGAATTCTTACACCAAAGGTCTGGGTTTGTCATGTGCTTTAGCAATTTTGCGACATCCTGATGGAACCAGCAAGTCTTTTCCACCCATCAACATGTCTTACGGCAAAGTCCGAAGGGCTCCAGAGGATATGAGCAATAGGAGGCTGGCACCCGCTGAAGGAAAAATCACGCTTCTTCGTCATTTGTATGCGAAATCATCTCGACTGGCTAGCGAGCGGCACCACTAAAGGAATAATCCACTGGGATACGAAATGTATTTGTAAATAATCTACCTGCCCTCTACAATATCTCTACAATGAAGAGTCCAGGGTTTGGGCAGCTAAACAGAGCATAGTCTCGCTGCGAAAATGTCCCGTCCAACAGAGTTACTTCTTACACCCAAACGCTCGACGCTCGACGGTCGAAGGATCTACCCTCTTTTTGTAAATTATTTTTCGAATAAGATTAAACCTTGAGACAAGAAGGCGTCCACAGTTTTGACGTCTTAACAATGAGAGACAGACTCTGCTTTGTCTCTGTCAATGGAGTGTACTTGATCCGTCGAAGACGTCAGCGACCAAAAGGCTATGACGGCGCGGCAAGAGCGTCGTACTGTTCAAATAGCTATGCTTTGATTCTATTTGAATCCTCTTTCTGCCCTTGTGCGAACATTCACAGCAGCAAGCTGTGCTCTGCCACAGAAGATCTTGGTTCTGCATGGCTACTTACCACTTTTTCCACTCAAGACTCCGACTCAATCAACTTCGATTACACGTTACTTAGAGTTCCATGGTTTTACCTCTACCTCCTGGGCACTTGAGGTTCACGGCCACTTCTTCTCCCTTGTGCCATTTGGGACGGGGCTGTGAAAGACGATATTCATTATTTGGCGGTCGTCAAGCAGTAGATACGAGGAGTGGATACGAGGAGCGGCATGGCTGAAGATGGCCATCTGAGTTCAGCTGAGTGACATCTGAAGTCCATACCAAATCGGACAGATTCGCACTGAAGAAGACAATTACTGTGCTGTGTTAGCAGTGTTTGTGTCCAACCATTCGAGTTTGTGTTGAGATCAACCAGTACATGATTTTCTTGGTCTTTCCGCTCCTCACACACAGGCAAGCACTAGGATCCGACTACCTCATATCTAGTCAGAGGGGCGTCGAATCAGAAGCTGTTTGCCATCGTTTTTTAGGGTTGCTTCTGATTTTTGGTGTTCCTCAAGATAAGATATGGGATCGCTAACACTTTGAGCTAACGATTTAGCGTGACTGGCAAGCTAGCGCCCGCTTTTGAATCAGCCCTACAACATCATTGATGCTGCTACAATACAACCTGGGAGGCATTTTCAAGGTTGGAGCCACAACGTAGAAAAGAACTTTTGCTGGGAAGTATTACTCGTTAGAATGCAGTCATTCAAACGGTGCAAACATGAAGCAAAATTATGGCGTGGCTGTTGTGCGATGCCAGGTCAGGCGAAGGAGTAGAGTGCTTTAAGCGATGTTGACGAGCTTCATCAACATCAACAACCTGAACCACTAGGCCCACTCGGATATTCAAAACAATTGCTATTAACGCGTATTGACTTTGTAAAGCTCACATTTGTATTCACCTCCAAAGTTGCGCAAGCATTGCTTCGCGCAACTCCACACCTTCAGATCTGCCTGCTTGCGATCTTACTCTCTTCTTTCTCAATCATTGATAACACGTCGCGACCGGTGATGGTCCACTCCTAAACCCGTACGCCAGTCGCCATCTAGACAATGGGGTTTGTCAGACCTCTACCTTCGATGAGGTGTGAAGATGGCCGCCTCTTTCGGCCTCTCTCAAATACTGCCTGGGGGAGGGATCATTGTTGCACCCGCGACAGAAATATTGAGTCCTGGCGGGCTGGCCATCGGATTCGAGTCCGTCTCCGCAAAGCAGCTTATCTAAATCGACTTCGACGGGAGTTTGAGCTTTCGAAGACAAGAGACCGTGAAAGTAAGTAATTACATCCTCACTTGTTGAGCTGTGGAGCGAATTTGTCTAACAGCTACAGCTAAACCACCCTGTGAGAGCAGTATTCCTCTTGCAGACGAACGACTGCGCTGGCAGAGAGGTGAGCACAAAGTAGAACAGAACATAACTATCAAGTGTAAGTCTGCGACATGAGGTCAAAGGATCTTCTGACTAACAACAAACAATAGCTCGCGCTGTAATCAGAAAAGAGCGGTTTCTTGAGAGAATAGCTAGTTTCGAAAGAACCCCACGATTGAGATATTTTCGAGAACTTCTGAGACCATGCAATAGCAGGTATGAATTACAACCGTTATTGCAGAACCTCAGCACGGTACAGTTCGACAGTCGCGGAAAAAGTATTCGCCTACCTCGGACAACTCCTCGAAACGTTTTGAAGAGGAGACCGCGTAAAATATTCTCCTTGTCCAAGGAGATGTTCAGCGGTTTTCTTCCCCACTTATCGAGAGGTTGGGATCAAGTAGATGTCCAACCTATTGACAGCGTTTTCGACAGTTCCGAAAAGCCTTTGTTTGGAAATTTTGCTCCAGTACCAAAGAACGGAGCGAAAGGCAGACCCAATAGAAGATCGTGCAAACTTTCCAACGCGTTGAATTATCGTCGTTTTGGTAAGAAACTGGTTTCGCTTGCCAAAACTGCTATGCATCTTCCAGATTCAACATGGCGAGATGCCCGAGCCGTTTTAAGGAGATGCAAGTTAAAACTCCTTCACAAGGCGAATTCTACAATCGTACAGCAGCATGTTCGCCACCGTGTTACTCAGTACTTCCAACACGAGTTCGACCTGGGAGTTCAGGTGTTTTGTCACGACAGGAGCTTTCCGGAGGAAATCCAGGGTCGGAAGTACGCCTTTGCTAGGCTACAAGGAGTGATTGGAAACGATCCCGCCCCTATGCCGGATCTCGCACATGAGTCGCAGATCGGCCCGTGGTATAAAGAATTGGAGCGACAGAACCTTGAAGCTCGGGTGAGAGGGACCAACACACTTGATCTTGATGTGCGACGAAAAGCTGGCTACCTCTGGAATCATTCCGAGAGAGTCCATAATGCTATAGCAGACACTTGTCCCCCGTTTGCGGAGCCAATCGAAGTCTCAAATCAGATTGATCCGGCAGAACATCCTTCCTCGGGTCCTGTAGGAACACTTAGACGCTGCGATCAAGCAGACCTCAACGCTTGGAAAGAGGACAATGGATATAGCTCTGGTGAGGAGTCTCCACGGTCCAAAGCTCCGAGAGTAGAAGATTGGGGTGACCACCACATCAAGTCAAGCTCAACAGCCAGCGGCAGTCAGCACCAAACAACAATATCCGAACTCCTGTTACAACATCTCTCGGTTGAAAGTAAGCTCCGTGAGCTCCATGAGCTCGAAGACAAACATAAAGTTGAGTTACGCGAGGAGATTGCAGTGATTGGATCTGGCGTCCTTGCGCAAGATGAGTTTCAGGCGACTCATTCTTCAAGCACTTCTGAGAGCAACTCTGAGAGACACAGCCAAGAGACTCCTCGAGATACAGTAATTACGGAAGCCATAAAAGATCCAGAAATTGAAGAGACTGGCGCTGATCATAGGATTTTCGACAAAGGACGGGTGGCTAGCGAAAAACTCCATGACCAAGACGATGTTCATGGAACCAACTCTCATCATCATCCAGAAGCAGCCATTAGCCATCTTGTTGAACCCATCACGGCTCTTCGCCGACCTGAATTCCTTGGGACCTCAGAGGAGGAGATGCTGGTACGAAAAGATCTACAGCGCCTCAATAAAAGGGCCATACAGGGTTACGAAGCGTTTGCAAGGAAGGATAGTATTGCTATGTCCAAGCAAGGTATTTCTTACTCGGATTACGTTGCGAAGTTAAACTGATTCAATTTCGTCCAGTGTTCATGGCATTCGACCTCAATAATAATCCAGATTTCACTATAGGTCCGCCTAGGAGGAGGAGATTTAAGACCAATACAATCGGCGGTATGCAAGGACGTGCTGCTACAATTTCCGAGCAGCGCCAAAATGTAAGCAAGCAGGATGCCGTTCAGATGCCTGTGAGTCCTATTGGTTCCCGGGCGACGTCTGGAGCTGGATCAAAATAGCCAAAACTGACAGTTGGCGCTAGTTTCATGGAAATCTTCAGGCCAATACTCGTTATCCAGCGTTGGTAAGTTGTGTCCAGGTCAGTGTGGGAAAAGGACTTGCACATACTGACGTGTCTGTCGTGCAGTGTGGTGAACCGAATGATCCGGATCCCAAAGCCAAGACTAAAGGACTCAAGGAACTTCGACTTCTGAGCCAGCGGGTTTGTTCACCAAATCGAGACCACCGCTCGTTCTCGGTGCCTCCTGTTGCTGGCAATAATGGATCAGATGATCAAGCACAATATGGACACGGCCTCGGGCTGGTTGCTGACAATCGAGCTCCGGACAAGCTTGATGAGCATCTCCTGCGCGGCAAGAAGTACTGTCCACGTGTATCCAGACTGCAATATCGACCTCCGGTGCTGCCAGTGTTGCCAACACGAGAGCTTCTGCTTGGTCGCGCTCGCGCAGAGCGGCTTGAGCTGGGACTTTATCACGATGAGAAGAAAGAGATTGAAAAGCAACTTTTGTCGCAGGATCAGGAGCAAGAGCAGTCGTCTGGCGATGCACGTACAAGTGTTGTTGACGAGGGTGCAAGTGTAGGTGCAGGTGTAGGTGTAGGTGGTCAACCGCGATCTCGATGTCGTCGGACTCGCTTTGGCATGGGCGCTACTCTGCAGCCACTTCGGTTAAAGACCCTGACTGAGCCTAGATCGGGCGAGGGACAGGGAGAGGGAGAGGGACCAATGCCAGGGCGGCTCGGGCGGCCAGCCTCAGGGTCCCTTCCGGCGCTTGGTCATGCAGGGGCAAGAGCAAGAGCAGAGGTAGCCGCGGGCGTGAAGGGGGCCAAGACCCCACATCCACGTGCCTCGAGAGACGAGGCTGGAGACACCAACAGCAAAAGCAGCAGCAGCAGCAGCAGCAGCAGCAGCAGCAACAACATCCAGAGACCGAGGGAGGACAACCACAAGAAGAAGCAGAAGAAGAAGCAGAAGCAGAAGAAGAACGAGAACGAGAACGAGAACGAGAAGGAGGGGAGTATCAGAGGTGACCAAGATCACACTCAGGACCGCATTCACGTTCACGTTCACGTTCACGTTCAACCCAAGGAGACCAGCACCGTCAGTCCACATCCACGTGCTCACGCTCGCACCCGCACTCGCGCTCGCGCTCGTGGTCCCAGATTCGTCGGTAGACCGTTGTTGTCGGTGTCGCGACCACCTCTACTTGGACCCCGCCCGCTGCCTCCTGTTCCTGCTCGTGTCCCCATCGCCTTCCGCTGTGTTCCCTCTCGGCCTCTACCACCTCTTCCGTTCTCGCCCCCCACGACTCCGGTTCCAATTCGCGTCCGGCCCTCATCTCTATTCTCCTCATTGGCAGCCTCACCCCTACCGCCATCTCCTCCGCCTTCTCCACGTCAATTGTCTCAGGATATCAGAGAGCCCGTGAACTCTTACGTCGCGGACTGTTCTGATCGAAAAAGCGCTCCAAGCCTCCCGCTGGGTCTGCATCCACTGCTCCAAGACGAGTCAGAGTTTATTTCTTCTCCCGCCTTGGACTTGACCGTTCGGGCTGTAACAGTAAGCACGCTCTTGGGAGTTTATCCACTTGTCCCAACCGATAAACACTACGTTCCTTCTCCTGCCCCGGATCCGTTTGAGAGGGCAGGTTCTCCTAGAGCGCCATTACCTTCGTCTGCACTCTTTGAAGAGTACAAAGACCTCAATTGTGTTGTCCCATTCGAACCAGCCGACACGACAACTACAATCACTCCTAGCGGGCCTGTTGAAACATTCCCTCCACGACCCCGTGCGGTGATTATCGGCAAATCACCAATCATGGAAAACAGACTCACAGTCCGGTCTCCAGAGGTCAGCGCCGTTCGTCTCAAGGCCATCGAAGATGCTCGTCAAATGCAGGCGAAGGTGGTCGAGGAATGCAACAGGTTGAAGAAAGAGCCACCTCCTTACGTGCTTGAGGAATTGATTGGAAAGGGAAGCTTTGGCCGTGTTTACAAGGCGTAAGTCAACTCTCAACTACCTCGATCTGTAGATGCACACATTTACTCATATCCTCGTTTCTAGGAAAAACATGGCATCCGCAGCTGTCGTTGCAGTCAAGATCATTGATATTGATGAGAGTGACACTATTAATCCGCGGAACGCAGACTCCTATAGCGAGTTTCTCAAAGAAGTTGCCGCTTTGAAGCTCTTGAGCGAGGCCAATGCGAAGAACATAAACTTAGTCATCGATGCGCTACCTGTCCTACAGGCGATGTGGATGATCACCGAGTATTGTGGTGGTGGAAGCGTGGCAACACTCGTGAGTACGATTACTGCGTCATGGCACACACTACTAATATCACAAAAGATGAAGCCTACCTCGCCCGGTGGGCTTCACGAGAAATGGATCATCCCCATCCTTCGTGAAGTCGCGGTAGCAATATCGTGGGTACATCAAGCCGGCATCATCCATCGTGATATCAAGTGTAAGTCATATCTCATGATCTCCTTGCTTGTTCGGTAGATGACCAATGTAAACAGGTGCGAATGTGTTGATCACCGAGCAAGGCGATGTGCAACTCTGTGATTTTGGTGTTGCAGGAGTCATTGAGAGCAAGCTCGACAAGAGATCTACTATTATTGGAACTCCTCATTGGATGGCTCCCGAACTCTTTGGATCTTCTCCAAGCTATGGAAGTGAGATTGACATATGGGCATTTGGATCCATGGTATTCGAAGTCGCAACTGGCTATCCTCCCAACGTTGCAAATGGAGTAACTTATGAGCGGCTTGGCAGTCACCTACAGACCTATACACCCAGACTTGAAGGTGGCGAATTCTCAGACAAGCTAAGAAGCCTTGTTGCATACTGCCTTGAAGAAGACCCAAAGGCGCGTCCTACCATCGATCAGGTCCAAAAACACCCATACATCGCAAACACAAGCTCCTCGCATCCGACGTCAACACTAAAGGCACTCGTTGGGTCTTTCAAAGTTTGGGAATCGCGAGGTGGCAGCCGGAAGTCTTTGTTCATGGCACATGGTGCACAAGGATCTACTCCAGCTTCTGCTTCACAGGATGACGAGTGGAATTTCAATGGGACTGAATACTTCGCAGACAATGTTTGGGGCCAATACGGGGTCAAAGATGTCATTGAAGCATACGGACCTCAGGTTGTTGGTTACGTGGATGAGACCACTCGTCCTCCCCCAAAGGTTTCACGGCGAAGACCACCACCACAGGCCCTGTCACGCCTTCCGGTCGCACCTTTGGAGAAGATCTTCGATCCAAACACGCTGTCTAATTATGATGACAACAGTAAGGCACATTATGGCCGAAATATGATGATGGAGCCGAGAGAGTCGGGCTCATCTGACCGCTCAGATCTGCCCTTGCGTGATGATTCAGCGCAAATCTCAATCCGTGATACCATGATAGATCTTGGAGGTCACGATCCAGAAACCGGCCTTTCGAGCTTCCCTGATATGGATACGATTAGGGCTGGGCGACGTGGACGCGAGGAGATCGAGGACGAATACAACCAGACTCTGCATGATTTTAGTAGGCCAGCGCTAAGCGACCCTGCAGAAACAAACAACAATCGGCGAACACAAGATTGGAAGTTCCCTTCCATGGCTGCTCCAGCATCCGCAGAGCCCGAGGTATCTCGATTTCCCACTACGTACGAAGTTCCCAGGCCCTTAATGACACCCGGATCCGGTGGACGTCCCGCGCTGATTCACCATCCAACTGAACCCCTTGGAGCTTTTGGTGGCGGCCTTGGCCCAGTACAGCCCACATTGGAGAGATTATCTATGCGGGAGTCTCTCATTGATCTAGACATGAGTATGCCGGATTCGGTACCAGAGTTCCGTCGCCCATCGACTGCAAATTCAGATGTTGGTTCTGCTACAAGCGAGCAGATGACATCTGGAAATCCTTTCGAGCTCGAGAAGCATGCATCACTGTATCAGCCGGTCCCAGTTGAAGTGGGTAGGGAGCCTTCGATCTACGTCTCGGACGAGACCGCGATGCCCCCACGTCTACGTAATGGAAACGCGTTTCAAGAGCTTGCCGAAATGTCAGACTTTTCTGCATCTGATGCCGAAGGTCCAAATGGTCGCAGTCGCCACGACAGAAATCTGTCGTATGAAGATTCTGATGACAGCTATTACGTCGTTAATCCAGGGCCAAGTGAAACACGAGAGAACCGTAACCGGATTCCGCAATACGATGGAGCAGATGACAGAGACTATCTATCGATCCCACCGCCCCCAGTTCCCCCAACAGAAGAACTTCCGCTTCCAGGGTCTGACTCATTCCCTATACCGAGATTTCCCGATCTACCACCACATCCGTCGCGGTCATCACTGACTGGCACTGCTTCTCAGAGTGAGATGACAATGGAGATTACTAGAATTGTAGCCGCTATGAATTCGCAATTGGAGACTTTCAAGGACGTCTATGATTCGAACGATGTCATTCAACGACACAATTCAAACCGGAAACTTGACCGTCGCGAAGCTTCTCAATGACGCAGAGCGGTCAAGTGATTGATGATTGGGGAGTGAATGGAGGCGATTTTTCGTGTTAGCTACCACGAGGTCATTCAGTTGATGGCGGGGACAGCAATTATGGAACCATGGTGCTATGTCTGTTCCAGCCTACCATGAGGTCATTGAATTGATGGCATGAACATACAGCAAGAACGGCAGGAAACTTCCCTTCTATATGTCTAAGTTTAAGTATAATATGTTATAATACGACACGATACGATACTGCACTGCTGCGGCATTGCACTCTCTGAATTAAGAAAGAGGCGTCTTTATGGACATTTTGCAAGGGTTCATAGCGATGGGTTTTAATGCTTTGATCTTTTACAGGGAGGATAACAAGGATGCCGTTGCAGTTTTGCAAGAGTAAATTTGTTTTTTAATGCATTACATCGGAAATGGAAGAAATGAAATGGGATGACATGGGATGAAATGGGAGGCATGGGAGGAGTTAAATGACTTTGATGATACTGACAGTGAGCGAAATACACCATTTGAAATTGATATGCTTGCTATGTGACTGTGCCATGGGAGAATGGAGTGTTTTGATTGTGCTTTTCTAGATCATTAATGTTCATTCTACTTGCAGCGTGTAATTTATAAGTATGAAGGGAAGAAGTTTGACACTTTATGTGCGCGGCTCAACCCGTCTCCTTTCTCGACCACACATTGTTGAGGCCTTTCTGCACTTTTACACTGACAAAAGGATTTGTATTCAAGACCTCGAATCCCAAACACAATTGATCAACCTCGAAAGCTAGCCATGTCGCCTAGAAGTAGTGCCTGATACTTCTCCACATTCTCCCTAATCCTCACCAACACCCCTGCAGCCAGCATCCTAGCCCTCTCGTCCTCCTCACTCCCACCAGCCCCTAGTCTCCCAAACACACCCTCAACCCACTCCTGCGTCTCCAACATCTGCCGCCCAAACCCCTCCACTAATCCCCTTTTATCTCCATTGACCTCCAGTATCGACAGGAAACTGAACAGTAGCGCTTCAAGCACCATCACGTCTCCTACCGCTTGTGCTCGCAGCCCCAGACATAAATCCCAGAACTCACTTGTCATTTGCGGGAGTGACAGCGTGTTTGGCCCTGAAGCATGGAGAAGTAAAGAAAGAGTCTTGAGGAATAGCGACAATAGGTAAGGATGGAACGTTATATTTGCTGTTGAGGAAGCTCCAAACGTTTTGAGGTGTAAGGAGAAGCGACCTGTGAGCGGGAAGAAGAATCCAGTCGAGACGATCTGGGCGAGTGCGTTGGTGGTGGGTTTCTTACGAGAGGCTTCGACGGCCATGCGGCTGGAGAAGGTGCGGATTTTGAGGATGGAGGGACCGGTTAGCTTATCCGCGAGGGAGGTGGCAATTGGGGCGATCATGGTGTTGGAGAGGTTTGTAGTGAGGGTGTCGAGGGCGGAGATGGGTGTTGACTTCAGTGATTTCTTGGGCTCTGCCGTTCGAGGGGTGTAGTGCGTGTGGATGTGTGGTGGGAGAGTTTTGCTGGGGAACGAAGGATTGGCTGTTGATGGGAGGTTCTTCATCTTTGTGAGAGACTCGTCTTCGCTGCCAAAGCCGCCCAATTCTCTCGCACCCAGTCCCAAAGTCGTAAGGACTGACGCTCGTTGAGAGATGGAGTAGTCGCCGTCGAAGAAGGTTTTCGAGAACCACTGTCCCATTTTCAAGGGTAGAGCGATCAGAACAGCGATCATGCCTTGGATTCGCATATCTTGGAAATTGTCGATCTCGTATTTGTCTTGAAGGCCAACTAGCAGCGCTGCAAGTTCCTCAGCGTGAGCGCTGACTTCGGTACCAAAGTTAGCTTTTCGTCGGATTAGTGGTGCAGCTGTTGTCAAGGCGAGCTTTTGACGGTCGTAGTTTTCCGTATCTCGCAGGTAGGTGATGAGATCGCGAATATAGACCGGAGCTGTGGGTTTATTGCGGGTGATCAACGTTGCGTCTTCATCGGAGTCTTCAGCGTCGGAGTCAGGTTTCGCGTATGGAGTGAGATCATCATCATCTGATCCTTCCTCCTCAGAGTCGTCAATTTCTTCGATGGCTATGATTTTTGAGCCCGTCGGTACCGGGACCCTCTTTACTTGTTGAGTGAATCTTTGTGGCTGTCTCTTGAATACCTTCGCTACTGCTCCAGTCTTGAATGGGTCAAGAGATCCAACGCTGTCGAATATATTGACTAGGCTTTTGTACCAGTTTGCTTCATCTGTGCTCATCTCATCGACTTTGAAGTCCATTTTCTTGTCTCCTTTGTCAACTAAACCGGAAAGAGCCTCTCCGACACACATACCGAGGAAACGCGCTCTGGGAGATGAAGCGGCAAGTCGGTTTGAAACCACACCCAGGTGACTTCCAGATCTCATCATCATCGTAAGACGAAGTGGGGCTTTCCGGTGGACATAGCCCGCCGCAAGGAGTAGGACTTGTGCATGTACTTTGTAGAAGGTAAGCTTGCAGACGTAGTCATGGTGATTTTGGAAGACTTACCTTCTTGCTGTAACGTGGGAGTGTGCCTGATGTACAACTGGTCCCCAAATTGCGCCAGGCTTTTTTCCAGAATAGCCTCAATATCGGATTTTCCCACAGAAAGTGACATAATTACAGCTCTTCGGATTGCAATACCATCCCCAACGCCAGCTCCGGATGAGTTGGTCAACCAGGATATGAGCAAGTTTTTGCGAGACTCATTCTCGGCAACCACGAGACTTATGAGGCGCGCAGCTGCAGCGACAACTGATGCATCCGACTTCCACCATTGAGGATCCGCTTCGGTCGTTACTGGAGAAGACAAGAAGTCTCTAGAGACTATTTTGAGAAGGGAGTAAAGGAAGTTTCGTTGCTCAAAGTTTGGCAAACATCCAACAAGCTTTAGAAACTGAGGCTTGTACTCTTTCTCTTGAAGAAGTAAAGAGGACAGAAGTTCCTTCATGATGCTGTCTGTGATCTGATTAGTGTAGCTTTGTAGCGCATGCAGAACACATGTTACCTGTATGTCCAAGACGAAATGACTTGCTGAGAAGCTCAGCACAACTTTGCCAAGCATCTTCAGAATCGATCGGGAGATTCTTCGCCCAGTACGTAATGTTCTGGGACAGCCAGCGGCTATACAGAGTTCCATGGGCTACCCAATGTTTCTCTCCAATCTTCTCGCTAAGATCATTGATTACATCTTCTGATTCTGCAGCAGTCCCTAATATCTTGCCGCCAGCTGCCAGCCCCAAGAACTCATTCCAGACACCCTTCTGCTTTGGCTGATCTGGCGTGGCGCAGATAGTCTTCCATATTACACTTACTGTCTTGACTCCTCCTAGGATTGCTTCTAAAAGTTGCAAATTGATGGCCAAGATATCTCGAATCTTTGGCCCGCCTATGCTTTTCTTGAGTTCTTTTGACTTTTGGATATGCTGCTTGAGACTCAGCAGGATTGCATTCAAAGCCGTGACACTTCGAAGACACGAAAGTAGAATTTCGAGGTCTGATGAGATATGCCAGTGCTTTCCAGCCTTCCCTTTCTTGCCATTTGAGGATTCTTGCAGTACAGGCCAGTAGTTGGGAACTGTGTCTGACACTAAGGTATGGACTAATTGCGCTGCAAGAGGGCTAGGTAAAGTGATATCGAAATCTTGGCTATTCTTCCCGATGAATTTTAGAACAAAAATCAGAGTGCCATAATCTGGTTCATTCCGCAGTATCTCCAGGGCTTCTGCAGGTGTTAATGCAGTCTGGAACCAGGATTTCGATCTGGGTTCTGGTGCCTTGACAACTTCGACGAGAGCATCTTCGTTTGGTTTATTTTCATCTTTGTAAGAAGTACTCACGGGAGTGAGCAAGCCTTCCATATCGACATGAGGAATCCTGTAACGTATTTCTCTTTCGAAAATGTTCGCCGGCGACCTTTTGGATGGTCATAGAGTAAGTGAAGAAGCAGATGAAAGGAGGATTGATGAAGCGAGCGAGGTGGCTAGTGGCGCTACTGTAGTCGGATAAGCGATAAGAACGCCACCTTCAGCATCCCCAAGTCAACAAAGTCCCACCTTCAATTGTCTTCCTACGCGCACACTCAACCTCGACAGTCTGCAGACCACAATGTCGCAGCCACTTATGGTCTCCGGTACCATACCTGCGCCTGAATCGAATGTCAGATCACGATGGTGAGCCCTAACCCGCTGAAGTCTTTACAGAGCTGACTCTGACTTCCCCTCCTCAGGTTGTACTTGGACAATTTCCTCCGCCATGCCGGCCCTTTCAGCGATGAAGACTTCGAGACGAGTGAGGAGGCGGCGTCAAATATTGAGAGAATGAATATACTGTCTGTTATGGCAGACTCCAGCTCTTCAAATATATGCTAATGCCTCGCAATAGGGTCATGTTGGTTGCCTGGGCACATTTTGAGGTGTAACAGCTGCTAATTGCTGTACAGAGGTGCAGGAGGACTTGGATGTGAGATTTTGAAGAATCTAGCTCTGTCAGGTTTCAAGAACATCCATGTCATTGATATGGGTAGGTCTTCAACTCCTCTCCCGTCGCCCTTCTAGGGACATCTTACTGATCATGGGAAGACACCATCGACGTCTCGAACCTCAACCGCCAGTTCCTTTTCCGGCAAAGCGATGTTGGAAGCTCGAAAGCCGAAGTTGCAGCAAGATTTGTTGAGAAGAGAGTCACGGGCGTCACAATCACACCACATAACTGCAGGATTCAGGACAAAGATGACGAGTTCTACATGATGTTTAATCTTGTCATCTGTGGCTTGGACAGCATTGAAGCTCGCCGATGGATCAACTCAACACTTGTGAACTTGGTGGATGAGGAAAATCCAGAGAGTCTCAAGCCTTTGATTGATGGAGGCACCGAAGGTAGGATGTTCTTCTGTGGAAGTCATGTAGTTCTAAGACTGAATGCTTTACAGGATTCAAGGGTCAATCCCGTGTCATTTTTCCAACCATGACCTCTTGTATCGAATGCCAGCTTGATATGCACGCCCCAAGAGCCGCAGTTCCACTATGCACACTCGCTACTATTCCCCGCCAGCCGGAACATTGCATTGAGTGGGCACATATCATCGCTTGGGAGCAAGAGAAGCCGTTTCCAAAGCTGGACAACGATGACCCAGAACAAATCACATGGTTATTCCAAAAGGCTTTGGCTCGAGCTAAAGATTTTAACATATCTGGTGTCACCTACTCTCTGACTCAAGGAGTTGTCAAGAATATCATCCCCGCTATTGCATCTACCAATGCAGTCATTGCAGCAAGCTGTTGCAACGAGGCCTTCAAAATTGCCACACAGACAAATCCATCGTTAGGTTTGGAAGAGAACTACATGATGTACAGTGGCAATGAAGGCATTTACACTTATACGTTTAAGCACGAGAAGAAGGATGACTGCCCAGTCTGCGGAAACCTCGCTCGTGGTCTCGAGGTGGACCCTAATTCAACCTTGCAAGGATTCATTGACTCTTTGGCGGCAAGACCGGAAGCACAGCTGAAAAAGCCATCCATTCGTACCGAGAGCAAGACTCTTTACTTCCAAAATCCGGAGAGCTTAAGACTGCAAACAATGCCGAATCTGGAGAAGAAAATGTATGACCTCATTGTAGATGGTGAAGAAATTGGAGTTACGGATCCCTCGCTTGGTGCTGTGAGCTTTAAATTTAAGGTCAGGTTCTCTCGCGAGATTCTAGGCCAAAGAAAGGCAAATGGCGCTGCGGTGTGACCGGAAAAATTGCAAAGGGAAGAATATTACGACAACATGCACGACCACGGTAGTGCTTAGATGTGTGGGCGTGGATGCAGTTACGAGGTTACGAAACCATGAGAAATTGGCTTTTTATCTAAACAGGAGCGTCTGCTCTATTAGCTATCGAAAATCCTTTCAAACGCCAGAACCATAAACTCCTGCAATGCCCGTAAATCATGATTTTTCTGCCCTATCGTGCCATATTCGCCAAGTTTCTCTTCATACTATCACACTTCAGTCTGAGAACCTTGATAGACTCCAAAAAGAGCTCATCACTGTCCCACTGTCCCAAACTCTCAATGGAGAATATGAAGTGATCTCGTATCCTGCCCAGCTTAACCTTGCCCTCAAACTCCGCATGCCGCAAGCATTCCCTGCTCACGGTATCCTTCATCGTATCCAAGACCACGGCCTTCTTCTCGCCTTCATGCCCCTCGTATCCACTTCCCTTCTTCGCAGCCTCCTTCTTGGTGACTTTTTCAAAGCCAATCACACCCTCAGGGAAGCATCTTGCAAACTTCTCAGCATTCTTCCCTAAGATTGGCTTCAGAATGTTGATCGTAGGTAGGAGGCGGTATGAAGCCGTAGCTACTGGCGAGTACTTGGCATGATCGCTTCCCACACCCTTGATCGCATGCATTTCCACATCAATACACTGTCCTGGCCTTAATTTCGCAATCAGAATATCGGGATTCGTAGGCCGAATGGCATTGTCACCGCTGAAATACCTATGCTGCTGTCCGAACGGCTTGAACACGATATCTTTGGCGTAGACATGAGCATTATGGTACAGCTTTAATGGATCTGTTTCTCCTCTCTCCGCCTGTGGGTTCCGCGTGCATTCGATTTTGAGGTCCAAGCAAATAGTGTTGTAGTCGTAATTCCCGTTATCATCCCCAGATCCTTCTTCTGGCTTCTTGTACCATTTCAAATAATCTAGAAGTCCTGACTTGCCGCCTTTGAACGGAACAAGACCTAGGCGTCCAGCAAGAACCTCGTCCTGAATTATGGAAGTGTTGTTGTTCACGAAGACGGTTTCGATAGCGAGGGAGGGGATCTCGGCGATCATGATGCGCCGGAAGGCATTGGCAACTGAAGCATCGATTCCTATTAGGGAGAAGGAGGATTCGGTGGGTTCATTGTGGTGAAATTCGACTTTGAAGGCTTCACGAAATTTCAGGGCATCCCATGCATGGTCCTCACCGGGGTACTGAACAGGTGAATTAGCATTTTGTACGCTATCAACAGACCCTTGGAGGTAAATTGGTGGCTCTTCTTTAGAATGCAGTAGAATGTAGAGGATTTGCGTCTGTGTTGTGACAAGATCAAGAAGCAATATGAACGTACATGGCCTGGGAAATCGGTCGAGGTGATATCTGTGACGGTTTCGGCGTTAATCCCTACGGTCTGGAAACACATTAGAACGACTCTGTAGATTCTCGAAAAAGCACCATACTCTTCTGCGATCCAGCTCTGCCTGCGACGGCTGGTAAGGTGCCATATTTGCTGAATGGGTTTGCGATGTTGCAAGTCACGGCGGGGCGTCCTGTCGCATGCCGATGAAATAAATTTTGAAGACAGGGTACATAGGAAGGTACGATTAGCGCGATTAGAATGGAAGCTAGGAGCATTTTAGACCCGAGCCTATTTTGAGTGTACCTCATCATCAATACATCAATTGGGGCGACACCTCAACGCTCAAGGTCAATTCTCCCCTCTACCTCAATCGCAGACGCCTGGGAAGTCTGGTCACAATCATCAAGCAAACGCCGTCTTTCTCTTTCCTTGACCTCCATGGCGTCCTCCCTCACCCGGCTGGCCGGCCGCCAGGCCAAACGCCTCGTTCTGCGACCCGCACTACCCTCGACCTCCTCTCCTCGAGCTTCAATACGCTGCTTCTCTGCAGCTCCCGCCAGGAGATATGCAGAACCATATGAAGGCACGAGATTGATCCCGGTCGATGAGAAATTCGGACATCCCACCAATCCAGATGACCCTCAGCACATGAATATCACCCCCGACTCGAACCTCCCCGATGGAGAAGCCGTTGAGAACCGCAAGATCAGACATTACACTGTAAACTTCGGGCCACAACATCCTGCTGCTCATGGTGTGTTGCGATTGATTTTGGAGCTTAATGGAGAGGAAATTGTGCGATCGGATCCTCATGTGGGCTTGCTGCACCGTGGTACCGAGAAGTTGATTGAATACAAGACATATCTCCAGGCCCTACCATATTTCGATCGGTTGGACTACTGCTCTATGATGACGAATGAGCAGTGCTTTTCATTAGCCGTAGAGAAGCTACTGAACATTGAAATCCCAGAGCGTGCCAAATGGATCAGGACGTTATATGGCGAGCTCACTAGAGTCTCAAACCATTTGATGTCTGTCCTGTCTCATGCAATGGATGTCGGTGCTCTTACGCCTTTCTTGTGGGGTTTCGAGGAACGTGAGAAGATTATGGTAAATATGCTTTATTGGTTTTCTAATAATATATGCTAAATCTGCGCAGGAATTCTATGAGAGAGTTTCCGGAGCCCGCATGCATGCCGCGTATGTCAGACCTGGTGGCGTTCATCAAGACATTCCAGTTGGACTTCTTGACGACATCTATCAGTGGGCCACCCAGTTTGGAGACCGGATCGATGAAACTGAAGAACTTCTTACGGACAATCGTATCTGGATTGGTCGAACAAAGGGAATTGGAGTTGTTTCCGCAGCAGATGCTTTGAATTACTCATTGTCAGGTGTGATGCTTCGGGGATCGGGCGTACCGTGGGATATTCGCAAGAGTCAGCCTTACGATGCGTACGGCGAGGTTGAGTTCGACGTTCCGGTGGGCGTGAATGGTGATTGTTATGATCGCTATCTGTGCAGAATGGAGGAGTTCAGACAGTCGTTACGCATCATCCATCAATGCTTGAACAAGATGCCTGCAGGACCAATCCGAGTTGAGGACTACAAGGTCTCTCCTCCTCCCAGAGCGGCCATGAAGGAGAATATGGAGGCCTTGATTCATCACTTCTTGTTGTTCACCAAAGGATACACTGTGCCACCTGGAGAAACATACTCAGCAATTGAAGCTCCAAAGGGAGAGATGGGGGTATATGTTGTGAGTGATGGAAGTGAGAGACCATACCGATGCAGGATTCGAGCTCCCGGGTTTGCTCATCTAGGTGCCTTCGACCAAATTTCCAGGGGACATCTGTTGGCGGACGCAGTGGCTATCATCGGGACAATGGATTTGGGTAAGATTAAAAAATTTGTTTGCGTCTCTGTATTTTGGGAAATGATCGCTAACATTCTATGCAGTCTTTGGAGAAGTAGATCGCTGAATGGCGAGGAATGGAAGGTCGAGATTGAGAATTGGAATCCACAGGCAATGGGTATACCGGTGGTTCGTTGTACATAGTGGTGATACAGTTGAAGCGTGCCCTATGTTTGTACAAGTCTTCATCGCTGAGTTAGCAAATGCCAGCACACTCTTTCAAAAGACCATTGGGCCGTCTCACTTACTGGGTAAAATTTCCTACATTGGCATGATATTGACCACACCGCTGCTGCTGACAACCAAAGGAGATTCTTCATCATTCATTCCTACATCATCTTCATGGACTTGGGTCGAATCACTGGCTGGAGAGAATGATGGGTTCCGAGTCTCGGCTGGCTCTGAGGCCGCCTTTTTCTTGATGAAGCGCGGATAGTCCTCTTGATAAGCTTGGAACGAAGAGAGCTCGGCTGGACCGAAAAATTGATCTGGATGGGCTAGAGGGGGCGCATCCATGATAGCGGCAATGTTTGGAAGAGCTGGGGCACTCGGAACTGTTGGGAATATTGGAAATGGTGGAAGAACTGGCAGTTGGCCCTGTTTCTCCGGGTACCATTTCATACCCGCACCTGGTTGGTCCATCATGAGAGTATTGGAGTGGAGGTATTGAGGGGGCACGTAGCCGCCTTGTGGGATGCCCAAGCCACGAGCAAGATGTTCCATGTCAGAACGTACTGGGCCAGGACCTTCAAAATGGTAACCCGCGTACTCGTACGTGATGCCGCTCTTTGATTGTTGTGGAGCCCACTCTTGCTGAGACTCTCTGGCGCCACCACCTCCATATTCATACGGACGTGGTCCAGCTGGCCCATCGTTATTGCGATGTGCGTCATATCCAAAATTGCTGGACCCACGCTCTCCGTCACGGAAACGCTTGCCTGGAAGAAATTAGCTGTGCTTCCTTACCAATATTTAAGACAAGGCTGGGCAGGTTATTTCGGATTCAACCATAGGAGAAAGTGTTTAACACAACCCTGAGAAGTAGGAGCCCATACCTTCAATTCTCCCGGCCTCCACAGGCTCGCCCTGTGCACGTTCGTTGGCATTTCCTTTGCCTCTGGTGCTTCGAGGTCTCAATCTTCGCTCTCGGTCAGCAGCATCGAAGATGACCGAGCAGTCGCATTCCCCTAATTGATGTCTCTTGCGATGCGCTTCCTCCTCTGCCAGAACCTTTGCGTTCCAGAGAACTCTAGAGCAAGGATGGCAATTCTCATTTGTGAAGATGGGGCGCTCCGCGGGGTATTTGCAAGGCGGAAAGGTTGGGTTTGAGGCGCTGACAGGACATTGGCGCAAGTAGGGAATGGCACAGTGGCCGCAGTTGTATCCAAGAAACTCTTTGACACACATAACTGATTTGTGTGGCTAAGACGGTATGTGTTGCTTTGTTGTTATTTGAGAGATGGTTGTTTGAAAAATTAGATTTGAAGTTGTCTAAGAGCAGAGGGAAGGAATGGTCTGAGAGGCGCATGAGTTAGCCAAGTTGAGATCTTTACTTTTGTGAGGCAATCAGCTCTCCAATGAAGCACTTTCATTCTTTCAAAGGCTGCAGGCAACGAAGATAAAATATGTCGCGTTACCTGAAAGTTGACTCTGTGAGATTATCAAAGGGCACACAGATAGAGCCTGCGTCTGGTCTGGTGTGCTGGTTATTACGAAGAACGAACTGCCAGAGCAGATGCAAAGGCGAACGCGTATTCAACAATCAGCTCTCGAGGAATCACTTTGATGTTGGACGAGTTGGATAGTGAAGGTAGAGTCGAGGTTGTCGTTGGGTCCAGAAGCCTAGGATATGTTTTTGATAAGGAGTCCCTGGCTGCTAGAAGATGACTGTAGAAGTACGCCGCCAATACATGTGGTTTAATTTGAGTCTGCCTTGCCAATGTGAGTGAAGGTAGCCGTTTGCTTTGCCTGCGTCGCACAAAGAGACGTGTGTGTTGTCTTGACTCTGGCTTGAGTTGTCGTGCTTTGCTTACCTTCTTTATGACGAACAGTGATCTTAAAGGTGTGTCTGATAGAGGTGTTGGTGATGACTGTTGATGAGTAAGAGGTACTTGATGGAGACAAGAGGTTTGATAACGATGATGCAGAGATGGGAGATTGACGTCGAAGAACTCAGGTTAACACTAAAAGCTAGCTCACTTTAAGTATGCCGAGCTGATTCAGGGGAAGAGGGAGAAGATTACTTGAAAGTTGGGGTTGCTTTGCAGTCAAGTAGTTGTAGAAGAGGTTGTCGTTGTCGTTGTTGTTGTTGAAGAAAAAGAAGAAGAAAGAATACGAAAGGGAAGAGGGCGAGTTTATATAATGCTGTGGACCTGGTGTTGCAAGTAACTCCATAGCACAAGGCTGCAAATACTGCACGCTGCTGCAAATAACGCAATAAAGAAAGTTATTGTGGGACAAGTGAATTTGGAAGGAGGATAAGAGTGAAGAGCAAAGTAGGATTCAATAATTCTTTGAATGTTGTTGGACTGGCCCATGAGGCCCAAACAAAACGCTACTGGACATATTTAGGCATACTTTGAACGAAGAATAACCGCCATCATGTTTAGCCGTGTTGTACTCTAGTAGCTATGGATGACGGTGCAGTTAGAGAAGAGGATTAGGAGCTACTGGAAAGAAGTCATGATCATGTAACTTTGAACTATCTCTTCCAGCTACGTGTAAATATCAGTACCAACTTGTGATCTAAGGAAAGCTAGATATACTGCGAATTCGTGAGCAGAGTTTAAAGTCTATAAGTGACAAGACTGATCCTGGTGAAAATTGCATACTGCCTTAGCTTCCAGGCTGGCGATTTGTCACTTAGTTCTAACGGAGCAAACGAATCCAAATTAATTGATAGTATCGACTGACAGAAAGTATCAAAAACATGTGACGGAGTCATCTCTGAATCCTGGATAAATGCTTCTCTCAGGAAAAGAGGCAGCTGCAGGCATCAAAATCAAGCCTGAATAATAGTTTGCGACTAACAAATATTCGTCAATTCTTGATTCTGAAAGTTGTGCCCCGTGAAGGATGTCTATGAATGTTGCATGTGCGTTGTAAGAGCTGAAAGGACAGGAGTTGGCTTAAGGAAATACCTTGTACTGAATTGGTAAGACTTCCAAATTATAGCCGGCATAGGCCCTTTCGACGGTCTCTGTATCTATCATCGTTCTTTCCACCTCGACGATGATCCGTAACATTCATTTGACAGCAGATTATACTGAACGGGCAGCACCAACAGGGCATCAAGGGCAGCTCGCGGTAAACGAGCTTGGTAAATCGATGCTCCAACTTAATTTAGAGATTCCCGCCCTGGCGAACCAACTTGCGATCAATGCTCTGCAAATTAGCGTCTATATAGCTACAGTGGTAGGCATATGATCTCTTTCCCGAATGGTCACTTTTACATCGGGGCCTCGGGCATTCTGTCTCACGGACGTGTCTTGCCTTCGAGTACATCTTTGAGTTTACTCCATTCTAGCCCTCCAAGAGAGACTTAACTTTCCATCCCAACTTCAAAGTGTTCTCTTGCCAACCTAGGTTGCTCTTTGGGAGATAATTTGGACGTGTTTGATCTCCTTGGTCGACAGACAGTTTCTTTCTACATTATGTCGCCTTGATCCTTTCAAAGTCACAGTATGAACACCAGATCTCTCATATTATGATCTCATTTGGTTATCACATTATTCCATTTGTTGAACGTCTCGCCTCAACTACAAGAAAAGCGTAAAACCAAGCTCTAAGCGAGCAGCCGGTCTTTGTTGACACTCTTCAGGGGATCCACGTGACACTCACGTGAGATGGTTCAGGACAACTGGAGAATTTTCGCCTGACTTATTGGACCGAGGAAACCCGCAAAGTGCTTTAGGGCTGACAGCAAATAATTTCCATTTGAATGTTTGCAACGTTTAGAGGCTCAGTCTGGTACCGTAACAGGTTTGTCAAACTGCTCGGATATCCCGAAATGGCAAGCCGACCATCGATGTGCTAACAGTTGTATGACCCCGCCAATGTTCTCCCACCAGCTCAAAACATGCCAGTTGTCCACCACGAATCGATGCTCCATGATTCCTCTCTTGCTGTCAATTCGGTATTCGCATTCTATCCACGGCTTATCCGGCACGGCGAAATATTGACTAAACTTGACGGATGTGTCCCCAAGCCTAATTTAGGAATGATCTCGTAGCCAAGTTCTTCGATCCTGGGCTCGACAATCCTCTTTACTTTACTAGGTCCACACAACTGGTTATGGGGATTTTTACTTCATCCATTATCTTTCTAGGCTAATTCAAAAGCATTCACTGTCCAGTCGTCGTCATTCCCAGGATAGGCGGCTTCTTGCTTAAAGGGTTTTCCAACCATCCCATACTTTCGTAAGTCTCACGATGGCGAACATTGTGGTTGTCGGGTAAGTTCGCTCGATTATTATTGGATACCATACAGCTGACAAGACCAAGGGCTGGAGTTTCTGGCTTGACTACTGCACTACTACTTTCCAAGGATGGCCACAGTGTAACCATCGCTGCCAAACACATGCCTGGTGACTACGATATCGAATACACTTCTCCGTGGGCTGGTGCAAACTATATGCCGTTTGTATATCCAAAGCTCTCATTTCATCAACAACTATTGATGATATTCTAGCCACGCCCATAAGGTAGCCAATGAAGCAGAAGTCCAGTGGGAACGTGACTCTTGGCCAGAACTGAAAAGACTTGCAACAGAGGTGCCAGAAGCCGGCATTCATTTTCAAGGTATGCCTTGATCCTCATAAGCTCGATGGGAAGAAGTTGACTAGCCCAGAGTGTATAAATTACCACAGAAAGAAGGACGATGACACCGCAAGTGGAAAATGGTCCAAAGAGCTTGCCAAGGTGGACTCGTGGTTCAACACTGTTGCTCCTAATTTCAGAGTACTCTCAACATCTGAGCTCCCGAAAACAGTGGACTCCGGAACCGCTTTTACGTCTGTGTGTATCAACACTATGATTTATCTGCCTTATCTGGTCGGCCAGTGTGTAAAGAATGGCAGCACGTTAAAGCGCGCAAATTTGAAGCACATCTCAGATGCTGCCAAGCTTCATCATTCGGGGAAGAAAGCAGATGTCGTTGTCAACTGTACAGGGCTTCTCGCTTCAAAATTGGGCGGTGTCATGGACAAAAGCATTGTGCCAGCTCGTGGACAAGTTGTTGTGGTGAGAAATGATCCAGGGTTCATGATGGGAATTTCAGGAACGGATGACGCAGACGATGAGCTCTCATACATGATGACACGGGCTGCAGGAGGCGGAACTGTCCTTGGAGGAACGTATCAGCTCGGGAATTGGGAATCTCAGCCTGATCCTTCGACTGCAACTAGGATTATGAAGAGAGCTGTCGAGCTATGCCCTGCCTTGACTGGGGGAAGAGGAATCGAGGCTCTGGACATCATTCGGCACGGTGTTGGCTTGAGACCAACCAGGATCTCAGGAGTGAGGATCGAGCAGGAGAAAATTGGTGATACGTGGGTTGTGCATAACTATGGTCATGGTGGTTGGGGATATCAGTCGTCCTATGGCTGTTCTGCAGGTGCAAAGGAACTTGTTGAACAAGTGTTGAAGCCAGCAGCGAAACTGTAAGATGGTTCTTTTTGGCTCTTTCTCATTTTTCGAGCGATCATTCCATGTAATTTCCAGTAGAATCGGAATAGGTGTACCCCATTCCCAAGAGCTCGTTTAGTAAGACGTCGTCAGAGGTGAGGAATTGCTCCATGATATTCGTCTCTTGTACCTCGACTTCTTGAGTTGAGACTTTTCCCGCGAATACATCAAACATGTCGTGGCCATGGGTGGGTGAATAGCCTTTCCATGCTTCTGGCTCTTCAACCGACTGCCCAAAATGTAAGAGTTTCGAGCGGATGTCGACCAGTGCTTTGGCCCCGGGGTTTGGGAGTGTATTATTTCCGCTGACTAGACTATTCTGTTCAAAATCGATGCGAAGCGCTTTGACCTATAGAATGTCAAACAGTATCCGATACTATTTCGAGGCTTGCCAAATTTACCCAGTAAGCTGCCACTGGCCAGCTTTCTTGACATTGAATAAGATGTCGAAGGTCGTCGATCAAGATCTTCTTGACAGGCTCCCCCATCAGCAAACCCTCGCAGCTCTTCCAGTCGTTGAGACAACACCAAATGTGAAAAGTGCTGGATGTCATCAAACAATAGCCTAAAAATGGGTTGACCAAAGGCATGAGGTCTGCTGTAGCCATGGATTTGTAAATAGTTGAAATCGCCACTGCGGACGAGACTCCATTTCTTATAGCACAAACCCACCAGTTCGGATTTGGGCTATGCAATTCTAAATCTGGACCGTCACAAGGTCCCGTTCCCGGATCCCATCCAGGAGGCTATAGGTGAAGCTTGAGTTAGGATACTGCTATATTTGCGGCTCTTTGTTCACAAGAGGACAGGCATGGCTCTGAAAGTTGGGACATTCGAAAAGGGAAGAAGGGGCAACCCGAGATACATACTATGACGACCGGGATGTATTCCCTGTAGAGATGGCCCCGTGCATTGTAGAAAAGCATATGCATTGTGCAAAACGACTTGCCTTCACCAACTGCAATATGTGCTTCCTGATTTGCTTCGTTAAAGCACATGTGGCTTGGGAGTGCCTTTTCCCATGTATCCAGAGCTTTTGCGAATTGAGAGATGGGCATTTCTGGATTCCATGGGACACGATTCTCATTATGTCTCCCACCGGCACCGGACCAATCCACTACTTTTCCTAAAATATCAATAATTCGAATTGTATATGCCAGAAGAGGTTCATCGGTTCCAATTCTGTCATTTATGGCACTGGCAGATGTTTTCCGCCCAAGAAGGAAGTCAGATCTTGTACTCGGAAGTCTGGTTGTTATTGATGAGATATCAAAAGTTAATCTTCTGTCCCCACCATTGGCCATGAGACGATCCAGAGTAAAACATGTCCAAAAAGTTCGTCGCTTGATCTCGGTCGTTGCTAGATCATCCTGAGCGAATGAATCTTCGAAAGGTAACCTCATGGACTGTGCGATCCTAGTTGCAACTCCGAGTTGGAACCATGCTCGGTGCTCATCGCCGTGACCTGTCCAGTGTACACACAGGATCAAGTTGCATTGCATATTAAGCAAACTGATCTCGTCAAAAGTGTTAATCATGGAAGCCCGGGCAAGAGCTGCAAAGTGCTCGCTAGCTTCGATCGTGCCGTTATAGATAGTAAAGCAGGGTTCGATGAACCTTGCCATGAGAGCAAGAATACAGAATTGAAGTTTCAAAGCGACTTTCCCATGTTCGAGATCGTTCATCAGTACATGTTCCTTGAGGAAGCAAAAAATTGAATCTCCATAGTATTCGAAGTACAATTTGAACGCGTCAAACACAATTTCTCGACTTGGAAGTCTAGAATAACCTTAATCCTCCAGTCTTACACGTTGATGTGACATGAAACACTTACTGGAGCAAGAGGTCATCATCATTTCCGGCTTTTGGCGTGTCTGGCCTCGAAAGGAGCTGCCGCTGCATAACAGCCTGGGGATTGTTGCCCGCATAATGGCATATTTGTGACCTCTGTCTGCATGCTCTACAAGAAGGCCAATCGCCAGAGCATTTGGTCTTACGTTTCCTGTACTGCCGAGTCAACGGGATATCCGCGAGGCCAGAACACGGCGAGTAAGAGGGCCAATACCGACAACTGACACAAGCCAGTGGAGCGCGCGCTCCTGGTTTCCGAGCAGGTCGTTGGCCTGATGTCTCCATTTAGAGGATGCGATTATCTGTAAAGCTGGAGATAATCCATTGTGGAGGGTGAAAGCATTGAAAAGTGGAGTGTCTCAGCGTATGCCTGAGGCTTGAGGGATTGGACATGACTCGAGACTTGATACTCAAGTACAGGTGCCACACTCATTCAAATAAAGAAAAGTATGCAATCTCCTAGTGCTTCAAAAGACATTGAGAACGTTACCATTGTCTTGCTAATCTAACATACAGCCCCCCCGCGCATGTTGATATCACGTGATAGTACAAAGATGACAAGTACTTATATCCTGGACCGAGAATACGGTAAAAGCGTGTGAGGAATTCATAGGCTTTAGACTGAGTTTTCTCGGCTGAGACTCTGTGGCGGGCGCGTCCCTTAGGGTGAGGAAGGTCAATACATTTCCCAATTCGAATTCTCGGTTGGCCATGTTCTCGGTAGGTAGTGTTTCACCGGCGCACCTGCGCATGTTACAGCAGCGCATGCGCAATCGATTTTTGGTGGGGGAGCCTGGCGTATGCGCCTAGGCTACAATCTTAGCAGCGCATACTACCTTTACTACACTAAAGGACGCTGAAATATCTACAAGAGGTAGCCTATAAAAAATCTAAAGACACGCTCTATATAAATAAACATATTATGCTTAAAGGACCTTAAAAGCTTTATATAAATAACTATAATAATAAAAGAAGAGAAAAGCTTAACTAAGATTCTTATATATATATATATATATATATATTTCGTATTATTAGTTTTACTATAGAGCTTCTAAGGTCTTTTAGTGTAGTAAGGGCTGTGTTTGTTTGTATAGAGCTCTTATCCAGTAGGAGCTCTTAAGGTCCTTTAGCGTAGCGGGGCCCTCTCTACTAATAAGGCGAGTAGAACACACGGATTAAATAATTATCCGTGCTATACGCTACCAAGATTCTTAGTCTAGACGCATGCGCCAGGCTCCCCCACCAAAAATCGATTGCGCATGCGCTGCTGTAACATGCGCAGGTGCGCCGGTGAAACACTACCTGTTCTCGGTTATGCTAGTGTGAAGAAAACATCAGTCAATGTACCTGCAACAAGTTCTCTTAACATGTCGGAAGATAGCGTAGTTGCGTTGCCTGTCCCAAGCGACATTTGAATGACCGCTACATTTCCTAATTTCGAAATGTTATCATTAGTCTAGACTCCTAGTTACGCAGCCGAAATCAAGTCAGGCGGCGCAGATGGTAACATAAGTCACCACTGACTTGCGTTACAGGCAAAGCTGGGCGAGGTCTGCACTCTGATTCGACATAAGCTTCGCATCACCATCCTCTTGATTGAGACTGAAAGATACATTATTTAGTTCTTCATTCATGGAATGGAAGCTGAATACAACGATATCGGGGTATAGAAGTAAGGACATCCCAATGGTTCTGCGTGCAAGGGATATCAATAATGGCATGCATGCTGTGAGTACCGAAGCTGAGATGGAAGCCTTCTTGATAAACAGAAAAATTCAGAAGCGAGGAACATTCAAGTGAATGTGCTATGTGACTGGGAAAGAGGCTGTTGAGACATACTTTCATTTCCTTTTTTGGAAAGCATGTGCTTAAGGACGACGCACCAAGTATGTTGCAAGACGTACAAGAGGCTACTGTGAGAAGTGATTTCAAAATTCGCTGAATATCTTGATCGAGGCGGGATCAGTTTGGACGTAAGCAAAGGATAGCACTAAATAAGTAGAATACCCATTTTAGACTCTTGATTCACGTCTGTCAATGCTTCGCGAATAGCAGTACAAGCATGCCACTTGTGATTCAAGCAGCTTCGGATGTGTCAATGGCAAGATTATTCACTTGAGGAAGATATTACTGACCTCAAGTTGAACCCAAGTTTCGAAGGACCATCCTACCCAAAGCTTCCCAAGAATATCTCAGCGTTGCATCCTCTGCTCCCTCCCATTACGGAGACAGCACCACATATGCTCACGTTCGAATAAAAGCTTGCCAAAGATGGCCATGAGCTTTCAATACCGCTTCACCCATACTTGTGGGCACACAGGATTTGGTCCCATTGTCAACGCGCATAGTGGCACAACACGGCTTCCACTAATATGCTCACAGCCAGCACCCTATGCCAATACAACAACCCTACCCCTAAACCTGGAGTTCAGCTGTCCCTTCTGCATGTCCTCAGCGTCAAATCACCTCTCACTAACACCACCAGGCTCCGGCCTCCTCACTGTTCTAAACAGTACGCCTGACTCGCTGTTTGCTCCAGGTTGGGCGATTTTGAAAGCTTGCCGATTCGAGGAGCTGGAGCCAAGCGACTGGGATTTGGCCTTTGAGGGTATGACGCTTGACGGGCGGTATAGGCAGATGGCGTGGATTCCAAGGCCGTGTGGCGAAGTAAGATTTGAAGGGCTAGATGAGGCACAGGAGACGATGAAGGTTGGGACTTTTTGGAGGTATACCGGATGCGTGGCTCAGATCGGGTAGGTGCTGCATATTCGCCTCTCCCCAAATCTTTACCCAATTTCATCCTTGTCCTCATCGGACGCTATGAGGGAAGGGTGCTGACTTGTCCAGACACGGAAGGTTTGCTGGATTGCTATCGAGCTTGCACAAGGCGGTGCTGGACAGAGAGAAAGAGAATGAGATTGTTGCTGAATGAGAAGGTATATAATTGATGAAAATGTAATGGGTCTGTTTCTTCGCTCCACTTGGAAACAGCATGGCATTTCTGGTAGAAGTAGCAAAGATGATGAATCAAGCGACAAGCCCTGTCTATCGCGAGGAAAATAGAAAGAATAGAGATCGGTCTAAAACACTCAGGTAAGATTTAGTGTGCATTGGTACAGAAAGAAATTGGATCTATCGGGCCTGGGAAGACCAGAAGCTGCTTGACTAGACTACATATTGACAATCCTCTTCTACTCCTCGGAGGCGGCCGCACCAGTGATAATCTCGACCAATTCGCCAGTAATGACGGCTTGACGTGTTCGGTTGAAAAGAATTTGGTACTTGTTGATCATGTCTCCGGCGTTCTTGGAAGCGTTCTGTGAGTTATTAGCATCTCAATCTCTTGTACGAAAATGGGATCACATACATCCATAGCATTACGACGAGCGGAGATTTCACAAGCATGACCTTCAGTAAGAGCCCAGAAGAGAGCGTTTGACAAGGCGTATTCTCGGAGATTACCGAGGACTTGGTCGTCAATCTCGAAGGCGGAGAAATTGGCTGTTCACACATTAGTCCTTGTAAGTCAGAGTCCCACAGGCTACTCACGAGAGTTGATGATTGCCTCTTCGGAATAAGCCTCAACAGGGGTAGCCTCGTAGCTTGTGGCGTTGATGAACTTGTTGTAGACAATCAGGACCGATGCGTAGTCGGTTGGGAGGAGAGAGATCTGGTCGGCAATGGCTTGGGACTCTGCGAAGGTAGGGATATTCTTTCCAACAGCAGAGAAGCTCATAACAATATTTTTGGAGCTTGAACGACTCAATTGAGCCTTGCACTTCTCCCCCAACACAACAATATCGGCGTCTGGCTTCTCCGCGAGAATCTTACGGACCCTCTTCGACAATCCAGAGTGAATACCACCGCACAGTCCCTTGTCCGAGCTGGCAACGACGATCAAAGTCTTCTTGTTCTCTCCCTCCACTGCCTTGGTCTCGGCTTGCTCGAAAACGGTGTTGGAAGTTTGTCCGTAGGATCGGGAGTCGGTCATGGCACGTTGGGCACGATTGAGCTTGGTGGAAGCAACAATTTTCATCGTCTTCGTAATCTTCTCAATGTTCCTTGAGTCCTGGTCAGAAATTCGTAGAGAAGTAGCTTGTTGAACTGGGGTCGGGAATACCTGATGGACTTCAATCTATCCTCGATTTCACGAAGGGTTGCGAAGTTGGCCGCATTTTGGGGGACAGGTCTATCCAATGACAACAGTCAGTAGAATTCTCATCGCGTTCATCTTCTTGATCCATTGGACACTGCAATCCCATCCTCTGAAGCTCCGAAATAGCTTCTGGCCGGCCGTGTTTAATTCAGTCGAGGGGAACTTACCGAACGGACGCCGCAGCGCCAGCTCTCAAAGCAGGACGAGCAGCTCTGGAAAGCATCTTGATCGACAAAAGGAGCTGGATCGAGCCTTTGGTGTGGAGGCTCAATTGATAACAAAGGCGTGGTGTTGATGGGGTTTTTCGTTCGGTCGGGTCGTCGGTAGCAAGTAGGAGCCTCACGAATCCTCAGGCAGAAGTGACTAGTCCTTGGTCGTTGTCGTTCCCCTTCGTCGAAGCTCTGGGCAAGAACCACGACACTTTAACTGCACTCGGGATTTTCAACGAAAACATTTTCTTTTGAGCATTCGAGCACACACACTATACGAGTCTAATTAGTGCTTGTGAGACTGATTATTGTATGTCTGGGTAAGGTGAAAAAGGCCGTTCAGAAGGGCAGACTATTACTACTACTACTACTACTACTACAGCAACCAATTCACCTCTGTTGAATGGAAGGCAGCACCTGAGTCGTCTGCCCCGCTTTTATGAGCCTCTTGGCCAATCACAACGAGATGCCACCTTGGTAGGAATGGATTTTTCCCCGACGCAGTAAATGCCTCCGATTGTGTTCCATTTCGCTTTCCCGAGGACGTCAAGTCTTCTTCTTCCATTCTATGTCAACGCGCCTTTTTCTACAACCACCCTTTCTTACCAAACATCTGCAACGACTTCGTCTGCAAAGCTTAGATTTTCAGGCTTTTCGACGCGCTCAGAGGCAAGGCAAACCTCCTCAAGCAGTCTACTTCGCGTCCTATACTGACCATTCTTCAGCTCCTTCCATCGTTTCACCCAGAACAAACCTTCTTCAATTCCATTTCAACGACCGCTTCCCTTCCCATTCAAGATGTCCTCGGACTCGGACGACGATATGCCCCTGGCCAGGGCGAATGGCAAGCGTAAGTCCCTTGTTTGTCTTCGGAAATGCTTCGCCGGCAAAACCTACACAACCTGGCGCATTGCATTACAGGCACTCCTTATCTTCCTGCCCGTTGGCCTTCTATCACGTTCACTCTCCTGGGATTTCAACTGACATACCTTCTTCACAGTCTCCAAGGCGCATATTTCGAAAAGTGAAGACAAAGCTATGGATCAGGCTGGCCCGTCAACATCCGCCCCTGCGGGAGTGTCGATCCGAAATGGGCCTGTTCTTGAAGACAGGATGGACGTGGACGAGCCTGCGACAAATGGAAAGCGCAAGTCGCGTAGCAGCATCTCAAAACCAGTGTACAAGGACGAAGAAGACAGCGACGATGATGATGCTCCAATGGTACGCCCATGACTTCACCTTATCCGACTCGAACATTTCACCTCGAAGTTTGATCACACATACTAATAATTGTCTCAGTCCAAACGTCAAAAGACCTCAAAAGCTATCCAGTCCGACTCTGATGATGAAACTCCACTCGCAGCTGCGAAAAAGCGAGGCGGCAAGCTTCCGCCTAAAGCTACCGCTGCCGATATTGGTGACGACGAATCCTCCGATGATGAGCCCTTAACCACCAAGCTTGCGAAAGAGAAAGCAGCAATTGAGAAGAAAGCCGAGAAAGAAGCCAAGGCGATCCGCGCTAAGGAAAGCAAAGCAAAAGCAACCAAGAAGGTCAAGAAGGAAGATTCTGACAATGAAGATGTCAAGCCAAAGAACAAACGGAAGACCAATGGAACAGCATCTGCAAAGAAGACAAATGGCGTCAAAAAAGTCGAGCCCGAGTCCGATTCTGATGTGCCACTGATGAAGAAGCCTGTCAAGAAAATAAATGGGAAGGTCAAACCCGAGGAAGTTTCTCCGAAGAAGGGCAAAGGCAAGAAAGAGGACAGCGAGGAAGCTGAGGAGATATACCGATGGTGGGACGCTCCGAAAAAAGAGGACGATAGCATCAAGTGGGAGACATTGCAGCATAATGGTGTCATTTTCCCCCCTGCTTACGAGCCACTCCCTAAGAATGTCAAGCTTCTTTACGACGGTGTTCCTGTCACGTTGTCGATTGAGGCGGAGGAGATTGCTGGTTTCTTTGGCGCCATGTTGAATTCGACTCTCAATGTTGAGAATCCAACTTTTCAAAAGAACTTTTTCGATGACTTTACGGAGGAAGTCAAGAAGACGGGTGGTGCGCAAGGCCCTGATGGAAAGAAAATCGATATCAAGCACTTCTCCAAACTTGACTTCAAGCAAATTTTCAGCTACTACGATGGTAAAAGTCAAGCCAGGAAGGCTCGTTCAACTGCCGAAAAGAAGGCTGAGAAGGCCGAAAGAGATCTTGCCGAGGCTCCATACACTCAATGCATATGGGATGGTCGTAAGGAACAGGTCGGCAACTTCCGTGTCGAACCTCCTGGACTCTTCCGAGGTCGTGGTGCACATCCCAAGACTGGCAAGGTCAAGCGCAGAGTTTTACCAAACCAAATCACTATCAACATTGGAAAAGATGCTACCGTCCCAACTCCCCCTGAAGGTTACAAATGGGGCAAGGTACAACACGACAACAAGGCTACTTGGCTTGCTATGTGGCAAGAGAATATCAATGGTGCCTACAAGTATGTCATGCTGGCTGCTAAGAGCAGTGTCAAAGGACAGAGTGATTATAAGAAGTTCGAGAAAGCTCGTGGCTTGAAGTCACATATCGACCAGATTCGAAAGGACTACACCCGAGACCTGCGTGCTGAGCTTATGGCAGATCGGCAACGAGCTACCGCCGTTTACTTGATTGACAAGCTCGCCTTGCGTGCTGGCAATGAAAAAGATGGCGAGAACGAGGCTGAGACTGTTGGGTGCTGCTCTTTGAAGTACGAACACATTACTCTCAAGCCCCCCAATACCGTCATCTTCGATTTCCTTGGAAAGGACAGTATTAGATATTACGATGAAGTCGTGGTCGATGACAAGGTATTCAAAAACCTGAAAATGTTCAAGCGAGCACCAAAGAAGGAGGGTGACGATATCTTTGATCGCCTGACCGTAAGTCGTCTTTCACGCAGGCAGAGATACAGGCTAACCGATATAGACCACCCAACTCAACAAGCACTTAAATAGCTACATGCCTGGCCTGAGTGCAAAGGTCTTCCGTACTTACAATGCCTCATACACCATGTCCAATCTCTTGACGAAACTCAAGGACACCAACATCACTATGCAGGAGAAGGTCAAGCTCTACAATGACTGCAATCGGAAGGTCGCTCTTTTGTGTAATCACAAGCGAACTGTCGGCGCCAGCCACGAGGCACAAATGGAGAAGATGACCGATCGCATCAAGGGCCTTCAGTACCAACAATGGCGTTTCAAGCAAATGATCCTGGACGTTGATCCGAAGCAAAAGAAGAAGCGTGGATCTGAATGGTTCCAACTGGACAGCGACCTTGATCAAGAATGGATCCTCGAACACCAAGCTTTCCTAGTCCAGGAGATGCGCACCAAGATCGAGAAGAAGTTCCAAAAGGACAATGAAAAGCTCGCAGCCGAGGGCTCAAAGGAAATGAAGGCCAAGGAACTTGCCGAAAGACTTGAGGTCGCCGACGACCTAAAGAAAAAGTTCAAGAAGGAAAACAAGACGAAGAAAATTGAGCCTGAAGGTAAAGGGGCATCGGTCGAGAAGTTTGAGTCATCCATCGAGAAGCTGGACGCTCGTATTGCGACAATGAGACTTCAGGCCGAGGACCGAGAGGGCAACAAGGAGGTTGCACTCGGTACAAGTAAGATCGTAAGTTTCGCCTCCTTGAATCCTCTACAGGTATTCTGACCAATTCAGAACTACATTGACCCTCGCCTCACTGTTGTATTCGCCAACAAGTTTGACGTTCCCATTGAGAAGTTTTTCTCCAAGACTCTTCGAGAGAAGTTCACCTGGGCTATCGAATCCATCGGAGACGATGACGCATGGGAGTTCTAAACTCATAACTTTGACGCTGGAAACTTCCCTTATCCATTCGCGACCATACAATCATGCGCCAGTGAACATTGTATTTTGCTATGGGATATCCCATGCCATTCTTTTTTTTGGATTTTTATATTGCATAAACATTGCGAGCAGGGGCATTGGGTCGGCGGAGCATCTAGGATGATCGCAGTTTGATTGATGGAAGACTTGGACACCAAGATTAAGATCTCCCAGGATCACTTGGTTGCTGCTGCTTTTTCTTCATAGCAAGGTTCTCTTTGAGCCGCCCACATCATCGACTTGCCCAGCTTTTTAAAAACAGAGCAGTACATTTGAGAACGATAAATGGACATAAGTAGAGGAATGAATTGAATCAAAACGAAATCAAATTGTGTATGAATACTCCGTGAGCATTGTGGAGCATTTGCTCCATGTGAAGTCACTGACACAATTAACGTTGAAGGGAATGATATCTTGGCGTCCCTTGCACGTGGCGATAAGAACCCATCGGCTCGAAACTACAGCCAGAACTCCTCATCCACCTACCTTATTCTTCTTACATTCTCACTCCTCAATAGCAAGATGATTCCTCTGCCGCGAAGGCTGGCATCCCGTCAGTTAACTGGGTACGTTTGCAATAGCTGTACCCGTCAATTGGGTCGCCAAAGGAGGGGTTATGCCTCCACGCCATCATCAACAACAGACGTGTACGATGTTGTATGTGTGGGAGGCGGACCAGCAGGACTGAGTCTGCTAGCAGCTCTGCGTACCTCTCTCCCATCTCAAACCCCCAAGAAGAAACTTCGCTCTTACGAAATCCACAGGTTCTTCCCTAATAACAGCCAATCTCAAAGTAGCCTTGATTGAGTCTCAAGACCTCAGCAAAACAAAGGAGTTCTCTCTCCCACCGACGCAATTCTCGAATAGATGCAGTTCGCTCACGCCATCTTCAGTCCGCTTTCTGGATAGGATAGGAGCATGGAAGCATATACAGAGAGACCGAGTGCAGGCGTATCAGGAGATGCAAGTCTGGGACGGCCTTACAGGCGCGAGAATTGAATTCGACTGGCCTGGAGAAAAGCAGAGTGACACGATTGCTTACATGAATGAGAATCTTAATCTTACATCTGGATTACTGAAACGAATTGGGGAGACGGGGGGCGTAGAAGTGATGGACGGGCAAAAGGTGGAAGATATCGTGCTAGGGGAGGCGACGGAAGATGCTGATCTAAGCAGCTGGCCTGTGGTGCAACTCAGTGGTGGCAGGAAGCTCGCTGCGAGACTGCTGGTGGGCGCAGATGGAGCGAATAGTCCGGTGAGGGCTTTCGCGGGGATTGGCAGCAAAGGATGGGATTACGACAGGAATGGAGTCGTCGCCACAATCCAGCTGGATGGCAATGGATGGGGAGGAGATGATATCAAGACGGCGTATCAGAGATTCTTGCCTACGGGACCAGTCGCGATGCTCCCTTTGCCAGGCAACTATTCAACATTGGTCTGGTCGACGACTCCTGCATTGGCAGCCCATTTAAAATCTTTAAGCCCAAAGGATTTCATTGCCATGGTTAATTCAGCGTTCAGGCTATCTCCGGTAGACCTAGCATATATGCATACACAAGATGAGGGACATACAGAAGAATTCCAATGGCGTTCACAGCATACAAAGTTCGATTCTCAGCGCATACCACAGCTTGCAGTAGGGGTTCAAGAAGGAAGTGTGGCATCATTTCCGTTGAAGCTTCGCCACGCTGATACATATATCGGAGAAAGAGTTGCGTTGGTTGGAGATGCCGCGCATACTATTCACCCTCTGGCTGGACAGGGTCTCAATCAAGGACAGGGAGACGTTGAGAGCCTTGCAAAGACGATCGAATTTGCTGTCACCCATGGGCAGGATATCGGAGTCCAGATGTCTTTGGAGACGTACAATGCAGAGCGATATGCGGCCAACCATGTACTGTTGGGTATATGTGATAAACTGCACAAGCTATATGCTATTGAGAGTGGTCCGTTAGTGCCCCTGAGGAGTCTGGGTCTCAAAGCTGTGAATGCTCTTGGGCCCGTGAAGCACTTCGTCATGAGTCAAGCAGCAGGAACTGGTGCAAAAATTCTGTAATACTAAGGGGGGGTAGAGCGATATCAGACTGTATTATTATAATGGAATGGAGGGCTCAGCTACGCATGAGACATATAGCAGTTCGCGCGGAGAATTTAGAATTGCGGCAAAGCATTGCAACATCATGGTGCTCTGGCTGGCGATCTGGAGATGAAGCATAGTCATCGTTAATGCAACGAGCAATTGTGCCATCGGTTATCTGAGACTATGGCGCAATGTTCAAAGCCTTTACAGCGATCGTCAGCGGAAGGATGTTAAGATGATACGTATAAGTCCAGCATAAGAAAGCATGACGGGTATATGTGGAAGGTTCTCGGGCTGGTCTTTGACAGCAAAGATGCAGGAATTCGAAGTCATCGCAAGTGCACTGGCAGGATCAGGCGAGTTTTGCTGCCCCTCTCCTCGAGACCCCGTCGTCCGCTCGACGTTTTGCTGTCCGTACCACCCGTACAGTCGAGTATCGCAGGGAGAGCAGCAGGTGCCTAAGGGACGAGCACATCTGTCCCACCTGCCTCATGCAGTCTCCTTTTCCTCTTACTTTTCCTCGTCCTTCGGCCAGCCAGGCTCTCCTGGACGTTCATGTTGCCGTTTTGCGAGAGAGGAATCGTGTCTCGGACGGCTATGAGTGGGCTGCGTCTGACCACCGGAACAGCATTCTGCTTTGCGGCAAGTCTCACCAGGCATCCCGAAGGAGCTGCAGCTGTCAGCCTGTCAGTCGCGGTCTAAAAGCTCTCAAGAGTGAAGGTGACGTTCAGCTCAGGTCGAACTATTGATCCGGGCGTTGTCCATCCGGCGCCGTCCCAAGTAATTCATGGTGTAAATTCAAGAAGGGTACGAGTAAGTCGGGGCTGCGATACACCATCGGTATCACCACTCCCGGTCGTCGTTTGGTGATCTCCAGAGGATCAAACAGCGACGTCGACTGCGCAGTGCGCACCAACAGCAGCATCTCCCCGCCGCCCAGTCAGAAGTTCAGACGATGCTCGGAGACTTGTGAGCTGCATGAGCACAGATGCCCCCTAACGTCCGAGAGTTGGGATATTGCATGGGCCATCCCCTCGTTCGCGGGACGTGCCCGGCCCAGCAAGGTCGAATGCCGCTCGCAACTGGTCGCTTTGATTGTTTTGTTTACTCGTGCCCCTGCTGCACGCCCACCACGCCTCCACACTCGGCCGATCGCTCAGGGAGAATTTTGCGTGAGATGAGCATTTCATGCTGTCCAGAGACCATATTGGCTTGCGATAACGTCAAATCCCTGACGGCGATGCAAGCAGGGAACCTTCAAAGGGCTCGAGAGTCAGTGATTCGTGATGCAGGGGCGAGCCATTTTCCTTCTTTCGCTCATATAGCTGTTGGCACATCCTGATCCAGCTGCTTCATGTTTCCGTTTCGTTTGCGATTTCATCTGATCAGATCGCGCTCCTGCAGAACGGACGGCCGCTCCCCCAGTCGAAGTCTGAAGTCCCTTTTCGTCGCTGTCGTTGGTGCCGCCTCCTATTCATTCGTTTTTGTCTCCTGCGTCCTACGCACTTAATAACCAGCCATGTCTGCCGTCCGCCGCAGGTCTTCCCAATATTCACTGTTCCCAAGTTGTTCTCCAACGCCACAGCAGACTTCCGCTCTTGCTATTGCTACTGCTACTGCTCCTGGTACTGCAATTGCTCCACACGGAACTGCTGGAGGCAATACATCCCCTTCGCTACGCAAGCGCCACAGCGAAGGCTCGGTTCGGGAGAGAGCCACAAAAATATCGCTTCGGGCCTCCTTATCAAGCTGGAACCTGAACATCTTCCCGAGCAATAACTCCGAGCTTGGTATCAATACCCAGCAACCCAAAAAATCCAACAATATGGGCCGGCTCATTCCTCTCAAACTCGAGGCGAACATGTCTGACACGAAGTCTTCGTCAAGTTCGCAAAAAGCACCCCCATCACTACCTCTTACAGAACTCGCCTCAGTCCCCATTCCAGCACCGCTCAACCCTTCAAAACCCAGCAAAAGAGCTCGCCCTGGTCCCGTCACCGATCTGACTATTTTACCCTACACTCAGAAAGAGTGGGGTACAGTCATGGAAGAAGTCAGACTATTGTATTCTAAAGGCCAATATAAGCATTGTGCCATGAGATGCAAGCAGATTCTTGATGGTATCAAAGATCCTGTAAGTTCGATCTACGACTCAAACATGATTTCAAGAACTAACTCCACTCTCAGTATAGAGTACATCCTCTGTATTCGATCTACTTGTCTTTTTTCGCTGCCAGTTCTTTAGAAATGACCGCAAGTACCCTACACAGCCACTCAAGCACCAAGCTTCCACTTTTCCAGGAATCGCTCGCCTTCTACCAGAAAGCCGAGTCATTCGTTGAATATGCATCTTTCTCCACAGATCCCAATATCGCCTTTGCAACCCGCCAGATCGCTATGTACGGACAAGCATCGCACTCCTCGTTGTCGTCCAGCATCCGATCCTCAGTTGACTCGGTGTTCTCACAAGCCTCTGCCTCGTCAGTCTACTGTGCATCTTCTTCCTACGGCGACTCGCCCACCTTCGAAGAGCATTGCCTCAGACGTAGCGCCTCAAGTTCATCTTCTTCCGAAGATAGTGAAGACTCTCGACGCTGCTCCGGCCGTTTCCAGAACCGCAAGAAGAAAGTCTCATTCTCCCTACAACTTCCTACTCTTGATTCCGAAAGCCCACTCGATCTGTCTCCAAAGTCAGTAAATGTAGCGAATGCTTCTCAAATCCTAGATGCCTTCCCGGCACCTCCTTCGAAAGAGACATCCCCTTCTCGCTCCTCATCACCAACGAAACTACGACGCGAGAGCCTCTCAAATTACTACCACGGCCAATCCGTCGCTCGCTACCGCACACATCTCACCTCCTTGAAATCACAACTTGACTTTCACATCTCGTCCATCCACTCACAAATAGGTCTCTTAGCCGAGGCACGCAAGCCCCGACGGTCGAATACGCCAACTCAGTACTCATTCGATAGGACCGAGGAGAAGAGTACAGGTGCTGATGCCAGTGCAGAGGCGCACAGGAGACCGGAGTTGAGAGAGAGGATCGAGAGGTTGAAGGAGCTGGGTTGGAGGAGGAAGAGATTTGATGGTGAGAGGTATCGCTTGTTATGCGAGAAGGCTCTTGGTGAAGTCAATGAGCGGCCTTGATGACCCTCAGAGGATTGACTTCAATTCACGACATGAGAGTGGGAACGAGGAATGAGCGATGGGATTACGAACTTTCCACTAATGCAACCGCGGACACACGCAAATTTTCTTTTCTTTTCTTACCTTCTGACGATGATGCCTGGATGGAGGGGGTTTGGGGTTTGGACTTAGCGTTCTCTTCTTCGTTGATCATGCACTGGTGTACATTGGGATTGATCCTACGGGGTGTTTTGATTTTTTTGTCGTATATATGATACCACCTGATTAGTTTATAGCAACTACCATTGCTTTTCTCTGACAATATTAAGAATCTTAAACATCTTTGTCACATCACAATTGCTTGCTTTTATGTCTGTGAAGTCTCTGCATATCATGTCCTATTCTAAGATTTTTGTACATACTGAAAATCTCCTTGACTTTGAGATTCACTAGGGGCGGAATTGATCCGGCGTTGACATCAAGTCAACGCTTAGTATGATGAAAGTCGGAAGTACAAGTAAACAGGACAGCCCCAACCCAACACCTGTTCTAGCTGTATTGCCAATGTCGATATCAGAATACTACTTAAGGTAGGCATAGCATTTTTGGGTATTCAATGGTAGATAAAAATGGATATCAGTAATAACTGTGAAGTAGCAATTGATGAAGCAGAAATGAAATTTCAAATGCCATCACCTTGATTATGACTTCGTGTAACCTCAAAGCTCTTATGCAGATTTCACTCAGAACAATGCCACAGTAATAAGAAGTTGAAATTGTTCGATCGCCACAAGAGGCGCTTGAGACATGACCAAGAGGAATTCTTTTGGAGGAGGTAAAAGTCACTGGCTAATATCCATGACGCAAATGAGAGACAAACGAATGAAAAGTGTAACGCTCTCCCTATTTCGGGTATCGGCTTTCGCATAGAGAAGGAAGGAGAACCCGAGAAACAGGACGAAGAGAGGCACTGCAGGTCTCGCAACAAAACGCACAGATGGACCACAAACGAGACCGTCAAACCCAGATAGAAGCCTAGCTAGCTGGCTGAAAGCCCAAAAACACCGCAAGCAAGCCTGTATTTCTCATTCATCCAGAGAAACTCTTCCGTTTTGAAGCGTTTTCTTGTGCCTCCTTCTCGACCTGCAACTGCTTCTCGCTCTCCTTCATTTCTCGCACCTTTGCCAATACGATCTCCCTGAAGATGGCCCCTTTCGCAATCTTACTCAAGGATCTCTTGCCGCCGGGTGCGGTGCCGGCTACCGTGCTGCTTGGAAGTCCCGAGCCTGCATCATGGCCGGCTAGAGCTGCTCCTGCCGCGGCTTTAGCATCGGCTGGCACGTCGGCCTCGCCTGGTACAACATCCTCCTCGTCTTCTTGCATCTTGAGCATTTCGATGCGGTTGGCGAGTTTAACAATTTCGATACCACGGCGTAGACGAGCCTTGGCCATATATGCCTTGATCTCGGGTAATAAATTGTGGTCGGTAGCGTTCTCGCCGCTTAGCCATGAATGACGAAGAGCTTGCTGTATGCAATGTTAGAAACGATCTTTGAAATCAGTAAGTAGATGGACATACCTTGCTGGTAGATCTGTCATCCGCGTCTGGTTGCAAAAGATGTCCAATGAAGTCCTTGGCATCATCGCTGACATCTTTCCAGTATCTTTCATGGAAAATAACTCTGGCACTGCTACATTCCTCGATGAGTTCCTGGAGGTTCTCACTTCGGAAAGGAGAGTATCCGCAGAGAAGAGTATAGGTGATTACGCCAAGAGACCACATATCGACCGGCTTGCCATGTCCCTTCTTCAGCATTACTTCAGGAGCAGCATATCCAAAAGAACCAGCCATCGTCGTCAGCACTTCATCCTTGGAATCGAGCATCTTTGCGATGCCGAAATCTGCGAGGACAAGGTCGGATCCGGGGTTAGGCGTGAGGTAGAGTAAATTTTCAGGTTTGAGATCTAGTTCGATTAGATATGGTCATTGAGTCCAAACGACAAGGCTATACCTCTGTGAACGACATTGTTGTCGTGTAGGTAATCGACAGCTTCAAGCACCTGTCGAATAGTCTGCGAGGCATCCTTCTCTGTGAATCTCCCCTGCTCGCAGATACGGTCGAACAACTCTCCTCCAGTCGCAAGCTGAGTGACAATGTAATATTTATCCTGGCCGTTGTAAGCGCATGCAAAATCTAGCAGCACTTCCATATCTTACTCTCGACTCGAACCAATCCACAAACTTGACAATGTGTGGGTGCTTCATCCGCTGCAACATCTCGAGTTCATCGTAGACCATCTGCTCGTTTCCCTTGACATTCTTCTTCAGGATGATCTTCACGGCGACCTTGCCTGTCGGCCCATCTGCCTCGCGGACAATGCCATATGTTCCAGCACCAAGAGTTCGACCAAATCGATACTTCGCTCTGCTGACTTGTTAACACATTCACCCTGTGGTCGAAAGTGGCATGTATACTTCTTATCGTAGCTCTCAGGCTGACCATGCAGCTTATTGAGCATATTGGAGACTGGAGCAGAGCGACAAGAAACGGTTAGCCAGCGTTTTATAGGGAATTTGAGATAAGTAAAGGTAAGAAGGAGAGCCAGCGCTCGTTTGCACAATCTAGCCATCTGCTAATACAGAGGATGCCGATTGCCTTCATGTCTGCTGCTTCCAGCAGCGGGTCAAGTGCGGGGTGCAACTCACAACTCATCGTGGCTGCCGATTGTCTATCTCGCCCTCAATTGCTGTGTCCTTTCGCACCTTCCGGCTGCTTGACGTCGGATGCTCAGAGCACTGGACTGTTTGGTGTCCGGTAGCGCGCAAAAGGTACGGAGGGTTCAAGGTTGTTGTTGACTTCGAAGATTCAGTTGAAGCTTCTTGGTGGGGCCGGGCTGAGCTGGCCGGGCTCCTGATGAGGGGTTAAAATAGAAGAAGAAAAGGGAGTCTTCAAGGCGGAAATGTGTTGGAGATGAAGGACTCTGTATCCAAAGGAAGAGAGGCAAGAGAAGAATGAAGTAGGTCGCAAGTAAGACTTTAGAAAAACCTTTGATATTGCGCTGGTCTGAGACTCCTGCAGTCTGCCTTGCCAGCGGACGGGGGCCAGCTTTGCCTGCTGCGCGAAGGGCTCGCTTCTCAGCCGCTGTGAGAACGACATAACGACAGTCCACTACTGTACACTATTACCTTCGGCTTCAGGCACTTCGTTACCTACCTACCCACCTTATGAGGGGAGGGGCAGTGGCTGAGCGCTCAGGGGCTTGTTGATCATCACGTGGAATGCGTTTCTTTGACATTTCCATCTCTCCATTCAGCGCTTGATTTTGGTCTGTGGAACTACATGTAAAATACATTGCATCATTGAGGCTATTCACAGTCTAGGGTATTGGTGCCATCAAGGTTACTGACCAAATACATGGCACTTGTGCAACAGCTTGATTTGAAGTTCTATTATAAGAATCCATCCCTCCTTGCTTAAGTGCCCGCCGCCTATCGATAAGGTTAAGCTCTTGCCTGGCCTGCCTCGCCCCTCCGCAACCTTTCTTTACCTTACCTGCCTACACTACACTACGGGACCACTTGTGAAATATTTCCACTGCCTCTACCATAAAGAGCCGGCATCTCAACTCCATTAAATCTGCCACTTTCTAACTAGATTCCTTCTCGAGATTCCCTGACCTCTTTGCAAGAGATAAAGAAGCTACGGTACTTTCGGTGTGGGAAAAACAGACCCACAGCCTCGAGCAACGACCCAAGGCCAAATCCAAAGATCTGAGCAACGAGCGAGAATGAGCTTCGCAACGAAACGCCTGTCGAAGGAACTGTCAAAGGTAGAAATTTCTCCACGAGATTACATCAGTACCGCATAGTAACTGCTATATTCAGATTCACGGCACGCTACCTCCAGGAATCGAGCTGGTGACGGCGGAAGGCTTCCAGGAATGGCAACTTGACATTAAAGTCCTCGACGCAAACCCACTTTACATGAACAAGGTCTTCCGCCTAAAATTCAAGTTCAGTCCTCAATACCCAATTGGTATGTTCCATCCCACGTTCTCGGGAGGGAGGGAGGCATCTGCTTGAGCAAATGCGTCAAGCGATCCCCGCATCAGACCCCTCCATCGCACTTTTCCCCACAGCAATCGAGTTCAGATCACCACTTGGGCCTAGCTAACACATTTTACTGTCTTACAGAGCCACCAGAAGTAACATTCATGCAAACACCCGACCGACCTATTCCCATGCACCCACACATCTACTCCAACGGTATCATCTGCCTCGACCTCCTCGGGCAGCAAGGCTGGAGTCCCGTTCAGAACGTAGAGAGCATATGCATGTCCCTACAGAGCATGCTGACGGGTAATACGAAGAACGAGAGACCTGAGGGCGACCAGTCTTTTGTTGCAAATAACAGAAGGAGACCGAGAGATATTGATTTCTATTACCATGATAATACTGTTTGATGAGTTCTTGAGGTATGGAATGGATTGGGACTTCCTAGAAGACTCAGGAACGGGCATGAAAGCATAGCCCTGCTCGTGGATTTTGGTGACTTACTACATGGAGGAGTGAGGATGTATCTGAGGGAGGCATATTGGTGCTTAGAACGGAAAACCTTGATTCAGACATGCTTTGCTGGTACATGGCGTTATTGGCGTTTCAATGGCATACGGATGGACTACATGGGGGTATTGACTTCATCGAAGCGACAGCATAACTTGTGGTGGATTAGAGACGTCATTTTGGTTGGACTTGAGAGTCTTAACTTTGATTTGCAGATTGGCATTCTAGCACGGCGTCTGGTTGTCTCTCTTCTTAGGCCATCATAGCGATAATTTGGAATGATATATAGATGAATTAAGGATCCGCACTCTGGGATTTTTCCTTTCGATTCAGTGACTTGTGTTGTTGTTGTTGTCTAATTACAGCTTGGACGTTAAGGAATTTGAGAATTTGAGATCGTTTGGTCTCTGATCTAGGACAATGAAATAGCTTGGATGGTAAGCTGACGATTCGGAGTCCGATGCCACACGTCATTTAGAAAATCATGAAGAATTTTCACCGCTTTGCTCTATCTCCGCTTGGCTCAAGCTTTCCTCTAGGTATCATTTCCTTGCGACACACTCACCATATCGCTTCCGCCCATCTAGCTATCCTCAACGCCTCGAGTCCATGCACTGCTCTCATATGCTAATCTCATCTACTTTTACATTTCGAAAGTATTGATCTTCTTATTCAGTTACAATGTTCTGATTAAGATGCTGGAACTGCTCCAATCGCTTCTTGTGACGCAGGAGTCTCTTCAGCTGGCTTCTCTGGATCCGGTACAGCAGTAGTCTCGGCTTGCTTCTCAAGCTCTGCTACTGATGCGGTAGGTTCTGGAGGCAGAAGTTTCTCTGCATCGCCCTTAATGCCATCAACTACTCTCAGTCCCTCTGCCTCTCGGAATAAACCCTCAAGATCTGCTTTCCGTCTCAGTCTCTGCTTGACCTCCGCTACAACATCAACCAGGTCGACCAAAATGCCTTCTTTCTCGGGGTGGCCATCCCGTAGGCCCATCTCCTTGACCTTGACTTTTCCTTGCGCAACTTCGTCTTCGCCGATGACGATTGTGAAGGGTACGCCGTTGACCTCCGCGGCCCTGAACTGGTTGGGTAGTTTTGGCTTGACTTTGTAGAGGAACTCGGCCTAGCGCGAGTTAGCATCTGTCTTCTTGTTTGTGGGAATATGGCATACCTTGATTCCGGCCTCCCATAATCTAGAGCAGATATCCATTCTCTCCTTCAACAGCCCAGTAAATCCCTTCCCTCCAAAAGCCATCACGAAAACATCGACTTCGTTGTTTCGTACCTGCACCGCATTCTTCTCTGCGGCCATCCGAGCCTTGGTGATCGAGAAGATTCTGTCAACACCGAAGGAGATACCCACGCAAGGAATCTGGTTTTTGCCAGAGAACATGCCCACCAGCTTGTCATACCGTCCGCCTGCTGCTACACTGCCTACACCAACGCTAGGATCCGACGACCGATCCTCGTCAGCATCGGCTCCTTCTTTGGACGGCTTCTTCGAGGATTTGGGTGGTGCTGCTGGAGCAGTTGATGTAGTTGCGACTGGTACGGAGCCGGCTGATCCTTCTGTAACAACCTCGTAGATGAGACCAGTGTAGTAGTCCAACCCACGTGCTAGACTTAAGTCAAAGGAGACATTGTCCAGAGCTCTAAAAGCTTCCAGATACTCAAAGAGCAGTTCCAGATCCGCAATTCCTGCCTTCATAGACTCATTTGCCGCAAGCTTCTCATCTGCCTTGAGTCTCGCGAGCAGATCCTTTTGGCCCTTCAGGACCACATATTCGCCAATCTTGTCAGCGATGTCTGGTGCGAGGCCTTTCTCTTCGGTCATTTCTTTGCGTACTTCCAGCCACGGTAACTTATCCAGCTTGTCGACCGCAGATGAAATGGTCCGTATTTTATCTGTTGGTACTCCACATACCTCAAAGATACCATCGAGGATTTTGCGGTGATTCAGCTTGATTGTGTATGCTCCCTTCCAACCTAATCCCTCAAAGACTTCAGTCGTAATCCGAATAACCTCTGCGTCTGGTAGCATAGGATCGTAAGTGCCCGCAATGTCAAAGTCGCATTGGTAGAATTCTCGCATGCGTCCCTTGGTCATGGCCGGTTGATCTCGTCTGTAAACTTTTGCGATGTGGTATCTCTTGATATTTTGGACGTCTCTGTTCATGGCCAGCCATCTTGCAAATGGTACGGTCAAGTCGTATCTCAGTGAGCAGATCTCTCCACCCTGGTCCGCGAGGTCGTAGATGAGTTTACTGTCCTCACCATATTTCCCAGACAGAATTTCTTTCAGTTCAAATACTGGCGTGTCGATTGTCACTGCTCCGTGACGCTTGAAAACGTCCGTGATGGTCGAGAAGATCTTGTCTCGAATTACCATATCCTTTCCCTCCCCTAACAATTGTAAGTGTTGCCACCAGCCACACGTGGTATGGAACTCGACTCACAATCCTTCGTGCCCTTCGGAGTTTTTAACTCAAACTTTTGTCCTTTGGGAGCCATCTCGTCGTCTTCTTCTGTTCTGCGCCGAGCAGTTATCGAGAAATTGCGGGTGTTTCCAAATGTTGCTATTCTTGTTGCTGTAATTAAATTGAATGCTCTTGGACCCGGCGTCAGTGGTATTGATCTGGCAGATCGCAGCAGTTGTGTTTGGAAAGTCGTCATTCACCCGTCGCCAAAAGATTCGGTCTAAGAAGGCTGTTGGTGGGGGAAATATCAAAGTTCTGAGTCATTGGTGGGAGGGACGTTGACTCGGACGAGGCTGAGGAACATGGAAATGGAATCTTTGGTGCCCACGCTGGTCATTCCCCGTCGAGGTTCGCTCGCTTGCGTGCGGGGACCTTGACCTTGACTTTGAGGCCCCCCACGCAAAACCGAGCTCGAGCCCTCACCTCACTCACTGCCAATTGTGCCGCTGCCTTGTCTGCCCGCGTTTCCTCTCCTCTTCCACCCTTCACTCATCGCCGCCTCCATGTAGAAGCTCAAGATGGCTCCTCATGCCGGCTTCGACACTGACCAGATCAAAGACAAGGCGCGCAAGGACATTCTGTACTTGCTCGAGGGTGTAAGTAAGGACTCCCACCCACTGCCAGCTGGAGGCCAAGGTCCTCGTGTCAATCGTCAATTGACCCGCTTTGTTTTAGGTGCGAGGAAAGAAGAACCTAGTACTTGAGAAGTCTTTGGCTGGTCCAATCGGCATATTCGTCAAATTCTCGACCCTCCAAGATTATGGCGTGGACAAGGTCTTCTTCTTAGAGAATGGCAATGCAGATGTCAGCCAGCGGAATGTGGTATTCATTGCCCGTGGTGAGAGTGCTAAGCACGCACAATCAATAGCCGGTACGTTTCCTTGATACCAATTTTATACACACCGATCCTCTTCCATTCATGGGCTCTAAAAGTAGACTTCGTAGACGACTGCTTCCACTCTACCTAGTCAGTCTTGAGCCCTACATGAGTTAACTCAAGCATATACGGCACGACTAATAGTGACATTTCCGAGTTTAATTATGCATCTGTACACTGCCATTCCGTGCTGACAATCATACAGATCACATCAAGCGCATGCAACGGGAAAGCCAGACAGGACATGAATTCTCAATATTCTGGGTTCCACGAAGGACTCTTGTATCTGAGAAGATACTCGAAGAAGCTGGCGTTTTGGGGGACACAAGCATCGCAGAGTTTCCACTCTATTTTCTTCCTCTCGAAAAAGACCTTTTATCACTCGAGCTGGACGATTCATTCGCCGACCTATATTTGAAGAGAGATCCTACACCGACATACCTACTGGCACGTGCTTTGATGCTAATACAGCAAAAACATGGACTTTTCCCTCGCATCACGGGTAAGGGGGATAATGCAAAGAAACTTGCTGACCTTCTTGCGCGCATGCGACAAGAGCTGGTAGCGGGTGAAAATACAAACGAGAGCAATAGGCTAGGGCTGACTCCAAGTACGACCATCGAGAGCCTTATTGTGATCGATCGCGAAGTCGACTACGCTACACCTCTTCTTACGCAATTGACATATGAAGGATTGATTGATGAAGTTGTAGGGATCCAAAATAATCAAGCTGACGTGGATTCGTCTATTGTTGGCGCTGCTCCTCAGCCTGCACCTGGAACCTCGAATGCGGCTGGTCGAGCAGTGCAGGCGAAAAAACGCAAAATTGTGCTGGATTCTTCGGACAAACTCTACGAACAACTACGAGATACAAATTTTGCTATCGTTGGGAGTCTGTTGAACAAGGTAGCAAGACGCCTCAAGACTGATTATGACGGTAGACATGATACCAGGACAACAGCAGAGTTGAGAGAATTCGTGAACAAATTGCCAGGCTACCAAGCCGAGCAACAGAGCTTGAAGATTCATACAGGACTTGCTGAGGAGATCATGAAGCATACTCGAACTGATCAATTCAGTCGTTTACTCGAAGTGCAGCAAAACTTGGCAGCTGGTGCAGACCCTTCTTCGCAGCATGATGCTATAGAGGAATTGATCGCGCGAGATGCTCCTCTTGCAGAGGTGCTGCGAATCTTGTGTCTTGAGTCATGCATATCTGGCGGAATCAAACCTCGTGAGCTGGAAGCCTTTAAGAGGATGATCCTTCAAGCCTATGGCTATCAACACATTCTCACACTCGATGCCCTTGAGAAGCTCCAGCTTCTTCTCTCACGAAGCTCGCCAATGGCATCCATGATCCCAATGGCTGGTGGGCCTGCGAACACCGGAACGAAGACGAATTACACATATCTGCGGAAAGCCCTTCGACTTATCGTGGATGAAGTCAATGAACATGATCCGAACGACATCGCCTACGTTTACAGCGGATACGCCCCTCTTTCAGTACGCCTAGTTCAATGCATTCTGCAGAAGCAGTACCTCACATCCATCACTCGGGGAGGAAATGCGAATAATTCTGCTGGTGTTGCTACAGGTGGTCCTTCCCAGGGCTGGCGAGGATTTGACGATGCAGTGAAGCATGTAAGAGGACAGACCTTCGATGAAGTACAGAAAGGAGAGGACAAAGCCGTAAAGGCCCGTTCACTACTCTCTGGAAGTGGAGACAAGAAAACCGTCTTCGTTGTGTTCTTAGGTGGGATAACATTCACCGAAATTGCTGCGTTGAGGTTCATTGCGAAGAAAGAAGAAGGTACATGCTGAAGGCTCTCCACTCAACTCAACCTTACTGACTTTACTTTGCAGCACGAAAACAAATCATCATCTGTACAACCTCGATCATAAGTGGAAGCAAGATCATGGACACGGCTGTTGAAAAAGCTTCACTGGGGAAAAGTGCCGTACCAGACGCGTAGAGTGCATTCAAGAATATCATGGGAGAGACCACGACTTCGAACGTTTCGTCAAATAATATAATGTAATCATCAAATGACAAGAACATTAATGCCTGACATGAATTCTAATCGACAAACCAATAACCTCCACATAAAAGAAGCATTGCCCAACTTGCAACGTCGGGAAGGGAAGGATATCGTCAATTTAAGTCTCACACGTGATTCTCCGCTTTGGCTTCCATTTCGCGAGTCGTCCCTCATCTCGACAGAAGATCTTAGAAGGTTGATATCCCTCTATCGAATCACCCGACCACCAACGAACTGCCTCGAGTGCTTAAAGAGCATCTCTCTCCTTTGCAAGCGACGACGACTCGACGAAAGTAGATTGCATAAGGCGCTGTTGAGGAAGAACATATGAATGGGCATAATATCGGATGCGACAGGTGAGACGAGTTCCACGTGGTGATACATATATCAATGTCAAGTCTGTTAAAATAATGCTAATACATGTCATTAGATTTCTGAAGAACGATCAATCAATAATATCGATGATACCCGAGTGAGGGGACTTGTGGAGGAGTGATATCAAGTGGCAGGGGAGCTTTCGAGTAGCTGACCAGGCCCAGCCGTTACCGACCACCCTTCATATATGACCAAGCAGTCAACAGGTCATAGGGCTCAGGAATCTAGATATGGCAGCAACAATGGATACTCATATGCCTCAACAACATGATGATCTTCATTTGATGGGTTTACAAGAATTGGACTCGCATTTGTCAATATTCGAATCGTCAAACATGGACATGGAGTCATCAACTGGCACACCAGAATCAACCTCAAATTATGCCGATGCTATCAACGCGTCCGATCAAGTAACAACCATTGTTGTTGAATCGCCAGATGAAGTTTATTCGCCAAGTGCTCAGTATGGATCCCGTGCCAGGGCAACGGATCCGAAGCTTAATGCCCTTCAGTATGTACTCGCACTTTCCTAGCTTGATTTGAGTTTCATCCGTGGACAAGCAGTTCTAGGATGCCTTCAAGACAGCTTTTAATATTCTTACCCTAGAGCTGAGCACCACACTAAGTCCGCTTTGAATGGCAGCCTGCATCTTAAACCAGAGAGTGCTCGAGATTCAATGGCATCATCAATGGGCACAGATATTGACGACGGCTCATCGGCTCTTTCTTCGATATCGAGCAAAGCGACCTCACCTACAGGATTTGATGCAATTTCGAAGGAGACAAGCAAATTGACTTCACAATTGGCGAAGCGTCGCGACAAATTCGATGTCCGTCCGAGAGTCTCGATTCCGACTGATCTGACCCCGAGCGAGTATGCGAGACAATGTATTGCGGCCGCAGAATCGTCGCGTCTAAACCCGTACAGTTTGCATCCTGAGGAGCATGCTATGCTGCGTAAACACATCAGCCATCAACAGGTTACAACATATCTCAATATCCGGAATGGCATTCTGAGATTGTGGACGAGGAATCCTATGATCGGGGTTATGAGAGATGAAGCCGTCGGATGCGCCAGAGATGTCCGGTGGTTTGATACAGCCTGTGTTTGCTACGAATGGCTGGTTCGACGTGGCTACATCAATTATGGTTGTTTGGAGCATGTCGAAAGCAAGCGAGACAACAAGAAATCAAAAGGTCCCAAACGTAAACGCAAGACAGTTGCCGTTCTAGGTGCCGGCATGTCTGGCTTAGGATGTGCAAGACAATTAGAAGGTCTCTTTTCCCAGTTCGAAGAGCGCTTTCGAGCTATGGGCGAGGATCCACCGCGAGTTGTAGTCCTAGAGGGCAGAGACAGAATTGGCGGACGCGTATATTCTCGAGCTATGAAATCAAAACCCAAGTATCCAACTCTCAGCTATGGCAGTAGACACACTGCGGAGATGGGAGGCATGATCATCACAGGCTTCGATCGTGGCAATCCGCTGAACATCATTGTCAGAGGTCAACTAGCATTACCATATCACGCCTTGAAGCCAGACACTACGATCTACGATGCTATCGGAAGACCTGTTGATATCAACCGGGATCAGTTCGCGGAGAAATTATTCAATTACATTTTGGATCGTGTAAGCGAGTACAAATTCAAGCTTCCAACGCACCCAGTCGTCGACGGAGACAAGGATCTGCTTGACGCCGGTCGAGATGTGAGCTCAGAAGGCACTAGAACGATCAGCGAGGTTGAAGACACCACACAATCGTCGGCAAGTTCAAGCAAAAATGGATCTCGCGCGCCTTCGGAGCAGTTGATTCCTGTGTCATCTGATCGGCTCACAGGTAGAGCTCACTTGGAGCCTGGGATTCCTGCGGTGCACACGGCTGCCTTCAAAGCTCAAGAAATTGGCTGGCGTCTTCGTCCTGGTGTTGGTATTGAGCAAGATTTGGATCTCGAAAATGTCGTCAACTCAAGATATGCTACACTAGGGCTGGTCTTTGACGAAGCTATTCGACAATACACCCGAATCATCGACTTTGCCCCGCTTGACCTGCAGTTGATCAATTGGCATGTTGCTAATCTAGAATACAGCAACGCTGTTACTTGCAACAAGCTCAGTCTTGGTGGTTGGGATCTGGACGCAGGAAATGAATGGGAAGGTAAACACACCATGGTAACCGGCGGCTACCAGCAGGTCCCTCGAGGTCTGCTCAACTGTCCGGAGCCTCTTAATGTTCGTAGAAAGAGCAAAGTCAAGCGCGTCTCGTACAAATCCGATGTCAACGACTCTCCATCTGTCATCGAGTGCGAAGATGGCGAAACGATCGAAGCGGACTACATAGTCTCAAGTATACCATTAGGTGTCTTGAAACAGCAGAACATCAAATTTGAACCAGCTCTTCCAGACTGGAAGATGGGTCCTATTCAAAGAATTGGGTATGGAGTCCTCAACAAGGTTGTGCTTTTGTACGAGAATGCTTTCTGGGACGAGAGTCGAGACATTTTCGGGACATTGCGAAACCCAGCAAACCGCTTTTCTCTTGAGCAGTCCGAGTATTTTACGCAGCGAGGTCGATTCTTCCAGTGGTTTAACGTTACCAACACGACTGGCCTACCAACACTGCTTGCTCTTATGGCCGGCGATGCCGCATTCTCAACAGAAAGCACTCCCAATGAGCTGCTTATTGCCGAGGCTACCAAGGTTCTGAGAAGTGTTTTTGGGGCAAGTGTACCCTCGCCTGTTGAAGCAATAGTTACAAGATGGGGTCACGATGAGTTCTCGTATGGAAGCTATTCATACACTGGCCCCAATTTCAAGCCAGATGACTACGATGTCATGGCTAAGCCTATTGGCAACCTTTTCTTTGCTGGCGAACACACTTGTGGTACGCACCCAGCTACTGTTCACGGTGCCTACATTTCGGGCCTCAGAGCAGCTTCGGAGGTGCTGGAAAGTATGATTGGCCCAATCGAGATTCCTGAGCCTTTGGTCTTGCCCAATAACTCGTCCATGAAAAGGAAATCGGATGCAATCCATAGTCCCAAGGATCCAAAACAGGCACGCCTTGAGGCGTACGAGAGACAGGTTTGGGATGCCATATATGCTAAGCTTGGTGACCGACCTTGGAAACCTGCAAACAACTACGCAAATCCGTATCGGATGTACAGTAAGGACAAATGGGAAGAAGCCAAGAAGAAATGCGAGACCGGCCGAAGACCAGGAAAGGGCAAGCCCATACCTAACGAGGTGAAGAAGATGGTCACCAAGATGTGGAAAGAGGCTTCTGAGGAAGAAAAGAAGCCTTACAACGAAAGAGCGGATGTGCAAAAGAAGGCCTACACAGACGCTATGGCAGAATACAATTCAAAAGCTAGCCAGTGGGATAAAGACGCCCTGGCGTACCGTGAGGTGTATGAAAAGGAGCACCCCAGCGTCCCGGCACCAGAAGAATTCGCCAGCCCTTCGAGAGACAGGCGAGCTAAGCGAGGCGTGAATGGGTATGCAGAGGATTCGGACGATGAGGTTGATGTTTAAGCTCGGGGTTCTTTTTCTGGTTACTTGCATTCTATTGTAAATCATACGGAGCATAGGAGTGAGTGGCTTTGGCTTTAGCTTTGGCTTTTGGCTAAGCATTGGCAGGAAACTAAGCACTGGCGCTTGACTGGGGGTTAAGATTCTGGGATTGCATATAGCTACTTAATTGAGCATAGGGATTGAGACAACTGCAGCTATTACATCTGGGTTAGCTGTAATACAGAGCTATTAGATCACAGTCCACTGTGCCTCGTGTTCCTGACTGTAAGAAAGGGATTATGCAAATACTCTCCAAGATAGCTACTTGAACTAATCATACGATCATACAGGAGAGTACAGCTAATGTTCGTTCGATCGGAACCCCAGGATATCATTTTTGTAAAAAATTGCCCATGGATGTTGGTTTGTGACGTTGCCTTCCCACAAGGCTGAGAATCGCCAATCGAAGCCCCCGCCGTTTCGCTTCTGTCTCCAACATCAACCCCTCCATGAATGAACCTCAAGCTTGAACTCCTCTCCTCAGAAACCACATATTCCTTTACACAACACAACCACCATGGCTGAAATCGACCAATTTGACAGTGCGCTGTAAGTTGCCTTCTCCATTTTCACCATGTACCGCTCATCTCCGAGAAGGCGAAAGCTTAGCACACGGAATGTACTCATGCTAACCTCGCCCAGGGACCTCCTCCGGCGGCTCGATCCCAAACACACCACCTCACACCTCAACTCGCTCATAACGCTCGTCCCCTCCCTAACCGAAGACCTCCTCTCCTCCGTCGACCAGCCTCTCACCATCGCACGGTGCCGCAAAACCGGCCGCGACTACCTCCTCTGCGACTACAACCGCGACGGCGACAGCTATCGCTCGCCCTGGTCTGGCGAGTTCGAGACACCACTTGGAGGATCTGGTGTGGGTGGTGTGGATGAGCAGGGGAATAATGATGGGGCGGGGGAGGGAGCTGTGCCAAGTGAGCGAGTGAGGAAGATGGAGATTAGGGCGAATGAGGCGTTTGATGTCTATAGGGAGCTGTATTATGAGGGGGGCGTGAGCAGTGTCTACTTTTGGAATTTGGATGATGGGTTTGCGGGGGTAGTTCTGCTGAAGAAAGGTACGTTTTGACAATTCCGTCTTCAGGTATTCCAAGTTTCATCTACATGTGGCTGGTTAGGCTGCTATACTTTGAGGGAAGACGGATGAAGGAGACGGGTTAAGGAGGATCGGAGTGCATATTCTAGGATTGCATTCAGAGTACAATCATGGGGCTAATACGGTCCAGTTGCAACACCAAACACCAAATCCGAAGGTACATGGGACAGCATCCACGTCTTCGAAGCCGTCGACCGCGCCCGCACCGCACACTACAAGCTCACCTCCACCGTAATCCTGCACCTCTCGACGTCAAGCGACTCTCTCGGCGCGATGGACCTCTCTGGTAACATGACGCGGCAAATCGAATCCGACCTCGCAGTCGACGACGATACCAGCCACATTGCCAATATCGGCAAGCTGGTCGAGGATATGGAACTGAAGATGAGGAATCTGTTGCAGGAGGTGTATTTCGGGAAAGCGAAGGATGTGGTTGGTGATTTGAGGAGTTTGGCGCCGTTAACGGAAGCGAATAAGGAGAAGAGTGCGCATAGGGAGGTGATTGATTCGATGAAGAGGTAGGGTTAGGTGAGTGACTTGGGAAGAGCGGTTGAACGGGGGAGTCGATAGGAAGGACTAAGTATAACGAGTTCATACCAAAGCTATAATTGTGGCTCTGTTATCTTCGAAGCTGGCTTCCTCTCGTGCTTGGAGCATCTAGAAATTCAAGCATTTATGTCCGTTATTTCGTCCCATGTTCTGGACTCTTCCTCTGTCTTTGACGTCTCTCGGATGTTTCATTGCTAAGTGAGCGTGCTTCAAGCCCGTTCGTGGTGCCAAGTACGTGGTGGCAAGTAAAAGTTCTCTATAATCGGCTCAATGAGATGAGGTGATTTTCTTGACTTGATTACTAGTATGAAATTACTAGTATGAAAAGCTAGAGTAAATGAGTTTACATACAACAGACATAACGAAGCCAGCCCAAGACCGTAGCAACAGGGGCGATGGCTATCCTACGTTATGTCAATGAAAAGGCTGTCTTAGCTTCGTCATTTATCATGGAAGTGGTCGAAGTGAACTGCTCGTCTCAGTCCTGACTCACTTGCCGATTGTTGATATGGCGGCCTTCAGCTCCATTGCCTGCCAGCGGCCCTTTCAACAATCAGATCACCAAATCGTTTATCACCTCATGCTAATTCAACGCAAGCAGAGGAGAGGTTAAATATCGTTTCAAGTACAACTCGCATTCCGACTATCAACGGCTTGCGCTGGGTATTTAAGAACTACGCAAGTAACAAAGTGCCTCCTCGCATGCATCAAAAAGAGTAGAACCATCCTCCGCTTCGCCTCGGCAAAATCAACGTCAATATCAACATGAACCCGACTCAACTCTGCGCCTCCATCTCGGGCCGGAACAACAAAGCAAACAAGAAATTAGCAAAGATCGCGCAAGAGCTGAGCCGGAAATGCAAGTGGTTTCCTGCGCGCCCCCCCGCAATTATGCCCGCCTGCCTATCCCAACCCATAGGCACCGTCGAAAATGCAACAAAAAAAATATAGCAGCTAGCAATCATTACATGAAGGTTGTATTGTCAGTCGGGTGGATGTACGTTTTGATGAGATGGATATGTAACGCCTTGTGTACGCCGGTAAAGTATGGACAGACGAAAAAGGGAAGCTTTTGGAGATTCGAAAGTTCATGGAAATTAGTAGATGAGCAGGTAGCTGAGAAATTTCATTCGGGTTGGATCAGGAAGTTGTTTTTCTGCCGAAGAAAGTGCGTGTGCGTGATTTGTCGCGCGCTTTCTTCTCATCCTTTGATGGGTTTGGTGAGCGGCCTTGTCGTTCAGAAGAGTTTTTCTTCTTGTCATCGCCGTCGCTGCTGTACTTGGGTTTATAGATCCTAATGTGCTGTTAGGATACCGAAGTGTTTACTTGAATATGGATCTCAATGACTTACCAGCTATTGCCAATCATACTGATACCCTTTGCCTCAGCTTGACGATAAAATTGTGCGCTCTTCTTCAGATCCTTCTTACAGCCGAGACCCTGAGCATAACAAAATCCTGCTTCCGCAAGAGCATCTGCATCACCCCAAGAACCGGCAATCTCAAAGCATCTTAGCGCAAGAACCTTGTCCTGGTCGATTCCCCATCCGTTCATATGGCTCACTCCTAGTTCGTAGATGCTCAGCGCAAATTGGGCCTTTCTAGTCCGCTGCTCTAGGATATCAACTGATTTACCCTCCTTCAGAATTTTGTCATCGTCTGCTACTTCCAAGCTGGCGAAATCTGCTGCTCGTCGAAGCCAGGCAACTCCTTCTCGCTGGTTGGGACGCATACCCCATCCATGTCTGCATGCAAGAGCATACAACAGCATACCTGTAGGATGATTTTGCTTGGCTGCCAGACGAAGATGGTACGTTGACTTATTCAAAGCTCCAGCTTCGTGATAATCAATTGCTTTCGTGACATGCTCCTCCGCGGAGCAGTCCGCTGTCGTTGCTAACGAATGCTGCGATCGAGCCTTGAGTGTCGAAGTATCAGACGAAGATTGTGGACGAGGTCGTAGTGTTGGAGGGTGATCCGCAGATAGTCGTCCATTGCCAGATGGCTTGTGGCCTGCCTCTGTAGATGGCCTGGCAAAATCAAACGTTTGGCTTCGGTCATAAGTAGGTCTACCTGGGTCAAGTGATGGACGAGAATTTAGGTTGTCAGGCCTAAGAGAGGAGGTAGAAGGTCTGGAGGGTGGTGATGGTGGCGCTTGGCCATGAGCCTGTACATTACTGAACGGAACTGGCTGCTCCCAAGAAATCTGTGTTTGTGGTAGATTCTCCTGGAAAATCAACGAATTCCTCTGCAGCATTTTCCCTCTCGGCAGAGAGAATTTTGAATATACATACGAAGGTGCCGGTGAGTTATCGTTGTTATCTGGGAAGCCTTCGCTATGCATACTAACTGGTGTATGTGCCGTGTCATCCGCAAGAATGAAGGATGGTTGGCTGTCCGAAGACGCCTGTCGTGAAGGAATTTCAACTGGCAAGCCATTCATACTTGCTCGACGAAGTGGTCGAGAGAAGTTGAACGCAGGTCTGGGCAATCTTGTTCCGCCGATAGACATTTCAGAACTAATCGACGGTGACCTTGTCGTATGTGTATTAGGCGATATTGGAGAAGCTGAGAACCCGCTGCCATTCGAAGCCTTTCGGCTTGGTGACATACCTGTTGCAGCATTCACATTGTTGTAGTCTTCATCTGAGCTATCCGACATTGATCTTGGGCTCGGCGTCCTCTGTGGAAAAGGCGATCTCGGTGGTGCCAAAGCCCTCGAATCGTAACCGCTTATTCCTAGTGATCCATCCTGTGGTCTCCTGTTTTGGTTTACTCGTTGGCGCATAGACTCAGCACTTGGCCGAGGTCTCATATGCGAAGGCGATCCTCTCCTCAATATGGGTTCTTTCTCCAATTGAGGCGGCGACTGTTCTCTCCTTGCTCCAAATTCGCCCTCTCCATCTACAGTACTCGGCGGTCTCCTTCCTCTGAATTCCTCCTCATCAAGTGCGCTCAGCCGTCGAGGCGAGTCGGGCATGGGAGGTGCAACAAGATCTTGGATATGTCCTCCTAATGTAGGGTGGACAGACATGGGTCGAAATCCGGGGTTCTCTACCTCCATTTTCAAGCCTGATCCAGTGATTCCAGAACCAGGACTCGTAGGTGTGATTGGGGTGGCTTCCTCTGCGGACACAGAACGGAGATATCCAGGTCGTCCTTGACTCAACGAATTCGCAATTGTGAGAGGTGGTAGCCGGCTCACCCTCCTCCCTCCAACGCTTTCCTGCTCCAGCTGCCTTGCCAGCAATCGACTTTGTGCTGCGAATGCATCGAGAGGTGACAGTTCGGGTGGTACCTCTCCTGCTACATGTAACCTCGGCGATGGAAGTCCCCCAAGTGTCCTCGGAGATGGGAGGCCACTTCCAAGTGGTCCATGTGATTGCGATCGGAGGTCGATGAAGTTGGGTCTGTTCGCCATCGTGTGATGGTTGACCGCCTACGGTCTCTCGTCTTGTTTGTGATTATTGCTCTGGAGAGGGTCAATGGGGTATGGATAGTGTTATTTCGTGGACTTAAAGCGTCGTCAGAAGTTCGCTGTTGAGAGGATGTATTGCGGGCGGTCCCTGGGATATGTTCGGCGCTGAGCTGGCGGCATATGATGAGCGTGGTATGAATGCGCAAAGGTTCGAAGGCCTAGAAGGTCAATCTAGGAGGCTGTGTCGAAAGGAGGATCGTATTAAGGTCCTCACCGAGGTCGAAGAAGTGGAATGAGTGGCGACACGGGTAGTGTAGTGTTGTGTAGTGCAGTGCAGTGTGGCGATGGCCTTGAGGTCGCAGTGACGACGTCTTAATTAAGAGATTAATGGAGACAAGGAGTGTGGTGGTGGTGTGTTGTTGGATTGGGCTGGGCTGGGATGGTAGGAGTTGCGAATGTATGAGTAGTGAGTGAGTGAGCGAGCGAGCGCGCGACGAGTGCAGCGAAGGAGCGTTGATTGAGTGGATGTTTCAAAAGAGCGAGGCAAAGCTGGAGTGCATGCGATAGGTATTATAGGTGACGGGTGGTATTACTGCAGGTACCGCAACTGTACAGATGCGCGCGACGGCGACGGCGACGTCAACAACAGAACGGAGAAGAGTGGGAGACGGCGAAAAAGTATGTTCGTGTAGAGACAAGAAAGAAAACATGGAAAATTGGGGATGCAACCATCCATCCCCTCCCTCTACCTAAGTTACCTGGGTAGGTACCACTAAGGGACTGTATCCCCTTTCTCGCACCACTATGCCAAGCAAACCATCACGAGAATTCCAGACGAGCTCTGGCTCTGGGTCTGGCTCTGGCTCTGGCTCTGGCTCTGGCTCTGGCTCCCCTCTCCTCTCTCTCCCGTGACCCGTGGCTCTGATCTCTCCTCTCTGACTGGCAAGCACCTCCAGAGCCCGAGGCGAAACACTTACGCTCGTTGGCTCGGGCGACCAGATCGTTGTGGGGACGGGACAGAGACACTCAGACAGATAGAGACAGGACAGGGGCGTCAGGGGCGTCAGGGGGCACAAAGGCACTACTGTACCGCCAGGGCACTGAGGCAGAGGCCAGAGGGGCTTCGGAGTTAAAAATACACGGCTGCACGCGTCGCTAATTGGCGGTACCTGGAATTATATTACCGTACAGTATGGGTTGGGTTGCACGCCTCGCCCCTGTACTTGCATACCTAGGTAAGGTAGGTATACCTTGCTTGGACATAGCAATACTATCCTTCCTTGCAATACAGTACAGTACAGCTGCGTCCCTTTTTGCATGAGGGGGGAAGCACAATGGTCAATGGCCACCCACTGGAAGCGGACCTCGAGGAATGCTGGATTGATGAGCAGACGTCAGTAGTAGTCAGGAGTGAGAAGCTGCGGAGGAGGAGGCGCTGGAACAGAACCGGAACATATCTCATCATACCTCCCAGATAAGCATAACCTCACCTCACTCATATAAATAAGCAGCAGTACAGTAGTGGCTCTCCCAAATCGGGTTTTGTTAATCTGGAAACCACATGTGAATAGAGTAAAGTAAGACTGAGATCCGGGGCCGCATCTTAATCTTGTCTGATCCTCTCCTGCAGTGTGAACTTCGTCCGAGGTCTGAGATGGCCCACAGATCTCGTCTCGATGCCCCCTGATATCCTGGGCACCCACCATACCTAGGCCCTAGCCCTGCCATTGGCTGTCCGCACGCGGAACCGGCTTTAGATTAGATTGCATTTCGATACTGTACGAGCCATCGGGCTGCCGATGCACGACGACAAAAGACCCTTCTTTCCAGGTAGCCTACCGAACTTGGATACAACAGATCCTCATCCCCCTGGTCCAGAACTCCTGTCACCCGTCATGAGCTCGTGTTTTCCTTTTCCTTTTTCTTTCCTTCATTATTCTGGATACTTCCAGGATGTCCGTCTTCGACTACCCATTCGTGTAGCACGTGTGATGGGGGTGCTAATTTGGCCATAGCTACGAGATGTCGTTGGACGATCTGGGGATTGCTCATTTCGCTCGAGGGAGCCAATGAGCTGCCAATGTGGCGATCAAGTCTTCAGCTTTGATTTGGCATGACATCTCAAAGGCTTGTGACACATACATCTTGTACTACAGTACACACCCATTTTCTGTGTCCTCGATTTGTCTTCTTGAATGCTTCTCTTCGTTCCTACTTTTCGTTCGTCCCGGCCTGCTCTCCTACTACAGCACGAAGCGAATGATTTGTGTTATTCGGAACCACTTGCATGGCATAGCCTCGCTTGTCAGAGAGAACAGGCCTTCGAAACGGAGATCCGATCTATGCCATGATGTTTTGCACCTGTCAAGTTTCGTATTGGGTCTTGAATGATTGATTTTATGCTACAGCATCTGAACTTTTGATCGATACAGATACCATGTAGTTGATTGACGGTGAATTTGGATCCATAAATCGTTTCTGTTAAGTTCAGCGTCACGTTGGAAAGTCAGGAACAAATTTTTAATTGGATCTTGCAATTGCTTTCTGATTCGCTTTGAATCTATTTGCAAGTCCAAGCGATTTCTCTGACATGGTCCAAATTGGTGTGTCTATCATCTGTATGAAGCCACAAATCCCTGAGCTCATGGCGCAGGTGAAGGGCAGCTATTCGGAAATCAGCAAGCTCTGGAACATGCAATCTTCTTCCTCTGTGGAACCAGTCCGAAAAATTTCAAAAACGCTTGCTCTTTGCAGTAAAGTAAGTTCAACGAAGCCAAATGTCTCGAGACCGATTGGAGATATCAACATGAATTGGAAGATCGGCCAGATCGGGAGTAATGTCAACAAGGGTTGGCCGCGTAGGCAGGCTCTTAAAGACCCGTAACACCTGTCAAAGTCAGTCTCAGATGGATATGAAATCAATCAGGGGAATTAATACATACCTCCTTCTTGTATTCATCCCACTTCGGCTCGCTGCGAGTCAGATCCTGGTCAATGAGATAGAGGTAAGCAGCATCAGTGAGGAGCAGGAAACGTTCTTCGAAGAGAGTCAGGAGATTACTTCGCAGACTGTTCTGGAACGTGTCTTCAATTGGGGAGGACTGGTAGAGAAAGGACAGTCTCAGCATGAAAGGGACACATCTCGATAGCCACCAAGCTACAACCCAAGGTCGTTGCCTCAAACACTCTCGGAAGTAGTCAATTCGGTCTTTCTGGTCGAAAAATGGTGGAAGATGACCGCTTCTATTTGGTATTGTCCAGTGGAAATTTTTGAGAAAGTGTCATTGGGTTTGTCAGTGAATGTCATGCAGCGCACCTGGCACTTTTGGTGCCGGTTTTCGACTTACAGGACAAGCGGCTTGATCGATTTGGTAATCATGCTGGTGTACATCGTCGCATTGACTCTGGTAATGGTTTTGACCATCTTCTGGATATGCTCATTATCTCGGCAGCCTTGGTGAATGCCCGGCAATGAATTCCAGATGTACTCCTCATCAATTCCGCCAAGGTAGAAAGTCGCGAGAGTGAAGAAGCGAGAAAGATTCTTTGCATCAGCCCAAGTTGGCATACTAGCAGCGATATATGCCGAATCATGGCAGCTAACGAGTGGATCGTGGGGACGAACCTACATGTGCTTGCATCGCTCTCCATGCCTGTAGTAAGTGCAGTTTGTCATTCCGCCGAGTGTCCAGCGATTAGGGATTTTGCGTTTGTTGACAGGGACAAGAGTTTCGAAATTCATGTTTGGGGTGTCTTGAATGTATCGACTGATGAGCACGAGCATTGCCTGGCGATCGGCGAGCGTTTCTGGGATATTTCTGTTAGTACGTGGCTTGGGCAGTGATGGACGATGACTTGCTGTGCGCTCTAGGGTGTTGTGGTGGAACCATACTTGGTAGGGTGAATTTCGTAAGTCAGTCAAAAATGAAATTGAATCTTAGTACCAGCCAGCAACCAAAAGTGATCTGTCCAAGTTCAATTTACGCGTGGGGTCTTTTGATTATTTCTGAGACTGATTCAAAGTGAGAAGCCAGAAAGGTTGAGAGTTGAAGGCGGGTGTTCGGTGCTAGCGCTTGCGACCAGGTGGGTAGAAGAGATGGCTCTAGGATAAGAGTCGAGGTTGAGGTTCAACAAATTGTTGAAGTCGGAATGTCAAATAGTCGAAGAAGTACTCTGTCTATATAAACAAGGAGTGGATGAACCATTCGCTTCGAATTGTCCAGTGAAAGGGCTGGCGTCACATCCAGTCGTTTCTAAGCAGTGAATTACCATTGTCGTTTACGCCAAAGAAGCAGGCGCAGTTCAACAAATCTTCCACTGATAAGAGTGACTACCGAAAGTGAAAGGATCGAATGAATCTGCGGATACATCTCGAAAATCATGGCATCAAAAGGACTGCCTACAGAACTACGAAGCAATCCATAGCTCTGTTCCGTTTCAGGAAGGAACGACTGGAGATGTCTCCTTGCAACTTGTGACTAGCAAGGTCTCCGACCTCTATGTCAGTGTCAGTTGTTGAATAGAGACTCTTCCTTGTGGCTTTGAGCCTCATAGTATGTTTTCCTGTCTGTGGTAATTGAGACTGGTTTTGTCGGATGATGGCGAAAGGATATGCGTAAGTAGTATTGGCCTGAGTGACAAGAAGGCAACCAAGACAGATTTACGAGCCTTTTTCTGCGTAGAGGACTCACCATACTGCTTTTGAGCTCTTCATTGGCTGAAAAAAGCGATAGTACTGGAAACGATATCTGTTCTTTCATTTCTAGAGACGTCCGGCACCTGCGTTGGGGATAAAAAGTCCAACTAGGAGATAGAGAATGCTAGAATGATATTTCGGCATCAGAAACCAATCCTCAGTCACAAGTCCAGAATCATTATACCTAACTGAACGCTGCTGGTCTTTGATAATTTCTGAACTTGGTCTCGCTTAACCTTTGAGTTTGGTCAGCTCGTAGACGTGAGCTTCCCGTGGCTTCTCTAGTAATCAACAAATCGCATAGGTCAGCCATCAGGAATCCAGGCTACACTAAATCGACAGTATGGCACTCGGCTAACTTCATATCGTCTGTTAATGAGACCATTGCGGCTGGGATTTGAGCTTCCTAATTCAAGGTATCTTGGCTTCGCTATTAAAAACTCATCTGGGAAACTATGCCACACCTCCCCCAACACCCCTTTCGATATTCATGTTTTGGCAAAACACGCAGCAATATATATTTCAATCCTAGGGGAGCCCTCGAGTTGACATGATGAAACATATTGAATCCCTAATTTGACTTTTTGAAAGCATGAAGCTGGTACACCGCTAGTTAAACTTAACGAGAATAATGAACCAACAGAGCAGCACCATCTGCAGAGCTACAAGGCGAACTACAGCCTTGATTGGACAAAAACATGAACAACAGAATTCGAAACGGAGTGCAGTAAATTGCAGAAGCACGCTAGACAACTGTTTCGGGGATACGAAGTATACTGTAAGAATGAGGCCATTCCCATCTATCCTCACTACAAAGCAGGGGTTTTCGTCTCAAATCTAGTGCGATGGAAACAGGCTGAATAGATGGACAGCGAGGCGATGCAGGAGAGCTGTTTCAGAAGCTGGAGAAGTTCGGAACAATCTCAGGATAAATGAAAATTGGGTCATCCTGCAGACGATGACTGCATATGTCTTGCAGGCGACCTGCAGGCGCAAACGAGCGGAGATGATGCTTCCAACCCGGCTGCAATAATGCACACCGGGAACATGCTTTTGGATGTGCTGGGAGAGCAATTTCAGTAATGGTTCCTGCATTGGTCCGACGACCCGACTGTCGCCGCCTTCATGAACCCATTAACTGTGGTCAACTTTCGGAGGACACGGCCAGGCCTCCGGAATATCAGCAACACAGGTCTTGGGCATGGCAAAGAAACGACATCCATTTCAGGAGATCAAAGTGCCTCACACCACTCCTCTTCTTGGACTCAGCCATCTCATACGTGGAGAGTGATTCACCGAAGCATTGTTTGGCACCAATGTTGTGGCACTCTCGAGGCAGGCCAGAGAATTGGAATGCAATTACCTGCGTTGCGTGAGTGCAGATGGCCACAGACAGAGACAGAGACAGGACAGGGACAGGATCCATGGATGTTGACGGGATATGCCCGTGGATGGTCGTGGGAAGGGGCCCACCAGGGCCTGGGGCCAGGGCAAGCACAGAAGCCTTCTAGAAGCTTGGCATCTCCGTACCTAGGAACTCTGGAGTCTGCTACTGCAGGACCCCTGAGAGGAGCATCCAGAAGATCAGACTAACTTCGTAAACTGCAGCAACTAGGTAAGGTAAGGTAAGGTAAGGTAGATGAGGTGAAAATGAGGTGGGATGAGATGGCGAGGAAGAGGAAGAGGAAGAGGAAGAGGAAGAGGAAGAGGAAGAGGAAGAGGAAGAGGAAGAGGAAGAGGAAGAGGAAGAGGAAGAGGAAGAGGAAGAGGAAGAGGAAGAGGAAGAGGAAGAGGAAGAGGAAGAGGAAGAGGAAGAGGACAGGACGAACAAACATATTCCGGGATGAAGGGGAGCATGCCACAATTTTACGCTGCAGCCAGCCAGCCAGAGTTTCGCATTGCAAGACTAACATCGATAGCTACAAATGTTGCAGTGCGCCTTTCCCCTTTTCTTCCCTCACGCAGGCTCTCGGTTCCACGGTGTCTTTATGGCTTGAGTTCGGCACAACCAGTATGTTTCCTACCTACCTACCTACCTGCCTACCTACTGTAGACTTTTTCTTGCTCGCGCATACGGCCGAGAAGTTGACTCGAATCGACTTGAAGTATGGCGCACGGCGAGAAGCTGGCTGCACAGCATCCCGCCGTTCTAAATTGCTCAAGAAGACAGCACTCCACAGGCAAATAAGGTAAGTACAGTAAATCTACGAAAACAATAATCTACCTTCTCTACAATAATACATGAAAAGGCCAGTCACCCCGAGCCCAAACCCATGCCCAAGACTGCTACAACGCCCGCCTACCTGCCCGCCCGCCCGCGCCGCCCTGGTCCTAGATGCGGCAGCCTCCCGTTCCATCGAAAGAACTGGGGCCGCCCACCCGCGATCATGAGCTTAGCTTGGCTTGGGTTGGATAGGTAAGGTAAGGTAGCGAGGGTAAGGTACGAAAGGTATTGTACCTTAGGTAAGGTGAGGTCAGGTAGGTTCGCGACGTTCGGTACGATGAGGGTGGGTGTGGGTGTGGGTGGAGAAGAAGTGGCTGGCTGCCCCTTTTCGTCTGGGTCGATGTTCAAAACCCCCTCCATCACTTTTCCCCTGGCGTCGCCCTAATAAGTGCAGGGTCCGAGAACTTATTATATTTCCATCCCACGAGCCTGCTCTGCTCTGCTCTGCTCTGCTCTGCTCTGTTCCATTCTCCGCGCGCATTCCCTTTCTCTCAAGTGCCTCCGTCCGCAATACCTTAATTTCGCCCCATTCATCGTCCCCTCTAAGTCACCTCCTGTGTGTGTTCCTCCCAGCAAAGAGAGAGATCTGCCCGCCTTGACAGTCCGTACGAGATACGAAGTAATACCGATAGAAAGCGACTTCGAACTGCCAATTCCCCTCACCTCACCAACGCCATGGCCGAGAAGCCAGCAGTTCTCATAATTGGAGGCCTGGGATATATTGGACGGTTCCTTGCGCTCCACATCCACAAGAACAATCTTGCATCAGAAGTACGAATTGTTGACAAAGTGTTACCACAGCTGGCCTGGCTGGCTCCAGAGTTCGAGGAAGCTTGTGCGAACGACAAGTTTATGCAGGCAGATGCTAGCAAAGAGCGTATGTATTTCCGCAAATTCGTCTCCTATCTAATTTCAAATGCGATGTGCGCCGACTGAAATCAGAAGCTGACTCCCACTTCTCTCTGCAGAGTCTCTTCCTCGCATATTCGACCGATCCAATGGCAAGCAATGGGACTATGTTTTCAACTGCGGTGGAGAAACAAGATATTCTCAAGAAGATGAGGTCTACAAGGTGCGCTCTTTGGCACTGAGCGTGGCTGCAGGGAAGGAGGCTGCAAAGCGCGGCGTCAAGGCCTTCGTAGAATTGAGCACTGGTATGGTATACAAGCCCGACTCGCAACCGAGTAAGGAGGGTGATAAACTGAAGCCATGGAGCAAGATTGCGGTGTTCAAGCTGCAGGCAGAAGAACAACTTGCAAATATTGAGGGGTATGTAACTCTTGCGGGCGACGATTATTGTCCAATATCCCATGTTATCTCAGATTTGGAAATAGCAAAGGGGCATCTAGACGAGACGAAGAGAACACAAGCTAACATGCTCTAGACTCAACCTGATCGTTGTCCGCCTTGCTCATGTCTACGGCGATTATGCCTCTCAGTTTGTCGCAACCGCTCTCTCCTTGGCCAGAGTGTACCAACACCTTCACGGAGAGATGAAGTGGCTTTGGACTAAGGATCTTCGTGTGAATACGGTTCACATCGACGATGTTACTCGGGGCCTTTGGTCGATTGCAAAGTGGTATGCCACACAAAAACAAAGTGGCTGGGACACTAAGTCTATGGGCAAAGTACCAACATTCAACATGGTCGACAAAGGACAAACATGTCAAGGGACGATGGCCGAGATCATTGGGGAGCTGTTCGGAATCGAAACTGGCTTTCAGGGTCAGCTCATCAGCACTTTTGCAAGATTGAACATGGACAGTGTAGTGGATGATGTGAACGATGAAGTTCTTGGTCCATGGGCAGACCTCCTGGAAGATGCTGGGATCACTCGACCAGGACCACTGACTCCATTCATGGAGAAGGAGCTGCTGAAAGATACCGATCTGAGTATGGACGGAAGCCGACTGGAGAGAGTTGTTGGTTTCGCCTACGAGAAGCCGAAGATCACCAAGGAGCTGGTACAAAACGTAATCGACAGCTACGTAAGAATCGGCTGGTGGCCAGTCGCAAAATAAGAGCCATTTGTATCCATGGACACCTTTACTTTCTGGGACGGATGATTCAATGATAGGACGAGTGAGGACAACTACGAAGAACGAAAATCAGCTACAACAAAAGTTTTAATAGTGCGGAACGATTAACGATGACGAACGAGCCAACGGACGTGCGAGAACAACATCAAATTGATACAGATACCACAATCTCCTTTGTTTTGTTCTTCTTTCTTTCACTCCTCTTCTGGTACAACATATTTTGGGTTCCCTGGTCGTGCATTGCGAAGAAAGAGCGACAGACCGGGCTTTATGTGTATAATGATCTTGTAATATAGGAACTCGGTCCGGCTTGAGAGAGGGCCACTCGCGTATGATATATCGTTGATACAGACTTCCACATCGTTTTCTTGTTTCTTTCGATAGTTTATATACATACTGATAGCATTTACATAATATCCTATTCGATTCCGCGATCTCGTCTGACCTCCAGATGATAGGCCAGATATAATGGTAACACACTGCCAGTCAACCGTAGATGCATAATGCGAACTGTGTTTCAACCATGGAATATCAGTCTTTCCCATGGAATAGTGATTGAGTTCAAGACGACTTCCTGCTTTGCCTTTTAGAGACTTCTGTGCTTGGATGAAGCTCTTTCCCCGACTTGCTCAAACAACAGCCAAGGAAGATTCATGATAATTTACTTAGGTAATTCGCAAGTTGAGTCAAAGGAGGTTAGAATGTGATGCACGCAAGCCAAGCTAGGTAGAAAGAGAGTGACATGCCAGTTCCCAGTTCCGATCACAGACCTAGACCTGGAGTCTGAAACAAATGTAACATACGTATACGCATGGCATTCAAGAAATGCAAGTATAAGGTTCCCTTTATTGGACAGAATAAACTCCTTGGACTTAAAGGAGCTCCCGAGCCCTTGTTGTTCCTCCTGTTTAAACTTTTCACGTGACAGTCGGCAGCTGGCGTGACGCGACGCGGAAAGAGCAAACAACGCGTCGACAAGCTCTCAAGCTCTATCCCAAACTCCCTCCTACCCAACAAGTCGTTGTCTTGCTGTTCTGCAGTGCCATATAGTTGAGCCTCAATTGTGTCAGCGTGCCAGGCCAATCAGTGATCTGTTCCTTCAGCCCTTTGTGTTGAATCTCCTCGCTAAAGCACTGTTTCCGCGCCGGTACTCATGGACACGCCTCCTACCGGGGAGCTACTGGGAGTTACTGAAAGCTACGCTCATATCCACTCCATTGCGAGACAAGTTGCTCTCGACTTTGTACCAGGCGATGGGACATATGCCGTAGCTGTACTGCAGCACGACAAACTCCATGAAGTAGGGCCTGAGAACTTCTATTGGTAAGTCGCAATTGTTCGCTCGCATAAATTTCCTGGCCATATTCTATTTCCGTGTCTTGAAGATATGATGATAGAAATCTTAATTTACGACTATTTGCAGCTATCTATTCGAGACCCTACTAACGATTAATTCCAGGTTCAGTAAGTGTTTGAGGGGCACTTCGATTTTCTTCTAGATCCCAAGATGTTCTCGAGACATGTCTTAGCCTCTTCTTATAACAATTTTCACAATGCAACTGCTAACTCCTCTATCACCGAAGAGGTCAAAGGCAAACATTCAGTCAAGAAGCTACAAGGCGCATACCAGAATCGAGCCGGGTTGGAAGTTCCTGCCACTTTCAGACTGGACAGCAACTTCGTATCTGACTCGCAGCAGATGCGGCAGCTGGATATCATGAATAATAACATTATTGTCTTTACAGCACATGAAGCAGAGATGGTGCAAGACGCCCCAAATCCGAACGTTTCTTCTCCATCAAGAGCTCCTCTTCGTCCTACTAATACCCAGCTCCCTGCGAACCCAGCCCTAGTAGAAGTCAAGCCTCAGGACAGACTACTAAAGACAGAGAATGGCTATCTCGCACCCTTTGAGGTATCAGAAAATATCCCACAGTTCCCATTTGTTGCGGAAGTGAAGAGAGAACGTTCGCCGCATTCGAATGGACCTATTAGCAGTGAGACTCGAGGGGAGGACGCAGGATTTTCACAACAGCGTATGTCATTGCACTATGGAGGGCATGGCAAGTTATTTTATATGTCCGTTCGCGCTGACTTATTTACAGCCGTCGGACCTAACGGCTTCCAACCACCTGTCAATGCCTGTACTTTAGCAAGCAGTTCTCCTGTGAAGCAGGAGATAGTAACCACAGACAATCCTGTGGCCGAAGCCGCCCCGTCCTTGGCTACTCCTGCACCAAAGCAGCCATCTATAAACGATCGAGTCCAAAACTTATATCCAATGGAAGCCCAGAGGAGCTAGAGGCCGAGGTGAAGATGTGCCAGGCATTCCTGGGCGAACTGAGAAAGCCGTTGGACGGGTTTACGCAAGAGAACAAGGATGCCCAGCATTGGGTTGCCCAGATCGGTAAGCGGTAGTCGTTCTTGGGGACATTAATGTATCCTAATTTACAGCAGAACAATTGCAAAACCAAAAGGTAGATACACCAACGATCATCGGCGTTGTCGGTAATACCGGAGCTGGTGAAAGCAGTGTTATCAATGCCATGCTTGAAGAGGAGCGCTTGGTTCCCACAAACTGCATGCGAGCTTGTACCGCTGTCGTGACGGAGATGTCATATAATCACTCCGAGGATCCAAGAGCTCTATATCGAGCTGATATTGAGTTTATTCAAGCATCCGATTGGGAGAAAGATCTGAAGATCTCCTTGGACGAATTGATCGATGGTAGTGGGCAAATCAGCCGTGAATGTACGAACCCCGAGAGCGAGGCTGGTGTTGCTTATGCAAAGATCAAAGCTGTCTATCCTTCGTGGACGAAGGAGGAACTTGCTCGCAGCTCGGTTGCCGATCTTATGAAAGAAGAATGTGTTAAAAATGTACTCGGGACTATCAAAAAGATTGAAAAGTCCCAGCCCGCATACTTCTATCGTGCTCTTCAAAGCTATGTTGATTCCAAGGAGAAGGTTAGTCTCTGGTCCCTTTCCCTCTTGCTCTGACATGGGCTGGAGAAGCTAACGTCGGCTAGTCCACTGAGGACAAGAGCAAGAAAAAAGATAAAAAGGAGAAGGGTGAAAAGAAACAGATGGAATTCTGGCCCTTGATCAAAGTCGTTCGCATTTACACCAAGGCAGAGGCTCTAAGTACAGGTGCTGTTATTGTCGATTTACCTGGAGTTCACGACTCGAACGCCGCTCGAGCTGCCGTCGCTCAAGGCTACTTGAAGCAGTGCACCGGTACGTAATGCAATTTTCATTGATGTACAACCGGCTCACCGAAGTCTTAGGTCTCTTCATTGTTGCACCGATAAATCGTGCTGTAGATGATAAAGCAGCGAAATCCTTGTTAGGTGAATCTTTCAAGCGGCAACTCAAGTTTGATGGCACTTATTCAAGAATTACCTTCATCTGCTCCAAGACCGATGATATTTCGATCACCGAGGCTTCGGACAGCTTAGGGCTAGAGGATGAGATGGCCGAAGACTGGGACAAATTAGATGCCATTGAGAAGGAGCTGAGACAACACAGACAAAATGTGAAGGACTTGAAAGAGTCGAAAGGCGTATTTGCCGAGCTCATCAACGATGCTGAAGAGGCCATGGATGTTTGGGAGAAATTGAAGGAAGAATTGGAAGATGGTGAGACTGTCTACGATCCATCGAAAAAGCGCAAACGCTCTGTTGAGCCGAAGAAGCCTCGCAAGAAGGCGAAGAAGTCTAGATCTAGGTTCGTAAACTTCTTGATCCCCTAATCTTATTCTTAGTCCATATCGTCAATGCTATTTGAGACGAACTTTGCATTTATCCTTTTTGCTAACTAGGCGCAGCTCCGATAATGAAGACGAGGATGATTTTGTTGTTGATGATGAAGATGAACGTGGAGAAGAAGATGAGGAAGACGATGCCAAATCTCACGCTGAAAGCGATTCCGAGTCTGTGTCCGACAAGGGTGACCCATTGACCGCGGAAGAAATCGATGCAAAGATCGCTCAGTTGAAGGAGGACAAAAAGCGGGCACGATGTGAACGAATAGAGACAGATGACAAGATCAAGATTGCCAACGAAGAAATAAAGGCTCTGGACAAGACTCAAGAGAAAATCGATATTGCCATGAGTGCAATCTGTATTGCAGGTCGCAACGATTACTCGAAAGGCGCTATTCAGGTACGATCCATTCTTTCATTCCACTTGCCAAATCATTTGCAGATTTGTATACTGGTTTAAGAGCCAGCCTACAAGCCAATCTCGCAAAGTTTGACCGTTGCAGAATCAAGAGTACTAAAATACACCTAGCGCGATTTTGCAGATGGTATCCGAGAGCTAGACATGGAGTCAGCGCAAGAAGAAGATCCTGACCGATTCAACCCAGAGAACGACCTTAGAGACTACGATGAGGTGGCACGGTCTCTCCCAGTCTTCTGTGTTAGTTCTCGGGCCTATCAAAAGATTAAGGGTCGACTTCAACGTGACAAGGCGGTTCCAGGCTTCCGCACAGCAGAGGAGACTGAGATTCCTCAACTTCAAGTCCATTGTAAGAAACTCACGGAAGCAGGTAGAGCATCCAACTGCCGCAATTTTCTTACCAATCTCTCCCAACTCTTGAACTCATTGGGTTTGTGGGCATCAAATGATGGTACTGGGCTCAATTTAACCGACGCACAATTGGCGGCGGAAACGAGATTCTTGAAGCTGAGACTCCAGAAGCTTGAGGAAAGCCTCGAGAAGTTCGTGAAGGAATGCCTAAAAGACACGAATGATACCCTTGCGGAGAACATCTTTGAGCAGTATGAAAATCTGGTTGAGCTTGCTGTTGCCGAAGCAAACCAAACTGTTGGTAATTGGCATCGCAAAGTGAACCGAGTATGTAGAAGTCGACGTCTATCATCTACCATTCGCAAGCTAATAGCCACTAGGATCATCGTGAGCTTGGAGGTTATTACTGGGCCACCTACAAAGCAATCGTTCGACGGGAAGGTGTATTTTCAAATGCCCAGGGTCCGCACGATTTCAATGCTCAGCTGTAAGTACTCCCAATACTTCACCACATTTTGGAATTATCCTGATTATTCTAGTACCGAACCAATTATCAAGCATCTAGCTTCTCACTGGGAGAAGGTATTTGCTCAAAGACTTCCTCGTGTCCTTTCGTCCTTCTCCCGACAGGCAAAAGGTTTACTAACTGCTTTTCACCACGACATTGAGTCGCGAAGTATGAAGACAGGAACTGGCTCAGCTGGAGTTGCAATGTTGGGCCAGCAACTGAAGAACTACGAGCAAATATTCGCCACTCTAGCCACACAGATGATCGAAATCATCAATTCACTTCAACGAGAAGCCAACCGAGAGTTCACGCCCGTTATTGCTCGGAATCTTTCGACTGCATACGACTACTGTACTAGTGAATCTGGGCCTGGCCAGTTCAATAGAATGAAAGCCTACATGAGCCAGCATGTGGATAATGTCCGAGGCAGCATGTTCACCGAGAGCTGCGAAGAAGTGAAGGGTCTCCTATTGAAGATGTGCAAGCAAGTATCAGCTCAGATGTCAGAGCATACGGATGGCGTCTTCATTAGAATTGAGCGTGACTACCTTGAGGTTATATCTGGTACACAACTTCCTGGTCAAGCCATGCCGAAGTGGGAGCGCCAGATGAGATCGGAAGTTGCCAGAGTGATTGCAAATCGAGCCCAAGCTGTCATTGAAGAAGCCGAGAGGGCTACTATAGAGACAGCTGAGGATGGTACCTATGCTGAGCAAGGCAGTCGTGAGGACGGCAATGGCAGTCTACCAAGAGCAGAATCTCCACCACAAAAGACTAACGGCGAAGCTGCTGCTCAAGACATGGACTTGTCTTAGGTGGACTTTCGACCTTCAGTGTCTTGTTGCAACTATATATATTATACAATTTGCTAGGTTCGGGGCATGTCTCTGCCGTTTTGCTTGCCCTGGTTATACTTGACGACTGGTGGCTCTTCCATAGGGCTGAGCTGTGAGGAACGTGCTTTCACACAACAAAATTAGGGCTGTATGTGGTGGTTCCTCATTGTATATTGCTAGTTTGGAGGAGCTGTATAATATTGCTTATTTTGAAAAAATTCTGTGTATATGGTTCTCCTGATGGCACCCTTACTCCTCCTGGATGTTCTTGTCAACAGGCCGAGGTCGATATAAAGCATCGGCTTAGGTCTTCTAGGAGAAGGGGGCCGATTTCTCAGTCCCAATGATATCGTAGGCAGAGGCACGGAAGATTTGAACGGAGTTGCAGCTTAGCGATCTTTGCTCAGACATGGAATTCTGTATTCTGTATGTGTGTGGATATCACGAGTTGGACAATCTTAGCTGCATTTGAGCTTCCCTAGCAAGGACAGCTTTTCGGATGATGATTCTTGAATTCAGTCTACTTGTCTCTATCGTTTGATCGATTTACCAGTCCTCCTTTCAGCGAATTAGCTTCGTTTATGCTTGCAATATAAAGAGTGCCTCTGTCATCGAATCTAGTCTCATGAACCAGCAGATGTTACCCGCATCATAATAATTCCCTGCCGTACGTGATACTTTCCCGGATCACTCAATCCCCCATCGGCCGGAAGCATTTCCGCATCACCATTGCTCAAGTAAGCTTCAGCAAGCGTACAGTTCCCAGCATCCACAAACCCCAAGCCCTCATAGAGCTTCTTCACAACAACATTCCTCGGGTGTATCATGATCCTTACTCGAGTCTCCCTCCTCTTTCCCTCCTCACTCGCAAAGTCCATCGCTCCTTGGATCAACATTTTTGCAATCCCCTTCCCTCGGTGGGCGGGACTGTTGTAAACAGCCGTCATCTGCCATTTGCTCTCCACATCATCGTCACCGACTTCTGGACCTCCACTCTCAGGAATTGCGAAGCTGGCTTTTGTGAATGGTCCCAATAAGGTAGCGCTCCCGATCCAGTCTCCTGCATCTATGGTCTGGAGCTCAGGCGGAGTATCAGCTGCGTAGGCAACTGCTACAAATGTGTGTAGTAGTGGTCTCTGAAGACGAGATATCCACTGAGAGGCCGTGAAAACAGATTCAATTTCAAATGTTGAACTGAAAGCTGGGGCTGAGACGGTGAGAGCCGAGAGTCGGAGTGAAGCGAATTTGCCAGCCAGAAAAGGGAGAAGGACTGGATCCGAGGCTGGCAAGTGGTGTATCTTGTAAATGTATGACATCTTGCTAGAAGTGAAGGACAACTAGATGACGATTTCGAAAACAACAGACCGCTGTTGTCGATGCCGTTAAACAGTCCTGCAGCACGACCCAGCGCCGATTACTCATCCAGATTCGGGATTCTTGTCAGATTCTAAATCTCGGGATTCGGACAGGTGGCATAAGACAAATAGAATTTAGTTCACAATGGTTGACCTTTGATACCGAATAACCGGACATGTCGGAAGTGCAAGTGGTCATCAAATTTGCAGTTGTTGGAGCTTGGTTGTCATCTCGCCTCCAGTTCTCTCAACATGGCGGTTGGACTTGTACTAGTGACCGAGCAGATACTGACGAGGAAAGGAGACAGTGACTTGCTGCGCAGTAAAGCAACAGGTGAATGGATTCTTGAGATTAACACCAATACTATGTTCATGGCAATTTGTACCCACGTGCATGTACCGTCGCTAATCATTTATCATGAATATCCTCCCCAAAACTCAGTAGCACAAAAAGCATTGAAGTGCAACCAGATTATGTACAATCAACCTCAATTTAAACTTTTCTTAGCTATGAGTAGGCATCGCCACATCCGCTGATTTAGAGATGGCATCCTCGCTTCTCCACAAACTGGTAACAGTCTTGAGTTGGGTATAGAAGTTCAACCCCGGTTTGCCATAGAAAGTATTCGCACCACCACCTGCAATGCTCTTCTTGTTTCCTGTAAACGACCAGAGAGGAAGAGGAACTGGAATCGGCACATTGATTCCCACTTGCCCTGCCTCAATGTTCTTCTGGAATGCTGTGGCGGTTGCTCCGGATTTTGTGAAGATTGCAACGCCATTGCCGTACTCGTTTGCGTTGATCAGATCAACTGCCTCATCAAGAGAATCGACGTTCAAGCAGACCAGAACTGGGCCAAAGATTTCCTCAGTGTAGCACTTCATGTGCGTCTTAACATTTGTGATAATGGTTGGGCCGACCCAGTTGCCATTTGGATACTTGTCTGGCTTGTAGCCACGGCCATCCAACAAGATAGTGGCACCTTCCTTCTCGGCACTGTCAATCAAATGCTCGATTCTCTCCTTGCTTTGTGGCGAGATGACTGGTCCCAGATCGGCGCCAGCCTCAAAGCCACCATTAACCTTCAGAGACTTGGCGCTCTCAGCGAGCTCGTTGAGCCATTCCTTAGTCTCTCCAACCATAACTAGCGTGCTGAGAGCCATGCAGCGCTGACCGGCAGCACCGAAAGCAGCACCAACAATCGAATTAAGAGCATGCTGCTTGTTGGCATCTGGGAGGATAGCGGCGTGGTTCTTTGCTCCCAAATTGGCTTGGACACGCTTTCCATTCGCCGATCCACGGCTGAAAATATACTCTCCAGCTCTGTTACTTCCGACGAAACTGATAGCCTTAATAGCTGGCTCGTCGATAATAAAGTCAACAGTCTTTGCAGATCCATGGATGACATTCAAAACTCCAGGTGGCATACCAGCCTTCTCTGCAAGCTCGGCGAGAATCATTGCTGCTCCAGGATCACGTTCTGAGGGCTTCAGGATAAGGCAGTTTCCGGTGGCAGTGGCAATTGGAATGGACCAAAGAGGTATCATAGCGGGGAAGTCTAAACCTACTTAGCATTCGTTGAGGGGGAAAACAATCTCGACTACTTACTGAATGGGCAAATAGCAGCCACGATACCTAATGGCTCTCTGTAGCTTCTAGTTTCCATGTCCTTTGCTACCTCCAGCACCTCTCCCATCATTTGTTGAGGGATATTGCATGCGCCTTCTGCAACTTGTAATCCTCGAAGAACATCTCCTTTGGCGTCTATGACCTAATTAGCTCTGTGCTAAAACCCTATGTTCTTTTGAACATACCAGCAAAAGTCTTGCCCTGCTCCAAGGTAATACTAGCAGCCAACCTGTCCCAGTTATCCCTAACCAATTGGGTGAACTTGAACATAATCTGCTGCCTAGCCATAATACTCGTGGCCTTCCATTCCGGGAATGCCTTCTTCGCACTCTCTACGGCCGCTTTGAGCTCGGCATCTGTATTTTGTGGAACTCTCGTAACGAGGTTATTTGTTGCGGGGTCGTGTAGCTCGATGAATTGTGTAGCTTGCGACTTGACGAACTTATTGTCGATGAAGTAGGGCGTGTCTTGCACATCTTGAATCTTTTCGTGTGTAGTAGGATAGTTTTCGGCGGTGAAGGCAGAAGCAGCAGCTGGCTTGAGCTGTTGCGCCGTGGCGTGGAGTCTGCGAGCTGCTATCTTCGAGTTTTGGGCCGCAGAAGGCATTCTGAGAGCTGCTGTTGACCCAGACGTTCGTACTGCTGCAGCAGAGATACCCCGTGTAAGAGCGCGACGCATTTTCAAGTGATCAGAAGAATTGGAATGTGATGCAAGGGAATGCAAACATACTTTGGAAAGGATTTTGGAAATGGGGTCGGCATCGGAGTTGAAGATGCTCCTCCTCTTCCTCGCACATAAACATCCTAGCTGGCTGGCGGTTGGCTGGCCTTGAGCCGAGCGGTTCGGCATAGTGGAGCGAGACCGGGCTGAGAAGGAGGAGCCTTTGGTGCCCTGAGAGTGGGAGGTGGGGTGGGGTATGGGGTTGCACAAGGGAACCTGGAACCTGAACTTGAGGTCCCGGAGAGGAATCACCGAATTAGACGGGACCTGTGGAAATCCCCAGCCTAAAAATCTGCTCATGGCTCTAGATGTTTGTAGAAGGCGCGTGGCCATACTTAAGGTATCTATAGGTAGGTATTTTTTACCTCATTATCAGAGGCAACATCTTAAATCCACTGGGCCAAGTACCGAACTAAATCCGCTTGCCAGGCCGGCCAAGTCTCGGCTACCTAAAGCGAAGTATCAGTTGGTATGAAATCTGCAGTTGAATGCACTTAGCACACTGGCGCAGACGTATAAAGCGCTGCTAAATACCAGGAGCCATAATGCAGCACATCCTCTATTGTATTCGTAGAAAGAAATGCGGATTCCAGGAAATAAGCTATAAGGTAGACTGCCTCCTGATCCGGAGCTTGAGCCTACCTTGCCTATGATGGGCTATGGTTCACAACAAGCGAGGCTGCCAAAGCGACATTGTTTACCTCCAAACTTCACCCTTATAAATAGGACTTCTTTCAAGGCTCTAACAGCAAGCATTGACATCATTAACCGCTAAGTTATACATACATGGATCAAGTTCCAATGACACCTTTAAATCTGAGCAAGTACGGGTGTCAACTGTCCAGCAATGCCGTCCTACTTGATCACGGTCACGTCCGACAGCGTTGTTCGATGTGCAAAGTCTTTGGTACTAATTGCTGCCATGACGTCTCCAAACCCCGCGTCCGATGCACAATTGAGTGATGCAGATCGAGTGCTACCATTGATACTTGCGAGCTTGACGTCTAGCACGAATGCATAGTAGATCTATATAGGTTTAAAACTATTCGCTATACCGTCCGCACAAACAGTGTTGTTAGATATCCCCTCAATTGCCGAAAACACACTTTTCCAGGGCACGGCGCTGAAGCAAGGCGCTAAGGCTGCCTGGACGACAACGAAGTTTAGCGCTCTTCGCTTAATTACAGGGTCTCGCTACAGGTGTGTTTGATTCGGCAGTTTAGGGGATAGGAGACTGAAAATGACGGGGAACTTCAAGTCGGGCTGATAATGAAATGTATTTGATTAGACCAATTTAGGAGGAACCCACACAATGTTTGATCACTTGATGCTGTGTTTGAGAACAAGGTGCTGAATGTCAGGACCTACATAGTGTTCAGTAGCAGTGTGACACGATAGTTCCTCCAATATGTACCTATGGCTCTGCGAGACGAGCTTTAATCGGATTTTAATACCATCTAACTAGTCGAGGAAAGTATAAATTGAGAATTTTAGCTCAGCTTTGGATGAAAGGCAACGATCCTTCTGGGTCGAAATATCTTTCACCATGCTTTTCAGAACCGAAACATACCTACCTAGGCATCGAAGTCGAATTTCTCAAAACCCACAAATCTCGCCCCGAGGAGGAACTGTCAGACGCTGATTTTACCTGTATAGGGATTTTAAAGATCCGGCATATACTCTTATGAGTGCTCGGTTTCACCAAAGTCTGCATAGGATTTCCCAACCTTGATAAGTACAATTATAACAGGAATAGAAGAACAGCCAAGATACTCTGGTAGTAGACATACTTTGGGTATCAAGTGGAGAATACTATGCTTAAGATCACTTGAGGCAACTTCTCATTGCTCAATGGATGCAGCCTTGCTATCTCTGACACATTATGTAACTTAAATCGAAGCGGCGTGTTATTGCTACTCAGATTTCGTGGCTCAGGATGTTGTTGACTCCAACAATGAGAAACGCCAAGCATCTCTTTGTCTGTGGAGTATAGTGGAGCAAACGACCAGAACAATTTCTGTTAACAGGCTGTTTTACCTTCCATGGTCTCTCGATGTCCTTTGGATATTCTTTGGAGTTCCACCTTCCTAGATACCTACCTAATCGGGACATCATGTGACTATATATCCTCACAAGCCAAGCCAAGCCCACCCTTCCTAGAAGATTCTTTTCAGATTCGCTGACCATTTGAGATATCGAAACAGTCTTCAGTTCACCCATCATCTCTCACTCCAAACCCAAGATGTTGGCCGCACCGAAAGTATACCTTGCTGGCCCGGATGTCTTTGAGCCCAACGCTGTCGAAAGAGGCGAACAACTTAAGGCTCTCTGCACAAAACATGGACTCACGGGTCTTTTTCCTCTGGATAATATAATCGAGACCGCCGAACCAGGTAGCGTAGCTCACGCAGCCGCAATTCGAACAGCCAACATGACGCTCATCTCCTCATGTGATGCCATCCTCGCAAATCTGACTCCTTTCCGGGGGCCTTCGATGGATGTCGGAACAGCTTATGAGATGGGCGCTGGTTCTGCACTAGGAAAAGTTGTGGTTGGATACACGACTGATGGAGGGAAGCCGTACGTTGAGAAAGTTTCCAAAGCACACACTGTGAAGAGGGCAGAGGATGGCCACGTGAGAGATGAGAGGAACATGTCCGTGGAGGAATTCGGGGTCAAAGAAGGTGGAGGGCTCGTAGATAATCTGATGATCAGTTGCGGGATGGAGAAATTGTGTAGTTCAGAAGAAGAAGGCTTAGCCGTCATTGCAGAACTATTGAAGGGAAAGAGCAAGGCGTAGGCGTCGTTGTGGTAGATCTTTGATTGTATGAAGGGTCGAAGCCAGTGGAGACAGAAGTGGTATCAATTACAAAGTTCGGTCAAATGATTTCAGATATTGCAAAGAATACAGTAGAACTATAGAGAATATAAGTAGAAGATCGTCTGCTTGCTCAATCAAAAACCACCAGCATATGATGAAATGATGAAAGGTGTCGGCATTCTAGCGTGACCTCCCAGCCTAGGTACCACCTACATACTGTAACCGAGCAAAACCTCGAACTCCGACAATGTACCACCTTCTCCAACCGAGCATTATGGATATCACCACGCTATCCAACGATTTATTTAGGCTTGTTCTTGAATACTTGTCTCCCGAGGACCTGATTCGCAGTCGACGCGTCTCCAAGCAGTTCAAGGCAGCACTGACAGAGGTCGATTTATGTCGCCATCTTCTGATTGAACACTTCCCTCGGTCACGAGAGGCGAGGTCCATCAGCTTGTGTCCTTTGCAAGATTGGGGACATGAGTTTCTGCGGGTAGCTTCGAGATATCATCACCTGAGATGTGGCGAAGCGACAAGTGTCGAGAAGCTGGCACTTGCAAAATCATTCGTCGTGCCTGCGTGGTCCAGGCATTTCCCCGTCGCCTCTGTATGTACCTTGAAGATATATTCGTTCGGTCGGAAGATAGCACGACAGGAATCAATTGCATCCCAGAATATCCGCTAACTGTTGTGAAGTGGCAACAGCACTTGCAGTTTGAGGATAAGACATCACCTTTCCATTATCCAGATACGCTCTGGACCTACGATGATGGGATCTTGATATTACCTTCTGTGAAATCTCAGAACTACGTGCTATATGATTTGAGTACCGGTAGAAAGTCACTTATTGATCTTGAGACTGACAAGAAAGTTGTCAGAAGAATTCGACTAAAATATGGGGTGCTTGTCGTTGAATGGTGTGAAAACGAGCCTTACCACCAACTGAATGAGAACGAAATGGTTTGCAGGCATTTTGCTACTGCTTATGATTTGAGGAGAATCGATAGTAGCCAGTGGACTATTGTTTTAAGGTCAGCCTCTCCATTACAGTCAACATACTTATTCTATCTAACGACATCCGTAGGACCGAATGGAAGATACATTTCCTAGGATTTCCACTGGATTCTCAAGATCGCTTCTTCAGTGCACGCACATGTACCCACTATGCTATCTACACATGGCAAAGAAACCGCAGTGCCTGGGGTGAAGATGAGCCTATTGAGGCACTAGCCATTTGGGATATCTCATCTCCATCTCCGTACAGACCAAGTGAGGATCCTACCGGCAAGGCCAACCCCCAAGATGATTCCGAGGGTGCTCGCGTCATTAGACGATTCTCATTCGCAAACTTGGATTTTTACCAAATCAGACAGCGTTCAGACCCAATTCTTCGTTGCTTGGAGCTAGACGAGCAGAATGTTTATGTTATTGTAGAAAGTCACCGGTGGCTTGTGGGCCAGCAAGCTGCTAGCAACCTTCCACAATTGCACCATGTCAAAACGACCGGAATTCCTTTCGGCATTGGACCTGCATGGGAGGACGAGTGTGGAGCGAACGGCGACACGAATTTCTCTTTTTGTGAAAAGGCGTCGGACATCAGGTCTCCACACATCGCTCCGTGTTGGAGGCACGAAGTGAGTAATCTAACATATAATTGCCCAAGTAGCAGAACTAAGGAGAGTCCAGGAATTTCCATATCTTACTGTAACCGAAATGGTAGATTCTGGTGCTGGCGTGGTTTTTTCTGCTCGACATTGCTTCATGCTTGAGGCCATCTCTCTTGAGATTACACCCAAAGTCCATATGAGGGAACCAGAGTATGCGGTATCATTGCGTGACGACATTTGGCCTCAATTGCTCGCTAAAGGCAAGCTTTGCGGAGATGAACGATTCTTGATTGGCGAAAACGCAAACCATGAAGTAGTTATCCTGCACTTTGATGATCGAGGACTCCAGAAGGCGTCCATGTAGCCTCTTCTACAATTCTCTAGTGGCTTGTCGGTAGACCACTTGGCAGTGTTACAGATGTCTTCGGACCGCGACTGTATACCACTTTGAACCCGAAGCAAAGCGGAGACTAGGTGTTTGGTGATCCAGGTAGATGATGAAGATCTCGAAGCTCCTTGTGCCTTTTCTGGCTTGAACTAATTTCTTATTTGGAGTCACCTTGGTACTCGCTCGCCTAGGATTCGTACAATTCGCGATTGGTTGAGGTATTCTCAGCACGGATTGAGAGCCCAAAAGGACTCTGGTATGCCAGTATCATGTCAGACGAAATTGCTCTTACCGCAATGAGCAAAGATCATGGGTAAATCGAAATAGATAATCCAATTCGAGACTAAGTTCGACTGAGAAGTATGGCTAGGGTTATCGAGAACAATGCAGCGGTCCGATAGGTACCCAACCTGTGGACTAAGCTTTCTTGTCATCTCTTCAGAACTGAATACGACTGCGTCTCTTCGATTTGCTGATTTTCACAACGGCCTCGGCCAATAAGTTATCCGAGGGCAGCTGTCGTGTTTAGAGACGGCCACTAGAACCCCGCATTTCTTAGCCTACCTTAAGGTCGGAACACTCCCCTCAAAGGCTTTTAAATTGTATTCTTATTTCTACAAAGATTACTGTGTTATATAAGTCGAGCCATTTCCGTGTATTCCAGAAATTTTTCTCACAATTCAAGCGCTGTTTCAAAGTTATCGTAGACGATAGATTGTCCACAATGTTTCCTGCTGAGAGGCGAATCCCGATTCCAACTAAGGACCTCCTCTCTTGGACTTTTGACGACCCTAGATTTGACCAAGATGAGCCAGTAAGTTTCATCCCAGTTTGAGACCAACTTTTTGGACGTTGAATGCTAACTCATAGCACAGATCTACATCGATGCAAAAGACTCCTCGAGATCCATCTCCTTGAACCAGGCTCGTGTTTTGATTCGGCAACTTGCAGCTGGATTTCACGCTGCTGGCTTGAAAAAAGGAGATTGTGTCTGTCTTCACTCTTTCAACGACGTATGATATCCTTGCTAAAATCTGAAAATCCTTCAACCTCTACGGTGCTTATGTATTTGCAACGATTTAGATCTACTACCCAATCTTATTCCTAGGAATCATCGCAGCTGGAGGTATCTTTGCAGGTACCAATCCCTCATACACACAATTCGAGCTAGAGCATCACATCAAGACAGCCAAAACAGCCTTTTTCATCACTGAGCCCGAAATGCTCGAAAATGCAGTAGCAGCAGCCAAGAAGTGCGGTATTCCCGAATCTAAGGTCTGGATTTTTGATGTTCTTGAACAGCCAGTTCCCAAGGAGTACAGATCATGGAAAGAGCTCCTACGTCACGGCCAAAAAGACTGGGTGAGGTTTGATGATGAGAAGACTTCTAAAGAGACCACGGCTGCGAGATTGTTCAGTAGTGGAACTACAGGCCTTCCTAAAGCTGCAGTTCTTTCCCACTATAATTTCATTGCTCAACACACTCTCGTTCACGAGATCAACCGAAAAGCTTGGCGTCCAATTAGGCTGCTGTGTCTTCCTATGTTTCATGCAGCTTGCGTACCAGGTGAGTTGATTTTGAAACCCGAATAGGAAGAGTATAGGTTGAACGTGATTTAGTTGCACATACAACGCCGCTTCGAGCAGGTCAACCATCCGTCATAATGAGACGCTTCGAGCTCGAACCTCTACTTTCTAATATCGAGAAGTTTGAAATCAACGAAATAGGACTTGTCCCTCCCATCATAATCGCCATTATCATGTCCGGTTTGGCGAGCAAGTACTCCCTCAAAGGCATTAAATCGTTAACATCTGGAGCCGCGCCGCTGGGGAAGGATTCTCAGGATCGTATGAGGGACTTGTTGGCACCGGGGGCTCTTGTCAATCAGGTTTGGGGCATGACGGAGACATCCTGTATTGCTTCAATGTTCTATTATCCCGAAGATGATGTGACTGGAAGTGTTGGAAGAATGCTTCCTGGTCTCGACGCCAAGTACGTTGTATCTCCTCCTAGCGGAACTCCCTTGTTTGAACCCCCTCGCAACGTGCCCCACATGTCTCTACTCTCACTCGGGACAGTTAAATAGATACTAGATTCTCTGAAAAGGTGGTTCTAACAAGTTATCCAGGATTGTCGATGACAATGACAAAGACATCACAGGTTACGATGTCCGTGGCGAACTTTGCGTGCGCGGACCGACAGTTGTAGCAGGCTACTTTGAGAATCCAAAAGCCAACAGTGAGTCCTTCGACTCAGAAGGCTTCTTCAAGACAGGCGACATCGTCTACTGCGATAGCAAAACCAAGAAGTGGTATATCGTCGATCGAAAGAAGGAACTGATCAAAGTACGAGGCTTCCAAGTTGCTCCTCCTGAGCTCGAAACTGTTCTGCTATCTCACCCGCACATCATCGACGCGGCTGTCATTGGTGTAAAGCATCCCAGTGAAGCAGATGTGGAGTTGCCGAGGGCATATGTGATTAGACGAGATACGCCAGAGGGTAAGGCACTGGACGAGGCCGCTGTGAAGAAGCATTGCGGCGAGAGGCTTGCCAAATACAAGGAGTTGACTGGAGGTGTGAAGTTCGTTGATGCTATTCCGAAGAACGCGAGTGGGAAGATCTTGAAGAGGGTGCTGAGAGAAATGGCGAAAGAGGAGGATGATCAGGCGAAGGCTAGACTTTGAGTACTACCTACATGTGCCCCTTTCATATTCTGTAGAATATCATGGCCATGTTGCTCCATATCTCTCTGTTTCATCGTGTAATTTGTAGCCGGATGTAAGAACCTTTTTTCGGTGCGATTTGCTCATTGACGTCCAATCTCATCGACGACTCTTTCAACTGAGACACTTTTCCTTCACTCTCGCGATCATAAGTCGCAAGCCGAACCCCGGTGGTGTATATTTTTCTCATGGCCTGTACTTTCTGGACCTGTGACCTCGCCAGGACGGACTCCTAATTATCAGGAGCCTGGAAGTCGTAGCCCCAGAAATATTCAACATCTATGTTGTAAGATACAGAGAAAACTGCCACATACGACCATAGATTGGAGAGAACTTGGCATCCCGTCCGCTCTGCCGTAAATAAGCTCCAAATCGGTGGATTAGTAGTTGGGTGGGTGACCACCAGCGAATACCCACTGTTGTATGTTTTTTTGGATCTTTATTTTCCTCTTCGCTTATTCTTGCCGTTGAAAGTTGAGCGAATGGAGAGACAAAGCATGTGTGCCGCAATGGTTAGAATGGATGCTCTAGACGACTTTAAGATATCGAAAACGATGATTGAGAATGATGCTAAAGCAGTTCGGATGTAGCCTGTATTGATTTGGCGGCAGGGTCGAGATTACAGCTCATCATGTTTCTTTTCAGCCTCCTTTGCAGCTTGCTTCTCAGCCTCCACTGGCTCTTCCCACATCCTCTTCTTAGGATTCCTCGGCTCAGCTTCTTCAGCTGCCAGTTCTCCTTCCTCAGATCCCTCACCAGGCTTCTCATCCGTATCGTCCTGATTTCGACTCTCATCAATAATCCTCCCAACTTGTTCAGACATACTGTCCCCAGAACTTCCAGGTACACTCTCCTGGCCTTGTCTCAGCGGTGCTCCCCTCCCACCACCACCAACCTGAACATGTTGCGCTCCAGGCGGTCCGCCAGTTGGTCTGGGACCTCTCGTTCCACTGCTATGCACGACCGTTGCATGGCTCACTATAGAGCTCATAATGGGACTAACACTTACACTAATACTCGTCGGATCCCCATCCAGCAACCCCATGATCGTGAATACACCCATCCATCCTTTGATAAACATCTTCATAGGAAACCACACCAGCCACCATGTAGGTCCATAAAGCAGCCTCCTCCAAACCAGCCATACGATCGTCATAAGTAGGATATAAAATGCCGTCTCGAGGTACCATGTATCGCTCTTCTGACTGCGCAGTAGCGTTCCCAGCAAGTTCTTCGAGCTCGAGAGTAAAGTATCTAGTGTAGAATATGTCTCGGAAAGTTGGGCCAATGCAGCGGTTGATTCCTGTAACGTCTCATGAGCAAACTTTGAGCGTGCGAGTTCAGAAGCCATCATGTCATGTGTCCGTCTAAGAGCTATCGTCACATCACTGCTAGCGTTCACGGTCTTCTCGTCTTTCGAAAGCTCTACATTTTCTCGGGGTCGACGATGTTGTCCAGGTACAGGAGACGAGGTATCGCTCCGTGGTTCGAGGTATGATTGAAGCAGAAGGTCTCGTTCGGCGCGCTGTGCAGCTTCCAGACTGCGCTTTGCTGATATTTGAGCTTTGCGGAAGGAAGTCTGACATCTGATTTACTAATCAGCCCTATTTATAACTATAGGTACGGCAGAAGCGAAATATACATACAATTTAAGCTCCCTCATTCCCCTCATAACCGCTCCCTTAAGCTCCACCTTCTGCTGCTCCATCTCACTTCCTCTCTTGCCTTCATCCAGCTCCTCAACCTCCTCATTCAAAAGTTCGAAATCCTCATCTTCCTCTCGTATCAGCTGGTGTATCTCCGCCGCAAGTTCCTGGATAACATTGTCATCGTCATCGCCTCCGAGAGGTACGGATCCAGGCTGGAAATTGATCGTCGCAAGCCGATTGATGAGCTCCTTTAATTGTGTATTTGACTCCTGCAGAGCTTTCAAACGCTCGGATATTAGTTCGAAGGACATTTTGCTGTTTCGGGAGTTGTAAGCCCTGTGTTGCAGAAAGTTGTGCTCTCTGGGGAAAGCTGGCAAGAAGTTGGTCTTGAAAGTTGGAGCGGCTCGGGATTTGCCGAGCTCGTTCGGAACTTTTTGACAGTCGCGACAACGGCATCAATACTTCACCCAGTTTCATTCAGAAGACTTGTTGCAGTTGCTTGCGTATGTATCCTAATCTCGAAACAAATTCAAGTATGTGAAATGCTAATCGTCTACTACTGTAGGCTGCACGAATACTCTTCAGTCCACTACCAAAATGATTACCAGATTTCTCACCGATGTGTCGACTGCCTTCAACCCATTCTCTCCAAAAGCAAAGACCGCCCGACTTTTCCTCTCTTTCCTCCCGCCGAACGCGCGGCAGTCTATGAAGATTGATACAAAGTTATTCCCACGGACGTCGAGGGACAAGAGCTTCGTGGCGGTGAAATTCAGTAAGGAACCTCGTCCCGTACATTACAGCAGTGTTTCTGACTTTCATCGCAGAAGATGGAAAAGAGATGAAGCTGGACGCCGAGAAGCTGGGAATCAAGGGTGTTGTGGAGGAGGTGGATAGACATTCAAGGATATTGGCAAGGCAGGAGGAGTTGAATGGGAACTGAAGGATGCTGGTTATGAGGTGTATATCATTGCATGGGTGGCGTTAGGAGATTGTACACATATTACTCTTCGTATGAAGACAGGACATAGTAGCTTGGTGGCGTATCACCGTTTTCAATCCCCAATGGGACGGCAAACAGAATGAAGTACGAGCACGATCAACTATATAGGGCCGAACCTCAGTTCAAGTGCAATCGAGATTCATTTCTCAAGGTATTCTTTGTGTTACCCACCGAAAAACATCGTCTAAAGGCCATTTAATAACTTTTTGTACTATTCCACCAATCATGAAAATGCTGTTATGATCTTGGTCCAGTCCAAAAATCCGCATTTAAGCAGCGGCTCCAGAGATGAAGAACCACTTGTCAATACTTGGGTCGATTGGTGCTGCAGTAAGGTTCTCATTTTGAGGAATAGGAGGAAGCTGATCAGGAGTGACACGGCTTGGAGATTGCTTGACAGTGAGGTTGGTTCTTCAGGATGTTAGTCGATTACTTTTTGGGTGAAAATGCAGCTACTTACGTGGAGATTTCACCAGGAGTGGTCTTTCCAGTGATGAGCTTCTCCCAAGCCTCAGCACACTCACGAACGACGTCGGTAGCGTACCTATACCAATCAGTCTTGAAATCGTATGGACTCATGGCTTTAACTTACTTCTTGTTCTTGCACTCACCAGTGAAAGCGAATTGATTCTCTGGCTTTCCATCTGGGATTTTGTAGATTCTGAACCACTCATTGGTGGCTCTCAACAGACCTGGCAAGTGTCTCTCGACATCCTCAACGTCATTGAGCTTAGGAGCCAGTGGGTCGTTGACATCAATGACAATGACTTTCCAGTCGGTCTCCTCCTCGTCAAGAAGAGCCATGACACCGAGAACCTTGACTTGCTTGACCTGACCAGGGTATCCGACCAGCTCACCAATTTCGCAGACATCCAATGGGTCGTTGTCACCCTTGGCCTTGGTCTCGGGGTGGATGACGTTGGGATCCTCCCATGTCTAAAGCGTAATTAGAAAGATCATTGAGCAGGCGGCAGATGCACATACTTGAGGGAAAGCACCATAGTTCCATAGGTAACCCTTGTGGGGGAAGCAGTTGCGGACGAAGCGAAGCTTGCCTTTCTTGATATCTTGCTTAATAGGATTAAGCAAGTCTGCCTTGCTAATCTGAGCAAGAGAAATACACGTTAGCAGATATTGTGAAGCTGCGGGAGCGGATCGTGGTGGATGGAGGGGTCAAATTGCGGTGTTGACAAGGGCGACTGCGGGGTAAATAACAGCAGAAAACAACATCCAGAAACAGGTCACTAGACAATGAACGCACCTCCATCTTTGCATTGGTCCATCTTGGGATCTCAACTATCATGTTCAAGATCGTCTGATGCTCATTGGCGTAGAGAGGGATATCGTGGAAAGGGGAGACTGGAACGCCGTCCTTCTCGATGTAGATGCGGTGCTCCAAGGTGTTTGGGGCAGCGACCTTGCGGGTGGTGTATTGAGAGGCCATGTTTGCGTTTGGTGGCGGAGCAGAGTTGTTGTTGTTTGGAGGGGAAGAAGGAGAGGAAGAGGAAGAGGAAGAGGAAGAGGAAGATGAGCTCGAAAGATGTCGAGCTATCTGTTGAGTGCGGGACGACGAGGAGCAAATTTTGGTGGATTGCGCCAGTGTGGGCATGAAGGTCGCGGGCGAAAGTGCCCGCGCCTGCAGAATCGGGAACAGGCTTTGAGAGGCTGAGGGGAGAGGGAGAAGGCCAGGGCGAGTGAGTGGGAGTGGGAGTGGGAGTGCTGAGTTGGCGCAGTGAATAATGCTGGGCCTGGGCGAACTCGCAACTGCACGTCTTGATGCCCGACCTAAATGCGCTGGAGCGAACATACAGTCAGTCCCCTGGAAGACAGATGACCTCAATAAATACAGCAGCAATTGGAGCCGTCTCTACCTCTAAGGCTGGCTCTTCTCTCCGGCTGTCAGATTGGCTGCGGGTGGGCTGGTAATGTTGTCCTGACTCCTGACTCCTGATGCCGAGCTTCTCGGGCTTCTCTGCCCTCTCCTCTCTCCTGTCTCCTCTCCGCTCCTCTCCTGAGGCAACACCAGCGCCGCTCAGCCGAGGCGAGACGACCGTGCAGGTGGTGGATCTTTACAGTATGCCCTGCGGGCGGGAGTGCCCAGGTGAGCATTGACACTTTCTTGCATGTAGAAATTGTCCCATGAAGCTATCGCTGGCTTTCAACAAGTATTCCTTCAGTCCATGAATCCTTCACTCTTATTTCATCATGATTGTTTCCATAAAGCGTATCTTCGGTAATGATTGCGGAACAGGAACAGCTCTGAAGACTGGAGGCACCATCACAATTTTCTGCAAACATACTTGTCCTGGATAGGCGAATTATGATAGAGTCTGAAATGTCCATCAAGGGAACATGGCTTTTATCTGACGCGAATCTCGGCTAAAGTAAAGCAACAAACAAATATTATAGTTTCGCTGTAATGATATTCCAGTCTTTGGGACAGTCATTGAAGGTAAATCAACGTTGTCCGAAATCGCATCTCGCCGATAAGCTCGCACGTGCGATAACGACCAGCCCAATTTAGAATTCGAGAACTCCGTCTTTCACCATCTTTCACCAACCTTCAAAATATTTCTTATATTCCAGACAGTCATTTCAGCACATTCGCATTACGGGAAAAACAATATTCAGCTTCCCTTCTTATTCTGAGCCTCTGCTTAGAGAGCTCATACACCGTCTACACCCAGAACTGCAATGGTATGCAACGATTCGCATCAGCAGTCATGACATCCGTCACAAAACGAGTCCCCATTCCTCCCAAGGGAGTCGACTACAGAGGCAAGCTTGTCCTCGCGCCCATGGTCAGAAGCGGTGAACTGCCTTCTCGTCTGCTAGCATTGCACTATGGAGCAGATCTTGTCTGGGGTATGTTGTACAGTTGCATCCCCAATTGCCCACCAGTAACACAATTTCCAGGACCGACACTGACAAGCTCTCTCCTGCAGGCCCAGAAACAGTCGATCGATCCATGATAGGCACAACTCGTAAAGTAAACGAATCCCTCTCCACGATAGACTTCACGCGCCTTCCTTCGCACGGCAATAAAGACCCCCGTAAAGACCAAAGAGAAAGCCTCATATTCCGCATCCACCCTTCGCGCGAAGGCAAACGCCTAATCTTCCAGATCGGCACCGCAGATCCCGAGAGAGCGGTTGCAGCTGCGAGAATAGTAGCCGGAGACGTAGCAGGAATAGACGTCAATGCAGGATGTCCAAAGCCATTCAGTACCAGCGGTGGCATGGGCGCTGCCCTTTTACAGACACCTGATAAACTCTGCTCGATCCTAGAGGCATTGGTCAAGGAAATCGTGCCGGAATTCGAGATCGGAATTAGTGTTAAGATCAGGTTGTTGGAAACGCCTGAGCGGACAGAGACGCTGGTGCGGAAGCTGTGCGCAACTGGTATCACGGGCTTGACTGTCCACTGCCGTACGACTCCAATGCGGCCTAGAGAGCGGGCTATCAGGGAGCAGTTGAAGATGATTGCAGATATCTGCAGAGAGAATGGTGTTGCGTGTCTTATGAATGGGGATGTGGAGACTCGCGCGCAGGCAGAGCAACTCATCACTGAATTCGGTGTCGATGGCGCTATGATTGCTACGGCTGCTGAGACGAACTCCAGCGTATTCAGAAGCGAAGCTGAGGGAGGAATTGCTGCTTGGAAAGAAGTTGTGGAGCAATATATCAAAACAGCACTCGAAGTGGAGAATCGATGGGGAAACACGAAATATCTGCTCAACCATCTTATTCCTGGGAAGCAGGCTGTGTACAGAGAAGTCACGGCTAGCAAGAGCTATTCACAAGTTTGCAAGATCTTGGGACTAGAACAACTGGAGACAATAGCCAAGGAGGTTGATGAGAAAATCGGCATCACACCTGAGACAGAGGCTCAGGGCCGACGAGGAAGAAAAAATAAGAGTGCTATGGCGGCTGGTGGTAATCAGGGCAAGATTCGAGCCACTGAGGAGTCTGGGAAGAAGAATTTGTCCGAGAGAGGAGTTGAGAATCAACCTTCGGTGGCTTTAAGCGCATAAGTCGACTTTGAGTAAGGAGTGGAACACTGGCTGGATTTGTTTTTGGCATGATACAGCAGGAGTATACAGGAGCATTTGAAGGCGTTGCGGGTCATTTATCCAGGTAAAATATGGCGTCTGAAGATGCCACATAGACGCATATTCGCTCAGAATCATCACTCACTTCTCTCATGGAGGCTGGCGACACGATGCTCTCGCCCTACAGTGCATGCACACAAACTATGCAGAAGAAATTTCCATGGCTATGCTCAACGGTCTGCTGTCCTTCTTTCATTAACAGTCCTTTTAACCACAACAAACAGTAACCTCCTCCTTAGGTCCACTAGCAGAACGTCAATTGAGTGCTCGGTTTGTTGACAAAGTAAAAACTTACCCGAGGTCAACCGTCTCCCAGCTGAATACAAACGCCCCAAGCCACGCTCCAATGATAATGCAAATGATGATGTATCCATTGTAATACATAGCAAGCAGCATGATAAAGTATGCAACCGTGAATGAAACCATGTGCAGCGTGGCGCGGATCATCTGCTGGAAGATATTCGGTCTGAACGGTGGCATGCTCCTGCTCGATTGAGGAGCGCATGCTACGGTGGCGACCTTGCCGGCAACAGCTGAAGAGCCTGTCTCGGAATTGGTGCTGATGATAGAAGTTTGTTGGCGGAGGATGAAGCGGTCGTACTCTTTCCCTAGGCGGCGCAAGAACTCAAAGGACATGACGAGGAGGATGACACCGACACAGCAGCCGGCAAACATGCCTTCCGAGGTGATGTGCCATGATCTGGCGATGAAGCCTGTGGTTATTAGCTATGATAGGTATGGCAGGAAATTTTTCTTAAGAAGTACAGGAGTCGACGGTGTTCCAGTTCCACAACATCTAAAAACTTGGTCAGCTTCTCGACATGTGAGAATGAAGGCGAGCTCCTACAGAGATCTTGCAAGAACCACCCATATCCATAGCCATGGCGGCAGTTGTACTCGCAGAAGCCGCGGCACCAGTAGCAGTCGAAGACATATCCATAGCCATGGTGGTAGAGGCAGCCATGCTCATTGTTGTACTTGACATCTCTATTTCGACGGATGTTTCAAAAACAATTGAATATGGAAGATCATAGACCGGCAGCGTGGCAGGAAACAGAATGATTCTTCGGCAAACAGCGGGGAAGCTGTTGATTTTGTACTCTGGGCACCTGTGGCCGTCGGCGAGGTTGTGGCGTAGGAAGAGCCCGTTTGAGTGTTTTTAAGAAACAGGTAAAGCGGGCAGGATGGGCTACAATCCACTCAGGTAGACCGATTCTTAGCACCTGTCAATCTTACAATTAGTAACCGCACAGTCAGTGCGGTGACACTTCCACATTTTGACGCATTCCGTGCTGCAATCCTCACGATGTTGCGACAGATTGAGCAAGTTTGTTGCCCGCCAAAGGCCTTGGCTAGCATCCCGCCTCACGAGAGAGCCTCTCAACGACCCCAATCGTTCTCCAATACAAATTCAAAACGACGGAGTGATTGGACCATTGTTTCTCGTGCGGGCCATTTATTGCTCCGTTGTGTCCTCCTTTGGTCTTGTCGGACATATTAAACGAGTAGCAAACGTTGAAAGCTTTGCGAAAGTTGGGGGCGGTCCGGCCAAGGCTGAATTTATACTCTTCAAATGAAAATGTGTTCGATGACAGGTCATATCTTTCTGGGCAACAATAAATGCTCACGATTTCAACAAGATCCAAATCGTGAAAGGCACAGATGGCGTATGATAAAGCTGACGAAGAGATGAGCAAGCAGCATTGAGGTTCTGACACACGAACATACTCCTTTTCTGGAAATAGTAATAACAATCTGTTCATCTAAGAAAAGATGTGTTGTACTCTGAAGCAGTCGTCATGCATCCTTCTGAGCAGGAAACTTGCAGAACAACTGAAGGGCAGTACGTTGTGGCCAGCGGACTGGAGGACAGAAGCAGACGAAGAGCGGAATTGAACGGCATTGCCGCAAAGCTGTTTCGATGTTGAAGAACAAGAAAGCACAAAGCACAAATGAAAAGCTGTATCAAAACCATTCAACCATCCCGAGCAACACTATGCTGGAATAAACGTGACTCTGAGCATCCAGCAAGAGAAAAGAAAACCACTGGACGTGTCCCAGACAAGAGAGTCCGATGTTCCAGATCTCATACCTGCTCTAGCCCCTCTCAGCGTGTGTAATGATGAAGATGATCAAGAATCCTGGTTCGAACACAGAAATCTGTTCAACGTTGTTTCCGCAATTCAGGACTTTGACATGCCAGAACCCATGGCCCAGAATCTGGATAGAGGAGTAAAATGCTGTCCAAATGATTTGAGGGTGAGTTTTTTGGTGGCCAGAATCCTTCACATGTCAGGGCCAGGAAGGAACGAAGCTCGAAAAAAGCTGTAGAAAGACATTTAGAAAAATTATCTCGAGAACGATCAGCGGTGTCGTTGGATCTGAAGAATTCAAAGAGCCTCGACAATCCTAGTGAAGCAGGCTAAATTGCTTGGGCGGTCCAGCACCCTTCGCGTAAAGTGGAACCATGACCAAAACGCGTCCACCCGCGTTCACTATCAAAAATATACCGAGCTTCAATCAACCCTCCTCGAATTCCATTCGTCCACCTTTCAACACCCAGATCGTCACGCTCGATACGAACAATAGTTATGGCAGGATTCTTCGATATCAAAGCTCGCAAGGAGGCTGCTGCGACAAACGGCGCGTCTACAAAAGCTCCAGCTGCGAAAGAAAATACAAGATTACAACCATGGGTTGAGAAATAGTATGTTCAATGTCCTAATCAAACCTCAATCCGATTCTAAAAGAAGCACAGCCGCCCAAAGAACCTCAACGATGTAACGGCCCAAGACCACACCATCACCGTCCTACAACGGACGCTGCAATCCTCCAACGTACATTTGCCCTACCTCTCTCGACCGCCACCAGGCAAGCTAACCAACCCACCCAGCTTCCACACATGTTGTTCTACGGCCCCCCAGGCACAGGAAAGACCTCCACTGTCCTCGCTCTCGCCAAAGAACTTTACGGCCCCGAAATGATCAAATCCCGCGTCCTCGAACTCAACGCCTCCGACGAGCGTGGTATATCCATCGTCCGGGAGAAAGTCAAAGACTTCGCACGCATGCAGCTCTCGAATCCATCCGCCGCCTACCGCGCACAGTATCCCTGCCCGCCATACAAGATCATCATCCTGGATGAGGCGGACAGCATGACGCAGGATGCGCAAAGTGCGTTGCGCAGGACGATGGAGACGTATTCGAAGATTACGCGGTTTTGCTTGATCTGCAATTACGTCACGAGGATTATTGATCCGTTGGCTAGTAGGTGTAGTAAGTTCCGGTTTAAAAGTCTGGATGTCGGGAATGCGAAGAGGAGGGTGGAGGAAATTGCTGAGAAGGAGGGGGTTGCACTTGAGGACGGTGCGGTGGATACGTTGATTAGGTGTAGTGAGGGGGATCTGAGAAAAGCCATTACGTTCTTACAGAGTGCTGCGAGGTTGGTCGGTGCGGTGGGAGCCAAGGACGAGGATGATGAAGTCGAGCAAGAGGACGATCCCATGGATGTGGACAAGGAGAAGAAGAAGGTTACCGTGAAGAGTGTGGAAGATATTGCAGGTGTGATTCCTGATGCGACAATTAACAAGTTGGTCAAAGCTATGCAGCCGCGATCAAAGGGAGCTGTATATGAAGCTGTTTCGAAAGTAGTTACGGATATGGTAGCTGACGGTTGGAGTGCTACTCAAGTCGTCACTCAGGTACATTTCATCCCCATCTCCCGATTTCTAGCTCAGCATCTCACTAACGACATACAAGCTCTTCCAAACAATCATCTACACGGAAGAGATTCCAGATATACAGAAAAACAAAATTACGCTCATCTTCTCGGAAACTGATAAGCGCCTTGTTGATGGCTCAGATGAACACCTCACGATTCTCGATTTGGCATTACGCATATCCAATGTACTTTCTGGCCCTTGAGAAGGCAATGATATAATGTATTCGCATGGCACTGGTTGGTCTGACAGGCGTTTATGGGTGGGAAAGGTGGCCAATGATTGGGATATGATGCGCGATATGAACAAAGGTCTGTCGTTATAGTCCAGTATGATTTGTGAAAAAGATGAATACCATGCATGGTAGGAACCTGGAATCTTCCATTGGTTTGGTTTGAGTTCGAGATTCATGAGATAATCTCGTTACCAGACTTGGTCCCTTTCTCTACCATGGCGCTGGAATATTCGCTTCACCAAAATCTAGTAATCTTGATTACAAGGGCTTAATAGCGAGCGTTCTATCATTATGGCATGCAACATGGCCATTGGTGTCATCCCAAACCCGCACTTCGTTATCATACTCATTCCACAGTTTCCACCCCTTTCTGTTTCTATCACGTTCATCTGGTCAACTGAAGTCGTCCATTTACAATGCCATTACCACACCCACGAACCCCACCACCCCAGCAACAGCAACCTGTCCGACTCTCCCCAACCCCGTTTCCCTTGCCGCACCAGCAGTACTCGACCTTGTTGCCTGCGCACCCGCACCAGTTGCCGTAGCCGTCGCACTCTTCAAGGCGTTGCTAAACCCATTCGCAGTCAAGATGCTCGCTTCAGCTTGATAAACGCTGCTGAAGAACAGACGGATGGTCTCTGGAACGCCATTCAAGTAATCTGTTGCGAGTGTTTCCTGGTTCTCGAAGACGGATGAGACGGAGGCTTCGAATGCGGAGAGCGATGAGACAGCTGCACTGTCGGTTTCGAGAGCTTCGATGGCGGAGAGGAAGGCAGTGTTGGTGGAGAGGTCTTCGAAGTAGGAGATGAGGGCGTTGGCTGCGGCAGTGGATTGTCTGTTTCGTGAGGGGAGGTGGAGTTAGTGATTTGTTGACTTTTCATCTTTCATCGTGCCTAATCCAAAGTTTTGCTGGGGTGATTTGTGGGCATGTGACCGGGTTGAGACAGCACGTACTCTGGGGATTGCGGAGTGGCTCTTGTGAGGGCCAGGAGTCCGGTAAGGACGAAGACAGTGTTTAATTGCATAGCGAAGGACGTTTCTCTCTCGCATACACGCAGAGTTGGAATGGCTGAGGCTCTGACGTCCGAAAGACAGGAGAGAAAGGTGAGATGAACTGAAGATGGCACAGCACTTTCCCATTTGTCGAGGGGGCCCTTGGAAAGTTAAATACCAAACACCATCTTAATCTCGCCAAGCTTTAACCCTGCTCCACTTGTACTCCTGCTCCCCCTGTCATAATGGAAGTCCTTGGACACAGAAACCAATTCTCGATCATGCAAGGAAAGAAGGGGCAATCACCGTCAGAGGCGCTGGCTCTGTCCTTCTCAGCATCAAACACGGAAGGAGCAAAGCTCACAAGATGAAATCAACAAGGTTAGAGCTACGCGAGCCTATGAAAATATTAAGTGAGATTCTGGCAGCAGACTGGCTTTAGCGACTAACGATACGCCACTTGCGGAGCTCAAGTGCCTATTTCTGGGCGGCTGACGGTTGCACACCGGCATTGTTTGCTCCTGTCTGTGTTTTTCAAGCATTCTCTGACAGCAAACGTGAACAATTATTGAAAGTTCGGCAGATTGCCTGAAACCCTGTCCCACGGCAGGCGAGAAAACAAGCTTCGGTCCCTGAGAAGGTTCCGAGCATTATCCCAGGGCATCGATCGAGGCCCACCGCTGCTCTTGACGCCTGGAAAGATCCTGGGACATCGCCGATATCTAGAAGGAAATCAACCACCACTAATACGACCAATGGTCTAGGAAGTTGTTGAATCTATGCGGTCTTGATCACAGCTCGAGTAGCACACTAAGCAGCAGTACTATGGCAACTGCAAAAGGCTGCAGGAGAAAGACACCACACTTCCAGCGGTTGCCAAATCTGAGATGAAGTGGAACTGAAAATCGCGAAAAGCTACTTACGTTCGTAATTTGAAGACATGCCCGGGTAGCTTTTCTCCGTCTTCTTGCATCAATAAGGTAAAGCAAAAATGGTCTGTTTCGCACGGCACTGCATGCACTCCCATTCCTCTTAGTATTCATACCCAGGCCAGCGGTTTTCGAAGATGCCACTGCCATCGGCTCCTGGACGCCAAAGATTCCTCTCGTCCAGCGATTGGCCGCTTCATGTCATGTTCGCCAAGACATATAAAAATAACTTGTCTTTCTTCGTAGCAGTCAAAAGCCAATACTCACGGTTTTGGCAGCTATAATTGCTTGTTCGAAAATTTCCTTTCCTGGACACAAAGGACCTCGACGGTTGATCATGACTCGGCATGACAAATTCATACTTTCTTTCCAGCCCGTAGTAAGTCAGAGACCTTGGGCGGTAGGACAAGAGCACTTCTGTCATTCCGCTTATAGAAATCGACGATTACCATGGCTGTTTTCTCCGGCAAGTCTTCATGGACAAAGTGCCCAGCTTCAGGGAAGACTTGCAAGGCATATTTACCTGTTCAGGAGTCAAAACGCCATCTTTCATCCATATTTCGCAGACATACCTTGCATTTGACCGATTATTAGCTCCTTGTCTAAACGATCTGTGCCAGCAAGCAAAAGAAGCTTTCCTCCTCTGGCTTCCAAGAACTTTTTACTGAGTCCTACGAACCATCCTTGCCAAAATGGTTGAGTTGCAGCTAAATCTGTCTGCCACGTCCAGGATCTTGAGCTTCTCAGGGCTGGGTCGTGCTTGAGAAGCGCAGGCACGCTGGTCCGTGCGGAAATGGAGTTCCGAATCGTTCTGGATCGGATGTGCCATTCTATACCAGACTCTAGGGATGGAAATCCCGCTGGCCTGGTAGACAAATAGGTTTGCATACTTTGCAAAGCATCCATGGCGGAACCTTCCACAACGTCAAGTACTGCATATCCCAGTACTGAATTTCCCAACATTCCACTCTTTGCAACGTCTGTAACCACTGCACCGCCAAGAGAGTGGCCAACGAGGACCAGAGGTGGCATTTGCTCCCAGCCCATTTGAGCCTTTGTCTTTGTTATAACATGTATCAAATCTTGACTCAGCGTTTCCAGACTGAGATCTGTGATCTCTGGCGTGGGAGTGACAACTGTGCCGCCATGCCCGCGGGCGTCGAGGGACAAAATACCAGCAGATGGCAAACGCTTTCGAATCTCTGCGGTCATGACAGCAAACGAGAGTCCAGACGATCCAGCCCCATGATGTGTAACGAAAAGAGGTGCATTGCCAACGGGCGAGGTTAGGTAGGCGTGGTGTACTATTGTAGATGATTCAGTAGTGGAATGGAGGAAAAGCTCTCGTTCAAAATAGGTCGTCCAAGGAATTTGGTCCATTGTTCTCTTATTCGGAGAGCTGGAGTAAATTATTAGCTGGTTCTTGCAGGAGATTCCAGGGGCATACCAACCCTTGAGGTCGAGCAAATAGGTTCTGATTCTGCGAAGGGATAATGGTCCCAGTGGATGAGGCAGAGGAAGCTGATGAGGCGGAGGAGGAATCATCATCTGCGGGCAGCTCGGTACTGAAGTGATCGGTTTCTTCGTCTTCACCAGCTTCTTGAAATGCTACTGGAGGCATGGTAGCAGGATAGCTTGAGAGCTTTGCCTTTGCGAAGGATCGTTGGAGGTCACTCATGGTGGGCAAATGAAAGTGAGGGGCATGTCATCTGAAGTGGTCGATTGTGTCGTTCTTGTGGCCATGGAAGTTTCAAAAGGCACTCATTGCCAGGCTCATCGAAGCGCAAGGCCTGTATGTTATGATTCGTGGTGAGCGTGGAGTATTCGTGGCACGATTGAATGCAGCGCTTTGTAGTCAACTTCAAGCACTTTGTCCCATCTCGTTCGATTCCATTTCATGTCTTGGCTCGCTTATACTGTAATAAGCTGCTCGCTGCGATAAAGATAAGAGATACCAGGCCAGGGCCAGGGCCAGGGCCAGGGCCAGGGCCAGGGCCAGGGCCAGGGCAAGGGCCAGGTCAATCAAGGAGCAGGGATATCGAGGCGGGGAAGGCCCTTGCTGATCCGCACAGTCACTTCACTTCACTTCACCTCAGTACTCGCTTTTCCCCTTCCCTTCCTTATCCTCGCACATGTCAAAGACAATGCCAATGCCAATGCCAATGCCAATGGCAATGCCAAATCCCGCGACAATGGGAATTCTCCGTGGGTGTTGGGAGGGGAGGCGAGGGGAGGCGAGGGGAGGCGAGGCAGGCATAAATTTCCATCGAATGATGTCATGGGCGTAGCTTGTCTCAATTGCAGTAAAGTACTTGTACTCGTAACCTACGAGTACGGACCTTACCGACATGCACCAGCCCCCCCCCCCTCCTCCTCCCCCTCCCCCTCCCACCCTCGGCCACCTCCAAAAGCTTTCATTCACATTGGGAATGATTTCTACTTATCCCACGAGACAAGGAAGGCAAGCCACCTACTCGCCTCTACCGAGCTTTGGCACAAACACAGCCCAACATCTAGCTGTTTTAGAGCTAGAGGTGTCGAAGACAGCCACATCATTGGTTAATTGCTGCACTACCTCTAGTAGCTCCCCTAGCTCAGCTCTTCTTTACCTACACTCCATTGCCTTGCCCTGCCCTTGCCCTTCCCTCTGCCTTTGCACCCTGCTTTCCCAAGCTCCTACGACTACGAGTAGTCTGCTACTGCCTGCCCTCCGATCTTCGTGGATGCAGTCCTTGATTTTCTCTATTCTCTCTTTCCTCTCTCCTCCTTCACACGACGACACAAAGCCAGATATCTCCTTCAACATCTCCAGCGTTACCTGTTGAGAATTGGAATTACAGTCAACATGGCGCTCTGGGGCAACAAAAACGATGACGATCCTGACAGACCAGTCTCGCAGAATGGAGACTCTAGCAGTCATGTTGTGCAGCCCCGTGTCTCTGAGGCCGACGAGCGAACGCGCTTGCTTCCACCTCCATCCCAAGGATACCTCAGTCCTGATGACCCTGCTGTAAGTACTCCGCGTACTACACTTCAAGATATGCTACACCTGCATATGACTGAATATCATTTACTGATATTGCGCTTTTAGGTGTCACCTTACAATTTATGGAGCGTACGATTCCTGCGCTACTTCACTGTCTTCTTCGCAGTCATAACCTTCCTCTGGTGGGTTCTGTTGTTGGTATCCATCTTCGTCAGTCCACCAGGCATGCACTCTCGTGGATCTGGGTTCTTCGACTTCTCATACACGACATTGACACTTGGACTTCTGATTCTCAGCCTCCTGTTCTTCTCGTCTCCTTCAAAGGCTGCACAAGTCTCTTGCTTGATTGTTGCAGTAGTTTTGTTGCTCGACTCTATTTTGATTGTCTCTGTTCCAAGACTTCGAGTTGAGGAAGGCTGGGTTGGAATTGCAAGCGTCCTGTGGGCTCTCCTGATCGCTGTTTGGACCGTCACCACAGACCGTATAGTCGCATGGGGCAAACGAGAGGAGGAAGAACGTCTCACTGGTCGCGCGGAGTCTCGACGTACGCTGGGAGAATGGACCTCGGTCTTTGTATCTACAGTCTTCCTTGTTATTATGGCTGTGGTAGCGGTCCTTTTGACTGCAACGCTCATCCTCCGCGCTCGTGACGCTTCTCTAGCCGCTCCAGGGAATAGATACTATGTTGACGGAGACAAATACCAAATCCACGTCTTCTGCGAGGGTAGCACGAACAGTACCAATGCTTCTGGAAAGAAGGTTCCAACTGTTCTTTTCGAAGCTGGCGACGGACCATTTGAGAGTGGCATGATGGTTATTGCTGAGAATGCGCTCGCTAATGGGAGCATCTCCCGATACTGCTACTCCGATAGACCAGGATTCGGGTGGTCTGACAATGCACCATCTCCATTCTCTGCTGGCATGGCAGCTGATGTCCTATCTGAGGCTCTCGCTCGTGCTGGCGAAGACGGACCATGGGTTCTGGCCAGTGCAGGAGTTGGAAGTATATATAGTCGAATTTTCTCTTCCCGGCACGGCACCGCGATCAAAGGACTTCTGATGGTTGATCCTCTCCACGAAGATTTACTTTATCGCCTTGGTTCCCCTCACCGAGGTTTCCTTCTCTGGGCTTGGGGCATCATCTCCCCACTTGGGCTGGACCGCACCCCAGCAGCAATATTCAAAGGACGTTCTCGCGAAGACCGTGTCTACGGACGTTCAGCATATCAGAATGGAAAATACATCAAGGCAAAGCTTCAAGAAGCTCTTGTTGCCGACTCCTTGACCAAGAATGAAGTCAGCAGCGCCAGACATATCCAGCTTGAGAAAACCCCATTGGCTCTCGTCAGCTCTGGCATTGAGATGAAGAGGGATAGACAATGGGGCAAGAAGCAGGAGGATTTGAGCCACTTGACTAAGAAACTCATCAGCTGGGATATTGTTAGCAAAGCACCATCCGAGGTCTGGAAGACATATGATGGACGCCATGTCATCGAGAAGAGGCTGAAGGAGTTGGTAAACGCATAATTTGATCGATAAGGAAAGGAGATCGGGAAATTGGAACGAGATGGGACAGGATAGGACCGGATGTTACCAGGAAAGAAGCAGAGGAGTTGCAGCTCCGCGGGTACACTGCCGCATATGTATCTTTCCTGCATTTTCAAGCATGGTGCTGGGGAAATGTCATCTGTGTTTGTGTTGCGCTTTTCTGTTATGCAATTACGATAATTTGAACAAACAATCTTGCGTGTAGATAGTATAATAACAAGAAATTTCTTACTGGTATTAGCAAACCCAAAGTATCATATGAGAAGCGCTTCAAGTTGGAGTGACTTAGTAATTTACCTCGGTTGCAATAACATGGCTTGGTAGTGAGTGAAGTAGCAGTATCTTTCATCGAAACAGCAGCTTAGTATCTTACAGACATATAGCCAAGACCATGCCCGTGATCTTCAAATTGTGCGCCAAAACTCCACAGCTAATAGCAATCTGCTTCCCGTTCAAGGCTCTAATGTCTAGCCTGATTATATGACTTGCCCAGGGTGAAAGAACAGCATGTGCATAAGAAACATGGCGTCGTCCTCCTGCGAGTCGAACTGCGTGACCAGCAAGCTCCTTGCCAGAACCTTGGGCCATTTTTCTCGCTGCAGTTCTCCTGCTCGTTGGTTCCAGCCGTCGAACCACCTTCCAAAATATTAGTTTTTCAGTCTTAATATACTTTCATGCATTGGGGCAGGAGCTCTGTAGTTAAACATAAAATAACTGCGAGTGTATTATTTCCTAAGAAATGAGACTCACCAATGCCGACTACATCTCTGCTGACCTTCAGCATCAGACCTCAAGCATACGACCTCCGGCCATCTCTCCTCCTTGACTGGCTTGGGTCTCTTCTCCGCCGCCTGGCCATCTTCATCATCAAGCTCGTTGAGATCATCGAAACCTCCATTCAGCCCAAAAGCCAATCTCTCCATCGCAAGCCGCCCATATTGCTCCCCACTCTCAACATTAGCAGGATCGCAAGAAACGCCGAGCGTGTTCAGACCTGTGAACCTCTCCAACTCCCTCCCATCATTCTCGGCATGGAACAGCAACGCCTCCTCATTCATAATGAGGTGCTTAACTTTGGCCGCTTCATCCTCGCGCATCTTCTTGCCTATGCGGCCTGGATAAGCTCCTAGCGTACGCCAGCACACCATAAGCACATCTTTCTCAAAACAGAAATACACACGTGCAAATTCCGGAGACGGAGCGAAGCTCAGTTGGTAATTTTTCAGAGCCTCGTAGCGGGATTCTTGACACACGTGAAGTAGAGGTGGGATTGCCTGGGAAGACTTGAAGACGCGCTGCCGGGCGTGCCAGTAGATGTGTACGAGCCGGGTTGCAGTGCTGAGATAGTCCTCAAAAATCTTGACGCGGAGCTCGACGGGCAGTTTAGGGAAGAGTGTGAAGGCTGTGAGGGTCTTGGGCGGGGCTGCTGCTGTGGTACGACGACGGGGAGGCATGATAAGTTATATGGGTTTTATGAGACCCTTTAAAAGGATATGAATATGAAAATACTGGAGAATTGCTGTAGTATGATTCCGGGAAGGCTGAGATCGGCCAGACAGGCTGAAATGGCTCAGATGTATGAAAAAGGTCAGTGACCTGCCACAAATTCATCAGCCTAGAAGATGGCAATCGCTTGAGGTTTGTAGAGATTGGGCGATGATAAGTAAACAGTCGCTTTGGCAGTGGCCTGTAATCTCTCTTAGTGCGTGTCGGTAGAGGGGCCCCGCCCTTGGAGACGGAAGGCTGACATTCAGTGTTTGAAGTCGACCCAGCACATGTGACCCGGCTCCCGGTCCAAGGCTCGCTTGGCCACCCTCGATTTCAACACTTCGACGCCATCTCTGTAGCCTTACAGCTTACAGGAAGCATTTCTTGGAGCTTCGCAAACATCCAATCTTTCACTGAACAATGTGAAGCTCCTCCCGAATAGGCTCAAAACTCCCCGCCCTGCCAATGAGTCCACCTCCAAGCTATGAACAATGACTCTACACCAAACGACCTGCCCAGCTCTGCGCCAGCGACGTCAACAGAACCCGCCGCAGGCGCAAGTGAGAGTGTCACTGCCGGCGCTGTCGACGATACTGCTGTGAGAAGCCAAGATGTACAGCCAGAATCGCCCACGAAGAAGAGAGCTCTGGCGCAGACGAAGAAGAAGTTCGAGTTTATCAATAATCTTACCTTACACCTCGACATCCTGATCTATGCCGAGCTTTGTATATTATACTACATGGAGTGAGTCATCTACCCACAGTACTCTTGCATTGGAATATTTACTAATGGGTTTATGAAGCTGCTCACTCTTCCGTCTCCTCCTCCGGGCTGTCAATCAAATGATGTTCCTGTCTCCCAAACCGAAATTCATCCCAGCAGCTCCTCAACACCGCCCGTATATCGGAGCAATCTTCGGGCCTAACATCCTCTGTATCCTTCTACACGTGTTTACTGCTCGTTCGGAAGCAGGAGAAGCTATGCGAGGCTACCTCCATGGAGGGGTAATCATAGATCTCATTGGGCAGAAGGGGCCGACCTCCAAATTCCACTTGGTATTACTGGATCTGCTAGTATTGGGTCTGCAATGTTTTATGCTGGCTGTGCATGTGGAGAGGGAGAGACTATCGGCAGTGAATGACGCGCTTACATCGACTGTTCCTACGGCTGCTACGGATGTTCCAAGGGAAGCGGTTGTCTCAGCACAGAATCTTGATGCGGAAGAGAGGGGCGAGATGGGAGAAGGTATTGTTACAACTGAAGGAGATATGGAAATGCAACCTATGATACCACAAACCGACGAGCAATCATCGTCGAGAAACGAGGTTGACGAAGAAAGAAACGAAGAACGAGAACGGCTACTTGCTGAACCGCCTGCTCCACAAGAGGATGACGATGATACTACTTTGGACATTCTTTGGTCTGGGTCAACCATTGTGGCTGACTTCCATGTTATACACAATCTGAGAAGACAATGGGCTGATTACGGAAATGCCACCGAGAGCGCGATACAGACTGTAGGATTCTCGGCTGAGTTTGCAGCTGTTACAGCAAGTCATCGCATGAATGTAGCCAGTGCCCGTTTTCAACGAGACGTAGAGTCCCTTGGGAATTGAGATACCCAAATTTGTATAGTAGTCGTCCAATGCAAAAGTGCACACAACATTTCGACCGGGGTTTTGTTGGCTTTCGAAATTGTAGCATTATGTTATCTTCCTGCCTACATTCCCTACGCCAGCTCCTTTGATACTTACAATTATATCCCCAGTCTCATCCTCTTCAGCATCCCTCAAGCCCCAACTACTCGCACCAAACTTCTTCAAGTCCCTTCCCAGTCCTACAAAGTCTTCAGTTCCCACGACGTCCCTCCCCAGCCTGACTCTACCCACGTCTTCAGAACCCATAGCCATCAGCGTCAGTATTGTCGGCGCTCCGACTCTCGTGAAGCAGCCTCCTTGTGAAATAACCTCCAGCAACTGGTAGGCACATTGCTTACCCACGTCCTCTGGCGTAACACCTCCCTCGCTGGGCGCAGGAACATCCGCCGAATATATGACACCCTGTGCGCTCGTCTCCGCAATCAGGCTTAATCCAAATCCAATTCCCGTCCTCTTCTTTCCGCCAGGATTCGAGCGATCACCACTCGACACTAACGGCGCCTGGTCATACTGAGCAGCCACATGTATGTCACTGACCAGCGGATTTAGCACACCTCTTGCGGCATGAATCATTCTTGCGTTATTACTCGCAGAAACACCAGTGCAGTATGCGACTCCCCGTACCCTCTTTACACGCCCTGGACTTCGGTTCATATGCAGCGTCTTGGGTAATCTGATCTGGCTTCCAAATCGTAGCTCGACTATGCCTCCACCACCTTTGCCTCCTGCGCCTGTACATGATCGCTGTAGGACCCGGAGCTCGAGTTTGCTGGCCATGACGCCGAAGGTCTCGTATAGAGGCAGGATAGCGGTTCGTAGTGTATCGACGCTCACGTCGCCGGTCTCAGTGGCACTGGTTATGACACCCTCCCCTTCAAATCGTACGTTTATCGGTGCTTTCGAGAACGGTGCCAGCATGCAAAGAGGCAGAAGGAACCAGCTCACGCCGCGCCGGCAGGTATCTGGCAAGACGCACTTCACCACATCTGAGCCCCCAGTTGATATGCTGCCCGTTATCAATCCGGGATTGTATATGAGTTTTGTACCCGTGTACGAGATCTGCATTGTTGTGCCATTGGTGATGCTGTCTAGGAGCCGGAGAAAGGAAATCTCATGTGGCGCGAGACCTGGGTTGGTTGGTGAAGAAGACCGGATGTTGGAGATGGCTACAGGCCGGCCAGTCAATGTCGAGAGGACAAGGCGGTGAGTTAAGGATTTGTGAGATGTAAAGCGCAGGTATTCGGGGGCAGGGGCTGCCATTATTGTTGCTCAGCGAGATCTAACGGGCTGAGGAGTTTGGATAAATTTATCGGGAGGTTGGCAGAATTTTACTAGCCGTGGCTGCTTCAGCACACCGCCTCACGAAGTTCCAATGCTTCAAGAACAATGACATGAAAGTTGCAGTAAATGACCTGGACATTAATCTGAGGTGTGAAAATATCCGGACTTGCATCCATACATCGAGGCATAGCCTTAAATAGCACAAGTATTTTGCCCCGTCTCTTTGTGTTTGTTACACTCAATTCTGTTTCATTGGGCTGCCGGATTTCATCAATGTAGACCTTTTATTCCTAGCTGGATTGGAAGAACTGCCAATCTTATCAAGACAGCGAATATTCATGGGCAAGCAAACTCCATCACTCCTCCATCCGCCACCTCCATCCCATAGTTCTCCGTTCATCAGTGCAATTTTTTCCAAAAAAAAAAAAAAAAAAATCAGAATTTGTACAATGGCTGGCTGTCTCATGCCAAAGCAGTCCAGGCGAGGAGGTAGAAAGACTCCAGCATTGCATAGTAATGTTACATGCGGGAATCGCAAATCAAGGTCGCAATGAGATGCCCGAGAAACTGCTGTTGAGGTAAAATGCCGAAAAGTACTAGTAGAGACCAGTAAAAGCAGTGCAGGTGAAAAGGACCGCAAAAATTCATCAATCGGATTTCGTCGTCACGAAGCACCACGACATGTCGTAGATAATGAGACCATGATTGCTGCCATCGCGTGCTATCAGAGAATCGGTGCCTTATTTTAGGTAGTGAATTCAACAATAGTAGACTCTGGAGCAGTTTCCTAGTCCAAATATCAGCACGTTCTCCGGTACATCTGGAAAGGATAAAATATTATATTATGCTCACCTTTGGCTCCTCAGATGGCTCAACTCGGGGGATGTCGGCAACAGCCGAAGCGTCCTTGACCTCTGTAGTGGCCGTCTTCGCGGCTTCAGGGTTATCCTCGACCTTCTCCTCGGCCTTCTCCTCGAGCTTTTCCTCGGTAGATGATTCTTTGGTTCCATTGGTGATTTCAGTTGGAGAGGCTTTGGCGCTGTCAACTTCAGCCTTAGCTCCGCCATTCCCATTCGTGGTAGTTGACGCAGCAGGGATGGCTGGGGCATCAGTAGCAAGAAGCTTGTTCCATTTGTCAAGAAGTTCTTGGGATCGCTCTTTAAACTGGTACTCCTCTTCTCTCGGGATGAACGGCAGCTTCAAGATAGCCTTGAGAACTTTGTTGATCTTCGTGGCTCGGATGATGCTGACTTCGAGATCCGCATAGCCTTGGAGCTTTGCAATAAACTCCGACATCTGTCTCATCTCCATTTCCTTCGGCTCTTGGTCGCGAGTCAATAAACCCTTCTGAAGCTTGTGGCGCAAAAACAGAATCTCCTTCTACAAAATCTGTTAGCTTGCGGTTGCAGGCGGTCGAATTCACTACGCACCTCCTTCTTGGCACGCTTCTCCTCAGCGGTCATCTCAGGCTCCTTGGGAACCACAGCTTTGGGATTCTCGGCAGCTTTGGGAGTAGCCTTCGTCTTCTTTGACTTCGTTGTCTTTGGAGTGGCTTCCTTTGGGGTCTTAGGAGTCGAAGCACCGTTCAAATCCTTCTTGGTATTCAACTTGATAGTGGTGCGAGGTTTTTTGACAGAATCCGAGCCCTGTGGTGTCTCAATTTCGATCAGCATCTAATTTTATAGCGGTAGTGGAAGACAACTTACATCCTCAGCTTTACGCTTGTTTGTCTTCACTGGCTCGGTGACATCAGCTCCGTCGGATTCAGGTTCTCCAATTGCGTCAGCCATCTCAAGATCGGCGTCCTCATCTTCCACAACCGCCTTCGCAGCAGATTTTTTCTCCTTCTTGCCAGCAGCCTTCTTCGCTTGCTTCTCGGCCTTGATCACCTCCTTGGCACGCTTGTCTGCTTCGCGAGCTTCCATGAAAGCTTTGAGAATTTCTTTGAAGTACTCAAGATCATGTTGCTCGGCTGCAAGGGTACGAGCGGCGGCCAGATCCTTTCGCATCTTGGGTGGTACGGTGCCGACTTCTTCAGGATCAAGATCACACAAGTCGGTATTGGGAATCCAGCCGCTACGATTGACTATTAGCTGATGATTGCTTGGGCAAGCTGGACAAAGCTTGGGCTTGAAATCAACAATGGGGCAAGTTGAACTTACAATTCGTTGGTGTGCATATACATAACTGGAAATTGGCGATCCTTTACTTTGGCTCCTCCATCCTCATAGCCCTCTCGATATGTACCATCCGGTCTTGCAGCTCCATTTGGTCTCGATTTGAGGAGTGTCTCTGGGAGCATAGTCTCGTCACAAACTATTGCAGGCCACAATGGGAAACCCTTCAAACGGACATAGAAGTAGTCGCCTGGCTTAGCATCCGTGTGTGTCATCTTAGCAGTTGAAGCCTTCTTGTTCAACTTTTTGCCCTTGTGCTCTGGCACACCAGTTGACTTTCTCTTTCCGCCCTTCGCTTTTGCAGCAGAAACTGGAGTCTCAATAGCGATTTCTGACGAGTCGGCAGCAACAGGAGCCGCATCATCTGTCTTTGTGTCATCCTTCATTTCGACGTCGTGTGGGCTGGTGGCAGGCTTGTCTTGTGCAACGTCCTCAGCGTTTGTTTGTTGTTCGGTCGTTTTGGGCTCCTCTATGGTACCTGAACGCGAAGATGAGGATCAGTACGAAAGAACATCATTGGATGTGAAATTGGAGGAGCGCGCGAATGTTCTCACTCTCTGCTGGCGCGTCTTCAGTCGCGACTTCCTTTGGTGCGCTGATCTCAGCATCACCATTGGCCTCCTTCATGGCAGCATCCTCCTTCATTTCAGAGTCCGGAACAAATTCAGGTCGCGCAGGTGCTGCTTCTGCAGTCGTAGGAACGGTGGCAGCTACTGGAGCTGGTAGGCTTGCCTCGTCCGACATCTTGTCGCGAGATTAAACCGCGGGGGTAGATAGCTTGTTGACACAACGTTGATAGCTCTGACGCGTCGTAGTCAAGTGCAATGGATGCAAACAATGCCGATACTCTTAGTAGGCAGTATGCTGGGGATGCCTTGATGGCAATGTTGTGATGGGGTTCGAAAGAGGATGGGGAAGGATTCGAGCATGTTCCGCTCTGGAGAGATGATCGCGAAAGTTTAGCAGGCTTAGGTGGAGACAGATCACGTGGTGCTGGATGGCGTCCAAGTTCGGCCAACAGCCAGCCACCGAACAATACGAAGACCAAATGGCCCCTTGGCAGAACATCAATAAAAAACAGAAAACTAAAACGGTGAAATGCATTGTCAAGGAACCCAAGGCCACTTCCTCGAATATTTGCTTCAGTCGAAATGGAAGACAGCAAAGCGTAAATTCACAGAGCGGCAAACTTGCAAATCATGACTCAAAAACAGCTAACAGAATGAAACCGTTGTGATAGGATCAGCTCACCGTTCTCACAAAAACGCCAACATCACCGCCAGCAAAGCCAAGGGCAATGAGACTTGCCCACCCCTTCTGCCGTAGACCAATCAAGACAACCTGCGAGCTCCCACTCGTATAGGCAACACTGGCAACAATATCACTAAGAAATGCAAAGGAAACCCACTGAAAAAAAAAAATGCTTGTACTCCCTGCGCATGCTGTCGTCTTTAAGACAGTTGCTTTTTGCCATCTAAACTTGGCCTTCATTCCGATCTACTATACAACAAAGGTCCTGGGTTGGGGTTGGCCGGAGCTTATTGCTCGCCTTCTTCTTCATCGTCGTCGTCCTCGTCCATACCTTCGGCAACAGTCACGGAGAAGCTTGGTTCTTGGTCGACTCCCATGTAGCTATCACTCATCAAGAACAGCTTCAGGTCATGCGCTCCAGGTGTCGGCACGGTGTATTCAAGTCTCAGATTCAAAGACCGTCCAATCGTGATGCGCTTGATAGCGAGTAGTGTCTTTGAACTCTCCTCGCCGACAACCAACCACCAATTCTCCATCTTCTTGCCAGGATAGAACGGCGCATGCACAGTGGTGTCCACATCAGCAGAGTCTTCGTCATCTACATCTCTTGTTATCTTGATCTTGATGTAGGCTGGATCTCCTGCTGTGATGTCTTCGGGATCTTCCAACTCAAACTCGAGATCGATATTAGGGTATTTGGAGTTGGTGAAATTAGCTGCTTGAGCCAGTTGGTTCTGGGACAGGCCGAGACGTTTGACCAGGGCCTCATAGTTGGGGTTCTCCGAGGGGTCCATGGCTTCCATGAACTCGAATATGTCCTTGACACTATCGGGGAAGAGGTTAGCAGTCAGATCGCAAGATTGAAAGTCAAACACGTACCCAGACTCGTTCGCAGCCTTGATAACTTCAGGTGCGAAGTGTGGAATTTGTTTCAGTGGGCTATCACGATCCCACATGCCCTGAACAACCATCTGTGACATCTCCATTGCATTCATTGCATTGAGATGACCATCTGATGACAATACATCAACTGTAGCACTGAGTAGACCCAAAACCTTGGTCAAGATCATCTCCTGGTCTTTGACCAGATCGATTGGTAATTGCATCCGGGAAAAATGTGCTTGGAGTAGGACAAATGCCTTGAAGTGTGGCGAGTCGTACGCAGGTTGTGCCATCTTGACAGGGATCCGGTCGTAGATACGTCGAAGTAGGCTATCCTCGTGTCTTCTGATCTGAATAGATTCAAATTCGGTTGCTGAGGTTACAATTTCGAGGATGCCCTTCAACTTTGTCCGGCCACTCAATGACAACAGGAATGTTTGCATTGTAATATATGAAATATTGTAATAAGCAGCAATCATAGCCGCATTCAATGGTGTCACTGAATCGTCCTCGTCATCCAAATCAATAATCTTTGTCTCGGCAAGATCCTTCAATGTGGTCTCGACAAGCTCTGACAAGTGCGCACTGAGGCCTTCATGGGACGTATCTGCCAAACTGTAATAACTTGGATTTGCCAGCAGGCGACGATAGAAATATGTGAAGGTGGTCCAGTTGATAGCATCATCAGCAGACTCGATCATCTTCGTGCTGATTTCGGAAACGAAAGCATCATGTAAGTACACTTGGAGGTGGCTCTCGATTGGAAGAGCCTCGTTGAGGAATTTCTTGTAGTACTCGCGTTTGACCGCTGGCACCATAAGCACACCTTTGCTGATCTTGTCTTCCATTGGTCGTGACGCCTTCCCAAACATCTGAAGCACTTCACTCAGTGGGTAATCCACGTAGCGGTGCTCGCGTCCTTCGTAGTATTGGGTTCCCATCACGATTACCAGGTGTGCGGTGCAATCAAGCTCCCAGCACACATCGCGAGATGCTACCATTACTTGAATAGCACCGTTGTCGTACAGGTGCTTCACAATTCGCTTGTCGCTCGTACTGAGGGCTTCATGATAGTATCCGACTCCGTGAGAGAGCGCCTCGGCGAGTGCTTCCTCACTTATGCGGTCGAGCAATGGCTTCATTTGATCGACGTCTACGTGTAAGAAACGATCCTCGTCATCGCTAGCAACGCAAGCCAGAAGCAAATCTCTGGTAGTGGACCGGGCTTGCTTCCTGCTGGGGACAAATATGATCGCGGGCTTGTCGGGAGACATCTGAAGGATCGAGAGGTAAGTCGGCTTGGCCATGGCAAGCATGAGAGATGGAAAGTGAGGGACAGTAAAAGACTGGATATGTAGCTCTAGAGGGACTGATCGAACATGAGGGCTGAAATTATAGATGTTGTGCTTCTTTGCATCGATCCATTCCCCAATGTCTCTGGCATTGGACAGAGATACGCTCAATCCTATGATGCGAAGAGGAAGCTGGGTTTGAGACCGAATGTAGTGCATACGAGATACGATAATCTCATACACAAATCCGAACTGCCCACCAAGCATGTGGAGCTCATCGGCAATGAAAAGCTGGATATTTTGGATGTTCTTTCGACGTTGCCATTGTCGTGACAATATATCCCACTGTGCAGGTGTAGCCAGAATCAGATCTCCCCGTTCAAGCAGCTTCAGATCGGCTGTAGTTTCTCCTGTTAATTTTACAATATCCTTGCCGCCACGCAGCTTCGAAAATCGTCGTTGCCAGTCTTGCTGACGTAGGTCAACCAGCTCTTGGAAAGGAGCAATGTAGACAGCTCGGCTAGCGTCTGATTTCGACCAGTGACGAAGCAAGGCAAACTCTGCGCACACAGTCTTGCCACTACCTGTAGGGGCCCCAACGAAAACATTGTCATCCGTGGAATATAGAGAATTGAAAGTCTGTGTCTGTATCTTGTTGAAGCGCTCCCAGCTGGGATACAAAGCGCAGAAGTCGTCGGTCTTCAGAGCGGCAACAGGAAGGGGCTGCAGATCAAGCAGTTGGGTATGGGGTGGGAATTTCTCCGGCAAAATCAGCTTCTGAAATGATACCGCAAGCTTAGTCTCTGAGTGCATCCATCTATCCGAAATGACAGTGACGAAGTAATTAGGTGGCATGGGCTCGGTGATTGGAACTGTGAACTCGACGATGTGCTCATTCATCTCAGCCTGGGCAAAGTCTTTTCTGAGAATGAACTGGTCGTGGAACAGGATATCTTCGCCATCACAATCTTCTGCAATGATCCAGAAGCTTTCTGCAGTGCCATGTACCTCGTCATCCCACTCAAAGTTCGGGGTGATCGTCAATTCAACTCGAAGCATTGATCGTGTCACGGGTTGCACTTGAGCTTGAAGTTCTACTCTGGGGAATTTCGAGACCAGATTGCAAACAGTCCTGCCTGCTTTTGGCAATCCGAGAAGCTCTCCCATCCGAGGTGGATCGAGATCGAAGTAGCTGGCCCATGGCACGTCGATTCTCTCTGCCTTTGTAATAATGTCTCTCGAGCAGTTTGGAAATTGACGTAAAGGTGTCATGGTAGGCCACATTCGCTTCTCTGCCATCTTGCAAAGCTCCAATGCTGTCTTGGCTACAGATGACCAGCCTTTTTTGAGAGTAATTTCAAAGATAGCCCTGAGAATACGTCCAGCTGACTGGGTAACATAAACCAAGTCTGCCATCAGCGCCAGCCCTTCTAGCTTGAGACGCGATATGTAGGCCTGTAATAGAACATTGATCTTTGCATGAGGCTCTTCAATACTCTCCTTGACAGGAATAGGAACACGCCCTAGCAGCTTTGCTAACTCCAACTTTTCGTCCTGGCGAACTGGAATGTATTTGAACTCGTCGCTCAGAGCGAAAACCCTAAATAATTCGATTGGCGTGATCGACGGCTGGATGTGGTGATTGTAAGTCAACATCGAGCTGTGGGTAATGTAGTAATGAGAAGCAATACGTCCAAGCTCGGTGGGTTGTAGCTTGCCAGTCTTCTTGTCATATTTAACAAGGTTAGACTTCTCAAGCACAGCGGCAGCCGAGTGGATGAGGTCAACACGCTTCTGTTCGAGAGCATTGTCTTCTTCGTAGTCGGCCCCAACGCTGTAGAGGCCTGGAGAACGTAGCATGCGGACGAAAAGATAAGTGTATCCGAGCCACTCAACACCTTCATCTCGGCTTCGTACGTTGCCAAGAACAATTTCGGCGTTGAGGTTGTCTGCCAGCTTGCTGACGAATTGACTCTCAATGGGAAGCTGTTGATTCAAAAGCGAAAGGTAGTACTGCATTTCAGTCTGCGTGGTGATGATGATACCTTCTCCGTATGTGTCGTACTGCGGTCGACCAGCTCTGCCAAGCATTTGCAAGACATCCTGTGGACTCAATTCAACCCAACTGCCTTTTTCTGGGGAGTAAACCTGCGTGCCTTTGATGATGACGGTGTGCGCCGGTAAATTGACACCCCACGCAAGAGTAGCTGTACAAACCAGTACTTGAATCAGTCCGTCATTGAAAAGATCCTCTACGGAAGTGCGATCTGGTCTGCTCATCCCAGCATGATGGATACCAAAGCCATAAGGAAGAAGGTCTTTCAACTCCCTGTCGTTGACTGCCTCTGCCTCAGTGTTCAGGGCTTCTCTGCTCCCAGCATCGCTTCGAAGAATTTGTCCAATGGTTTCCATTTCTAGGGCTTTGTCTCGAATGTATCTTGCAGTCTTTGATGTCTCCTTTCGGGAGTGAACGAAAATGATCATTTGATTGCGATTAGTGCCCACATGCTCGAGGACTTTGGTATAGGTAATGTCGTTCATCGTCTTCAGTTGCTTGATGGCCTTCTTCTCGGTGATGCCAATGAACTCTTGGCGCAGAGGGCAAGGGCGGTACGAACCGTCGAAATGGAACATACCCTTCATAGGATCCACGCGGAGGAAACTGGCAACATCACGATAATTGGGTAGAGTTGCTGAGAGGCCAACTAGACGCACGGGATCCCCAGTTTGCTCCATCTTTCGAATAGTTCGGCTGACGATACTTTCCAGAACTGGTCCTCGATCATCGTGCAAGAGATGGATCTCGTCAATGATAATAAGTCTAACCAGGTTGGTATAACTCAAATCGGTAGCTTTTCTTGTAATGACATCCCATTTCTCCGGCGTCGTCACAATGATCTGGGTATCAGCAATCTGTTGTTTGGTGAGTTGTCGATCACCTGTCAATTCCGAAACTGTAATGCCGTACTCCTTGAGTCGACCGCCGAAATTACCAACCTGCTCCTGCACAAGAGCTTTGAGCGGTGCGATGTAAACAATTTTGAAAGCATCTAGATTTATTTCCCCAGTCTCGGGATTCCGATTTTTGCCAATTTCGCGGAGAATAGTCAGCATGCCAACATTTGTCTTCCCACTACCGGTGGGCGCGCAGATCAGCATATTGCCGTCATCATTGAAGGCCTGTGGGAAACATTTGGACTGGATTTTATTCAACTTGGTTGCTGAGCTGAAAGGAACTCGAGACCATTCTGGCATCTCGGTAACTGGAATATCTCGATCACCTGGCTCATTTCGCTTTTTTGGTGCCGGGACATGGATCTCCTCGTAACCTTTAAAGGTTCGCTTCGTTGATCCGTCAGGAAGCTTGACTTTTGGATTGGTCATAAGATGGTTTCCTTGATCAAATATGAGATTCTCGAGGTTGATCAACTTCCGCGGCTGTAAACCACCAATAAGGTCGCCTTCGCCATTCTGCTCCGGCTTTTCGGATCCATTGATAAAGGAGGCGGGGACATCAATATCCATCTTGATTTCCAACTTGCGCTTCTTGACATCACCAGATTGCGCGATTCCTCGAAGTTCATCCAGGATCCATCTCAGTCCTTCTGAGGCGATTTCTCGCTCAATAACTCCTCTGGCTTCCTCGTCCTCAGCGCGAGCTAAGCGAGTGAGCCAGACAACCTTGTCGCGATTGGCAATGAGCTTATGAACCAATTCATGATGCTCCCAGTCAAATAGTTCTGCAAGGTCATTCTCAATCTCTCGCAACTGTTTTTCTTCTCCACCTTCTTCGTCCGGAGCACCTGACAGGATGGTCAGAGCCTCCTGAGTCTTAACTTGTTGTATGTGGGCATCGGAGTATATGGCACCAATCTGCCGCTGCAGCCAATATGCATCGATGTCGCGAGCTGGGATGATGTTCTTGCCTTTGTCCTTGCCGCTACTACCGTTGGCTATTCTGGAATCGATTATAATCGCCTCCTCCTCTGGGAGTTCGCGGGAATCTTCATCCCTATCCTGGGCAGCGCCACCTGCAGTTGCACTTTCTTCCTTGCCAGGTCTATCCTCGATATCCTCGTCTTCTTCGTCCTCCGAAGACTCGTCGCGGATCTCGTTTACCATCTCTTGGCCATCCTCGTCTTCTGAGTTATCGTCGAAAACGACTGCGACACCTTGACGATCATCAATTTCTGCGCCATCGTCCGCTCCTGTATCTCCGTCGCCCATGACTTCGTCCTCGTCTTGTGCCTCGTAGTCTGTGATCTTCTTCCCGAGATTTACAAGCTCATTGAACTGTTTCGGGGTAAGTGTAGCGCCAAGAAGGTCGTCAATCTCTTTCTTCTTATCGAAGTCCTTCATGTCATCGTCCTTAAGGTATTCCAGCACGGCGTCTGCTGCACTCCGTACGATTTCATGCGAAACATCTCCCAAATTATTTGCCACAGTCGTCAGGATTAAGTCATACGTTGCGCGGGTAGCTGATGTTCGAGGCCTATAAACAATACCTTCAACCAAAGCATCTGCCGCAGAGAGAATGCCAGTGCCACGAAGCTGCGCTGGCTCACCACGTTTCCGTTTTCGCTGTTCGCGCTCCAAGACGTCTTGGCCTTCTTGTAGACCTCCCCGTTCGACATCTGGCAGCCCTGAAGCCTTCTTCTTCTGCTTTGGCGCGTCATCTCTGGCATTTCGAGAGCCCATATCCCGGATGCTCAACCGCCCAGCTAGCGATTCTGGATCCCCAGTAACCTCATCATTGCGGCGCGTGACGAATCGACGGTCCGCCTGGAGGACCAGGTTAGACATTGCCGAGTACTTATATTGCGACACATCTCGCTGTTGGTCGGACATGATGGCGAAGAGTTGTGGGAAATCGTCGAGAGCTCTGCTAGGTGACCTCAAATCTGAAGGTGTTGGTAAAGTATGGCACAGATTGCGAATAGTGAGCGTAAAAACGTCAGCCAGGAGAAGTACCCCAACAAATCATGACAAAATGGCTGGAGTTGAAAAAGAAAATGCCCCTCCTCGTCGTCAACAGCCTGGAGGTTTAGATGCAGAAAATCGGAATAAACTTTTGGCGAGTCTTTAGTGCCTGATGCTAGCGCAAGCTCCAGGCATCTCATGCTTGAGCCTCAATAACTTGCACCCCATTTCAAGGGAATGTGTCTAGCCGCAGCTATCGATCCACTTGTGACTCGGAGAATCACAGCTTTGTATACTCGCAGTCGCATGTCGAATCCCAGTTTCCCACAATCAAATCCTTCTTTCAGAAGCATCGCGTCAAGTCAACAACACCGGAAGTAAACACAAGCTTGTGGCACGGATCTCATCTCTCAATATGGACGAGCACCAAGCACTTCCTGAGGCCATCCAGAATGCTCAGCAGTCACTTGCCCCTTATGTCAAGCAGAGGCAAGAGGTTGTGCAAATACGTCGAGTATTAGCATCTCATCTGAGCTCTCACGTGAACGGAAACGTCGACAATTCTCTTCCTCGTCCACTATCGCTTGTGGATGCTGCTTGCAGAGTAGATGGAGTGTCTCATGGTGTTACAGGACTCCAGAAGGAGTACCTGAGATGCGTCCGGGCCAATGTCAAGGCACAGGCACAGTACGCTGAGGTCAGCAGAGCACATCGACCTGTATTTGAAGAGCAAGGCATGGCGTTCGATGTAGCTTCCGCCAATGGGCCTAGTTTGCCCTTGGAATCCTTCATTGATTTAGTCATTCAGCGACAGAAACACGAGACTCTACGAATTATTCAAGATTACCTGGATGTTCTGGCGCAGAAGCCTGCTGCTGCGCTCGAGCATCTGGATCCCCAGACAGTGCTGAGAGACGTTGAAACTCTACCCCGAATGCCATCGGAGGTTTTGAATGGCTCTATCTCTGCTCAAGTGTCAGCTATGGATGATTTAAAAGAGCTCATTGACCGACTTGAGAAATCGGTTCTTCGTGCCAGAATGCTACTTAAGAGAGAGCAAAATCTTCTCGCTAAGATCAAGACCGATAACGCTACAGCAACTGGAGGCCATGGAGGTCGTCTGGAGGCAATTGGATTTACACGATCAACTCTGATAAATTGGATCGAGGCGGAATTGTCTCGAGCTGGTGAAAGCAGTTCCGACTCGGCATCTCAAGACCCTGCTATTTCTAACAAGAGAGGAAATCATTTTATCGAGTCAGAGCTTTTGTCTATTCACAGACAATATGTTCGGTATACGAAAGCGCGTCAGGCTCTTGTCAATATAACAATAGGAGATCTGGAACTTCCAGACGTGTCACCAACGGATGAACAAACAGACTTACCAGAGAGCAAGCCACCATACAGCTCGAACGGCATGGAGATTGTCCATCCTTACCTAGAAGAGATGGTCTCAATTTCATGTGAGCAGAAGGCCATGATACAGCAAAAGTCTCACCTCACTATCAGTCTCTCTAAACAGCTGAAAGAAGCCAACCAAGGACTTGACCGCCTTGCAGATGAAAGCCATATGCTACCAGCTCACCCTATGCCGGCAGCCAAGACTCGTCGCAATGGGTTAGAAGGGCCTATATCATTTGGAGATGAGATATCCAATCACGAGAAGCCAGACTCTGCTCTTCGTGCTCGATCCTGGGTATATGCAGCTCATTGTGCCAGCCACGTTACAAAAGAAGCTGTGTCCGAAAAGCTGGTGGAGGGCAATACGGCTCTTGCCGATGCCCAGCGCACACTGTCGGAGCTTGACAGTCTTCTTGGACTCGACTTAAGAGCAGGAAATAAGGATAGTGCAAAAAAGTCCCGAGATATCTGGGCAGTCTTGGATGGAAACTTGGGTGTCATCAAAGGGGACGGGCTAGAGTAGGAAAACGTGCAAGAATCTCTGAATGTGGCCAATTTTTACCATCGTGGTTCACCTTTGTTTATTGTAGACATATGAAGGATCTGACAGGCGAAAGTAGTGGAAGAATGCCCTACAACTGTTGGTAAATATTCAAATTTCATCCTTGAATGTCCTCTGTTGATGTTATGGTCGATGTGGTAGGGCGGTCAGCTTAAACGGCAGTACATTAGGCGAGCTTGAATCGGACAACGGCAACCTCAAATTATTTGAAGATCAGACCCTCCTGAGTCACTCCACAATAAACACCACCACGACCCCGCGGTACTTCCTCCAGAGTGCGCACAATCTCCAAGCAATGGCGAGCGGTCAACATACCCAGCAGGGCGATTTGCCTTCCGAGGTACTCCAAGCACTATCCAAAAATGAACCCCTCCTGTCCTCCGACGCCTTTCCTTCACAAAAATCGGCGGATGTCAAGAGTGCATTAGACAGGCTGGCATCGCGTTCTATGGTGACATACGAGACAATTGATAGAGAAGAAGCTATTTTAGAGCCGGAAGCAGTCGAGATTGAGGCCAATGGAAGTCATGAAGCTCGAGTTTTCGAGGCAGTGCGACAGGCTGTTGCAGGTCTCACTGTTTCGGAACTTGAGGCCGCTGTTGGAGACCGGAATGTTGTGAAGGTTGGACAAGGCAAGGCTTTCAAGTCAAAGTGGATTACGAAGGGCGAGGGCGGACGTTTCGTTACATCTGTGAGTTAAGCCTTAATATACTTGATGTTCGAAATTTAATTTCTCTAGACCGACTCAATACAAGACACAACCCGCGAGCAGCTTCAAATTATACAACAGACGCGCACACATCCTGAACCGAAGGTTATCACAGACTTGAAGAAGCGGAAGCTCATCAAGATGCAAAAGGTCATTGCGTATAAGATTCACAAGGGTCCCAAGTTTGCGCTTGAGATCCTCAAAGAGGAGACCGATCTGACTGCTGATATGCTTGCGTCGTAAGTGCTCTGATTCATTCACAAGACGGAAGTCTGATGATCGACAGTGGTGCATGGAAAACCGCCGCTTTCAAGCCATACAACTTCAAGTCTCTCGGGGCAGATCAAAATGCTGGAGCACTTCATCCCTTGAACAAAGTCCGGCACGAGTTCCGTCAGATATTCTTTGAGATGGGTTTCGAAGAGATGCCAACCAATCGCTATGTTGAGACCGGGTTCTGGAACTTTGACGCCCTATTTGTCCCACAGCAACATCCTGCGCGCGATCTGCAAGATACCTTCTACATTTCAGATCCAAAGGTCGCAAACAAGCCACATGCGGAGACGGAATATGACAAGGCTGACTATGAAGCATACTGGAAGAACGTTCAAGAGGTTCACCAGGATGGCAAATACGGTTCCATTGGTTATAGATATCCATGGGCCGAAGACGAGTCTCTCCGCTTGGTTCTAAGAACTCACACGACGGCTATCTCAACTGCGATGCTTCACAAATTAGCTTCACAGAAGGGCCCTGATGGAAGACCACCCCCAGCTCGATACTTTTCAATTGATCGCGTCTTCCGCAATGAGACAGTTGATGCCACCCATCTTGCGGAGTTCCATCAAGTCGAAGGTGTCATTGCTGATTACGGCCTCTCTCTTGGGGGACTCATGGAATTCATGGAGATCTTCTTCAACAAAATGGGAATCGAAGATCTTCGTTTCAAGCCAGCGTACAACCCATACACCGAGCCAAGTATGGAAATCTTTAGCTTCCACAAGGGGCTGAACAAATTGGTAGAAATTGGCAACAGTGGTATGTTCAGACCAGAAATGTTGGAGGCGATGGGGCTGCCGAAAGATATGCGGGTTTTCGGCTGGGGACTCTCCCTGGAGCGGCCAACTATGATCAAGTACAAGGTAAGAAGTTCCCCCCGGTCTAGGGCTCCATCGTATTAATTCGCAGCAGGTGAACAACATTCGAGAATTGCTTGGACACAAAGTAGATTTGTCCTTCATCGAGCGCAATCCTGCCGTCAGGCTAGAGAAGACATAGATTATGGGAGGTCACCATATGAAGCGTTGCAGAATCCCACAAAAATACCCCACGGTCCCACGTTCCGATTGGTGCCACACGTTGTGTCTAGTATCTGCTTTTTCCGTACTCCGTAACTTGACGTGCGGAGAGTATTACCAAGTGGGCATGTGAAGAGTATTTCCGCTTCCTCAATGCTAGAGCTGATGTTACTGTGGATCTGGAAAAGTGGATACTGACTCTGCAGCTCAAGGAGGCAAAAGAGATTGCTACAATGGCATCCATTTGTCTTGAGTGCTGATCTAGTAGTATCCATTTTGAGATGAGATGGTCGTTGTTTGAAACATCAGGGAACACTGGCTGTTGTCCTTGTCCCAACAATTGAAGTGAGCTCAAGCGATGAGCAAGTAAACAGAGCAATCGCGTATGTCCTTTTCGGAATTGTGCCTGAGATTTGTAGGCCTGCCAATGCATCATGGCGCCTCCGATGAGCCCATGAGCCCATGCACTTATGATATCATTGGACGGTCGAAATCATTCACTTCCCTGTACTGTAGTGATTGGGCTGAAGCCCCCCGCAGTACACACCTTATGCAGACTGTATGCAAATGCAGGCAGCAGAAAAAATGCGAAGCTCCCCTCCCGCCCCTCCCCTCCGATCCCCTAGCCCCCAAGGCTCAAGCCCTTCTCACTATCTGTGCCATCTGGGCCCCAGAAGGGAGGGGTTGGTGAGAGCAAACAAGCAGCAGCTTTCGCCAGGTATTTCTTCCACGTAGGCCCGGGTACTTATACCCAGGCATGGATTGATAGGTAGCACTGCTAAATGAAGTTAAGGCGCCGTTCTGCGGCCTGCGCACGCCTTCATGCTTTGTGCAGATTTTCTTTCTTGCCTTACCTTACCTAGTCGGGAGTTTTAGTTGTCATGAGGAGGGGAAAACAAGACAGGGATTATCAGGACCCACTCAGCCACTCAGAGACAAACTTCAAATCTTCACCTGTGACTGACTGCCTACCTTACCTACCTCACCTACTGATCTCTCTTCTACAACACACGCACACTCGTACACTCGCACACACCACCAATCCATCACCTCGACTTCTTCCTCATTGACCATGCTGAGAGATTTCGAGCCCTCGAAACTCCAAACTTAACATCTCTGGTGTTACCGCTGCCTTTGACAAACTCACTTTCCGTTATCGCAACTGCTATCAGACCGCCTGAGAGCATTTTCGAAGATCCCAGCAAGAATTTCAACTGCCCCATTTTCTCAACAACCACGACTCTGCGACACTTCTTGGAAAGACTCCAAAGTCTGATACAGCGGCCGGAGCTCAATCGAGCATAATAGCCCCCAATTGAAGACTCTATCCTGCACAATGGCTCTCTCGATCCGCTTTGCGGGCCGAACAAGCTCTCTTTTCCGCCAAGTAGGGGCTGCTTCATCCAGTCCTGGTAGGACTTTTACAACTCGTGCCTCGTCACGATGCCTCTATGCTAGAAGCCCAGCACCAGCTCGTAAAAGTACTGGTTATGTCCGACTTTTCTCGAGCTCTTGCATCCGCCCAAATCAGACCCAAACCGCCCCAAACGCCAAAGCATACTTGGAGAGCGGAGTTATAAAGGGAGCTGCCAACCCTGTGAACGTCAAGAAAGTTTTGGTCATCGGAAGTGGAGGTCTCAGTATTGGACAAGCAGGAGAATTTGATTATTCAGGTTGGTTGTCCAAAAAGTTCTCCCTTGCCCAAGAATGAGTCACTTTTCCGCTATGCATATACCCAGATTTTTCGGCCCACGATGTTGTTTTGGGTGAAGAAGAGATATTCTTTACTTGGCTAACAGTTTGCTCCAGGTTCCCAGGCTTTGAAGGCCTTGAAAGAGGCTGGCGTGGCCTCGGTACTCATCAACCCTAACATCGCAACCATTCAGACCGCCCACGTCCTCACCGACGAAGTTTACTACCTGCCAGTAACCCCGGAATATGTTACATACGTTATTGAGCGAGAGAGACCAGATGGAATCTTCCTCACTTTCGGCGGTCAAACCGCTCTCAACTTGGGTGTGCAAATGGAGCGTATGGGCATCTTCGAACGTTACGGTGTGAAGGTTTTGGGTACAAGCATTAAGACCCTGGAGACCAGCGAAGACAGAGATCTTTTCGCAAAGGCTCTCGGAGAGATCAACATTCCAATTGCTCAGTCAATTGCTGTGGGTACGGTCGATGAAGCTTTGGAAGCTGCTCGAGGAATCGGGTACCCAATTATTGTCCGAGCTGCCTATGCTCTTGGAGGACTCGGTTCCGGTTTTGCCAACAATGAGGAGGAACTTCGCAACATGTCTGCGAGATCTCTGACTCTGTCGCCACAAATTCTGGTTGAGAAGTCTCTCAAGGGATGGAAAGAAGTTGAGTACGAAGTCGTCCGTGATGCCAGCAACAACTGCATCACCGTCTGCAACATGGAAAACTTTGATCCTCTCGGCATCCATACTGGTGACTCCATTGTTGTAGCTCCCAGTCAAACTTTGAGTGACGAGGAGTACCACATGCTTCGTTCGGCTGCCATCAAGATTGTTCGTCACTTGGGTGTCGTAGGCGAGTGTAACGTCCAATACGCTTTACAACCAGATGGACTCGATTACCGTGTCATCGAAGTTAACGCCCGTCTTTCCCGTTCTTCTGCCCTTGCTTCTAAAGCGACTGGATATCCTCTTGCCTATACCGCCGCTAAGATTGGTCTCGGACACACCCTACCAGAACTTCCAAATGCTGTTACCAAGACTACTACTGCAAACTTCGAGCCTTCCTTGGACTATGTTGTTACCAAAATTCCCCGCTGGGATCTGGCCAAGTTCCAGCACGTGAAGCGCGACATTGGAAGTGCCATGAAGTCTGTTGGTGAGGTAATGGCTATTGGACGAACCTTTGAAGAATCGATCCAGAAGGCTATTCGTCAGGTAGATCCTCGATTCATCGGTTTCCAAGGCGATAAGTTCGATGATTTGGATTACGAGCTGGCTAACCCTACTGATCGTCGATGGCTGGCAGTGGGACAGGCTATGCTTCATGAGGGCTATACTGTTGAACGAATCCACGATTTGAGCAAGATCGACAAGTGGTTTTTGTACAAACTCCAGAACATCGTTGACTGCACTCATGAGCTTGAAGATATCGGAAGCCTCCTTGGCGTCAACAAAGAGCTTATGATGAAGGCTAAGAAGATGGGTTTCAGTGACCGTCAAATCGCAAAGGCCGTTGGTAGCACAGAGGATGAGGTTCGCGCTCGCCGAAAGAATTTTGGCATCACCCCATTCGTTAAAAAGATCGATACACTTGCTGCGGAGTTCCCAGCAGATACGAATGTAATTCGATGGAGTCCCCAGGGTCTGACAAGAAACGCTGACGTGCCCAGTACCTTTATACTACTTACAATGCTACTACCCATGATGTTACGTTTGAAGACCGTGGAAGTAAGTTTCTCTCCACCAAGCCCATGTACCTAGCGCGGCTTTCGCAACCTCATCATGAGAAACAAAGATGGGTTTTTAATAAATCATATACTAACACAGCAATAAGCCATTGTCCTCGGATCAGGCGTTTACAGAATCGGTAGCAGTGTGGAGTTTGATTGGTGTAGCACGTCTTGTGTCCTTGCCTTGCGCGAGATGGGCAAGAAGACCGTTATGATCAATTATAACCCAGAGGTACACATAGTTTTGTGCATGGATCAGACTCATATGCTAAATGTGCCAGACTTACTCTACTGATTTCGATACCGCGGACAAGCTTTACTTTGAAGAGCTTAGTTACGAACGGTAAGTCTCATCCCAGACAAGATTCTTTAATCACTCATCTAATCTGGTCCTTTCTAGAGTGATGGACATCTATGAGCTTGAGAATGCCAATGGTGTGGTTGTCTCAGTCGGTGGCCAACTTCCTCAGAACATTGCCCTTCGACTTCAAGAAGCGGGTGGCGGTAAGTGCAACCCATCTCCTCCCTACTATTCGCAAGTCAAAGATGCCCAGACCCAGGCCCTCACCTATTCGTCTTGTGCTCGTGTCAATGAATTGAGCTCGTTGCTGACTTTTCGATTCCTCAAGCCAAAATCCTCGGAACTGATCCTAAGGACATCGACAAGGCAGAAGACAGACAGAAATTCTCCGAGATACTTGACAGCATCGGCGTTGATCAGCCTGCTTGGAAGGAGCTTACTTCTGTTGCTGATGCTGAGAGTTTCGCCTCGTCTGTGGGATATCCTGTCCTCGTTCGACCTAGCTATGTTCTTTCTGGTGCCGCCATGACAGTCATTCGCAGCAAGGACGATCTCAAGGAGAAGCTAGAAGCTGCCAGCAATGTCTCTCCTGATCATCCCGTCGTCATCACCAAGTTCATCGAAGGTGCTGAAGAGATTGATTGCGATGGCGTTTCCCATCAAGGAAGCTTAATTGTCCAGTAAGGTTCTCTCGACCCATTGAAACCAATATTGCTAATTCCTTCCAGTGCCGTGTCCGAGCATGTCGAACAAGCTGGTGTTCACTCTGGTGACGCCACTCTCGTCCTTCCGCCTGCAAACCTGGATAACACGACCATTGATAGGGTTAAGGATATTGCTGTGAAGATTGCAGCAGCTTTTAAGATCACAGGGCCCTTCAACATGCAGATCATCAAAGCTGAAGATCCCAACGGCGGCTTACCCCAGTTGAAAGTCATTGAGTGCAACCTTCGGGCCTCTCGCTCGTTCCCGTTCGTGAGCAAGGTATGCTCGTCACCATCACAGATCAAATACCAAAGATAGGGGATACAATGATGCTAACCTCCGAATAGGTTCTTGGTCTCAACTTCATCAGCGTGGCGACAAAGGCCTTAGTTGGCGCAGACGTCCCTGCACCTGTTGATCTCATGGCAGTCAAGCGTGACTATCTCGCAACCAAGGTACCTCAGTTCTCATGGACTCGTCTCGCTGGTGCCGATCCCTTCTTGGGGGTCGAAATGTCCAGTACTGGTGAAATCGCATGTTTCGGAAAAGATCTTGTCGAAGCCTACTGGGCCTCCCTCCAATCTACCATGAACTTCCGCATGCCAGAGCCAGGAGAGGGTCTCCTCTTCGGTGGTGACGTCTCCAAAGCTTATCTTTCCAACATTGTTGACTACCTCTCCCCTCTCGGCTACAAGCTTTATGCTGCTGAGAAGGAGGTCAAGGAATTCCTCGAGTCAACTGCCAAGAACAACGTCAAGGTCGAGATCATCGAATTCCCTACTGAGGATAAGAGAGCTCTCCGAGAAGTCTTCCAGAAGTATGATATCCGCGGTGTCTTCAATCTGGCTCAGGCCCGAGGGAAGACGGTTCTCGATGTCGACTATGTGATGCGCCGCAATGCCGTCGACTTTGGCGTGCCCCTTTTCATGGAACCAAAGGTAAGCTGCAATGGTCTCCCATACTTCTAATGAATTTACTGACTGTTTGTTCCAGACCGCCGAGCTTTTCGCCCGCTGCATGAGCGAGAAGCTTCCCCGCAAGGAAGGCATCCCTGGTGAAGTCCGCAGATGGTCTGACTTCATCGGTGGCAAGCCTTTGTAAAGAACATGCTATGGCGACGGATCTTACTATCCTTGCTTTCGGGGCGTTTTTAACTCGGGTTTCTATACGACAAGCGTTTTCTATACGATAAGCGTTACGCAAAATACTGGGATAGATAAACAATATGGTGGGTGGAGCACGGGGAAGATGCATGGTGATAGTTGATAAATAGTGCGAACTCAAAAGTGCTTTTTCCTACTGATTGAATACTTTTTTATGCATCTGTAGCATTAAATGGCCTTTCAAACCCACGGTAGCCGATGACGAGTGAGGTAGAGCCATGGCGTCCTCTTCTCTATTCAAGTCCTCAACTATTGTGAGGTTAAGACATGTGACTCCTGAGGATGATGCAATACCAAAGTTCACTTTCGAATCATTCACACTCAAGTAAGTGCATGTTGGATAGCGTTCATAACCCCACATAGCTGAACAGATCTTTCCACTTCTTAATTCAAATAAAACATCCGTCAGTATGCACAATACCTCAACCCCCACCATACAGGTCGTTCTCCCTTTATCTTCCCACAGCCATCGCCTCCAGCCAACACTTTGATCCGATCTTGTGGTTTGTAGGCTCGGTAATATTTATATCCAGTAACTGTCTCCGCTAGGTTCTAAATATTGTTCATTCAAGATCTTTGTGTTGATGTTCTCTGATTCGGTTATCACATGAACCGCGTAATTTGGGCCAAGCATACTTGTTCACTGTAGTGTGCGAAAGCCGTCCAAATATTGGACGATTCCTTGTAAGAAGATCTCGAACTGATAAGGAGACTATTACATCTCAGCTGAAGATGTGTCAAGGTACGGATTTGTCATCAGCACTCACTATGGCAGCAGCATTTCAATGCCCGTGTCGACACTGAATGAGTGGCTCGCCTAATTTGTTTGCAAGTGAAGTCCTTAATGCATGTCGTGACAGACTACAGTGCAAGTGACAATTAGAGATATTGAGAGTGGTCTCGCTCGCCCCATTGCTTGGAATTTGGCTATTGGGGAGGCTTCTCACATTACAAGCTATTCACACGAAAGAGCCTCCCATGCTTGCGGAACTAGATAAGAAATCCATTTCCATTCATTTATCGTGGCCAGTATCATCTGGGCTTATCATGCATGCACCTTGTAATGCTCGTTGAAGGTAGCCTTTTTTGCGCCATGAAATGCAATCCATAACAACCTGCCCAGGTATCTCGCGGATCCGAACCTGCAACCTCTAAACATCCAAACCCATTCGAAAGTCCTCCCATAAGTGCTCAAAATCCTATATCCACGGAGGAACCAGCTAGTGTAGCATCACACTTATTCTAGCCTTACCCCGCCAACCCTCTTAGCAAGACGCTCACTGAAGTGATCACCGTCATCGGGAGATGGTCTTTTAGGGGGTCTCTCACCAATCGATGCCAAAATTGCAATCAAAGTTGCCCATCCAGGTGTAGATAAGAGCTGGTATCCCTCGGCCGGATCGTGCTGAGTGGCAACACGGCACATCAGTGCCTGCTCGTCCTAGAAAGTCTTAGTAAACCAGATGAAATTACATTACAGGGCACGACTCACCTTTTCCATCGTGGACAGGGAGAAATTGAGGTAGCACAGTAGGTGGAAATCTGACAAAGCTTGGAGTGCTTGTTCAGGCCGCACTTCGCCATTTCTGTCCACTCCAAGGCGCTGAGCAACTGTCTTGTGCTCTTGTTCTTGTCCCAAAGCAAGGCGGTTCTCGATTGTGAAACCAGGACTTGCAATGAAGGACGGTTTGGGTTGATCTGGGAATCCATGCGTCAAGGTGACAAGGAGATATTCAACTGGGAAGGATGGCTTAGCGTTTTCTTGCACACTAGCTCCGTACTCATTGATTCGACGGTAGAAAACTTCGGGGATATAACGAGTGCGGCTCGTAGATCCATCGTCTTCCTCTTCGCTTCGTACAAGCATGACCGTAGGATCGGCTGATGGCTCGACAATATCCGCCCGAACCATTTCCACAGCTGAGTTCGACACTTGGTACGCCGAAATAGCAATCTGTCCCTTCTCGTCCCCGGATACTACACATGTGACAAAATTAGACCCGAATCTTCCTGTGTCGCTCCATTTCGTGGGCTTTGGGTGCTGTGCTTGGAGACGACCTGCAAAAGCAATTTCTAGAGATGACAGGTAGTATGAGTCGATATGTCTCTTGCAGATGACGGACCCGTCTCCTGCACCAGCATCCAAAAGATCCGTCCAGATGATTCCGACTTTCTGTAGTCCACATAGTCTGGCCATCTCATCAACCTTCTCTTCGTCGGTCCACTCTGACAAAGTAACTCCATCAATCTCATTGATTTGAGGAGGCTCATAGATGGCTTCAACAACAGCTTTGACGCCTAAAGGTACCTCTGTATATTCCGTGTATCTGCCATAAAGATAACCAACACGCTGTGACCCAGATTGTCGCCAGAAGTTCAAGAGATTCTCGATCAGGCCAGGGTTCGCAAATTCGACGTGATCAACCATTCGGAAAGGCTGTGGTTGGAGGGTGATAGCACTTGGTTGGCATTTTGTACAGATTCCTTCCGGCCATTGGGGATGTCCAGAAGGACAGTCACGCTTGACTCGATAGTAGGGTTCGGTCAGCGGTGGCATGAACGATGTACCGGATTCTGGTTTGTTGGTGGCAGAATTAATCTTTCGTAAGTAAGAGTGAAAGGATAGGTTTTTGATCTTCTTCTCCGCTAGGTATTCCGCGTTGAATGGCTCCAATGGCATGCAGTAGTCGCACATGCCCTTCTCTCCGTGTCTGCACATCTTCACATCTCGTTTCCGAGGAATCTTTCCGTTCTGCTTGTCCAGTCTATCATCCACCGCCAGCTGTACCACTGTTTCCCATGGATTTTTGACCTTCTCGGATGGTGAGGTGACTGGTAGTGGGTCGATAGGAATGTCTTCTGTTGGGAGGATAGCATGTCCGTTGAGGCGGTTTGTTGATGAGATGATGCTGGAGGTCGAGTGGGACGATACGTTGCCGTTTGCATTTCCATTTGACAGTTCGCCCATTATTTTATAGCTTATGAAAACAACATCGCCATGACTGGCGGGGTAAACGTCAGATTGAGTACATAGACGGAGATAACACAACAAACCTCAACCCGATCTGAGAAACTTTATGTCTTGAAATTTCTTTCAGTAGTTTGCTGTCTCCTCCTGCAGGCTGGTTCGAAAGCGCCAGTGTGGCAAAGTCTACCGTCGATGGCAGTATGGCAGTTAACTAAACGGCGTCAACACAGAATTCCACTTTAACATGGGAAAGTCCCAACCTTCTCTCCAAGCTTTGCGAACGTATCTGCAGGCTCAACTGTCACCCTGTACATCCCATCAGGACCTCGGAATCTGAGAAGCATCTTTCCTTTGTGGGCGGGCAAGAAAGTACGGGCGAGAACAGGAGATCGAGCTGCGAGATGGAGTTGGAGGAAGTTGAAGATCGGTGAGCAGCGCAACGCAGCGCAGCGAGAGCTCTCGGCTCGCTCCCGCGCGTCATAATGCCGCCTGGACCAGGACTAAGCCGTCCTAGTCCTAGGCCAACAGGCTACAGTACGGCCCAGGTAGTAGCACGCTCTGTTGCGCTACGAGTAGGTACCTACCATGCGAGCATGCTTACTCGTATGTAAGGGAGCGACATACGGAGGTAGGTGAGCGTGAGCGTGGGTTTAGGTAGGACCCTGGTACCTAAGTAGGTAGGTAAATTCTCTGGTACTGTACTGAAGTACTCTGGTAAATTTACTGAGGTACTAGAGCAGTGGAGGTAGAGGTAGGCTCGCTGGCTCGGTAGGTAAATTACAGTACTCGTACAGTACGCTTTCGCACAGTACCGGGGACCCAGCCGAGCCTGCACCAGCCCAGCGCACAGGGGGTGCATGCGGCCGCCTCGCGCGCGCGGATAAGCGCAAGGGAAGGCTCAAGGTTATTCTGGGCCGGCAACTTGTCCTTTCGCGATCGATGCATATTTGGTTTGATGGTTTGACACGACACCACAAGACACGAGACACGAGACAGCACTTCGATAGAAACCTGCCCCAACGCAAGACGATCCTCAGCAATTATCTCTCTAGCTGCAGCCTTCTGCTGGATCTAAATTAAACCTATCTTCTTGACTGCATTCCTCCTCTCAAGGGGCACTCAAGGAAGGAGACCTTTGCCGCCATGTTCGACATTGACTGGGTTGGCCTCGCCGTACCGTTCGCATATCTTGCAGTGCTCGCGGGCTCTTTGACAACATTCTCGAGTGTGTATAGGAAGCGGAAAGCAGGTTGGTCCATCCACCGTCCATGAAAACCTCAGGACTCACCATGAATAGCTGCATCAGCAACTCTGGCGCCATGGTTTCCCCCTCACTTGCAACGGAATATTTACTTGTCACTCCTACATCTCGAGCCAGAGGATGGCAACGAGAAGGCACCCAAGGTTCCAGAAAGCGTGCTGCGCGCTGCCCTGTTAGAGCGAGCTGTCGAGGACATCCATCGAATTATACAAATCAGAACCGCAAAGCAGGCGTGCAGTACCCTTTTGCAACGTGGCAGTGTTGGAGATGATCTGTGGCAAAGGTTTTTGAGGGCTGAAAAGGAAATGGAAGAAGAACTCCGAGATGTGGTCATGGAGGTTCGTCATTCTCTCACACACAAAAAACATGGCCGGAAGCAGACTAACATGCCCAGGCAAATGGTCTCTCTCCAAACTGGGGCCAATCTATCTTCCAATCTGCTAACGAGATCGCCGCAAACACTCTTTTCCGGAATCGATTAGACGATATCCAGGCACAGGCAGAATCTGAGAAGCAGTGGTGGGAGAAACGACGAGCATCTATCCAAGCAGAATTCATGAAGGAGCTGGATTCACCTTCTTCCATTGCCACCAAGAATGTTGTAAACAAAGCCGGCAGTGATGAAGAAGCAATTCTGGTGGAAGGTGGAGGTCCTGCTGTTAGTGACAAAGGAAGCATTCGAAAGAAGAAGGGAAAGAATTAGGATGTCACTTTGTCATTTCTTGGGCCGGGTGTATAAAGGTGCATTCCACATATGGCGTTCTGGAGCTTGGGAATACCGCGGATGTAAGATCATTGAGAGCATTCCAGTGGCGAGGATATTCAAGATTCCGAAATACAACTTCGTTTTTGATCGGCACTGGACTTTTGCTAAGTCTTACCTCATCATTTTCCTCGTCCGCAAGCATGCGGCTGTGCTGCACCTACTCCCAAAGACTCACTACGACTCCAAAGCCACCTTTCTTTGTCTGAAGTCCTTCCCTAAACAATTATCACAAAGGAGCTCTATAATACGTGCTTCTGGAACAAAGATCTCTCACGCCCAAAATAGAATATGTTCTAAATGCTGCCAGAGACATGCACCGGAATAAGCGAAGAAAGAATCTAAAAGTCACAAAGCAGCTGCGACTCTATACAAGAATGCTGTTGTACGCCCAATGTCATCCTCCATCTTGCGTCTCCAAGTCATTTTGTTTTCTCATTCTCCAGCACTTCATACTGTTCCAGACAATCCTAGGCTGCTGGCAGCTGTTGAAACAAAAAACTCTCATTGAACACTTACCTACTTTGACTACATACACCATTCAGCAAGCGCTCACTTCCAGCTCTGAATTTTATACAAAACCTACCCACCGTCTCTCAAAACGCCAAGCACATCTCCTCAAAGCCAACAGCGAAATGCAGTCCACACGGCAATACAATCCGGCTTTCGAGGCCAAGGTCAAGCAGCTGGCTCTCCCTTTGGCTCCTCTCGTCCGTCTTACAACTGGACAAGTACACCCCGTCTTTCCATCCACGGTCCTGAACTTCTGGCTTTTGACTTCGGAACAATGCGATGAGCTAGCACACTTTTACCACCAGAGAACGCCAAGCGTTTTCACGATGCAGTATCCTTGTCCTGTCCAGTGGAAAACCGATGCCACGCTGGAGGAGAAGCGCAGGAGAATCGGCCGCTTTATTGGGCTCAGAGGTTGTGAGAGTCCGGTCAGGATTCTCAGCGAAGAAGAGATCCGGAGACATCTGCAACAAGAGAGAGAGAGGACTGTGGAAGAGGAGAGAATGAGAGGAAAGACGAGGTGGTATTAAACGACCGAGAAACCGAAAGAGGAAGTCTGTCTGCTTTGAGCCTGCATTACGATACCTGTCTGTTTTCTATAGTACTGCTGGGTTCTGTTTCACTCGGACTTTCATACGTGTTGTTAATGCGGAAACGAGTTGCATTGATGCTCCTAGACACTTCCTACAGTCCCTTCCATGCCACCTTCGCCAGATGGTCGGCCTTTTTTTTACTTTGCTTCACCATACCCAGTGACTTCAAGTCTGCTAGAGCTTTGTAGAATAGTGCCAGTGCATCCCTCTCGTCAACCCTCTGTTCATCGCCACCACCAATCATCTCAAAAAACGCTGACCAGAGATCGAAGATATTGATCAGGGATCCTGTTTCCAGGTACATCTGGTATAGGATGGCTGTAGCAGGCTGCGTCGAAGACAAACCTTCCACCGGCTCACAGCATTCGCAATTCAAGTAGTCGTAAGGCGCAGAGAGAGCCCGTTCAATAATTGTCCGGGGGCGAGGTGTGAAGTAATCACGGTATGGTGTTGTTGAATCGAAGAGCCAAATCTCGTTCAAAAACATATCTTGTGGGTTGTCAACAGTAAAGTAATCGGCAAGTAATTGGGATGTGCGGTCTACCAGAGCTGTGAATTCTTTGTCCTGTTCGGACAATGTAGACTTTTCGTAACTGAGCTGGACTCGCTGTGCGATGACCGTTGTCCTCACGCCCTTGCTGTGGATAGCATAACTGGTCCGAAGTGGCTTCCCGTTCTTCTTAGAGACTTGATGCAGCAAATTGACTTGCGACTGTATGTCGGAGAGTTGCTCCAGAAATTCGACATCTTCATCGGTCCATCCGTTAAGGTCCATAGCGGGCGCACCTCCATCAACAGTCTTACTGGCTCCTTGAATAAAGTCGATTAACTCTTCAGGCGTCATCCGCTTGATGGAGTCAAGTATGGAGTTTACAAGCTCCGATGTGCCGAGGTCTCCTTGAAAGGTAGTTGTATACAATGCAATATTGGCAACGGGCTCTGGTGCACATGCCGTAGCAAGGTGCATAGCTCTCAGAATCCGGGCAATATCAGCGTCTATAGATTCAAGACATTCTCCAACCTTGCTGAGAAGAACTTTGTCGTCCCCGAGGATCTTTCGAGCTTGAATAAAATCTCCAGCTTCGATCAAATCTTCCGTCAGTTTCTTGAATGACGGAAGCATGCGAATCAACTCGAGATGCTGAGGCTGCAGAAAACTGGAAAGTAACGGGCCGTTTGAGAGGTCCTTGAGAATGCTTAACGGATTTCCGTAGAAATGGCACATGTAGAAGTACTGTCTCGTTAGTGAAAGATTCCAGCATGCAGTGGTTAAACACACCTTCAGTGCTACTACGAACGACTGAACACTCTGGACATGATCTTCCTGTCTTTCAATCAACTCGGCCACCAGCTTAGATCCCAGCCGCAGAGGAGCTTTGCCTCCAGAGACTGCTTTCTCAAATATCCTTTCAAGTAGAGAGCTCGTCTGCTCGACATCAAATTGGCGGCCGACTAAAGAACGACTCGCTGTCCGCGATAGTCTTTCATGAAAAAGCTCCACAGAAGTCGCAACACCGAAAAGCAGGACGAATGGAATACGGTCCTTCCATGAGCTAAAATTTTCAGCCTACGGTCTTGAAAGTCGGCGATGAAGTCTCACCCAAAAAGGCTGACCAGGTCCGCCACAAGACTGGTATCAAAGGCTTCACTGTCTTGAAACGCAACAACTACGGCCTGGCTTTGATGAAAGTCCACGTAATTATGTAGATTCTCCAGGTCATAGTTCAGAAGCTTGCGTCCCTGTCATTGACTCGGTCAGCTCATATTCATGTGATACCCCGCTGATGAACCTACATCTCTATGAGATGAGTGACTTTCCTCTTCCTCTTCGCCTGGTCCTTGGTTGGTAGCGTCTCGGATGAATTGCTTTAGCACTGCTTTCAAATTTGAGGCATCTCCTGAACGTAAAATGACCACTGGTCCATCGATCTCGGATTTCAGATGGGTGCAGAGTTGGTTGAAAAGGAGGCCCTGAGATGTGATATTTGGACCAGTCACCACAAAGCCGGTCGGGAGTCTATCTAAATCTTTTCTGTTTGATTTTTTGTCAGTTGGATCTCGCCACTGGCCGGGATTTGCGTACCGTAGAAGACCGGAGTCACGGATGAATGTAGTGACATCTGCTAAGGTATCTTCGTTTGCCTCATTTAATATCGACTTCAAACCATCAGCACGTATCCTGTCATTATAGGTAGTCTGAATTGAGAATGATTGACATGCCTGAATCCTAGCATCAGTTGCTGACCATGACTGTTCAAAAAGGCGCTTGCGAAGATCCACGCATTCCGGGGCTTCAAGGCCATCGAGAAGAGCCTCGAAGCTCACCGGCTTAGCCTCTCCAGCGTTGGCAATAGGGCCTTTGGTTTTGGCTACCTTCCTTCTCTTCGCTGGCCGTGCCGGGGATTCGTTGGCATCACGGGCTGGGGTATAAACGTAGGCTGTCTAAGGTAACGTTAGTTCAGGTATGGAGACGGGATATACAGTCCTTACCTGGTGATCTGTACTATCGAAGCCTGTATGGCTGTTATGTTCGTGGGGTTCTGACATTTGGGGTTGGATTTGATGGTCCAGGGAGACGCGACCTGACGCGCTGAAGGAACTGCTCGGCTGACATGCGTGCGCCTTCAAGCCTGCTCGAAAAAAGTCACAGCCTCGTCGTCTGCACACTCAACAACGCTCACATGCCGCCTCCACAAAGTCTTCTGGCTTCCAAACTACGAGGTTTCGTGTGCCGATCATGTCTTTCGAAACTACAAGGGTACCACCGACGACGTATGCAATGGGCATCGCGCAGTCTTACAACAGATACCGTACACTCAGGCACTAAAGAGGCGACACATCCTGCTTCAACAAGTTTTGGAGAGACGCAAGACGAACTTGAATCGGAATTCAACGAAGGCTCGATCATAGAGGCGCTCTCACAAGAGGTACGACTAAGGCGGAAGGATGCTGTTGAACATAGTGTTCCGAAGTCCACAGTCAGATTTTTCGAAGAAACGCCGGACGGAAGCCGAGAAGAGATACAAGATGGTCTTGACGAAGAGAATACGTTGGACGCATTGGAGAAGGAAATAGAAGGACTGAAGACTGACACTGGAGGTCTCATGGAAAAATTGGTTGGGGGTGATCCGTCACAGCCAGGAAGGAGCCCGCTGGCTGATGAGCTCAGAGCTCAGATAATGGAAATGGAAAGACTCGATTTAAAGAATCTGTCCGAGGCAGATCGTCTGCGACTCAGGTCAATCATTCTGAAAGGCTCAGAACCTGGTAGCTACTCCAAAAATATATCCTTCTGACTCCCTATTGATCATGTCTATAGCTACCTCATCCACTACGCAGGAATCCCCGTCTCTCCAACCTGCGACCGAAGCATACGAAAAAAATCCTCAGGCAGATTTGCATACAGAATCCGCCGATGATGTTTTGATCCCAATCAATGAGTTCCCGGTTGCACAGCAAGCTCGCGTTTGGCAGTTGGCCGAAGCCCTCAAACGACCAGCACCAGTTGGCCGGAAAAGAAGGGGGAAGCGATCAATTCTGGATGCAAATACAGCGACAGATAAGAGCCATTTGCTTCGGGTCTGGAAGGCGTATTCGCTATGTAGAAATGCACTCATAGGCTCCAAAAACAAGGTGCCGAGGGACATCTGGCTGCGACTCTGGAATATCTTCCAGGTGGAAGGGACTCACAACAGGGATCGCTGGACACGCCTGAAGACATTGGGTGATGATATCCAGCGGGCCGGTGTCAGACTCGCGCCGAGTCAGTATCTATTACACATTGAAGCAACCTTCATTGAGGGAGATCAGAATGATGGCATAGACATGTGGGAGGAGTACTCCTCTGACCTCCGAGGAAGTGAATACTGGGAGCTGGGAGCTCGTATGCTTGCTCAGAATGCACAGCCTGATAGAGCGTTGGAGGCAGCTGAGTCTTGCTTGGAATGCAGCGATGCCTCCAATTCATATCGACTACTGCTCCCGATCATCAGAGCAAATTTGGGGTTGAACACCACATCATCAATTAAACGCGCCTGGGCTCTCTACATCCGATTAAGAGTGTCCTATAGTCAATACCTGAACATGGAAGACTACGACGTGCTTATATCTTCGTTCTTGGCTGCCAGTCAGCCTGACTTAGCACTGGGTGTTTTCAGAGATATGATGCTTACAGGCCAACCTTCTTCACCAGTTGAAGACTCAACATCACAGTACAGAGAAGTAACAGGCACCACAGATGACTTGACATCACTCCAAATCACAATCCACGAGCTTGACTGGCCAAGCCCAAGGGCCTTGAGCAAGCTCCCAGCTCACCTGAACAATAAGTTCTTTTTCGGGAAATGGCTGAAAAAACTCATTGGCGATGGTAATCTAGAGGCGGCAAAGAAAGTCCTGGATCTGATGGACGAGCGTCGAGTCCAGCCCAGCGCGATTCAAGTCAATGGGCTCATTGGTGCTTGGTTCCGAGAGGGATCCGAGAAGTGCAGAGCCTTGGCCGAAGACATGGCTTGGAGAATGATCAAGACCAGGAACGACTTCGTTCAGTCTCGCAGTACTCTCAACCCCGCCCTTCGTTTCGTTAAGACACCTGACCTCCCATCTTCTCGAATGATCAAACTTACCCCACCAGCAACGATAGAAACGTTCTGCATTCTTATATCGCAATATCGGCGTCGACAAAAAGCACACCGCTTGACGGAGCTCTTCGAAGCTTTCCAAAAGTCGGGAATACCACCCAATACGCACTTCATGAATGAGCTTCTCCTGACCAACAAGAGAGCACATGAGAAGAAGTCTGCTCTGGAAACTTATCAGACTGCGACAGAAGAACAGGGTGTCACTCCTGATTTCGACACATACAAAGTTCTCTGGGCCCTCTTGAAAAAGGACGTTGATCCATTACGAGGGCCAAACAGGCCCGAAGAATCCGATCGCCACCGGGGGTGCCGGAAGCTGTTCGCAGATATGATTTCTAAGTTACAGAAGTCAACCAAAGAAGCATTTCCCCAGGACCTGTACAGATTGGTCATACAAACATTCAGTTTTGCTCAGGACCTGACGGGAACGGCAGTAGCCTTGCGAGCTTTACAGCATCACTTCGGTGCATACCCCGATCCAGAGAGCGCTCGAATCATTGTACTTCAACTTGCCCGGTTGGGTCTGAGTGAGGAGCTTGGAGTCGAGCCGGCTCGACTGAACACTGGCTTGTCAATTACACGTGAAAGAATAGCATCAGTGACGAGTATCTTACAACAATTCAAAGACCAGCGTGTTGAGGTGTTGCAGCAACAGGGAATTAAGTTCAGCGAACTCAAGGGTGATGATCTGAAGGAAGAGCCGTTGATTCTGCTATCCGACTTATTGCGCTTCGCGGATCGCCAAGTTGCTCAAGATGGAAGCAAAGGTTCTGCTGAGAGGTCCTTGATTGCCGCGAAATCCATGAATGTACCTGGCTGTTCTGTCTGGGAAAGTCATACAAAGAACACGTAAGATACATGTAACATAGTGTAAAAATATAGTGTAAATTATATTTAGACGACGCATGAGATGGCACATCAATCACCTTCTTTCTAGGTTTTGGTGCACAAATATCACGGTCCTCCTCGAACAATGCAGCATGATCAAGATGATCGACTTCACAGTGCAGTCAGAACATTTCAGCGGCCAAGCCTTCTCTGACTATATGCATGCTACCAGGCGGCCTGATCCAGTATATTGCTATCGTGGAAGCTCAGAAATGAGATGACGTCTGTCAGTGCTTCTGCCGTATGCAGCCTGCCTCTGAAAACGCACACGGAACATTTGACTAGTTGATTCATTAAGCATACTCACGCCAAACTGCCACAGAAATTTGGACTCACAACACGTTGCTCGGATAGATTAAATCTTTAGTCAGGAAGATGTGGGCAACTTTGAAACATGATGTGTTCCGGCCACCTACCTAGTGCTAGCAGGTTTTGTGGATGTTGTCTGCTTTCCGAGCCTCAACAACAACCTCCAGCAGCACTTCGCCTTGAAAAGCCTAAATAATATCAATCCAGTGTGGGAAAGTGGCCCGGTAACGACTTTGACCAGAGGAATGATAATAGAGGTGCCTTGCAACAATAACGTAAAGAAAAGCACGCTTGAAATTGCTAAAGATTGAAGTGTACACGTGCTAGACGTCCATTTACATCGCCACCTTAGGGTAGTCCTCTACTCCACTAGTTTCCTTCAAGGCATTTGTTACTGCATTCACGCATAGCAAAAACACCAGGCAGCTAAATTCGAAGCAGAGAAAGCAGGTAGCTTTTGGGAATCACATGAGCAAGCTAATTTTGTCAGACTGACTGCCCTCAATGCTGCCAACCTACAGGGCTGGAAATGAGGAATAAATGCATTTATTGCGGTAATAGATTCTATCTCGCCTGCGAGCAAAATGTATTTGGCATGGCATGACGATGCAGTGATCCTGTGACATCGTCCGGCCAGCCACATCATCAACTTCATATCGATGCAACACGGTACCCTAAAGTCTAGGGCGGGAGTAACGAAGTAAGGACAACTGAAATGGGATTATCTCAGAATTTCACGAGTCACGTTCGTCCAATCTCTTTTCTAAGACTAATAACACTGTACCGTATGGGACTCGGCGCTGGCAAGCTTATGCTTAGTCATCACGATCTCTATCATTCATCACTACCTACCTACCTAGACTAGAGCCTCGGTAGGTAAGGTCCTCGAGAGGTCGTACTGGAGGGAGTCTGGGAGTATTACAGTACCTACCAGCCAGGTCAAGGGTAATTTGTCAGCAATGTCGATCAGCGCGGGAGCGGCCCGGTCCTGGGCACACTACTTGGGACAGCCAGACAGCATTTCGTTATCGTGACAGTCTTCAGTGTCAACCAGCTGTCACCTTATCATGATTCCAGGCATGTCTCAAGTCGTGCTCTTTCGCGGGAATTCATGTGTAGCTGCAAACATTGAAGCTTCAGCGTTGAATGCCTTGTCCGTTGCTTCTACTTAGTTTCGTGGTATCTTTATCGAAGTTGCACCATCGCCGCATTTTGCCAATGCTCGCACCAGCATGGACGCCCCTTCCCCAGACCAGGTACATAGATTTGTCAACCCTTTATCGTTTGGTTCTAAGAGCTCTCTAGCGAGTGCTTGGCATCAAATTCTCTCTCATCTCTGCTGGGGGACAATCTGCCAAGTGGAATTACAGTGACCAAACGGCGCTGCAACGCTTCATGAAATCGGATGGTGAATTGTTCGTTGGAAGAGGCGCCAGAACTACAAGGTCGCCGAGATGACCCTCCGAGACTTTGGTGTCCACCGTGTTCGACTTTTAATTAGTTCAGTGGGCCTGGAAGGGATGCTCAATGTCGATGGCGACCTTATCTTACCGATTCTCGACGTCAAGATCAGACGCAAGATGGCCAGTGTTTGGCATGAGTTTTCAAAGGAGGATCGATTGAGCGCCTTAGTCCCTTGGTCTACAAGACCTGCACACAAGTAAGTATCGCCCACGTCCTACATACAGAGCCATATTAACTGTTATGATTTAGCTTCGAACTGGTCACTCTCACAAGCCCTGCTTCTCCTCTATTCAGCACCGAGGACGCACGAATGAGGCGCCAACTTGCTGAACTCGACGAGTAGCTTGCCCTCGCCCCGGTTCCGCCGTAACAGCTTGCTACGTGAGAAAGGACAACAACAGGCTTGGGAAGCGTCCGGCTCTGCCTCAGATGACGAGGAAGCTGCATGTTCAGATGCTGAGGTTGAGCTTACTCGTGTTGATAGGGGTTTGAATGCTCGTCGCCAGTGCCAGACAGATGTGATGTCAGCGAGGCAGCGCATGTGGGCACAAGGATAGAGACAGGACGGGATGGGGAGCTAAGCTATCGGAATGCACAGCCATGATCTCACCCTCTACGACAAGATCACTGTTTATGCATCTGCAGAAAATAATCTAGTCCCAAATTTCTGTTCATGTTTGGCACCAACAGCGTTGAGTTGCGGCATGGTGCATGTGATGCATTTGGTATAGTGCGGGTAGGATCAATGAGTTGATCACCCTGTCCTTTGTAGTTGTCTTGCATTGTTTTGCACAGTAACTCTTAGCACCTCTGGTGGCATCTGCGCATGATATTACGCTCACCGAATCACGGATACCTCACCAAACGCTCGGTTCTCCCACTGCGTGAGGGGTGACGAATCCATGGCTGAAAATGCGGTACTTCCGCGAAGCATGTTCTGCTCCTGAAAAATTCACTAGTCTTTGTTTGGCCTTTGGCCAGGATCGAGAGCGTCTTATGGCGGCTTATGAAAAGGTGGAAGCCGAGCTCCAGAGGAAATCAAAGACTAAGACTAGAGTGTCGGTATCAGCGCAGGAAGAACGGGAGCTGGTCGAATTCTGCCTTGCCAAGCTGTGCGAGTACTCCAGAGCGGGCTTCGACGTTGAGCATGCTGTGTCAGGCCTCTTGGATGACATCGCTGAGGTCGAATGGGAATCCAATGATGATTCTTTCTTGGAATCTGTCCTGCGTCCAGGTGAAGCGTGGAAGGTCTTTCCAGTTACCCTTACCCAGCAATGCCGCCTACTCGGGAAGCGCGCACTTTCGCCATCACAGCAGATCCTAGCCCACCTGTATAGACTGTGTCAAGATCATCGCGCCGTGCGGTGGTTCTGCAAAGCTCTTGTATGTATTATCGGTGTACCCGTCGCTGTCTTGCTACTTCTGAAGCTACTGTCGTGGCTGGATGGAGGCGTTCTGGGACAGATAGAAGCAATTGTCATGAGCCATCTTCGGGCGATGCCAGGCGCAGCCCTCTTTCCCGTGGTGGGTGAGTTGGGTCCAGTCCGTCTTTCACGACCCAACTCCTCCTTCTGGTGTCGATCTGCCGTCTATTCCTATCCACGAAGGAGTCCAGCAGGCGGCACAAAACACGATTTACATGGCAGCAGTCGCCTCAAACCTCTCCCTTATACCTGCACTTCTACATGTTTCGAGGCTGAAGATCATTACTGCCGCTGCCTTCAGCCGGAAGTCGGAACACGGACACAGAGCGGAGGTCAATGAAGAATACGAGATGCTCATTCAAAATATGGACGACTTAGGATATATCACGCGCGATTTCAATCTCGATGTGGCAGATCTCAGTAGAGATTTCAAAATACAGCTCTCGTCTACGCTCTCCCAATTCAAAGACATGAGACCCCGGGCAGACTTTGGGAACTCTGTTCATGTCAAAGTCTCAACAGCATGTGCTTTGTGGTTGGGCGCTCGCATCCCTTGGCTGCCGGATTCTAATTTTCATCGTCACAATCTTGGGCCGTGTACAGCGTGTGGCACAACGATCATGGCTACCTTCATAGTCCACGGTTGCCTTCGGCAGCCCGCTCCACGGTTTTCGGAATCTTTCTGTGCTCCTTGGATTCGCAACCTACCTGGAATAGAGCAGTATCTGGACGAAGTCGCAGACGACCGGGTTAAGGCGGTACGAAAACTCGGACATTTTCTCGAAAGGTTACATTCCCACGTGAGGTCGTTATTAGACATGTCGAGAAAAGGCAAGGATTTGTGCGAAATGGTTGAGCGTAACTTACAAAATATTGCTAGCTATAATCATGAGGACGATAGATCGATCAAGACGCAATTGAAGGTCATGGAGAAGCAAAAGTGGCATTTGAGCTCTTGGTTAGAGTGGCTACGGAACTCGACTGGTATGTATGAAAAACAAGCTTCCCTGCAAGTTGTTCACAATGACCCCACAAGAACAATGGAGCTTCAGGACTTTGCCTTCCACTTATTCGAAGGCTCTAAGAGCGTCCTCTATAACTGGAGCTCGATAATTCAAGGCATATACAGAAGCTTGAAAACCTTTGAGGCCTCGGCAGACCAAGGATGGCAAGGAGCGTGGCAAAACTGGCAACCATGGGACGAACTGCAAGCTGAGTTGGAGACATTATGGCCTATCGTCGATGCATTGGAAATGGCCCATCGGAAGCTGCGTGCAAGGAGCTCTGATAGTGGAGATTGTTGGAAGAAAGCCGGGGAGTATTGCGCCCAAAAAGCTCGATCTTTCCGCGGTGGTCACGGCATTACCTTTGATTGGGAAGAGTGTTATCGGGTGTTGACTTTGTCTATCGTGGAAGCTAACAGCTTTTGAAAAAGGCATACATGGAATCCAAGGATCAAAGTAGTGATAACCCCAAGGTGTGCTTTGGGTAAAGCTTGGACAGATCTCATTATTGCCATCAAAGCCTGCCTCTCCAAGTAGCCGAGTATTAGAAATTCTGGATGTATCTCATTGGTTGTTACATTCAGAGAGTATCCCTGCGGATATTCTGGGTATTGATGGAAGATGTTTGGATGCTACAAATGGAGGGCGTTTCTTGCGAATATTTGAGTATGCTTGAAGAATGCTTGGAAAGATCCTTGGTTTCTACTTTGCAAGTGTGTTTTTGCGGCTACTTGAGAATGCTTGGAGAACGTTCGTCTAGATCTCATTAGTTTCTACTTTGGAGGTGTGTTTTGGTGGCAATTTGAGAATGCTTGGAAATGTTTGGCTAGATCTTATTGATTACTACTGTCAAATGGTACTCTATGCTTTTACAGCAGTGTACAGCAATAGACAGTGCAGTTGCTCTCGTGGTCGGACTCATGTCTATGCTGATACGGGAAGGACACGCGTATTGGTCTAGATTCAACTACCTTGCGAATCAGACCGCGACCGCACTCAGAAGCGCTCGCACTGTCGCGAAGGGGATTGAGGATTTGTCATCCCTCCAGCGATCTGAGTTGGACAAGTGCGGGCCGAGTGCAAGGCATGAAGCATTTGGGAAGTGAGGATTGGAAGTATCACACAGCAGTCTGAGAGACAGAGAGAGATGATGAGGAACATGACTGAGTATCACAGACTCTAGTATGATTCCTCATGAAGGAGATTTTCTGCAATTCAATGGTAACAGTACTTGATGTTGTATTCGTTGGTTTGGCGCTACATGGGTAGTGGTGTTTCGTGGTGGGATGGTTCCTGAGGCACTTTTGAGAGTATTGAGAGTTCGGCGACAAGAAGAGCATGTACCCAGAGTCTGGCAGCTAGCCTAGCCAAGTCTAAGGTATCTATCTACCTTTGGTTCCTGGATGATACAAGTATTAACACACGAGACAATTTAGTCGAAAAGCTTTCTGGTTTCACGCGCACCTCGTATATATATATAACTTTTTGTCTTTAGCATTGAAAAATATTAGCGCAACAAAGTTTCGCTCTTCATGCCTTCCTCACCTGTCCCTGATACAGTCATACACAACGTTTAACACCATTGAATTTTTCAGAGCCTGTGTTAACAATGAACCCAATATCCCACCGCACAAATGTCGACTCTTATTCACGTAGTTACACCCACAAACAGACTGAGTGTGTACAGGCGTATTTACAAATAGTTGTTTATTCACTATGAAAAAAGAGTAGAAGAGGGTGGAACCATCCATACATGGAAAAGCAATTAGAGTCGCAGTGTCCTTCAAGGGTATTGCATATCTCGAGCACAGAGAGAAGCGGGCCGAGCGGTTATTCCCTCAAAGCATGACTGAGGTATCACAATCACCAATATGTCGAGAGAACAGTCTGGTCACTTGACAATCGAGTCTACCTTACCTACTACCTAGGTAGTAGGTACCTACGATCCCTAGATAGGCATGACTGAGGTGTTTTTATCTGCAGCACTTGCACAATCATATTTAAGCGAATAACTTCTGTGACATCCATGGTTGCTTGGCATGCCAAAGCCGTCTAACAGCCGAGGTTCTGAAGCGAACAACGCAGCGGATGACTTCCGCAACATGGCTGTACTTCTGAACCCGTCAAAAATGACAAAAAATTGCTTCCAGAGACTATTACTCCAGGTGGGTGTCGAACCCACGACTTTCGCATCTCTTATGATGACAAGATCATATTAATCAGTTTCCTGAAGAATATAAGAACGACACGCTAACCACTCTATGCACAAAATTAGCTCTTGATTGTAATCAAGGGCAGTAACGAAAACTTACGCGTCACTGGAGTTTGGCATGTTTGAATTAAAAATTTCCTTATCTCAATACATACGAGAATTAAGATTTTGCCAAGGTTCACTTTTCGATGTTTACCAAAACCGACTAGTGCCAATTCTATGTGAACCCGTACCGTACCTAGTCTTTAACCTCCAACTGTGTTGCGAGTCGCCGCAAAGTTATCGCGCACACTCAATCCTTCTGGAATCGCTGCCGACACAATGCTTACGCAAGATAATGTGCCCGAAACCCCCCCTGATGAGGACGAGGAAGATGATTACATGAATATGGTCATTGCAGAGCCTACAGTTCTCCAAAAGGAGACTTCAATACAACGAAGACAACGCCAAAAACGCGAGGCAGAGATACGAGGGCGAGTCAAATCAAAAGCCGAACTAGCAGAGGAGGAGAAAGCAGCCAGGGAAGCCGCGCTATCAAAATCTATGCTCGCTGACACCTCATCATCCAAGAACAAAGGGCTTGCAATGATGGCTAAGATGGGATTCAAGCCAGGAACCGCTCTAGGAAGCAAGGATAATGTCAACGCGAGAATAGAGCCAATTGGCGTCTCTATGAAAGAAGATCGAGGAGGAGTTGGCCTAGATGCGGAGAAGAAGAGGAAGTTCAGGGAGGAGGTCGAGAGGGAGGGCAAGAGAGTCAAGGCGGAGGAAGGGGACTACAGGGAACGAGTTAGGCGGGAGAGAGAAGAGTCAAGACTAGAGGGCTTGGTTGGAGCAGCCATGAGAATTGCAGAACGTATGAATGACGAAAGAGAAGAGGGCCGAGCATCAACGCTAAAGGATCCCAACGCTGTCAAGAATCGCACAATCTCCACCAGGCCACTCAAGCAAATCAATATCCTGTGGCGCGGTCTAGTTCGAAAGCGAGAAGAGAAGGAGAGAGACCGAAGAATGCGATACGACCTTCAACAGAGCCTTTCCAGACTACCAAACTACGATGATGCCGAGGAAGACAACGAGGACAAAAGAGCCCTTGGTAAGGATCGAATTCAACATACTCTTGTCGAGGATCTCGAGGAAGAAGACCTTGATCTGGATGCTTTCAATGAATTAGATCCTGCCGATCGACTCTACAAATTGGTCCTTCACCTCAGAGAGGAGTACAATTACTGTTTCTGGTGCAAGTTTACTTATCCCGACAAGAAAATGGAAGGTTGCCCTGGTCTTACGGAGGAAGATCATGATTGAGGCAATTTTTCGCTTTCGTGGATAGCAATGATACCCGTTTTTCTCAGATCATAAGCCATTACACCCTCTATCTTGAACTCTGGCGACTAACTCCTGCTAGGATCACATTTCTGATTATCATCCGACAAATAACCTAGTGACACGTAAATCATCTAGTTGTGCATCATTATCATTGCAGATTTATTACGCTCAGAATCATGGCTTTGGGCTTGATCAGAGAACCTAAAAGTAGGTTGACAAGACTCGCCGGACCATCTATACTGTGATCTATGGCAGATCTTGCTCATGTTTCATTTATAACTTGCTCACCTTGAGTTCTTTGAGCAGTCAAATTATTTACCGCAATCTTTGGATGTGTCGGTGGTACGAGGCAGTTAAAGGTACGTCTTGGAGCTTCTTGTAATGTTCAAGAGACTATTTGTTACGATTTATTGTCGTGACAGATTCGACTGATATGCGACCAACGTGGGACTTCAAGTGCGATTTGCCCAAAATGCGCGAGAAGCAACCGTCCCCAGGTTGCGGCATGAGCTATATTCTACTTGACTTACATATTCCAATCCTTGTGTAATTATGTCTGGTGCTCGTTGGCAGGAGCTCAGTTACAGACCATCATAGGTCGAACTTGGTCAGGATGCCCCTCAGAACATAGGATTTCTTGGCCCAATTACTATAATGCATTTGTACGCGAGTGGGAACAGCTTGTTCTTGTGCTACTTGGTATCCAAATGCAGTTCAATTCACTGGAAACTTGTCACCAGCATAACTCGCGGGCTCAGTGAGGTCGTCCCCGAAGTATCGATAGGTAGTCAACACTGGCCCTGCTAAGCGAACCTAGAATCATGAGATTTAGAATGTACAAGAAAGCAAGCATTGCAACGCTGGAGTGTATAAAATGGCCGGCAGCGAGTGATTGAGCACTAAGAATAAAGATAGACTAGATTTACCGTGGTTTGTAATGCCATGTGGAGGTATCCCGCTGTTCCTGTGTTTGAATATCAATCATATGTTTGATTAAACATCACTTGGTGACATATAGGATTAAAGGCCGCTCCTTGGTGGGTGACTGGTGCTCTTATGGTTTGGATCCAGTCAATTCGATTATGTACACTCCTCTAAAAGGGTAGGAAATGGTAGGTTGCTCTCCGACCTTCTCATCAAATTGCAATATCCAGTTTACAGCCTGCTTGGGAATTGCTCTGTGCCTAGATATTTTTATTGTCGCCCGGCAATCCATTTTCGTCTCCTTACTGCCTCTTGCTACTTCTCCCTCGTCTCTCTACTAGAAATATGTTATATGAACCCACCTAACTCAGATGATCAAGGAGAAAAGGTATCGATCTGTTCTGTTGTGCTAGTGAAGGTACATGTTCGGCTAGCCCAGTGACATCGATGAGCCAGACAAATCAGACCATGATCTATCGTTTCAACTTTTCCATCACGTCAATCTCCAGTTTTCACAGTGTCCTGGAGTCGCGACTGAACATTGGCCCGAGGTGTGTTCAAGAGAGTCGGGGCCCTCACTAGGAAAGGCAGATTATTCTCTGTAGCACGACACAAGCTCTCCAGTGCCGAACACTGGGAAGACTGAGAGCTGCACTGGCCTGGTTGGGGTAATCCCAAGAATGAATAGAGTTCAGCAGAAGAATGAAGCACTCAGTTCTGCGTTATGCAAATGTAACGAGTGGCCTGCCATCTCGCGAATCATCTCATTTAGGGTGTCATAAGGTCAGAAACGTATCTCGGCAGAAGTCAAACACACTTGCAATAGAACATGTGTTAAGCGCAGTGCATTGCTCGAGGTGTATATCAAACTTTGCTGACCAAAGCCTTTTCAATGTAGAGATCCTGCTCATCATTGTTGCAGTTTGTGATTCACGCTACTGCTTAGAATGTGAAAATCTAGGTTGCATCCTGGTCATCAACTTTTGTAAAGATCTCTCAAGTTGGGAGAAGTGTGTTGAGGAGACAGGTTGCCAGCAAGAACCTCAGTTGTCTGAGCACGGTATATGCGATTAATGCCGAGGCATTCCTGGGAGGCTCACACAGCTTCCATATGGCCGTAGTTTGAAGTACTTCATTTGCTGTGAAGCCCACGGTGTGAAGCAAGATCATCAAACCACGGACTGTAGGCCATCTTCTGAAGTCCACCCAGCTACTGTGCTTCCAATAGGCTGAACAAACCTCCACATTTGGAATAGTCTTTTGATTGCGGTGATTGGACTGATGAAGCAGGGCACTTCTGGACCTGGCCGAGAGAGGAAGTTGAGGGGAGTGTTCAAATCTTCAAGAAGGCCGCGAATGTTCCATTTGCGCAAAGTTTATCCCAACATCGACTGTATTCTCCAAGAATGGGGGGCACCTGCACGAGCACATCATATCCCGTGGCGACGCACAGTGGATCCCATTACTGAAGAGAGGATTAAAAGAGCGGGAAGGGGAAGCAACGCAGGTAAGAAGGAGGTGTAGATTTGGATCTGTGATTCTCCACAAAAGCAGAACAGCACTCGAAAGGCGATCTCCCAGATCGACCCCGTGTCTCAGTTCGGATATGGCCTGAATCGATGTGGTTCATCAGAGCATTGACAGTTTTTCTGGGTCGACTTCTCCCAGGGTCTCCTGGTGCAATTTGCACGTTGCATCGTCAGCATCTTCCTTATCGGCTTCCATGCCTGAAGCATCCAAAGCGAACGACGATCACACTTGGGGGGTAACAAAACCAGCACTTTGATCAGCTGCAACGTCTCCAAAAGCTTACCGGAGGAGAAGCTAGAGTACTAATGCGAAGAAAGATCTTCAAACTGCTTCTAACTGAGGGATGTCCTGGTCAGAAATCGGCACGTGTATGAACCGGCCAGATGGATTCAAGGGTGGTCATCAAGTGCAAGCCAATACAAGGCAAGATCAGACGATCTCCTCTGAGAAGCGCTGCAGAGATGCATGCACACTCGCCTGGAAACGTAATAACAGCCATAATATCACAAGATGAGGCCCATAAGGTCAGCGTCGAGAGGGTGTTTGCGGGGCCTTCGAAGACCATGTTATGCTGCAGAAATTTGCAGAAGGACTCGCTGGGGATATCGGACCGCATCTTGGCTTATGCTCGCCGACGATCCCGGGGAAAGCCGTGATGAACGTACTGTGTGAGTTCTCTCCATCGAGGAATATTAAATGCTGGGGAAAGCATTATGAGCGTGGAGAGGTTGATTGAAAGCCCGCCGTCTCGGTCGCTCTACGTGCGAGGCTGTGTGCAGTGTTTCCCCGTCCCTGCTGATAATTTCCTTGGGAGGTTGCAGACTATATGGAGGAACGGTATTGTGAAGTGTGGTGGACGCACCGGAATAATGCTGCAGCAATATCCTCGATGGCAACCGAACCCAATCTAGGAGAGCTTTAGCAAATTAGCATAGAGATACCGGTGATAACCTTGATGCACTCGATCTTCATGCAATTAATTACCTTGGCTTTCGCACGCACGTCGAGATTCTGCATCGGACGCTCCTAGACAATTGCGAATCTGGTCGACTACCTCCATATATTGGAGCTTGAGCTTCTAGAAGATGTGCCGCCTTCAGGCACTGAGTGACGCTTGAAACGTCAAACCAGGATGGGAACGTGGCTTCGATAAACGAGGACGGCTTGGGTCTTGTGCATTTCTGGAGCTGATATTCTTTATTAGGTTAGGTGTTCGTGCAGCTTGACGGCGCCATCACCATCACACACACGGTTCGGCCAAGTCTCTTTGACAGGTACGACTCCGCGAAAGAATCCATGGGTGGACGGCGCGGGTATGCAGAGTGCTGCCGCAAATAAAGCAAAGCCTGAGTAAACACATCGTTCGCTTGGGTAAAAGCACGACAGGTGCAGGTGTCAGTCAGCTTCGGTCAAAACGTGCCATCGCGTCTTTGCGCAAAGTCTCCCAACGATTTTTTGACTATATTATTTTACTTTACTTTACTTTCTTGGTAGGGTGTGACGCTGCCGTGGAAACGTATTATTGCACATCAGAGGGAACGGACCTTGCCTCACCTCACTACAGTACAGTACAGTACTACTCGGGATCCTGATACTCGGTCCCTGCAAGCCAAACTTGCCACGCGATCTAGACGTGAGCTCAGAATGGCCCATCCCACCCTGGGCTACGGGTGAGGGTCAGCTTACAGCTTACTTACAGTGCCAATTTATTTCGAAAATTAGCTGCAGCCCTGCCAAGACATCTTTCAATCGGCAACAATAATGTGGATTTGCTGCGTTGAAGAATTGGAGACGAGAGTGCAAGAGGGGCCGGATGCACCTCGCCCTTCCCCTACAGAGGAGAGGTTTGCTGCGGAGTGGGAGTGAGGTGATGGTCCTGATGGCCGTGATGGTCTGTAGCGGAGCACTTGCACAGGCCGCCTCCACTTCGGCAGTCCAGCTACAGTAGAACACTGCAGTCTCCTGGATCGTTGCAACGCTCTCGATCTCCGCGAAGTTCTGTTCGTAGGATCATTACGATGGGCGACCGCAGGAGGGACGCCTGAGAGTCCGAAAGAAACAAAAGTGTTTCCACACCTGCCTCTGCCCTGGCCCGGAGGTTTGAGGATATTATTCATCTGGGGAGCTGAGACACGGTAGGGTAGGGAGGGGGAGGACTTGATAATGGCCATATCGGGTAATTCCCCTTCGGGGACATGCTCCGGACATCGTCATCGTCATCGTCATTCACGAGGCGGGTGGGACCATGTCTGTGCGTGGGTTTTCGGCCGTGCCTCAGAGTCCCCAACAGGAGGATCTTTCCCGAAGATATCAATGTTGTTGCAGCTTCCGGCAACCCAAACTGTCTTTGGGCGGGCGAATTATTATTTTGTCGGTAGTAGTGGTGCAGCTCGCAACAGTCAAGATATGTGTCTGTTTCAACCTCGCCCAATAGTCGTCGAAAGTTCTTAAACTATTAGACCACTCAAGAAGAACAATTCGGTTCCTCACGATGAAACATGGATGCAGTTCTGTGACAACACCCCCTTGGGAGAACGGCATCCCAGGTTCTCCTTTGCATTGCGAAGTGCGAACTGCTGGCCATAGCCGTCTCAGTCCTTCAGGATTTCCAGGCCCGACCATAGGGCAACCTCTGTGACCAAGCCGAAAGCTGGATATATTCTCTTTTAACCTCCGAGGGTTAGAAGACATCCACAGCTAAAATCAAAATCGTACGGAAGGCAGTGAATGACTTGCTCCAGAACGCTGGTTGGTGCAGTTTTGCGAACATAACATATCCAATACTAGTTATGGATCGCAAAAGTAAAATAATCCTCGTCTCCTTTCGAAGAGAGGAGGAAGATGATAATGAACCAGCCTTGCCTGAACAGAACTGTTTAGCTCTGCGACTTAAGGCAACTCTAGTTAATCAGAATTCTGTATGTAGGTACTCAGCGACGATTTAGACTTTCGCCTATACATGGTCTCGGAGAATTGATTTTACAGTACTGTATGGGCACATATAGCCGAATCCAAAGTGATCGCCAGCGATCACTTCAACGTTTGATCGACAACGATCTCAAAATGTGACACCAGCTCTGTGAAGTCTACCTAGGTAGGTAATTAAGTCCAGCGTCTGCACGTGCTCCTATGCTGTATCACTATCATTGTTCATCCTGATGTCTGATAGGTCTTCTGGTTTATTGAAGTGTCCAACAGCTGAGCAGGATCAGCGTACCTTTGGGATGAGACTTTCTTCAGATTGGCCTGTAACCTGCGACGCCTGCCTGCCGCGGCAGGTCGAGAAATCAAGAGAGATGACCAGAAAACTCAAAACGACAACATACCTCCGTATGAGAGTTTTCTCTAAAACTTTGAAGCGCGACCAATGCATCAAAGTTTATAACCGGAAGTATCGCAATACAAGTGCATATTTGTTGCCTCCTGATGAAGGTTTTGATTTTGTGATGCACTCCAGAGTGAACATTCTCATTGAGGCTGCAGACAATGGCACATCGTCTGAGCATCCCAAACAGCGTACATGCAGCAAAAGGTGTGCTTTTTCTTATTATCCAAATTGCTTGCTTCGTGCGGGTCAACAAATGACAGGCTCTTGGCTCTGGGTCAGCCTCGCCAATAATCAACAGTTCTGTGTGACAATGAGGCCGTGAAATACCCGAAAGGCTGCTTGCTGGCCTGCTGGCTAATAAGATTCGCAACAGCAAGACTTTCTGTTGTTCCTGCATACTCACACGTGGGTGGATTTCTGCGCTTAGAACGCGAATCTTATTCGGTAACATGCCAGCAACTGGTAGGAGTACTCGCACATCTCCAGACCTCAGTTCCTCCCTCAACTACCTAGGTAGGTACTCCAGGTGGTCGTGGAGTCTCGTGGATAGCGGATGTGCTAGCCGGCTGTCTTGAATCGTTCTGTGACATCTTCCATGCGTCGAAGCGGCTAGAAGCCCAGAGCAGCCTGACCTTGCGGCACGCTGCACGACCTTCTTTCGGGACCTGATGGACGAACGAACGAACGAACGAACGAACGAACGAACGAACGATGGAAGCATCAAAGCGGATAAGGTTGTCAATTGGTACAGTAGTAGGTATCAGAGCTATGCGATTCAGGCAGGGCGAAGTCGTGATTCTAGGCGCGTTTGAGCCAAGATTGAAGAGACGCAGGACGAAGGCTTTTGTCGGCCCCTCTTCGCTCTTTCTTGCGCTCCTTGCCGTGTCAGCACAGCACTGCACTGCACTGCACTGCGCTGCGCTGCACGCGCTCTTGTTGTGACCAACTCACAACCCACTCACCCACCACGATGGTGACGAAGCCTTTGCCGAGCATTTCACATTTCACATTTCGCATTTCACATTTCAGGTCAACCTACCGAGTGGTTAAAGTCAATTGAGCTTAGCTTTTGGCTCAGCTGTGGTGCGCTAACTCCAACGTTGTGCTCGCATGAATGAAAGCATGATGCATGTCGATTTGCCGGAGCACGCGACTACCTATCTACGTTGGAGAGGGGAAGGGGAAGAGAGAACAACGACGAAGAGATGCAAAACCAGACCAAACCTGACGCCAATGGTATCCGACAATCACCTCCTGCATCACAACTGCATAGAGTTTCAGCCATCCCGTAGTTGCATAGACACAGGCTGCTAAGCTCATAACGGTGTCGAAGATGGCCGAGTCTGTGTACCGACTCCTCGGAATATTCTCCGAGCCTGAGTGGCAAAAGAGGTACAGTACGAGTCGCAAGGAGAAACGGAATAGAGACACCAAATCTCCCAATAGGCGAAGTTAAGGCATGGCCTACTGAAGTTCGGCGCATATGTTTCGCCTCGTCAGTATTCAGTATAACAAAATCCTCTGGCCTCCAAGGAGCCCTGCTTTGTGAACAACAACTCAGCACTCGCTCTCCCTACTCGGACTTACGAAGGTTCTTCTAACTATCATGCCTATCCCCTCCTGCTTGATTTCAGGGGTAGATCGCCAAAACAATAGGTAGCTTCACCGCGAGATAACCACCGGATCCACTGATACACACAGTCTGGACTCAGCTTCTCCACAGGTCAAGGTTAAGGTTTTGATAGCTTCTGCCTTCTGGTACAGTAACTTTGAATACTCTGTTGGACGAGATACCTCCACTTTTCTTCTTTTCTCGCCCAGTCTTGTTAGGCTAGGTAACAGCTCATAACTCCGCACGTAGTGATGAGGAGACCGATTGTCCGTCTCGAACCAGGAGACACTTTACCTATCCTTACTCTCAGCAGCAACCCGGCTCGTTAATGTTCTTTGGTCTTGAGTACTATCGGTAAGCACTTTGCACAAGGCTGCAGCCAACGGCAGCCCCATCGTGGTCCCATAAAGCGCGCATGAGCAACTCCCGCCAAGAAGTCCGCTGCCTTCTCTTCCTTATGTGCCGTCTTTTCAGATGCTGGATGAAGCTAGAAGTATATATATATATTGATATATATATATATATATATATATATATCACACAGTACTGCAAAGTAAATTTACTTTCTTGTATGCCCTGGGCCTGCAAGTCCATCTCCATCTCCATCTCCATCTCCCCTCGGCTCCCTGCGTCCCCTTCACACAACACACGCGTGTGCCTGACGGGTCCTGGGTCCTGGGTCCTGGCCTGGGGGTTCCTTGCCCTGGCCCTGGACTCCCCGACCCAGACCCAGACCTGACACTGCCCCACCACATCCCATCCACTCCGCTCCACGCACTGGACAGTAGTAGTGGACAGTGGACAGTGGACATGGATCCCGATCGCTGCCCTGAAGGCTAACCTTGACCCCACCGGGCCCACACACCTGCACCCACCCCAGAAAGGCACAGGCACAGGCACAGGCACAGGCACAGGCACAGGCACAGGCACAGGCACAGGCACAGGCACAATTGGATTGGGACCTAACCGGGAGGCATGGCATGGCATGGTATGGCATGGCAGGGTATGGCAGGGCAGGGCAGACAGTTCTCACTCCACTCCCGGCCACTGGAGTGAACCTAAGTGGACTCCCATCAGTGGTGGATTGATGCGATTCCACGCTAAATGGCATCTTCCCCTCCGCTAACCCAGCCCGGGCCTTAGCTGATTAAGGTAGTTAGTTACTCACAGTATCCTCGATTCTGCCCCAACTCCGAAGCCCACTACTACTGGCCCAAACCTCGCCGTCGCTCTCCCAATAATATTCATCCCAAGATGCCAGCCATCAAGGAGAACTTGAGAAGGGATCCCGGGTCCCCTCTTCTTTCGTGGATGAGGGCCTCCTGGGGGTTTTGCCATCGTCTCCATCCCTGCTCTTCATGCCCATGCCCATGCCCATGCCCATGCACTATCCCCTTGCCCTTCTGCCGCTGCCCTTCTCCTTCTTCTTCACCTTCTCCTGCTCTGCCTCCTCCTCGTCCTGGTCGACCCACCGCAAAACAAAAGATCCCGTTCCGCCCCTCCCTGCCCGGTCTTCCCAGTCCAGTCTCTCCTCTTCCCCAGCATTATTTCTTACCCTATGCATGTCTGTGGTGCTGCAACTGTCATTTATTATCTCACTCTCCCCGTCCTATAGATCGCCTTCCTTCCTCGTGATTCTTTTCTGGCTTTCCCACTGTACTTGCGGCCATCATACGTATACACGACGGACTTAGTACCTTACTCAAGTACACACTCCCTTCTCTCAGTGACGAGGTACGGTACCAATGGCTGCATAAACTCAACTTCCCGAACCCTTCCTACCAGACTATCTGGACGAGACCTTCGGAACAAGCCCAGAGCATTCCTGTCCCAAAGTGTATTGCTTGACTTGGCTTGGATTGATTGCTTGGATCCATCGTCTTCTATCTGGCGAACACTGCCAATCCCACGCGTACCGGAATTCGGAGTCGCTGTATAACTTGGAAGGCGGTTCTTCCTATTTTGGAAAGGAAAGGAAGACGGGGTTGTGCCATTCTGTGCACCTGGATTGATAATGGCATTGAATACGACGAGACTCCCAGGGCAGGGTCTTTGCCCAGCACCGTTCCTACAAGAAGATCTCTTCCCTGGAGCGGGTGCTTGTGAGTTGCTTTCTCACTTTCATGGCTTGAGGGCTAACACTTACCAGTTGTCGAGGGAAGATTCTGTTCAGCGATCTTAGGACCTTCATGCTGTTTGCCTTGTCCGCAGACACAATGGCTATACGCAGACAATTTCGACGCCATCACTCATTCGGCAAGTTGGTTAAACGTTGCGGGAATGGTTTGCTCTATGTTCCTGATTCTCTCCTTTGCTTTTCTTCCAGGTGGGTACTGCGAGAGCCCATCTCTTACCCCTTTCGTCTCGAGATTTTTCTTGCCTTGCTCTGGTTCTTAGATATCTCAAATTAGGCACTGCTGACCTCATCTTAGTCGAGAAAACCCATCGCCATTACCTCTCTGTTTGCTTAGCGGTAGCAATTATCATCATGCAGGTAAGCGAAGCTCGATACTCCTGCTTGATATTGCTGACCAATGCACTATAGTTGGGGTTCATTATCCCATTAGGAGCAAAGCCAGAACAATGCTTTGACGCCATTACTCCACACGACATGGATAGTAGTGCAACGTGCGCAGTTTCGGGTGCAATGTTGCTTGCTGGAGGGTGGTGTGCTGTCATGTGGATTTTCCTCAGAGCTCTGGCACTCCATCTTCAGATCTGTTGGCAGATAGTAATTGGAAAGTCTTTCATGTGGGGAGCACTTGCTGCAGGTTGGGGTATTCCAGCCATCGGTTTGACATTAGCATTGATTTTCAGTGGAGTATCGTTCCGATTTGGAGATACCTGCCATATCAATCACAAGAACAGTCTGGCGGCATTCTGGATTCCTTTACTGGTTTTCGCAGCTGTCACCGTCATCATTCAATTTGGGACATTCGGATACTGCATCAAAGTCTACCTCGCTTCTCTTAGAGATGACTCAACGACAACGAACAGCTCCGGCATCAGGTCATTCAACAACAGTGTTCGGGGAACCATATCGCCCCGACAGGCTCTCCGTCGAGTCCGTCGGGTCCTCGAACTTCAGTGGAGAGGAATTGCAATCGTACTGCTTATCATCGCGGACGTTGTCTTCTTCGCTGTCGTGTTTGTCTTCATGGACGATCTCGAGGCGAGCACACTCAAGAACCCAACCAAGGCTATCGGGTGGTTGGGATGTTTGGTTCAGACTGGGGGCGACAAGAACGCATGTCTCAACCTCGCCAGCAATCTGGTGATCAACGAGCCGACAGTGATGGCGGTTCTTGTATTGCTATCGCTGAACGGGATCTGGTCTCTGCTTTTCCTCGGTCGCTTCTCAATGTTTACTGGATGGTATGAGATGGTGATGGGTAAAGTGAAGCCCAATCACGAGTTCGTCAGCGCAGATGTTCGCGCTTTCAAAGACCCGAGCTCCTACGAGATGCTTAGTCGAGACCGAGATACTGGCAAGACGCCTGAAGCTTTGGTCTCGTATCCTATTACACCTTTATCGCCTCCAGCGGCAAAGAGTGGGCGAGAGACACCAGACTACTTCGGACGAGAAGCCCGCTACAAACCTGACACCCGCTCTTTCTCAAACCCAAAACCGCCTACAGCAAAGGACGGTTTGGACAGATCTCCCACTACAAGTCCTAGACCCTACCAGTATCCCGGCATGGACCCGTTATCGATGAATAAGATCTAAGAAGCACCCACGTGCAACAATCTGATATTTAAATTTCCTGCGTTTCAGCGTTTTCACATTGTTTATATCACAGTTTCTTACTTCCCGTACGATATCTTGGGGATGGGCGCCTGGTGCATGGCTGGATAGGAGGGGTTGGGCATAATGAAGCGGCATGTTTTAGCAAGCAACTCGGTCATGATGAAAAAGGTTGGGATAGATCGAACTGGGTTGGAGAGTGGTTGCCGAGCCGAGCCTGGGAAAGGCTTGTGGTATCCAACATATGGTGACATGTGCATGTATATGGACGAGAAAACCAAGGCGGACAGAGGGCAGCCGCCTTGCGATGGACTGCGAGGGTCATTGTATCTATGAAAGGGGGGTGGTGTAATTCGGGGCATTGCTCATAAACGAGCTTGAAAATTCGCACATCGGGACCAAAAACTGCATCTGCATCTAGACATTCTTCCTTGTCGCTGATCCGACCACACCAAGGCTGCATGCTGTCTAACATTGAACTGCACCGCAAAAAGCAACTTCAGAGAAATTCTTGCTATTATTCCACAGAAGCCCTCGTCACTCACCCATTCGCAATTTAGCACAACGCTAACCTCCAACCGCGGGGTACTGTACAGAAACTTTCTGGGGTTGGAATCCGGCCCGAGGCAACGAGCCGAAGCGGAACGTGCCATGTCCAACATCAAGCCATCAGGATTCTTCCCAAAAAGCAACCCTTGTGTCAATCACCATGTGAATCTGACCCCAGCATCAAGCAGACCCTTCTGTTGGATTTTCACTTTTGGATAGGAGAGACGAGGAGGTGCTGGGTTGTTCGGCGGGACTCGGATCACGGCCGTACCGTACCTAAGGAGCAAGGAGAGAAATTCACGTCGACCCTGTAATAGTCTGTTTGCTACACAGGCCACTCCTGCTGGCTGCAATGCGATGCAATGCAGTGCAGTGCCGTGCTATCACAGGCGTGGGACAGAACTTCGGCACAACGTCGTCGCTGGGATTAATCATTTGACCAGTTTAGGAGGGGAAGATGGATGCTGGCAGGACCTCGATTTGAATGAAGGTGAAAGCATCCACACTAATGGGCCATTACCGTGAGTTGTTACTGGTAATCGCATCTGCCAATCGTTGAAGTATTGTTTCCGTCTCTGAGAGTAGCTTCTTTCTTTTAGCCTGGCTTTACATTCACCAATCGCGGTTCAGTATCACACTCCTTCTCGCGCTTGATATGTTCAGGTTGTTCTATGAACCCTGTGATCAAATTGGCAAGCTTCCTGTACATCGCCGCGACCAAAACATATGGAGCTGCAAGAGAAAAATTGCTCATCCCAGATGTCCCAGATGGGAGACTCAAATTGAATGTTCCTTTTGAGGCAAAGCACGGTACAATCAGAGTACCTTTCGTTGCATTTGTATGGTCGGTTGGACATTGCATGAGGGTTGGGGGCTAGTGAAACCCACAAGTTCTCAGGAGAACTGCATCTGTAAACTTGGTATGAATGATGGGTCCTTGGGCCAGACAGACTGGTCTTCATCTATGTTGTGTCATGATAGGTTTCTTGGCATAGCTCATTTCTGGGACTTCCATCCTATTTAGCATACCCAAATTGAACCTTGGCACCAAGGTTTGTGCCTACAGATTTTCTCCGATTTAAACTTATGAGGCAGTAAGTACTCCCAAAACATTGCCCGAAGTGTTGTAGAATGAAGATCCTGGTTAAACCTGCTGAGTGCGGAACAATATATGCCTTTGGTAAATAACAAAGCTTACATCCGAACATTATTCAACATCTTGTACTCCTTTGAGACTGGATCCTTCCATATCGACTACTTCAGCGGACTTGCACAAGGAACATGGGATATTCCGAATTTGATTATGAAAGAAATGACAGCAAAATGCGACGCGGCCACGGGGATACTCCACCCACACCGTTTTCTCTCTCCTGCATTCCCAGGGGTTTAGCAAGGGAATAATTGGTTCAATAATGGCCTGCCTAGGCAGATGCATGTTTTGAGCTCCTCGGTCTGAGCTGATGGAAAGGCTTGATATCTAGTCAAAAGACCTCGGAGGTTGTTGTCTCACTGTTCGCTGCTAGGGAGAGCAATTGCATGTGCTCACCAAGCTTCTGCAAGTAAACACAACACGACAGACGCAGAGACAGGGCATTAAGAGACGTGCATATGATACCCTCAGCATCGGAGTAAGTCCCAGGGTTAGATCTGGGGAGTACGTACAAACCTATAAAACCCAAGCAGGCGCTAAAAGCACTGTTGATTGATCTAACCTCAACATCTTCGGGATTATGAGCACAGCAGCAGAACCTGCACACACAAAAGCGCTCTGAGGACATATGTCACCCAATCAGTAATAAATCACCACTAAAGGTAGATGCTTGGAAGCAACTCCAACTCCGGTCATTATGAATAGATACAATCTCATTGACTCGCCCGACTTCCTAAGATGCTCCAGTTCTGACTGTCTATGCTATTTGTACAAACCCACGCTTTTTCTTTCCCTCTGTCTCGTTTTCCCAGGTATCTTCATCAACATAACTCTTAACTCCCTTTTGCTCCATCTGAGATCCAATCACTCGCAAAGCAGCAAGGTTGAATCCCATTTCATCCTTCTGCCTCTTTAATGCCCGTCGTAAATTCACCCTGATCTCCTCCAAAACCGGCCGCATTGTCTTGCTCGCAACTATCTGTCGATGATGCGTCCTCAGCATGAATAGGTGTATGCGGCAGGTCAAGTGTATGTTCATCGACCTCGTGGAGAAAATGTGGATGAAGGTAAACAGACTGGGCAGTTTGGAAAATGGTAATACCAGCAATGCATCGTGGAGAGCTGCTGCTTTGATGCTCTGTAGGACTTGCAGTACATGCTGTTCGGCGCTAATTCCTCCAAGTGCAGTATACAGAATATTTCGGGACGGCGGCGCAATGCTGGGTTGTAAGATTTTGGCTTCTTCCCATTCCTTGATCACAGCCAGATCGACCATTCCAAGTTCTAAGGCTTCAGCGATCTTCTCACCTGCCGTGAGAGTTTCACTTGTTTGTTTCTCCACGTCTCCAAACTCCGCATCGTCTTCGTTGTCTTTTTCTGGCTCAAGTGATGTCAAGAGGGTGTTCTCGTAGAGCTCTTCCAGCTCCTTCTCCTTCTCCTCCTCCAAGAATATTTGCTCATCAGTCTGTTCCCAAACTCGAATACTTTTGTCATGACTTGCGCTAACAAGGAAGTTCCCAGTTTTGCTAACAGCCAGTGCCCATATCTCGCCGTGGTGACCATCAAGCCTCTGAATCTGCTCAAACTTGTCACCATCCCAATACCTGATCATCTTATCCTTGCTACTGCTGAAAAAGTGGTGTCCGTTGCCATCCTGGTTATGTGGCACGAAGGCAACTTGGAGAATACTGTCTTGATGGGCAAAGAATGCCTTGTGGCAATCTCCAAACTCGAGTCCCCATAGTCGAACATTCTTATCGGCAGAACATGTAACAATGAGTTTGCTATCGAAGGAGATATCCATGCTAAGAACTGGTAGCTTGTGACCATATAGGTTCAAGAACAGCTTCAAAGAGTCCACGAAGAAGACCTTAACGGTGTTATCTAATAGAGCGACTGCAAGCAGCCGAGCATCTGGGGAGAAACGTATGCTGAGGATATCATCGGAGACTTTTAGTGTTCGTGTGTGGGAAAGCTTGAGCCGAGGCGTTGTCCGTTTCGTCCCAGGGATTTCCTCTTGGATAACTTCAAAACTCCAGAATTTTGCTGTCTTGTCCGCGCTTCCAGAAACAAGTGATCTGCCATCTGGATGTACATGTAATGACCATACAGCGCCTTCATGTGCGTCTACCTTGTCGAGCTTGGAGGCAGATGCAATATCAAATAATTCCAACTCCCCAGACTTGGTGCCGATAACCACAATCTTATCTCCTGGCAAAAAAGCACAACATAGAGCATAGCCACACTCGAAAGTCCGGATACATGTCCTTGTACGTACGTTCCATATCTTCAGGCCGCCATTGGAGGCGGATGCAAGCATTCTGTCATCCGAGCTGAGGGACAAGGATCGGATATCTGCTCGGTGGCCTGGTAGTTCCACTGCCAATGACCTGGTATAGTCTGGCATCTCATCGGTCTTCGACTTCTTGATTTTCTCTTTCATGGGAATTGAGTAGACTTCCAGCTGATTATTTGTTGTTGCTGCCAAAAACTGCACAGGTTTTGAACCCTTCGTTTTGATCCAGTCGATGGATCGTACTTTACCTCCGGTTCTGACAACAACGTATGAAACGAATATGTCCGTGATTTCAGCACTTGAGATATCCCTAATCTCGTCCGTGGTCTCGTCCATGTCCGGCTTGTCTCCCATCGAGGCCAGCTTTTCACGCCTTCTCTTTCGCTTCCGTGTCAGAACTTTCTTAACTTCGTCCTCTGATCGCATCCTCCACACCTCCACAGCCCTTTCTGGCCCGTGTACAGCAAAATAGTCATGTCTAGGGTGGAAGCTGACTTCTAGCGCCTTGTCTTTGCCCTGGCCATGAAGCACGCCTCTGCTCTTCAGAAAATGTTTGTCTGCAACTTCGTTGGTGCCTCTTGAAAGTTCAGACAGGCCATGAGTATCGATGGACCAAACAGTCAGTTCCCCATCATTGCCAGCAGTGATACATCCTGCCCCGTCTGGAGATACCCCCAAGGCCCAACATTCTCCATTTGACTGCGCCGTATGCGTCTCGATGCAATGGCGAGAGGTAATATCCCAGAGCTTTATGAGAGCATCTTTTCCAGTGGTCAGGAGGAAGCCTTCCAACTCTCCGAGACCAGTTACAGCTAATTCTCCATTCTCATCAACAGCCTCTCGTGCTTCGGGATGGAGAAATTGAAGTCCTGTAATCTGATCCTTATGGCCTCTCAATTTAAAAAGTCCTACCTCCGCTACCAAGTCCCATAGTACCACATCTGTATCCTTGGAGCCACTTGCTAGCCTCGTTCCGGACTTGTCGAATGCCAGACGTGTGATTGCTGATCGGTGCCCATTGAAGCTGACTATAAGTGCGGCAATTTTCGAATCCCAGAGTCTTATACTGCCATTCTCATGTCCCACAGCAAAGATATCCTTGTCAACCTGGCTTTGAGCAATGGCAGTGACTTGCGACCTGCAGTCCTTGTCCGCCCATCTACTTAATAGCTCGCCCTTCTTGATGTCCCAGCACAGAACCTCCTCATTCGCAGCAGCGATTGCTATTCCAGTACTCCGCGATGACTCGGACCAGACAATGTTTGATGTACTCGAGTTGACAAGCCCGAAGGTTCTGGTATGCTCATATTTCCTTAATATGTTAACAGAGGTTTCCAAGCAGGTTAATAGAGATATCCTACAGGTATGATTTGACCATCTTTACATTCTGCAGATACAGGAGTGAGACTGGAATAAGACTGCGTTCGCAGGTAAAAGTTAACCACAACTGGCAGGGCTTACTTGTACCTGGCACAAAAGCTGCTTGTCTGTTGATGTCCAGAACTTTTTTCGAAGCTTTTCGATTTTCTTGCAGGGCTCTGTTAGTGCTGCAGATAAGCAGAGATACGTAGATCGTGGAACGGCTCTAAGTGGCTAGCTGGAATTCTGCCCCACGTCAGCCTGCCCAGCCCACCCCAACCCAGCGCCAGCGCTCGACGAAGCACTTCGACGCAGCCTCAAAGTAGAAGCGTTAGATCCAAGGACAACAGCTCCTCGAAAGGTGCCCACAATGCTTCTCCTCGACTACCAGAACGTCCTGATTCAATCAGTGCTTACAGAACGATTCTCAGGGTAAGCCAGCTTGGTTGAGCTTCATTCCAACCCCTCCAACTGATTCATTTATAGTGCTGCCCCAGTCAACATTGACCAGACAGTCTCGGATTTCGACGGTGTCACTTTCCACATCTCTACGCCGGAGGCAAAGTCCAAAATCGTTGTGTCTATACAGGTCAGGTGCTATGGTGAACTGTTGAAGTACGGCGCACAGCAGGTGCTGGAACGCGAATATGGCCCGTATGTGATTGCACCGGAAAGTGGCTACAATTTCTCTGTGCAAGTAGACTTGGACAATCTTCCAGAAGAGAAAGGTGAGGCAGTGCGTTACTGTTCTAGGTATTTGGCTAACAATAGTGCCCCCTATAGAAGCCAGAGACGATTTGATTCGAAGAGTGTCTTTAATGAAACGAAACGCAATGGCAGCACCGTTCGAGCATGCTTTTGATGAGCATCACAAGCTAGCAGAGGAGGCATCCAAGTTTACTTCAGAAGAGGCACCGCAAGGAGTTCGAGAAGGCGGGGATGTCATGGCTATCCACTATCGGGATGAGGAAGCAATCTTCATCAAGGCTAGCCACGACCGAGTTACAGTGATCTTCAGTACCATATTCAGAGAGGAAACGGACAGAGTCTTTGGCAAGGTCTTCATTCAGGAATTCGTTGATGCGCGGAGAAGGGCAATACAGAATGCTCCTCAAGTTCTATTTCGAACCGATCCTCCATTGGAGCTTCAAGGGGTTCCAGGTGTGAAAGATTCCGGGAATGGAGAGATTGGCTATGTTACTTTTGGTGAGTAAAGCTACCGGATGAAGTGTATATTCGCTGATGCTTTGAAGTCCTCTTCCCAAGACACCTGACTCGCCAACGTCGGGATGAAGTGATTTCACACATTCAAACCTTCCGAGATTACTTCCATTATCACATCAAAGCCTCCAAGGTACGTACTAGCTCCTTGTATAAAGCTAAGCAGCCCAATGCTAACGTGTTTTAGGCCTACATCCATTCGCGAATGCGCAGACGAACAGCTGATTTCTTGCAAGGTAAGTTCGTCCCTGTGAGGTAGGATTACAGCTAACCGGGAAAGTCTTACGTAGAGCACGCCCAGAGAATGAGGAAAAGGAGAGAAAGACGGCAAGTGGAAGAACATTCAAGCAGGGATGATTGGCCAATTGATCCATTTGGGAGCCCATTAAAAAAATCCTCTTGTTACATCCTTCACGCATACTCCAAATCCCAAGCTTATCAGACCGTGGTATCATTCCATGTACAACTCCAAGAACATGCGCACAAACAAAACTACTAGGAATACAGGAACAGTTTCCACCAACTGACATCTCCGTTCTCCCTTTTGTAAAATTGGGTGTAGACCCCTGCTGAAGAACTGCGACATGTCAATCAAATTGCACTCTACACCAGTAAAATATGATCAGGAACTTACTTGGCGTGATCGATTCTCTTTTGCAACTTCTTGTCCTTTTTCTCCTGCTCTTTTTGAGCCTTCGCCATTCTCTCTTTTCGTTCTCGTTTCTTCTCTGCCCTTTCCTCTTCCGGCGTGAGCTTTACAGGTGGTTCGACGGCTGCTGGCTTGAAGCCAAGTTTCTCCTTCCACGAATTGGGCATGGCAGGCAGATTTTGGTGGATCTAAGAGAGCGTAGTATAGAAGATTGCCGAGGGCGACGCTGTCAACGGGCCCTTCGTAGTTGATTCTGGATGAGATGTGGCAGCAGGAAGTGTGTGATGCGGTATGTCGATAACGATACGACTTCGAAGGGCAAGGGGAATTATTCAAGATGTTCTACTGCCTCGATATGGATGGACGTTGAGAATGCTCCGTTACGCTGAGTTATCTGAAGTTATATACAACAATGCTCCTCAAGCCACTTGATTCTGCCTGCCGAGAGAGGCTTGTAGTAGTTTCTTGGTATTTTACGAAAGTCGAGGCTGTTTCCGAGGCTGTCTCGACCAGAGGGTGGCGCAAGTGGCAATCCCTCGAGGCGTAGTTACTTGGCACCAACTAATGATGGCCAGCACTCGCATAATCGAATCTATCGCAACTGGAAGAGAGCCGCAGGAGAATTGCTTGTCCATGGGCACAGGTTATGAAAGGAGGTTTTAATTGATTATGCCCCTTTTCTTACCCTGGAGAAGAGGTGTTCCGCTTGGAGCAAGCCATTGGTCTCCTTACTACCTACCTTCCTTAATGCCCCAAACACCATTCGGAGTAGGTAACAAAAGCTGGAAAGCACTCAACATACCAACAGTTGTTCGCATGCCCATCAGGAATGGAGACGTGTCTGAAGATTGTATCTCCCTGAACTTATTATTGATCTCCAAGCACACGAGCCAGAATGAACATTCTCACTCTCCTCTAAGTCCACGTGATACATGAACAGGCTAGTCCTAATGAGGCTAGCTGCAGCCTCAAAAATTAACCTCCATCAAACCGCGTCTAGTCAGGACAACGACGCCTCATACAGCTTCAACTGATCGCAAGTCAATATGTCTGACGCCGACTTCGTCACGATTAGGAAGCTTCAGGCTGAGCGGAATGCCGCTTCTGCTGGTAAGAAGGGGTCAAAGACATTTGATCCTTCTAATCAGCGAACTGATGTCTCCACCAAGGCCTCCCTGACGGATAGCTTCGATACCACCCTTTACGAACGTGATGGAGGCGACAAGTTTGCAGGCTACAACACATCTATTGCCGTTACAGATGGAGATGACGATACGGAGATGGAGGAGGACACTAGCAGGCGGCTAGTGGGACAGTACACAGCTTCGAAGGATCAGATGAATGAGTTCGCTCACGGCAACGGGGTCGAAGAGGAGGACATTCTCTTGGGAAGAGAGAAGAGTGCACGTATCGCTGATCGTGAGACCGATTATCAGAAGAAACGCTTCAACCGAGTCCTCACTCCAACGAGAGCCGACCCTTTCGCAGCGAATCGCCAAGCAGGAGCAGCAGACGATGGGGATAGTTACCGTGATGTTATGGCACGAAGAGACCTGGAGAGAGAAGAGGAACGGGTTCAAAGAGCCATCGAAGAGAAGGCGGCCAACGGGGACGTGGTTCATCACAAGGCTTCGCTGGCAGATGCCACAAGTTCACTTAGCGACAAAGAAAACAAGGATTCAGGCTCGACAGAGGTAGCCGTCAGTCGAAAGAGAAAACAACGATGGGACGTTACTTCGGATTCTACGGATCCTGCTGCCCAACCTACTGAGACAAAAGCTAAGCGCTCAAGATGGGATCAAACCCCAAGTATCGGAGGTGTGGCTGTGGACGACACTCCGAGAAGAAGATCCCGCTGGGATCAAGCACCGGCAGCAACGCCAATTGGCAACCAAGGACTTGTGACTCCAATGCACCCGTCGCAGATGGGAGGCCCTGTCATGCCCAGTGCTTTCGGAACTGACATATCAATGCGTAATGCCTGGCTGTCAGACGAGGAATTGGACTTGATGCTTCCGAGCGAAGGATACAAGATCCTCGAACCTCCACCTGGATATGCCCCTATCAGGACTGCAGCACAAAAGCTCATGGCTACACCCGTTGCAGCCGGTGGGTCTGGGGGGTTTGGAGGCTTCATGATGCAGGATCCAGACAGTGCAAGAACTAGTGGAAAGCAGCTTCCAAATGAAATTCCTGGAGTGGGTGACTTGCAATTCTTCAAGGCCGAGGACATGGCTTATTTTGGGAAACTCACGGACGGAAGTGACGAGAACACGATGAGCGTAGAAGAGTTGAAAGAGAGAAAGATCATGAGATTACTACTGAAGGTCAAGAACGGCACCCCGCCGATGCGAAAAACAGCTCTCCGTCAACTAACGGACAACGCCCGCCAATTCGGCGCCGGTCCACTCTTCAACCAAATTCTGCCTTTGCTCATGGAGAAGACCCTCGAAGATCAAGAAAGACATTTGCTTGTCAAGGTTATCGATCGAGTGCTCTACAAGCTCGATGAGCTTGTTCGGCCCTATGTGCACAAGATTTTGGTCGTCATCGAGCCTTTGCTCATCGATCAGGATTATTATGCCAGAGTAGAAGGCCGAGAAATCATCTCCAACCTGAGTAAAGCTGCTGGACTTGCACACATGATTAGTACAATGCGTCCAGATATTGATCACGTTGATGAGTACGTGCGAAACACTACGGCAAGAGCGTTTGCGGTTGTCGCCTCAGCTCTTGGCATCCCAGCCCTTCTCCCGTTCCTGCGGGCAGTCTGTCGAAGCAAGAAATCATGGCAAGCCAGGCATACGGGAGTGAAGATTGTTCAGCAAATCCCCATTCTCATGGGTTGTGCTGTTCTCCCTCATCTGAAGGGACTTGTTGATTGCATTGGTGGATGTTTGAACGACGATCAGACCAAAGTGCGAACCGTCACGAGTTTGGCTATTGCAGCACTTGCTGAAGCAGCCAGCCCTTATGGTATTGAAAGCTTTGAGGACATTTTGCATCCGTTATGGACTGGGGCACGGTAAGTATCTTTTATCATCTGTCAGAATACTGGACACTAACTATTTTACAGGCGACAACGAGGCCGAGGCCTAGCCGGTTTCTTGAAAGCAGTTGGGTACATTATACCTCTCATGGATGAAGAATTTGCCAACTACTACACGGGCCAGATTTTGGAGATCCTATTACGAGAATTCTCCTCTCCTGATGAGGAGATGAAGAAAGTTGTGCTCAAGGTAGTCTCTCAGTGTGCAAGCACAGATGGTGTCACAGCAGGATATTTGAAGGAGAATCTTCTGGACGAGTTTTTCAAGTGCTTTTGGGTTCGTCGAATGGCCATGGACAAGCGCAATTACCGTCAAGTCGTGGAAACTACCGTCGACTTAGGCCAGAAAGTTGGCGTTAGTGAAATCGTTGAGAGGATTGTGAACAACCTCAAGGATGAAAGTGAGGCTTACCGGAAGATGACTGTGGAAACAATTGAGAAAGTTGTCGCAAGCTTGGGGGCGGCAGATATTGGAGAACGATTGGAGGAACGGCTTATCGACGGTATACTACACTCGTTCCAGGAGCAAAGCGTGGAGGACATTGTTATGTTGAATGGTTTCGGAACTGTGGTCAATGCCCTTGGGACTCGGTGCAAGCCTTACCTTCCACAAATCGTCAGCACTATTCTCTGGCGTCTGAATAACAAATCTGCGACTGTCAGACAACAAGCAGCCGATCTCATTTCCCGGGTTGCGATGGTCATGAAGCAGTGTGGCGAGGACGCTTTGATGGCCAAGCTGGGCGTTGTCCTTTACGAATATCTCGGTGAAGAATATCCTGAAGTCCTCGGATCCATTCTTGGTGCATTACGATCCATTGTCTCGTCCGTTGGGATAAACCAAATGCAACCTCCAATCAAGGACCTCCTTCCCCGTTTGACACCCATTCTTCGAAACAGACACGAAAAATGTCAAGAGAATTGCGTGGACTTGGTTGGACGTATTGCAGACCGTGGACCAGAGAGTGTTAATGCAAGAGAGTGGATGAGAATTTGTTTCGAGTTGCTTGATATGCTCAAGGCTCATAAGAAGGGTATCCGTCGAGCAGCTAACAACACTTTCGGCTTCATTGCTAAAGCAATTGGACCTCAGGATGTCCTGGCTACACTTCTCAACAATCTACGAGTTCAAGAACGTCAATCCCGCGTCTGCACGGCCGTTGCTATTGGTATCGTTGCCGAAACATGCGCACCTTTCACTGTTCTTCCAGCATTGATGAACGAATACCGAGTGCCCGAATTAAACGTCCAAAACGGTGTCTTGAAGTCACTTTCTTTCCTCTTCGAGTATATCGGAGAAATGGCAAAGGACTACGTTTATGCTGTCACCCCTTTGCTTGAGGATGCCCTTATTGACCGGGATCAAGTCCATCGACAAACTGCTGCTGCAGTAGTCAAGAGCTGCGCCCTAGGAGTCGTCGGTCTTGGATGCGAGGATGCTATGGTCCACCTCCTTAATCTTCTATGGCCCAATCTTTTCGAAACTAGTCCCCACGTTATCGACCGTATAATTGAGGCGATCGAGGCAATTAGAATGGCAGTTGGCCCAGGCATCGTTATGAATTACATTTACGCTGGTTTGATGCATCCAGCACGAAAGGTTCGCGAACCGTACTGGAAGATCTACCGATCAACATATGTACAGGTTGCCGATGCGATGGTACCATATTATCCAAATCTGGACGACGAGAAGATGCATAGACCAGAGTTGGCGATTGTTATTTGAGTTTGGGATTTTAAGCATGCAATGGCGTTCCTGGGTGTAAGTTAGGACCAGTGTATAATGTGGGCAGAAAGCAGGTAGAGGAGGTGATCAGAGTCAAAGTATCCTATGCAGACATTTACTGAAGCATCCCAGGTACTTCATGTGAACGTATTTTAAAGTAGCTGTGAGTTGTCAACCGTGTCCACTCTCGCCATTTCAAATTGTGCAAATTTGTCCCCAAGTATTTTTTGCGACAATCCCTATCGCTGATTTCTACATCAAGGTAACACCAAAAGCCGCCACCCCCAGGTGGTTTGCTGCCCCGGCGTGACCTTGATACCAATGTACACTCAACTTTTGGAAATGGTCTATCTGCCGCAGTCAAGTCGAACTGGACGCGAAGAACATCATCGTAGAGTGTGATTATCTTGGCTCCAGTATCAATAAATGCAGAATTGGAGAGGTTTGTTTTCCTTGTTCTTCTAGTTGTACGAGAGGTTTTTATTTCAGTCTTGGAAAAGCCATCCCTCGTTCAACCATCATACAGCCTGTGGTACCTGCATTTACCTAAAATGAAGGCTCACTGGATTCATGCGGTGGATCCCGCATCTTTCGCTACCAACATGTCCCATGATCTATCCGAACAGAATAATATATGTATTTGCTTCAGAACGGACTTTTTGTCATGTGTATTAGAGGAATACTATGATTTCCGCAGAATGAGTCCGCTTCATTCCCGTTGAGCGCAACTAAGGATATGGACACTCGGTACCATACTGCTCCTTGATGTATATTCCTTCTCCTGCGTTCTAGAGCGGGGTTCAGCTCGGGATTGTTGCATTGTCCTCGGTGGTGTACAACTCGCCCTACTAAAAGGTTCACGGAGAACACAAGACCCAAGTCTTTGGGGTCTGAATGTCTTCAACCGCAACGAAGGTCCGAGTTACGCGCAGCAAGGTGGTAAACTCATGAATAGAATATGGTGACACGGTGCCTCAGAGCTCCCATCTTCTGAACCCGACAGAGATATCTCCTACCCACCTTTGGCATCTGCTGTGCTATCTACCGGCTAGCCTTAAATTACCGACCAGTCCCAACAGAGAAATGCAAGGGCGATCACTCGCTAACAGCATGTCAACAAAGTCTTCCGAATCTGTCTCGAGGGCTTCGGGCAACGTTGAAAGGTTCCTTCCGCGTCTACACAAAGTCGGCGAACTCTTTGTATCTCTCCGAATCACTATACGAGTGAGTGGAAGGTCCAGCCCGTCCCAACAAATGCTGCCAAGGCACAGGTCACACTGTCGTGCGACCTCGCCCTCCCCACGACTGTGCACCATGATAGTATAGAAACAACACCTATCAATCTGACCAACCATTGGGTGCTCATAATTTTACGACATCGAGGTCGGAAGGCCGAGGTATCGATGAAGGAGGGTGAGATTTCTGGCTCATTTCCAAATGCAGAGGAACGATGCACTGCGTGGCCTTTGTGTACGTTGCATCTCACTAGCAATGCTGCTGCTGAATCTAAATTGTTGGAATGGAAACGAGAATGAGATGATCTAGATTTCTGCATTCCCATGATGCACCAATCTGTTAAAAACGTGCGTATACATTCTCATTTCACATCTGGCAAGTCTATCGCTATGTCACGTTCCCTTCATGTTCACTCATTGCGCGCAACTATGGTCAGGTTATTCCTGCCTCATTACGTCAAAGCCTGCTGCTACGAAGTAGAGCGTTGTTGTCCTTCCCTAAACTTCAATAGCTTGAGCTTACTCTGCTTGCCCCGGAGGAAGTTCGAAGCCGAGTCCAGTGGGACATACCTTTCTTGGAACCCATAAAAGTCCGCAGAGTCCATGTGCCCAAGATCCCAAGACTTCGAAATGCTTACCTTGGATATCGAATCTTGACTCCTAAAAGGCAGCTCGCTGAAAGAACGTTTCAGAAAATACTTGGCCACCCACAGGGTGTTTTCTTTCATTTCTCTTTCTCTCTCGGAGTCTCGAATGGGTTGCTCGCAAATACGGGAGAGGGTTGAAGCCCAAGCGAGCCTTTGGAGCACCCATTAACTTGTCATATTCGAAATGGGAATTCTCCATACTGATGAAACACAGGTGAGCAGAACCAGGGCAGACAAATCCCCATTTTTCGGAATGTGTCGCTCGAGGAATCAACAGCCCCAATTCTAACGGCAGACACGGTCCTATCGGAGCACGTTTGACGCAGATCAATCAATCTATCTACATTCCCAGGGTTCTGGGAATTCCGACGGGTGGGATATCTGCGGTACGCCTTGTTGTATGGGAAATGTACGGTTTCACAGCTACGGTATCTGGATGAGGGTGTATCTAGCGAACACAGATGCTGATCCCCTGATGGTCACGTTACAGGCGAACAACGAAGCATTCATGGAAGTCTACCTAGGTAGGCAAACTGCTTTAGGCATTTTACTCACATCTACCTACCCACTCCACTAGTACTAGTGCTAGACACCTAGAGAATGTAATTAGATGTGGGATCATTGAGTTCGGCTGGCTTGTATTGTGCGTCATTTCCAGAGTGTTACCTAGGTAGGTACTAGGTAGGCTCTAAGGTGCTTCAACTTCAAGTGGCTTCCGCATCGAGACGAGTAGCGCTTCCTTCCCAGGTTGTAGGTACTCGTACAGTAGTAGTAGTGGTGTTCCGTATTTTCTGTTCTTGTTCTGCCTTTGCCTCTGCCCTCGGGTATCCTACCCTACCGAGCCTGAGCCTACCTATTTCAAGTTCCATTTTACCTGAGCAAATTGAGCACGCTCCATGCGCATCGCACCACAAAACTCCACCCACAACAGCACCGGGTCAAGCCGTCCGCCTTTCACCAGAAACTCACTTCACCTCACCTCACTTCGCTTCACGATCGCCCACCCCTGCCGATAATTCTTGGCTGCAGGCGCCACCGACCTCATTGCGTCACCCACCAGTGCACCACAGCCGCTCACCTCGACGACGATGCACATTACACATTACATTTCGATGTGTTCGCCATCCTTCATTGGCTCCTCGCCATAAAACGGTGTCATTAAAGCATCATCCCGCACCCCTGAGCGCATCCTGCTTTTGGACCCTGAAAATACACCCAGTGAGGAGACAGAGATGGCCGTAATGCTTGTCGCCGTGGCTTCATCTTGCAGAATCAGTCCTGCAGGCAAAATTTATTTCATGGGAAGTCCAGCACTATCAGCCACCACTTACAGCCGAGTGTTATGAAGTTTAAAGTAAATTTACTTACCTTCCCTTACCTTACCTCCGTAAGTCATCACTAGGGCTTCGCGGCGGAGGTCCCTGAACGCTTGTCGCTGTGGACGATGTGCAAGGATGGATGGCTGCGATTGGAGAGGAAGCTCGGATGGAGAGATTTCATCAGGAGCGGATTGGAGAGAAGCCTTCGAAGCTTGCGCCTTGTCCTGCCCGATTCTGTATCAAGAGCAGTTTAATCCCGGCCGTGGTGCTTGACGATGATGTTATCCATCGTCACAGTTGGACTTTCCCACACCAACTCAGCTGGCTGCGCTCCTGGGGGAGAACAAGTTGCATGCACGCTTCGATACATCCTACTTGAGCTTGGAATCATAGTGGCATGGAAGAAGCCTACCAAAGCATAGTAGAGTAGGGAGATATACTCCGTCTCCACACTCTCATCGTCTCCAAGCACTTTATACTTTGTACTCACATGATTGTTGCCCGTTTCACACGGCAGATCCGATTGATTAATTCTATGCCTCGATGAACGGCCTCGCGTTGGTCTACCTCACCGAGCTCACCTCGGTTTGGACCCCTCTTTTCGAGCTGATTGGCAGTCAATTTCATCATCTTGTCTCGCCTCAGTCACTCACTCCACGTCCTAATACCCGAGGCGAGGAGCGGTACTCTTTTGCAATGCAACGTTGACCAGAACATTCATCATGCCAAGCACTCACTACCCCTTTACTGCTCCGTCAACATCTCCGTCACTTCCCTCAATGTTTTTTTTTTCGACAGGGCTGCGTTTCATGTGTCTCCAGGGCGGAGAACATTGCCGTCATTTCGACCAGGACCCTTGTCATACCTCGTCCACGGGTTTTCCTCTTGTCACGAGATCTAGCGTCTAGGGCTTTGCAGGCTCTCACCTTGTCCGTGGTCGGCGACGTGTGTGTGGGTTTGGGGTAACGATCAGCGATGCTGCAATGCCCGATGTCTGGGTTTGCCATTAGAAGACGAGGTAATGGTGGGGTTGACAGGTGGGTTTCGTACTGTAATTTCATTTTTGGCCGAGTTTCAACAGACCAAGATAGACGTCTAGTGGCCGTTAGAGTGGGTTTTGAATATGGCACTTTGGTCATGAGATGGTTGCGATGTGGAAAGGGGTTGATGTTGCAGCAATGAGAAGGAAAATGTCGGTGGGATGAGAAAGAGTTGTGGAATGACAGTACAGCATCTCTAGTCACTCAGTCTCAGTGTAATCCACGAGCGCGCTAGGCGGTAGGAAATACGGCAAATTTCGTGCAATGTCAACACTTCTACATATCCAGAACTGCCTTCTTGTTGATTCTAGTATTGTAACATTAATCTAGTCGTAGTGACTGTCTTTGTACTATAGCCCACCACCAGGCCGTAGGGGTATATGTAACGAGGGTGGAACAAAACAAAAGCAACTAGTGTACAGCACATCCCATCATGGCCACAACATCGTGACGGTATTCGCATATCCTTCAACGCCGTGTAAATCAACACTCTTGCGAATGTCTTCCCCTATCCCATAGGACCACCACATTAGGCGTATGTCCTCTCAGTGAAAGTATTAGAATAGAGTAAGTTCATCTAGAACAAGTGCGCGTAAAAATGACAAAACAATCGGGTATTGGCGAAAAAGACCAAACTTCCCACGCATTGGATATCAAGCAAGCGCCGAGGGATATCGCAAACATAATCGAAAACTGCATAGGCGTAATCCAACATCTGACCGATTTTTCGAACGTTCAAAGGGTGACAAGCCAAAGCAAATATAAACAGTAAGCGAATGTCGTCGCAAGCCGTTAATCGTCGGAGTGATGGTCTTCTGATCCCGCGTCTGATCGAGCCTCGCCCTTGTGAACCTTGCGATGTCTGCGCAAGTTCGATACAACAGAGAAGTGGCGTCCGCAACCTTCAACTTCGCAGCAAAATGCTATTGCATATTAGTGATGTTTTTGAAGATGGCAATGATCAGAACTTACGCTTCTCACCAGTATGGCTATACATATGTGTTTGCAGAGAACTTGGACGTGTGAATCGTTTGTCGCAGACCTTGCACTTGTGCTTCTTCTGTGTACTCGACGATACCTTTGAACTGAATTGTCCCATCATTGATGCTGGCGCAGGCGGCATTCCTCCGTTGATCAGGCCGGATGGGCGCGGCAATGTTCTCGATGAGACAGACTCAATGTCGGAACCAGCATTTGAGTAATCACTGACTGACGAGTCGACAGATCCGCCAAAATATGCCTGGTAATTGCTCGACGAAGAAATCGAGGAGTTGCTAGAATGTGTAGTGGGGAAGCCGTAGGCATCACCTGATCCTCTTACACGTCCTCCTTGTGCTTCGTATATATTGCGTGGTGTTTGCGTGTTTTGGCTCATGGCAATCATGCCTCTGCTGGCATCAATGGCGTCGCCGAAGCTTCGCGTTGATTCGTTTTGGAGTCCTCTGTCATTGAAGTCAATAAGAGAGTTCTGACGATGGCGATGCGCATCTTCCGAGACACCGAAAACAGAACTTGAGGGTACTGACGGTTGTGATAGACGTCTTGAGTTGTCTTGTTGAATGGCGTATGTCGATCGCACCGGTGCTGGGGCATAACCCATGGTCTCGTAGGGGGTTGGGGGCGGCGCATAGGCGTTGTGGGCTGGAGATGGAGCACTTGAGTATGCGTGGTGACTCTCACCGTATCCAGTTGACACAGAACGAGAAGGACTCAACAAATCTTGGGGCATGGTGAGTAAATCCTGTGAGCCATACACATCCGCCAAGAGAGGGCTACCTGCTGATGCCGCGCTGATAGGTACGCTGGCATATGATCCCATAGACGCGGTGCTATTCATACGGGGAGCTTGTTGCTGTTGCTCGTGCTTAATGTCGAGACCCAAGCTCGGGTGAAGATTGCCATGCGAGGAGGCATAGAGGCTGTGGTTCTGGGAAGGCGACGAAGTCGCCGTCCACGGGTTGGTAAACTGAGGAGGATTTGGGTAAGACATGTGGTCAAAGTTCATGCCGCCGAAGCGTTGTTGATTGTCGATGGCCATAGTCATACTTAAAAGGATGAGCGGTCAATCGTAACGACCTTCAATTGAATACAACGGTAGGAAGGGCTCGACGTTTCAAAGAAGCGTGGATCAGATGCAAGATCCCGTTGGAGATTGGTTTTCGTCCGGTCGAGAACTGTCTTTGTCGGAGTAGGAAAGATGGAGAAAGACGATCAGTGAAGTTTGACGGGTGGGATCAGCGTTCTTTATGTGCTTGATGCTGAAGAGGGGACGGTCAGAGGATCCAGAAGTGTGGTTGGTCGACTGGCCAAGAGAGGTAGTTCTTAGTGTAAAAGACACTACGATTCGTCTGATAGAAAGGCGGAGTGCGAGGGGATGTAGGCCCTGCCTGAACCTGAAGCTGCCCGCCTGAATGTCTAGGATTCGTATTGGGCTGGGGAGGGATTCTGCTGTTTTTGGTGGGGCCAAAGGCAAGCTTATGATGCCTCCAGGAAGGATCGACAGCAGACAAGACAGGAGAGGACTCTGAAGCTGCTCTAACGGGCCTCTAATGCGGGACTGGCGACTACGACGCCGTGGACAGCAAAGCGGTGCTGGAGATTAAGCTCTAAGCTGGATCCCGCTTCCAGGGTAGCAAAGCTGTCAAGCTGTTCGGCAGTCCGGTGATCTTCGTTCGGAAGGAGAATACCCAAGCAGTTTGCACTTCGGATGGGTAGACTGGTGGATTGATATTGATGTTGATGTTGCGATCGACACTTGACCTTTGCTGAGAATGGAGAGGATCAGAGGGTGGAGTAAGTGTTCGAGCTCTGCTTTGAAGAGAACAGTAGGTTTCTAGCAGGGACGGGAGGCGACGTTCTTTGCTCTTGTGAGGAAAGATGGAGAAAGACAGGACGATAGATGTGAGAAGCGGGAAGTATATGGACGATCTTCGTTCTTGAGTTCTGTTACGGCCAGTCGAGGAGCGGGGGGTTTTAAAGGTGGGTTTTGATCGCAACAACGTCAACGTCCAGGACCGGGACATGGACATGGACCGGGATGCGGGTGTGATGTGGTGTGGAGTTTTCTTGAATGATTTATTGTGGATGCTCTGATGCTCTGATGCAGTTGTGGATGGATGATGGAGGAGAAGCAAGGGTAGGACAGGGGAGACGGCAGGTCAGGGATGGCACTGGTGGGGAGGGAGGGAGGAGAGGGGGGGGGGGAAGGGGAGGGGAGAGGCTTTTCAAGATCCTGGCTAGCTTCAGTGGCGGCGGTAGTTTGGACTCTGAAGAGGAGGAGGAGGAGAAAAAAGGCGTCGCCCCAAGAACGACAGGGAAGGGAAGCCGCACCAAGCACGTAGGCATGTGAGGTAGGCAATATCAGGTAGTAATGATAATGAATGTGAAATTTAAATGTAAAGGACGCTAGATCTCGAGGTAGTGTACGCTGTACAGGACATGTACTGTACTGTACTGTGGTGCTACCTCAGGTCGCACTCAAAGCGTGCGGGTTAGACTTATGTCGAGTGAGGTTGAGAGCAGAGCAGAGTAGAGCAGAGCAGAGCAGAGCAGAGCAAAGCAGCAATGCAAAGAACGAAAGCAAGAATTCTTCGTCTCTGGCCTGCTCGCCTGCTCGCCTGCTCGTCTGGCTGGTCTAAACCCGCTGAGGAAGATGAATCAAAATTGGAATGGAATGGGAATGAATGAATGAGGTCAAGGACAACCTTAGGCCGATCTTGTTTTCCTCTTCTTTTTATTCCCGCGAGAAAGCGTCAGGCTTGGGAGTTACTAAGTTAGTACCGTGCGTGGCGTGGGCGCCCCCAACGGGTGCTCAAGTTCCCTGACGCCTTCGTATCATAGATGGCGCTCGCTGTTTAGTTTAGGTAGGTAGGAAACGGACTTTAGTTCACAGGACCGTAGGTAATCTACAATACAGTACAATACGGTACAATACGGTACAATACGGTACAATACGGTACAATACGGTACAATACGGTACAATACGGTACAATACGGTACAATACGGTACAATACGGTACAATACAGTACAATACAGTACAGCGCTTTAGTTTCTTTCTTGAGGGTGTCAGGCACCGCATCCAGCTATCTGTGTCCGTAAGGTAAGGTAAGGTAAGGTAGTCCGAATTCGACTTCGACGGGACTTAGGGGAGCGGAGGGGGCGAGGGGGGCAGAGCAGGAGACCTCGGGACCTTGAGGCACGCACCACTGACAGCCACCCGCGTAAGCCATCCGCCAATAGAACACTGCACCTGGAAATAAGAGCGGACCTAGGAGCACCTGTGGATCGCTGCTGAACCCCGAGTGCACTAGCTACTGTAATTTACTGTACTGTACAGTTTCTCTCTCAGCACGACATTACTGTATTATTGTTGCACAGGATTACTTAGCTGCTACCCTATATTGGTATTGGTCTGAGAGAGGGGTGTGCACTTAACAGGTGGCAATGGCACTGGCACTGGCACTGCACTGAGAGGTGTGAAACTCGCCGTATCGGGCTAAGCGCACGTCCATGACATGAGTGCCGTGCCGTGTGTGCCCTGCCCTGCCCTGCCCTGCCCTGCCCTGGCAGGCGCTGACTGGCTGCAACTCCTCTCGTCTCTTTTGTTCTGGGATGGGATGGGATGGGATGGGATGGGATGCTAAATGTGATGCGATAACATCGCAGCCATGTAATACTGTACGATACAATGATACTGTATGTAAGCGCATGAGAGTGCTTGTCCTGAAAACCAGTCAGGATGTATCCTACGACCGGTTGGATCAAACTGTACTGTACTGTACACCTGAGAACACGACCCGAGCCAAGGCAAGGCGGTGCCAATGGCAATGTCAATTGGAAGAAACGGAAGATTCATGACGGCAGCGAGGGTAGGAAACAGAACATCCATCCATTCATCCACCCATCTCCAAATGCCCAAGCACACGGAGGACAGGGACCTTCAAACTCCCGAATCCTACGAGCTTGAAAGAGTGGGCTCTCAGCCAGTCAGGAAGAGGTAGCCTGGCTCGGTGATTCAGTGGCTTCGGGCAGAAGCCCTGACTGGCTGACGCTGGAGCCCTGTTTATTTGGTGATGGACTCCGAATGACGCTCGTCCGCACCGAGGGCTTGCGATAATCGTGATCTGAGGTGGCACTGGCAGGGCAGGCGCAGCAGGGGAAGATGGGAGGAGGTGGGATGGGGTGAGATGGCACAGAGAGTATTTCTACTGTATTTACTGCGTATGGGACAACTTCCAGGGCGAGCACGATTGGTGCGGGAAATTCCCTGAATCTGTGAAAGACTTGGACAGGAAACATCAAGGGGCCCCAACATCAATTACCAGATAGAACACACCCAACCTCAAGCCTTTTGCATCTATTGTCGCAATGATTCCGGGTCAAACCTTCTTCCGCTGTTGACTATTTTCTTCTTCCTTCTACTCTTCTCACTTTTCTTTCTTTTTCGGTGGCGTATCAATAATGCTCCCTCCCTTGCTTGTCCCAGACTTCGAAATGCTAGCAAGCCTTTCAAGATCCGCATACCTTTTGTTTCTAGTCTTGGCGTCTTGTCATTGAAAATGGATTCGGATGTGACCTCCGCCCAGTTAATATTTGCTGGCGCTGTTTGGGCAGGTTCAACGAGCTGGTCGCGTGAAATCTCTTTTCTGCTTGGTATCATTGATAATAAGCTACCTCTTTGCAGTCAGTCAGGCTCACGCACAGCCTGAATTAGCCTCGGCAGCTGAACTGAGTATTGGCGGATGTGGGGAAGCGGATGGGGCATGAATAATATCAACAACATGCATTCAAGAAAGGACAAGGCGGACGTGATTTGTAGGGGTCCGTGGGGACGATCTCCCTGCAAGGGCGCACCACATTAGATATCGATTTGGTAGAACACCCAGTAGTGCGATGTGGATGTGTGCCCGAGAGAGCCTTGCAACGAATTGATTGCATGATTGATCCCGTCAGACTGGTGTTGTTAATAGCAAAATAAATGCGAGTTTGTATGCCTTGAAAGGGGAGGCGAGGCACTGTGTCTTCCCCGAATGCGCTTGACAAGGACAAGAAAGTTATGTCAGAGCACAAAGCGAGCCAGTACATATGTTGTCCAGCAATCCACGGGCACCCCGAACATCGAATAATTGACATGGCATTTCAGAGATGCCCATTGAGGGTAAGGCAGGGGCTCTGACCCATCAGGAAAGCGGTAGGCGATCGGACCAGATGCAATCAATATCAACCGCGATATAATAACAACCCGGTCCGAATCCAGCCATTTGAACCACAAGTGTAATGTGTCAATGACCAGAACTAGGTATGGTCAGATTGGAATTTTCCTTGTTGATCTGGAGGCAATTTTGAAACCGAGCCCAGCGAGTGCCTTGGCCCATTGGGAAATATCTCGTGGTTTGGAGATGCCAATATCAATTGGATTGGAGGTTCCGCCCGCTATGATACCTTAACATCACCTGATGTCGATGGTAACCTGCCATGCCTGCCTGCTTGCCTGCCTGCCTGCCCGCCTCGCCTGCTCAGTTCTGAGTTCCCAATTGCCGTCCGGATCGACGTGCTTCCCGGTGGCAATCTTTTGAAACACAGCATACTGTCAAATAAGAGCTAGCCCACAGGTCCTTTTTGCTGGCCATGCGTGAGTGGTGTCTAACTGCATTCTTCCTCATGCAGAGGGCAGGCCAGCCACAATCGCAAAGCCGTACCTTATTTTCACCACCAGACACAGAAAAGAAATGCTTTTGCGGACTGTGCGTGGCGCGAAACTACAGTGCACTGCAGTGCATCACTCACTGCACTGCTGTCTGTACAACCATCGTAACCTTCCAGACCATCCCTTTACCACCGCGGCTGTCATGAAAATGGCGGTAATCTTATCCCATCCATATATATCCGTATTTCATCAGCGGCTCTTCACACCATCGAATCGCAGAGCCTGCAGAAAGCCATCGGACTAATCCTCGGCCTTGCATATGCCGACCTTGTCTCGCTCGTCCTTCGGTTGCTCGTCTCGCTCGTCTCCAGCCCGCAGATACTGTACAGTACACTGGATTGGGATTGGGCTGGGATGCAGGATACATACCGACAAAATGGATTGGGGGCTGCAGATTCGTGCGGCAGTGCAACAAGTCTCCATGGCAGTGGCCTATTTAGCTTGGCTTGGACACTTGTAATTTATGTCAAGAGCCGTCGCCACCTCCTCGACTCACAGCCGGCGTCCATTCCAACGCCAGTCTGAATCTCCATCTGGGGAAAAGGTACCCAGCTGCGGAAGTATCCAGCCTGCCAATAAACGTGACAGATTAGTGCACACATGTAAAGTCCATCCCAATTGCCTCCACAGGACACGGGCTCTTGACCTTGGCATGGGAGCTTCACTGTAAATTCCGAAGGCCACGACCAAAAAAAACAATACAGTCGTAGTACTGTAGGTAGTATTTGATTGCAAGTTCGCAGGAGGGACTGCTTGGCTCCCAACGAGCGATCCTGACTGACTGACTGACTCGTAAAAGAGGCACTTAGCAAGCGTTAATACAATACAATACATCGCGGAGACGGAGGAATTCTCCGGGTCGAAGTCCTGTGCGATCCTAGCAAGAGGTTGAGAAGCGAGACCAAACAGTTAGTTACCTTAGGCATGTTGAGCGTTGGCCACCGAGCGGGCAGGCTTGGAAAGAGGCGGTCAAGCCCCAGCACAGCACCGCACCGCACCGCACCGCACAGATGCAGCGATTGATTTGAGTTTAGTTGAGTTGACCTGGATTGAGTACTGTACTGTACTCTACTGTACTCTACTGTACTCGTAGAGATGACTTGGGCTGAGTTGAGTGGCCGAGATGAGATGAGCTGCATCAGTGCCAACGTCACTCTGCCGTCCCGAGCCTGGTTGCAGCGAATCACACCCCCAAGATAAAGACCCCTACCCCTACCCCTACCCTCCCCTACCCTTTCCTAAGGTACCCTAAATGCTAAGCAAAGTCAAGTGCAAAGGAGGAGGAGGAGGAGGAGGAGGAGGAGGATGTCTGCTTCCGCCCATGGTGCTTTCGTCCAGTTCTTGTCATGTAAATTACTGTACTCCAAGGCTCTTCCAAAGTCTGCCAAGCGCAAGCCATGGAAAGGAAATTGGAAAGAAGCTCATAGATTCTTTGGCGGCAAGACAGCGACTTCGTCTGGGACAGATAGCCAGATGGACCATGAGCGTTTCCACGTTCGTGGGAAAGTAGAGGAGGCAAGTACCTCTCTACCTACCTAGTTCTCCCCGCTACAGATCACGATGAGAGGCAATCCAGCGGAACCACAAAACAGCAACAACGGTTCCGATCTCATCGTGACTAGCTGGGTGCTCCGTCAGGATTAAGTTAGGTCGCAGCTCCAACGCCAGAGACAATTCAGTTTGGCGATGACATGGTACAGTACTGTAGTGCTCAACCACAGTCAGCTGCCGGATTCAGAGCCCCCCTTTTCTGACTCGCTGAGCTCAAGTGTTCTATAGTTCATGCCATGCCACGGCAAATACTGTAAAGTTAGCCCCAGCATCTCGAGCTACTTTAGCCCCGAGAGACTTCACCCGTCACGGCATGGATGATGGATACCACAAGTCTCCATGACTTCTGCGGAGAAAGGGTTTCCGAACAGCCACAAACGCCACCAGACGCAAGTTCAAGTCCCTGGAGATCGAAGAGAGGAGAGGAGAGGAGAGAAGAGAAGAGGAATGAGGAGGATGTACAGTATGAAGCCCGCAAGAGTGCAGAGACAGGCAGCCAACAACCGTAAATTTGGATGAAAGGATGGAGAAGCGAGAGCAATCCGGGGGGTGTTGTTGTATAACTTACCAAATCACATCGCCCAGTGGCTTCCGGAAGGCACATGGCAAGCAGAGCCAGAGCAGAGCAGAGCCGTGCAAAGCAGAACAGATTCAACAAAAAAGGGAATAATTGCCACAGCTGCTGCGATTCTCCATGCCTGCCGTGGTCAAGTCAGTTTAAGTAATTTACAGTACGAGTACAGTGCAGGAGGCTGTTCGGCTCCTCTCCCGGCATAACCCTACCTTCTCCTACTACTTGCACACCTCCGAGGCTATTCTCACTTCCTCAACCTTCAAACCGCATCTAGCAAGGGCAGTCGGAATAGCTTCATTTCTCTCCTCATACCAAGCACTACTACTTGGCTGGTTGTTTGTTCAGGTTTGGACAGTTCCCACCTGTCAAACATCATCTGATAAGCTCATCCATGTAAAATCATTTCTGCATCTGTGCGGGTGCTGAAGATCTCTCATGCACAGCGCGTTACCTGGTCCACCAAGCAAGCTCGAGGCAAGCTGGTACTCTTCACTTGGTCACCATTCGTACCTGGCAATAATCATGTATGCGCTCCATATTTCAATCCAATCCCATTTGAACGAACGTCAATTACCGAGCATTGTGCGGACACAGTCCCAGGACATGTGAATTTGCAGTCGAGATCATTGGTATCCCAGTAAATTACTTTGCAAGGAGCCTGTCGCAGCCAGTACCAATGTCGAAGCTCAGCTCATCTCATCTCATCTCATCTCATCGTCGACTACCCCTGCGCAACCCTGCGGGCAGGGGAGAAGATCGACCGATTGTGTTTCAGCATCAACAAAGAGGCTTAGGCTCTTGCTTTTCCCTGGCCCCTTTGCCATTTGTTTCTCTCGTTTCGGTGATCCCCCACATCCGGCCTGCTGTCTCATTTCCTCCTAATGCAACCCCTGGAGAGTGTCGTCTCGCCCACAACCGTTGAGGATCGACATTCCTGGTTGCTGCTTCGCATCTCATTGCAAGAGCTTAAATCTGAGTCTCCCCGAGCATCTCACCGAAGGATGTCTCATGTCACGAGATGCCGGAGGACCTAGGTAATGATATTTGATTCACGGCATTTTGTGAAGGCGGAAGAGGAGGAGGAGCAGGCATGCCCAAAGGAGAATTTACCTTTATTGCTCCTCCCGACTCACCCGCACGAACGCCTCGAGCGGCCAAAATGTCAAGAAACATCTCCTAATTACCGAGATCTGGGGACTGTTAGTCTGCAAGAGGCAATTCGAATGCTGGTCATTAAGCATCAGCCCGAGGAGTTCTGAAATGTGGGTTGACAGAACAAGCCCAGCAAGCCTGCATCAGACTCTCAGACCAGCTTGGAAACTACCACCAAAGGGCCATGCTCCTCCTCCACAACATCTCAGACACGACATCTCGTTACCGTGAACCTCAACCTTGCCCAGACAGAACTTGCCATCTCGTTCTCGAATGACCGGAACGTATCACCAGACAGGTCTGCCTCCATCGATCTTGGACATTGAGGATCCCAATCTCCCATCCATAGGGTCACTTACCGACTCTGTTCACCAGGGAGGGTACTGCTCTCGTCTTGCATCCTTACTCCAGCTCAGTGCTCGGGGTCAAGCACAGGACTTAGCGCCAGTAAGGAGACCGACGGCTCATTTGGCAGAGGTACTCCACAGATGATCAACATCTGCATGGAACCACGGCATCTTGAAATATTATTTATTTTGCTAAGCTGCGCAAAGACTTGTACATTACATACATTTTTGGATCGGGACAACCTGCCCAACATCGCGGCCTTGTGGCGGGGCTGCAGTGAAAGTTATCGTACAAAGAGAAGATCAAGTGGTTGGGGAAACATTGGGGGTAAGTAGCTCTAAACATTAGGCTCCTGATAAGTGACGAAGGAAATGAGTGTACGAAAGCCGTAGATTCGGCGCCACGTGTGGTGCCGTTGTCGTGAAATGAGGCCGTCATGTGCCCACCAAGGAGCAACAGCTTACTGCTTTGTATGTAAAACGCCGGAATGTTGCGAAATTTCAAAAAGAATAGGAAAAGGTCTGCCAGTTGACCTTATCCAGAACGCCTCTTAACCAAGCCGAACGCCTTCGTATCACTGTGGTATTATATCCTCGTACTCTGCTTCTCGACACCACTTCGACCCTGAGCCAACGAGCCAAACAATTGCTCGGGTGGAACTCGTGAGAGACCATGGCTCCGGTCGAAGCTGGCCGTTGGTGCAGGGACATATCCTTCCCGCTTTCGCCTGATGCGCTCAGCGACTACACCAGCGATGACTAAGAAAAAGATCAAGCCAAGGGCTATAGCTAGAGCAATGAGAACAACAAATCCCTTCGCGAGTTTGCCGCCTATGGCGAATTAGTTCATAACCTGTGCTCTACGACATATTAACTTACCTGGAGCTTTAAAGAAGTTTTGCCGTTGGGAGAAAATCTGGGACAGACTCCCGCCAGTATTCGAGGAGCTCGACGTGAGGGCAAACGGCTGGAAGGCTGTGCCATTGAAAAGCACAGCAGAAGCGTTGCCAAATCCTGGAAGATTTACTGATCCAGTGATCATGAGTGCTTGGCTTGCGGATATCAGGTTTGATGATTCGTGATCCTCGCTTAAGGGTAAGACTTGGAGACTGTGGATCTTTGTTCCATTTCCTAATGTGCCACCAACGGGAATCCATGTTGAGCCATCAAATTTCATGAGGAAGGTCGAGCCGTTGTTGGCAGTCCCTGCAACCCAAAGCTGAGATACATCGCTGTTGGCTGCAGTCAATGCGGTAACAGGTCCGGGAATTGCGCTCGCTCCTACTGCGGCTGTCCAGGATTGAGACTTTGTGTCATAGGTAGCGAGCGAGAGATTCTCCCCGTCCACAGTTAGAGCACCACCGACAATAAGGGAAGTTGAGCTAGCCCAAGTCATCGCATTGGCAGTTCCGGCAAGGTTCGATCCAGGTCGATCCCATTGCGACGCTGTAGAGACGAAAACACACACTGCAGGGCAGTCAAGGGATCCTGCGGCAGAGAAGCTGCCAGCGGCGTAGACATCGCCAGAGTCTGGTCTTATTGAGATGGCTTTAACATCTCCACCAGAAAGTGATGGTGGTTGGGTGCCAAATGATGCAGTGGCAAGATTGAATGATACGAGACCAGTCACATCACCACCATTGATAGTCCCAGAGATTGAGCCTCCGGCATACAGCGTGTCTTCTCCAATGGCCATGGCGAGAATTGTGGAATCGTTAGAAAGTGATGATCCGACACCGGTAACGCTGTTAGAATCTGCTCCGTTGATGAAGACAAGGTTGTTGACGATTGACCCATTCGAAGCTGTTGCAGAAAAGTGTCCTCCAAGAATGGTCACATTTCGTCCATTGTTCTCATAGAACAAGCCCGTTACAACGCCAGACACATTTTGATTGGTATTGGCTCGCTTCGTGAGGCCAGTTAGCGGCTGTGTCTCTGTTGCATGGATACGAACAGGCAAAGGGCTGAGGGTATCGGCAAGAGCCACGGCTCCGTTCGCGCTGAGCTGGGAAGACGACAGAGAACCAGCAAAGAGGGATCCTCCATCCGGGAGATCGACCGATGCAGTGAGCTGTCCCGTGATTGACGGTGTAGCGACATCCAGATTCTGAAGCCAGTTGCCACGAGATGGCACCCAAATCGCGAAGCCCGCGACGGCGACAGATGTATTGCTCCCAAATGCCATGATCTCCAGAAAGTCTCCAGTAATAGTGATGACAACCTCAGGTGCGTCGGTGGTGACATTCATGGCCAACGGAACAATACTCGACACCTGTCCGTTAAGACCAGCACCGAGTGAAATCCAAGAATTCTTAGTTGTGTCATAAGCAGCAACATTGTTTAGGCCTGTGCTCCCTCCAGATTTGGTGTCTGAAAATTTGCCGCCGACATAAAGAATGGTTCCATTGAGCAGCAGAGAGACGACCTCTCCATTTAGTCCATTTCCGGCCAGTGGGGTTGCTCTAGAACTGGTAATAGCGAAGATGTTGTCGAAGTCATCTGTCGAAAAGTTGCCTCCCACAAAGGTAGTACTGCCAGATGTCTGAAGTGAGTTGACTCCTGCTCCAGTTGGGAGACTCATTCCAGCCACGTCGAATGTTGAATTGGCGAAGTCTGCAGTATCGACAACAGCTTGTGTTGGATCATATTCAAACAGGCTGTTGAGACCAGCACTCGAAGAAATGAGGGTGAAGCCAACACGTTGGGCAACTATCGTCAAATTGTCGATCCCTTGCCCGTCAACAGGCGAAAGGGTAATGGAAGGACGGAAAGAGTTACTACCAGCGTCAATGAACCCAAAGTATATCTGATCGTATTTGTCGAAGTTATTTGTCTGGAAGATTTCAGTGGTGAATGAAGCGGCGCTCGACATGATGCCTGTAATATTGACTCGGCCTCGGTTTGCACATGAGTTGTCCTGAATACATCCTGGGGTGTACATGTTGACCGAGTAATTTCCGGATTGTCGAATGTCCGGGAGAAAGGCGACGTTCGCCGAGGTTGCGTTTGAGACAGACGCTGCCAAATATTGAGAAACGCTCTGCTGAGAAGGAGTTACAACCCAAGGTCCTGTCTGTGTAGCACTTGAGGCGACCTCGATATTTGCACAGGTAGGCTCATTGAATGTGTTGATAGCATAGGCGAAAATATCATCTTGGAAGAGCTCGATTCCATTCAATCCACCTCCGCTGCCATAAAATGCTGATATATCGATCTGGAAGCTATTCATGCCAATCACATTGACAAAATGGAAATCTTGAAATGGTACGCTGCTGTTGCTGCTCAGCGGACACTCTGAAGAGCAGGACGCATTCCGCCCACTTGTTGGATCGATGTAGGTAAAGTTCATTATCCCATTGATGGGAAATGCGGTATACCGCCAAGTCTTGGTTCCTCGGCCATCCAAACGAGTGTTGTACAATCTCAGCTTCGTGGGCTGGAACCCGAAGCCGAATGTTGCCTTCCAGAATCCCGGACTATTGTCCGCAAGTAACCAGGTATTTCCAGGCCCATCTACTCCACTAGTCTTGCAAACGATGTTGGCAGGGTCGCTAAGTCCAGCAGTTGTTGTTGAAGAGCCGCTGGTGAGGTTTGCACCAGATATGTTAATTATTTGCTGATCCGGAAGACTCGGGCCAGTCGAGTTTGCATTTCCCAGCGCGGTGAATGAGCCTCCGAAGATGATGTTGCCGTTTGAAGCCTTGCTAATGGATGTGACGGGGCCATTGAAACCAGCGAAAGGAAGATTCGTCCAGCCAGCTGTGCCTACCCAAGCAATTGCATTTGTCGAGTTTGCACCCTTGAAACTCCCTCCCACGTACACTGTACTTGACTCCTGATCGCAAAGTAACGCAGAAACCTGACCAGAAAGTCCAGTCAGAGGCGTTATAACAGAGGTGTTAGGGTTGAACAGAGCTGCTCCTTGTGACTCCATTCCGCCTAGACTCGTAAAATTGCCTCCTACAACCACTCCGGCCATTACTCCAGTCTCCAGCATGAATGTGCACATTGCCTGTATCCCAGCATCGGCCGCTGCAAGATCGGCGAAGCCTCCATTAGGGAATCGTGACAGCACTGATTGGCTTCCATTCGTATTGAATCCATTCTCGTTCTGGCCCTTAAACTGATACAAGGAGATCCCGTTGAAATCGCCTGCCAGTCCAACTCGGCCAAGTTTCTTGAAATCGAGATTCGCCGACGGGATAGGTGTAAAAGTGATCCCCTGTGAGACCTGAACAAGGGATGTTAAAAGAATGACGCATATGATCGCAGGCGCTCGACCTGCAGCTAATCGACTCAGCCAGGATGAAACTTTCATCGTGAGACTGCTGCGCATGAAGGGCGCGGTATTGTGATTGTTGTTGTCCACGAGTGTAAGAGGTTGGAGGTGGGTGGCTGGTGTTAAACCTTTTCACCAGAGGTTTGCATCGGACGCGACCCTATTCCATTTCCCGAACTTCAGTCGAATCAAAGCGAGTGTCAATCTGTCGGCGAGTCGCTTGAGGGGAATCACGTCGTCCAGTGAATTAAATCCTGCAGTCCTCCTCGTAAATGAATGTTGTATGGTTTGGGTTTTGCTATGAAGCGGAGAAAAGGAGGTGAAGGTAAGGTGCGAATGGCAGGGCCTGCAGATATTGATCGCTAGATTAGACCAAGCCACGGGCTCTCGAAGCGATAGATAGTGTGTTGATGGTGCACGATTGACCTCGTGCAGGATGTGGGGTGAAGGAAATAAAGAATGTTCCCTCGTAAAGATGTCGAGTCGATTCGAGTCGGTGAAGTTGTGAGTTGTCGTTTTCCAACCATTGATTGCGCCGTTTGATCTTGGGTGGTGCGTGTTCCGGCCGCACAGGGACGAGGGAGTGGTGCGCAACAGGAGAGTGATGCTTCGTTCGTCTGAAGTGGGTTTGCCTGATGGTTTCTCGGGACGAATGACAGCTGAATGGAAATAGGGCAGTAATGGTTCCAGAAATCTGCGCTATTAACGACTAGCAGGCTGGCTGGCTGTCTGTCGGTCCGCGGTCCTATAAAAGAGTGTGAGGTCGACGGTGACCTTTGGTTTCTCTTGTCAGTCAAAGCCCACGCTCACGTTGGCCAGGTCCCTGGAGTGGCCTGGAACTATGGCGTCGGGGTCGAAGGAAGGGGGTTTACGGCGGGTGTTCCATGCATTACTTACCGTAAACACGAGACAGGTATTTGGTTCGAAATGAGGGTCGGGGTCGGGGTCGGGGTCGGGGTCGGGAGTCTGTCTTTACGACGCGACGCGATGCGATGCAGTACCGTCAGTGAAATGAAATGAAATGCAAGAGAGAAGAAGGGATGGATGACAGGAGATGGGAATGGGAATGGGAATGGGAATGGGAATGGGGATGGGGATGGGGATGGCAGTGATGGCAGGTCGGGCGCAATGGAAGTGGCGGGCAGGGGGGCGGGGGGGCGGGCGGGCATGGAAATGGAAATTGAATGGAAAGCAGAGAGGAGACAGTAGTAGTAGGTACAGTAGTACAGTGAAGCGAGTGCGCTGAAGGGAGTCCCGGGTGGAGGCAGGAAAGTGGAGGACGGGGTGCCTGGCAGCCTGGGTACCTACCTTCGGTACCTTACTGTAGGTGTCGTATCGTATCGTAGGTACTAGCCGGTCCACCTCCTGTTTTGCTCGGGGCTCGCGTACAGTCGGGGTAAGTAAGTGTCACGGAGCAAGTAAAGTGTCACGCTTAAAAAACACACTTAAAATCTTAAGATTCTAAGGAGTTTATTCGTAAAAATATACCTAAAAAACTTATAATATAACTAAGAATAACTTAATATATAAACTTCTTGATAAAATAAAATATAAATATATTAATAGATAAAGTATATATATAATACTTTTTTTTATTTATATTTAATTAAAGTCTAAGAAATTATAATAAAGTTAATTTTAGATTTTAGAAGTATAAAAGTAAATTAAATATAAATAAAAAATACTATTAGATATACTCTTTATCTATTAATATATTTATCTTTTATTTTATTATAAGTTATAGTTCTAAAGTTAAATAAATATTAGTTATAGTTTTTATAATAATTTTATTTAATTTTTATAAGGTACTTTTTTTAGAGTTTAGGTATATTTTCTAGTGTGATACTTTACTTACTCGTAACACTTACTTACCCTAACTATACGCGAGCCCTGAGTAAAACAGGAGGTGGACCGGCTAGTACTACCCTAAGGTAATTTAGGTACCTTACGTGCAGCAGTGCCCGACTTAGTACTCTACTCTGCTCTGCTCAATGTACCTAGACCTAGGTAAGGTACCTACCTACCTACCCTACCTACCCTCGAGGTCACTAGGTGTGATGGGGAGTCCAGATGCTGCACTGCTCTGCACCGTTCGCCTCATGCATGTTTCACTTTGCTGGAATGCCCTTCGAGTCGCCATAAACACTGCACTGCTTACGTTTCGGCGTGCGCTCCCAACCCCGGCTCGGTACCGCTATGTCTGCCTTGGTAGATATATTACAGACAAAAGCTGCTTGCATGTGCAGGATCTCTGATGACACAGGATGAACAGATGAAGACTACTCGAGTACCACACAACACGTTCATCCATACACACTGCTTGCCCATCTCAATGCTCAACCTGTTCTGTCGATTTGCATTCCGAGACCCATTGGCCAATCACACCTATCACAGGACCGCCAAATCTCAAGCTCCCTGAGACGATCCTACGGATTTCCGACAATCGCACTTAGACGGAATCCCGATTGCATGAGACGTTTGCTTGCCCCCATCACGTGCAGAAGCTTGTCTGCAGGGGACGAAGGAGCTTTGCGCTAAGCTACCTCATGTATCAGTTGTGGAAGTCACAGTCCAAGGGTTATCCCAATGGTCTTATTTGTGCTCTGGACACTCTCCAGGACTGAAGGCAGAGCGGCTCAGCCTCATTCGATTCTCCACGTAAGACGAGGCAGGTTGGCCATCATCCCCTCATCCCCTCGTGCAACTCTTCAAGTATGTTTGCCCAGTCATCTTCTGATTCATCGGCACCTTTCTAAGTAACATAGCAAAAAGGTGGAAAGGGAATGGGTATAGCCCTTGCACATTGACAGCATATAGTACCCATACTAGCTCCTAATCACGATGTAGAAGCACCGAATATATATGAGTTCTTGTCTCTGAGTCGTTGCTGACAGATAGGAGGAAGTCAACAGTATCAAAGTAACCTTGAAGCAAGAGACAGCAAACTCAACAGTACTCTCAAACGCAAACTGAACGTCTTCGCTTTCCAAATTCGGTGGAAAATATCCGGGTATCACTTTAGTTTTCGAATCATTGAGCTGTCCTGGTCTTGAACTCTCGTGGACTCTCAAAGTCCTTCCTCGCAACGCCTGCCCACATTCCTCTTTTCTTCCGCTTTGCTGTCTCCTCAACCTTTCTGTATTTATCCTCGAAATCTCCAAACTCAGCACCCGATTTGGCTTCATACACCGTTGCATATCCCGCCTTAAGCATCTCCTTCCCCACATCCTTCCGAAAGAAAAACCTTCGCACCCATACAGTGGCCACAACACGCTCATAATGGTCGCGCTTGTAGATGTATGCTCGTACACGACGATCCAGGATGTAATTCTTAAGCCATGCAAGCGCTTCCGCCGAGTAGGGCTGGGCAGGCTTGCCGAAGTGAGCACACTCAGGCGCATCGATTCCTGCAATCCGGACGTGTATCTGGAGACGCTATCAATCCATGTTGTAGTTTGGCACACATAGGAATCAAGACCTACCGTGTTATTCTTCAGATCTCCCTTGGTCTCTGGGATTTTGCGTCCTGGCGCCCATTCCCAGCCAGCCAGTCTCCCGCCTGGTGTGTGAAAGAGGTGAAAATTGTCTGCATCTCCAACACGCGTAACCTTCCCAAACAAGCTCCGATTCCTGAAGAACCGCGGGCGTATGTATGTAGCTTCTGGAATTCGGGCGAGGTATGAGCGATAGAGTCTGACCGACACCAGAATCGTTGTTGTCAGGAGGAGAGTGGGTATGATGGTCCTTGGGTCAGTGTAGTGAGACCAGTCTGTCGAATTGAGATTATCCATCCATGATACAGGGCGCTTCTTGTCATCGCTGTCGCTCTCGGTATTTGAAGGCATGGGGGCCATCGCATTGTGTTGACATGCACGAGCAGGTATGGTGGTGGGAAAGCTGTCTGGTTCCAGAAGCTCTGGAGATCAAGGTTACCAAGTGCTGCCCAGTGAGCTCTAGTGTGGCAGGGATTAGAGGAGACCAGGGGTATATGTCTACAGCAACCTCGCAAATACTTGGAGGACAAACCGTTGCTAGACCAGTTGCTTTTACATGAAGAGAGAACGGCATGTTGGTCATCGGGGGAAGTATCATTTGTCGGACAATACACACTTGGCAGGGAAGTCGTTTTGTCTCACTCTGTTTCATGCTCCTTTGACAGTTTACAAGCACGAACAAGGTGTGATGCGTTCTAAGACTCTAATTAAAGTGCCATTTTCATTCACCGACACCCAGACATACAAGTGTATACGCCACCCATCAGAGCTTCCGGCGTTTGGCCCTCTTGGATCGTGAAGTCTCAACCATGATATCTTCCTTCTCATCCAGAACCTCGTCTGCGTCTTCCATAATACATTCTCGCTTGACCACAACCCTTGTCTCCAACATACTTCCCTCCTCGCTTTTGACCTTCACCTCATGGATATCAACCTCGATTTTGGTGGCTAATCTTTCAGAGAACGTCTTTAGGTCCGCGGCAAATAGGACTGAATGGGCCCATCCTGCTTCTTTGCCCCAGAGTTTCCTGAAATGGTCTCCAATAGCATCGTACGTAGCTTTGGTGAGACTTTTGTGCTTTCCCTTCCCGAACTTGTAGTCTCGCTGCGCAATTTGCCACACGTGAGTATCCACAGGGACGGCCTCCCCCCATCCGAGACCCATTAAACAAACACAATCGGCAACTTTTGGTCCAACACCTTGAAGCTGAAGTAACTCCTCGTGGGCTTTCCTATAGCCTTCACGACCGCCCTCTGACAATGGTTTTTGATCAGGACTGCCATCGTAGGTCTCAGTATTGCACAAGCTCTCTAACCAACCTTGTGGTTTTTCCTTGGCAACCATCATGGCTGTTTGGGCAATATATCCAGCTCGGTATCCGAAGCCAAGCTGTCTCAAGCGGGCCTCAACACCAGGAACAGCGAGAGCGGCTGGAGAAGGAAAGTCGTGGATGGGCTGGTCATCGATATGTGCAATCAGCGGGCCATAAGTCAAACACAAGTTATTCACCTAATACCCATCAACAGATTGCAGCCTTGAGTCAGTCAAGGTCTGGACTCACCATCTGCGAAATTCTCACAATATTATTGTTACTGCTACATATGAAGCCCACAAGTGCTTCCCAGGCATCCTGCTTCAAGATACGCACTCCAGCGAACTTTGGAGCTCTCTTCTTGAAGTTGGAATCCACCGAAGACCATTGCTCGTACAACGCAGTCAGATTGGGAGCAAGGTTCAGGTAATGCTTGAGCAAGTCCTCCGTCTGCTCGTCCTCGATTGGCACATCAGGAGATGCGTGGCCGGATGAGGGTGGGGTCATTCCATGGGAAACATTGGACGGCCATGTAGTCTGGTAATGTAGGTGCGTAGAATCCTGCTTAAGAGAGAGAATTCGTCCATGAAGGGCACAGGTCCTGTAGGTATATCTTTAGCCCCTGACGAGAGCCGCTCAAGGTCCTTCGATACCTACCATTCATTGTCTCTGAGCTTTTTCCATCTGAAAGACTGACCGCACCGCAAAGTTGTTTCGATACAAAGCTCTGCCAGGTTCACAGGCAGCTTACGCCATTCAGATACGCGCATGCTCGCCATTGAGGTTGCGAAGGTGTAGATTTGAGATTATTCTGAAAGTCTGAAAGTCCGAAAGTCACTACCCAGGTAGGTAATTTGGCTATCCAAGCCCCAGTCCGTCCCTTTCCTTTCGAAGCCTTGCGTACGGAGGTGCAGCCCAGTCCAGTGGAGTGCAGTGCAGTCTACAGGGATTCGGGCGTTAGCGTGTCGAACACCGGTCGGCTGGGCGCTGCTCTGCGAAACTCCTTGCCTGAAAAATAGCTCACATCAATCCAGAGCCTCGTTGCAGCTCCCATCTCAACAGAATATTCTTCGATTTAGCCCCGTTTGCGAAGATTCTTCCTTAGTCGCCGATATGAACGGCGACAGCTATTCATCCAGAGGCATGGCACCTTCACCGTTTTCAGCGAATCCTAAGCAAGATGGAGCTCCTGCTGACAAGCAAGCATCAACAGATTCTGGCCGGCATGGATCGTCCAGAGATTATCCAGTAAGTGCAACCAATCCATTCACAAGGAGGTGAACAGGATTTGCTGATTATGGCTAGCCGCGCGACGACCGACGAGGAGATCGCGGTGGAAACAGAGACAGGCGTCGTTCCCGTTCCCCCCATGGCCAACGAGATCGAGACTCACGACCTGCTCGTCGTGATGGTGAGGTAGATTCATATTCTACAGATCGTAATTACCGAGAAAGAGAGCGCGAAGACAGATATTCTGGGCGGGACCGACGCGGAGGTGGAGAAAGGGGTGGTGAGAGGGGCGGGGAGAGAGAATGGGATAGAGACCGAGGCTCCTCGAGACGTGACGCGAGACGAGATGGTGATGACAGACCACCAAGAAGAGACAGAGATCTATTCGAGGATAGAAGGGGGGGTGGAGGGCGACGGGGAGGTAGAGTCGAAGGATTCGGGGGAGGGCCAGATCGAGGGGACCGACAGAAGAGCGCATCTCCTCCACCCAAGAAGAAGGAACCGACACCAGACTTGACGGACGTTGTATCGATCTTGGAGCGTAAGAGGCGATTGACTCAATGGGATATCAAGCCACCCGGATATGAAAATGTCACCGCAGAGCAAGCTAAACTTTCCGGAATGTTCCCTCTTCCAGGAGCTCCAAGACAACAGCCAATGGACCCTAGCAAGCTTCAGGCATTCATGTCACAGCCCAGTGGCTCTGTTACCAATGCAGCTCTCAAGCCTTCCAACTCTCGCCAAGCAAAGCGTCTTCTTGTTCACAATCTTCCTCCGACGGTCACCGAGGAAGTCATTGTTAACTTTTTCAACCTGCAGCTCAATGGCCTCAATGTTGTCGAGGGATCCGATCCTTGTATATCAGCCCAGATCTCGAAAGACAAGTCCTTTGCCCTATTGGAGTTTAAGCAGACTCTTGATGCTACAATCGCTCTCGCTCTGGATGGCATCACAATGGAAGACGAGCACATGAATGGGTCTGGATCGAACGGAGACACCAAAGGACTCTCTATCCGTAGACCAAAGGACTATATCGTCCCGGCTGTTACAGATGACGTCCCATATGAACCTGGTGTTGTTTCCAATGTGGTAGTAGACACTCAGAACAAAATCAGCATTTCCAGCATACCACTATACCTCACCGATGAGCAGGTCACTGAGCTTCTTGTATCATTTGGAGAACTAAAGGCATTTGTTCTCGTGAAGGACAATGGTACTGAAGAATCTCGAGTAAGTATTTCAACCAACTCCATTATTGGCCACTGCTGACTTTATCGAAGGGCATTGCATTCTGTGAATACGTGGATCCAGCCGCGACCGATATTGCTGTCGAGGGTCTTAATGGGATGGAACTTGGCGACAAGCATTTGAAGGTGCAACGAGCCAGCATTGGACACACACAGGTGTCAGGACTCGAGATGAGCGTGAACGCAATGTCAATGCTTGCTGGTACTACATCCCAAGGTCTGGATGAAGGCCGAGTTCTGCAATTGCTCAACATGGTCACCTCTGAAGAGCTCATTGATAACGAGGATTACGAAGGTATATTATATGAGACAATCCAAAGCATCATGCTAATTCTATCACTAGAAATCTGCGAGGATGTAAAGGAAGAATGCGAGAAGTACGGAAAGGTGCTCGAGATGAAGATTCCAAGGCCCACTGGTGGAAGTCGACAGTCCAATGGAGTCGGTAAGATCTTTGTCAAATTCGACACTGCTGAGTCGGCAGGCAATGCTCTCCGTACTTTGGCGGGTAGAAAATTTGCCGATCGCACCGTGGTCACGACTTATTTTTCAGAGGTAATCATCCTCTCACTACTCCTCCAACGGTCTTTGCTGACTTCTGGCAGGAAAACTTCGAGGTTTCTGCCTGGTAATCATATTTTGCGAGGATATCTACCAACAGGGTTGATACCTTGCCTTGCCCAACTGCAGTCCTTGTCTAACGTCGGACTTCTTCGCGATTTGGCCTAATCACACCGTTCTGTACTAGTACAATTTGATAAACGGGAAAGAGGAGCCGTTAATACTAAAAGCACTGATATTTTGCAGCCAACGCCGCGTACTGATGTCCTGATGCTACAAGTTTGGATCTTCCGCTGGCGTTGCAGCCATTTTGATATGCTGACAATGTATAAGTTACAGGTTACGTAAGCATGGTGATGGATGAAAATCCAACTCAAAACACGTCTTGAAGCTTCGTATATCCAGCCGTAAAACAAATTATTCTACCTCCGTACATGCAGCGGCGCAAAGGATAGACTGAAATCATATCTCGGTGCTTCAGACTATTGCAGACCTCAATCACGATCGGCAAGGCCAGTATGCCAGATTCGAAAATTAAAGAAAAAATGGTTAAGCACTTGCAGCAGCATTTGTAACCCTCGGCTTTGACTGTTTGAAACTCATAGAGAAATGGCACTCAAGATTTGCATGATTGATTTATATTTTTTGCGCATGCCTTCCTTCCATTCGGGAACCCTGTAGCCATCCACCATAAAGCAAGCTTGCAATGCCAACGGATGTGAATGATAAAAACTAAACTTCAATGTGTCAGCAGGTTCTTATTGTGGACGTAATTGAACGCTGTATTTGCTATGAAAGTCGATCAAGATTCATGTCAGAAGTCCGTTGAATTCATCGACTTCTGCAGAAGATTATTATTCCTCTGCAGAAGACATAAAATGAGAGGTGCCAGATAGCAAATGGTTATCATCATGTGAGAATACTCGATTGTTGGACGGAGCGAAGGCAGCAAAGAGAGGCACTCACAGATGGGGAGTCCATCGGGAACGGAAATGGCTGAATGGGATCAATTCGGAGTGGCGGCCAATACAGAGCTCGCTCAAACAGCTCATCTCGTCACCCGATACAAGATCTCGATATCTGACTTGAGGCCGTGGACTTTCGTGGTATTTCCTTGAATATCGCGGATGTTGTTGGAGGATGCTTCTGCCGCGAGGATGAGAAAATATTTATTGGAGGTACCTAGCCCAGCTAGCGCTGTCTGCCCCCTGCTTATGCTAGCGTCCGCCTGCGCTAGTACAAGCGAGTCGCACTTTCCACGAGAACTTCATTTCTGAACCAGGACAAGTTTCCCAACGCCAAACGCCTCACCACCTCGACAATCAACCTCTCCAACCACTGTCATCATGGGCCGTCTTCATTCTAATGGAAAGGGCATATCAGCCTCTGCTATTCCATACTCTCGCACACCTCCCTCTTGGTTGAAGACCACCCCGGAGCAAGTTGTTGACCAGATCTGCAAGCTCGCAAAGAAGGGTGCCACTCCATCGCAAATTGGTGTCGTCCTCCGTGACTCCCACGGTATCGCCCAAGTCAAGGTTGTCACCGGTACGTTTAGGAGAAGCGCAGTAGACACGTGGAGTGTTGTGCTAACTCTTCTTTTCAGGAAACAAGATCCTCAGAATCCTCAAATCAAACGGTACGATTACAGCATCGCAATTCTGAACATTGCTGGGCTCAGTCCCACAGTGTATGAAGCGCAACCATCTACCGCCTCCGCTTGGTCGCTGACTGACGGAGAGAAATTCCAATGAACAATACCGCCACTTCCTAATCATTAGCTAATTTATCTACCTAGGCCTCGCCCCAGAGATTCCAGAGGACTTGTACATGTTGATCAAGAAGGTGAGAAGCTCAGACATCTGTGAGACAAGGCATGACGCTAATATACGCAAGGCCGTCGCTGTCCGTAAGCATCTTGAGCGCAATCGCAAGGACAAGGATTCCAAATTCCGTCTCATTCTCATCGAGTCCCGTATCCACCGTCTCTCCCGTTACTACAAGACTGTCGGTGTTCTGCCACCAACCTGGAGATACGAGAGCGCGACCGCCAGCACCATGGTCTCATAGATGTGGAAAATGGTCGGGGTTTTGACATTTGGCATGGAGTTTGGGGTGTGGACAATTGCATCAAGGGCTGATCCATCGTCAGTGGCTCAAGGGCATAGATTCATATGAAGAATCAGATCTCAAACACACTCCAGATATCTTGTGTCATTCTCGTCTTACGTTCTCTCGATTGTCGTGAACCTAATGTGCGACGCATTTCTGAATAAGAGTCGAAAAGTTTCCCTCACCAACTCCCACTGCCTGTAATGCGGGTATCGTGACACAAATGTAAACATGCATTTGCGTGTGAATCAACTCCATTCGGCCCGGTGCAATGTAGAGCCAATTAGGGATTCTCTTACGTCCCCTCAATTTCCTTCGACCTCTGCAACAAGTATTCGCCCAAGGCACGCAACGGGTCTTTTGGTCTACGCGACAATTAGCAAGTGAGTTTTGCAATCTTCGTGGAGGTCCAGGAAAAAAGAAATGCTCACTGTTCTTTGGCAAGAAGCTTCATTCCATCCATCAGCGGCCCGGTAACCATACTATTCAAATATTGTCTTGTTGGGGCACCGTGTGGCGGGGCTTCCTTGGGCATCGTAGGGGTAGGATCAGGGTGCTGGGACGTAGCTCGTGAGCTGGTGTCATTGCCATTGACATTGCGAGAAGGGGTTCCAACTCTAGCAGGTATTGGACTGGGAACATTCGTCGTGCTCGGTAAAATTGCTGGGGACTAGGGGTTCATTAGCATCGAACATGGATGTTGCAGATGAACTTGACTTGCAGCAGGTCGATCAGGAGGGACATCGGTCATGGTGATGTCTTTTGACGGGTATGGGTGTGTAGCTTGCGCTGCTGATAGAATTGGTGTTGGGGTTGGAGCTAGAGTTGCAGCTGGCGTTGGAGTTGCTGATTGCTGTTCCATCGCGACGGAGAAGGCTTGTGCTGGTGGAGTTATGCGTGCAGGGGCTTGTTCTTGAGCACCTGCCTTTTGTGAGTTCAGCGACGACATGGTACCTGATGGCCTTATCGCGGGCGGAGAAAGAAGAGTATTGCGTTGCGTCTATTGAGGTTCCAAATGGGATTCACGACCTGGATGCTCTCCAGTTTGTCATCGCTTTTCCTCACAAGGCTGCAGGTACCTCCTCCCATGTTCCTTGGTCCCAACCTTTCCGAAGGTATGGAAAATACCTCAGGCAGCAAGCACGTAGTCTCGTGACACCGCTAGACTGGGCGCGTCGGCAGGTTCCTAAATGGACGCGACTCGAGGGCGTATCCTGCCTCCTGCCTATCCTCTGTATCCAATCCAAGCCAGCATAATACAGCGTTCATCTGTCCTGTCCTGTTCTGTTTGTTTCTGCTCCCCTGGTAAGGCCGTCACCGTGCAATGGTGCTCGAATCCCGTGGAGAAGCAAGGCATAATGCAATGGTAGGGAAACGAGTTCCTCATCCAGTCTCCACTAAGTTCCACGACCACGAAATCCTGCCCCCTGCAAAGAGACTCAAGACCTTTGGCAATGGCGATGGAGACGACTCGTCGGAGGCATCGGGAGATGCAGATGAACGTGAACCTGGCAGCCCAATGGGCTTCCGAGACGAGATCCCAGACTCTGATGGGAACGATGAATCCGCACTCGATGACCTTTCCGTACCACATCGAACAACCGAACTGGAAAGCGCTTTGCCTCCCGTGAAGACGGACAAAGAAGCGATTGAGGAATATGAAGCAATGCGAGCTGCTGAAGCTGTTCCACCAGATTTGCAATCCCGCCTCACTCAACAAACTTGGGTGAAGGGTAAGAGCTCGATTTACGTTGATGCATTCAATCTTGCCCTGGAGACAGTACTGGAGGACGAGGCTCATCTTTTTGATGAGAAGGAGTTGGAGGTATTCACCCAGTGGGGGCTACTCGACTATGAGGCACAATACTTGTGAGAAGTACCTTTTTTATTTGGATTTTCCTAATGCGGTCAGATATGTCCGTCTCTTCCTGAGGAAAACGTCCGCATGGCATCGCATCAACCGTCTCGGCTACTACAGCGATATTGCAAACCTCCCTGAGGCTGCCAGTATTCTTCAAAGTGAGCGTGCCCTGCCAGAATCATCAGCAACGATTCAGGTGAACCCTGCAGAGTTAGCTCCACCTCAAGATAATTTACTTCAGGCTACGTTTAGGTTCGCTGATTGTTCGGATGGTACAATTACGACACTTGAAGAAGCAACATCTCTTTTGAATTTAGAAGAAGCCAAGGGCCTTGCCAAAGAAGCCAAGGTCCAGGGCAAGAACAAGAATGGTCTCCTGAAAGCTCTACTGAATATGAGCCAGCGCCAAAGCGGACTTGGCTGGGTCGGCTTGAAGAGATCTGAAAGTCAAGGCAGTGTCGCTTCGGAATCAGGAGAAAACGAGGATAACATCGACAACTCGATGTCAGACATGACCAGAGATAACCATTTCCTGCGCAAGATTCAGGCTATCACAGGACCTTGTATCAGGCTGTCGCTTCCTACCCTCAGGCTTTTTGAAAGGGTGCATCTGGTCTTCTATCGATCAACGGAGTGGACGGATAAGTCCCTGACGACAATTATTCTTGCCCGAATTTCGCGACGCAACTTTCCCGATTACATTGTTTCTCGATCCCAAAACATATTTCCTAGCAGGGCGGAGTTGTTGGAATTTGAGGCATCACTGCGAACTCAATTTCGGGTAGACAATATCTTGGAGCTCAACGGCAACCCCTCCAAAGCTGGCCTGGATACGGTGCTCGCAATTTTCGAAGCCGTATATCCACGTTGGAAAATTCTCTTGGAAGAAGAGCAACGCAAAGAAGATCGTGTTTACGAAAGCGGCGAAGGAGCCTACCTGCGACGCTTTTCGCCAGCTTGGGTATATACACGGATCATTCACAAAGGGACTTATGTCCTTGGTCGCTTCAAGATGCACGAGCGGGAGCATGCTGTCACTTCAGAACTCTTAAATCAGCATTTGTTTCATGCAGCAAGAAGGGGTTCGTGGTATCAACGGAAAGCGCTGCTAGAAGAACACTACATGTATGCACTGCAGCCGCCACCAGGGATATCCAATGTAGAGCAGCAGAAAAAGCACTGGAAACGACTCTCTCTTCGCACTTGTGAAGCTGGACTCCAGGATAAGGACTGTCATACAATTTACCATTACGACTTGCAAAAGCGAATCCGAAAATTGGAGAAGACTCTTAAACTTCCTAAACGAGAACAGCACGACTTCGGACACGTTCTGCTTGCCAAACCAATTGAGGTGACAGTTGAAGGGGTACAGATCAAGAAAGAATACCCGCTTAGCAAAAGGCGACAAAGTGATCAAGGAGAGGAGAAGCAGCGAAGTACGAAAACTCTATGGGTTGACGAAGCCGAGGGTGGAGGTGAATGTAGCGTAGAAGCGATGTGTCTATCTGATTATCGCTCCCGGGGATTCAAAGGCTACCATGCAGAAGGGGGTATTGTGCGGACGCTGTTTGCCTACCTGTTCTACGATGTTCTATTCGTCTATATTCCAAATGTCTTCCAAACAGCCTATCAAACGTGCCCCTTGGATCTGCACACTGATGCTTTCTTTCCTTCCAGGGCCTCCGAGATCAATCACCGCTTAGTGGAGATTGAAAATGGCTCGGCAGCAGATATCATCCGCGCTGTTGATAGTCGAGAGCGTGAGAAACGTACTTGTGCCATTGGACTGAATTGGGACTTTGAGCTCGACGATCTGCTCCAGATCGTCGCTTGCTTTGATGGACAAGCTCTAGCCACGGTGTGTAAAGTCATGGCGGAGGAATATAGAGTCCGTGGTGGTGGCATGCCGGATTTGTTCTTGTGGGATATAGACAAGAAGCAAGTAATGTTTTCGGAGGTCAAGAGTGAGAACGATAGGTTAAGCGACACTCAGAGATTGTGGATCCATGTTCTGACAGGAGCAGGCATTCGAGTTGAGCTTTGTCATGCCGTGGCAAAGGAAGTAAGGATTGTAGCTGCCACTTAGATGTATGAATGTGTTCGGTAGACATTAGTAGGTGATCCGGTATGGGGGTTTTCCTCCAATCTACTGCCTCCTGGTGTGTAAGACGAGTTCAGCTCTCATGACCGAATCATTGGTCAATTTCCTTACTTGTCGTGTATCTGCATTTGTTGTGTCTCTGTTGCGATTGATTGGGAAAATGTACTATATTGAGATGTATTGACCAGGTAAGTTTATGCGTTCAACGGCTGACTAAGGATAACTTGAGTATTTCCATGGCGCTCGCTAGAAGTCAACTGTGCTCTTACACGTCTGAAACATATAGACACGGAAATGTCCTCACTCAGCTCCATGTCAAAGCGAGGCACCGCATTGTTTCCAGTGGTCCATTTCGTCGAAGCGAAATGTCAGCAGTATGACTCTGGTCCCAGGCCGTGGCTAAATGGCAATGGCCTGCCTGACTGACTGCATGTTCTGGAGTCCTGGTGACAGAAGAGTCGTCACTCGTTCAAGCAAGCCCCTCTCCGCCTTGTTTCTCCGTCGCTTGGTGAAGTTTACTTCGAATAATTAAACAGATCAAGAAGCATAAGGGCCGCGTTCTGTCGATTCGTCGTCTGAAATCATGGCCGGCCAGGACGTATCTTTGTGGCTATTGCTATTGCCCTGTTTCGGTACCTGTGGGGGACCTATGAGGCCTGCAAGAGTATTGCCAGAATCAGCGGTGTTTCTCAATGTATCGCGACGGCTGTAGGCGGTGTTGCAAGTATGGGCGGGGTTGGTGTGAGGGTGGAGGTGGTGTCTTGGATTTGCTGCATACTGGTGCTGAAGTCAATGAGAGTATTGGACTTCGCTGAGGCTGGCGAGGGAGAGAATAGATGAGGAGGGACAATGCAGCTATGCAACATGTCATTGTCTGGAAGTGGAGAAAATTACATCACAAGTCGGGTACATTCCCCAACCGATACACCTCAACATATCCGACTTTACATACAGTGTCACTTCTTCCCAAATCAGATGTACAAGTCCACACATATTTTCGTAATTATTTTCAATTGCCAAGGGGCTGCCGTTACCTAGTAGAGCCGTGGATAACATGAGCAACCGTGCTGTACCGGATGGCATTTCACGCAGAAACAAATGAGTGTGGACGCTCGCAAATCACCCAGTAACAAACCACTGATTCATCAGAAGTAATGTCCACGCCGTACAGGATCCCTCGCAACCATTACCAACGCCATAAGTAGTAGGCCGTCCTTCTTGCGCCGAACCATGTCAAAAAATATGAGGAAAGGTTGTCGCGGGATTATGTCTCAATTTCGTCATTGTGCTTCTGAAAACGCTCGTGATGAGTAAATAGAAAGTTTTAATCCACCGTGCGCGGGCTCGCAACCTTGAGTCGCAATGTGCCCATTTCACGAGGTCTGTACCGAGTCCGATGAGCGGCCAGAGTCTGGATAGGGGGCCGATGGTCGCTGCAAAGCATTTACTCGCTGATCGAAAGCAATATTCTCATGCGAGGGGCGTTGATGTGGTTCTTGCCCACTTGTTACGGTCGGTGCTCGAGAATCTCTCAGAGAGTTTGATGCGTTATCTACGCTGAATCTATGTTGTGCTGGCAAACCAGATCCAACTGCAACAGGTGGCGAGGCCTCTTCTGGAGATGCTGCTGTGGATCCAGGCCCACTGGAATATGGTCGACTTTGAGGAGTTTGTGGCTGGGGAGGAGTTTGTCTGGCTTGAGCGGGAGTAATCGACCTTCGAGCCGATGCAGGGGTATGCAACAATGGTACTGGTAGACCAAGTCCTCGTTGCGGCGCGTTGTGATGAAAGCTGAAGGGCTGGCTGACGGACCTGGCAGAACCAATGGAGACAGGTCGGCCAATGGGATGCCCAGAACGTCCCATGCCGATCCTCCCACGACCCTGGCGTCTGCGTTCTGGGGATTCTCCAGACGAATAACGATTTGGTGAGGAGTAACTCCAATTCTCAGCAGTGTGGCTCACAATGGCTTCGTATTCGTCCTGTGGCCGTGAGAAGGGTGTGGATGGCGTTCTGCTTATTGTAAGCCAAGAACACCTCAATATGAAGCCAAGAAAAGAGTGCAGTCAAGGACAATATCGTGCGAACTTCCACAGTTTGGCAGAATCAACACAATCAGGGCCTACTTTTTTTACGGCTAGTTCATGGACGAAGTGCTGAACGTAATGGGAGAGACCAAGGAAACTCAGGAAAACTGACCTTCCACTGGTAGGATCGTCTGGGAAGAAGCCAACAGTTGGCGGGACACCGTGCCTCACTTGTTGTGCAACGGACGTTGCCTGCATCATTCGCCTTCGTTGGAGCATCCGCATCTGTGATTCCATGCCCAGTCTTTTAGCGGCCAATTCCGAGGGGATTTTCTCTCGGCAATATGGGCAGGTGTCCTTTCCTTCGTCGAACCACCTCCTGATGCATTTATCGCCAAACAAATGCTTACACTTCGGCCAACGAACTGGCTGTTCGACGACCCCATCCGGATTCTCCACCCCGAAATCGTTGTAACATATCGTACAGTCTGTCTAAATTAGCCACACAATCAACCAAAAAGAGCCAAAGAAGTGGGGAAAATGTCTGAAGCAGATGATTGCCTCGAGTTAGAACGATCGAGGCAGATGGATGGTAGAGTCAAGCAACAAGGAAAACCATCGACATCAGATTCAAATTGAATGGGTAATTTAACATGACAGAACTCCATCCTGGTAGACTTGAAGACAAACAAGCAAATGAAAGACACTGGATGAAGTTGAGAGAAATGTCGTAACATACCCCTGCTTTGCATTGGCAAGTCTTCTACCTTTATCTTTTCCAATGAATTAAAAGCCTCCTTGGCCATCATTCTCCTACCAGCTGCCATGGCACCTTGCATGATCAAAGCATGTTCGTCGTCGCTCTCACGATATGATGCCATTTCGCGGCGAACGGCTTCATTTTCCAAGTCAGAGATGGATTCTTCATCAGAATCGGCCCAGGATCGCCTGTCAGCGACTGCGCTTTCGCTAAAGGTAGGTCGAGAAAGGGGTGCTCTGGGCGCTCGTTGATATCCTATATCAAAAAGTCAGGTGTATCCTGTCATCTCGAATCAAATTTTGGGATGTAATGCTCACTAAGGTATGGTGGTGGTTCTGGAAAGGATTGTGACGGGGTTTGGTGTCTATGTGTATTTGTACGGCCGCTTCCAAGGGAAGATACTCGATGATGAGAAGAATCAGCTGGACTGGGCAGATCCGGTATTTGTTGTTCGAAATTTAAAGCGAATGGACTGGGGCGTAGTGCTGGTGGTTGGCTAGCAATACCTCCTACAAGATGTCCTCCGGGCACCATACTGTTCTCTGAAGGCATATTGTGACCATTCAGCTGATTGGAAAATGGACCATACACGTCTTCTGCACGACCAAACGCCCGAGGTCCCCACGACATTTCCCCATAAGTCCTCCCCAGGCCTACTTGCGACGGGGTGGGTCTCGACATGTCGCCATATGTCCGCCAACTTGCACGGGGTATAGAAGGACTAGCGTCCCAATGCTGCATCTGGTGTATAAATGAGGTTGTATGCGGGAAGCGACCTGGTGCATTTCCGGGAAACCCATAGTAATAGTTCGATGCGTCGTGCACAGGGTCGAAATGAGAACCATCGCGGCTCTGATTTGAAACGCCGTTTTGAGCCGCTGGAGAAGACTGCTGACACTGGTATCGACTAGCAGCATTGTTCGCACGAGCCCCGTGGTTCACGGCGTCGTCCATGGTGTAATCCATAGGCTCCATGGTTTAACCAGCGCAGGAAAAGACGTGTACTGGGGTGTTTCTTCGTTTTCGCTTTGGGGAGCCTCGACGCTTCTAAGAAGGCGGCGGGCACACCCTGTTGGAGAGGCTGTATGCTCAGTGCAGGGTAGACGTCGAACCTTGGGGCCGAGGATCGATCTTTGATTGTTGATTTGGGAAAGTAGGTGTAGGTGTGAATGTGTGACCGTGGTTCGAGTTTGGGCTGGGCTGGTGGTCTCGCGAGTCGATGGCGTGGCGTGGGAATGGATATCAACAAGGCGGGGTGGAGTAAGAGAGGAGAGGAGGGGAGGGGAGAGGAGAGGAAGGGAAAGGAAAGGTCGCTCGCTGTCGGTTGGGCTGCTCCCTAGATGTATTGCCTAGGTATGGTATGCTATGTTGCTTTGTGCTATTTATATTGAGCGGCAAATATACCTAGGCAAGTAAAGTACGGCTTCGCTACATGAAAGGTGAGATGAATGAGGTAGGCGGGGAGGCGGCAGCGACGGTTGTGCTAGGTGAAGGTGAAGGTTAAGTTAGAGGTGAAGGTGAAGGTGAAGGTGAAGGTGAAGGTGAGCGTGCGCGTGAGCGTGAGCGTGAGGTGAGCGTGGAGGTGAAGGTCGGGGTGAGGGGAGGGGAGGTGAGGTGAGGGAGAGGGAGGAAGAAGAGGGGAAGGAAGCGACAGAGTGAATGACTGAATAAGTAGGTACCTAAGGTAGGTGTGTGTACCTAAGGTAGGTAGGTAGGTTCTGTTGGCTTAGCAATGGTAATGGTAATGGCAGTAGTGGGGAGGCAGTGGAGAGGCAGTGGAGAGGCAGTGGCAGTGGCCGTGGCAGTTGGTGTCCAGGCGAGAGCGGAACGAGCACGAGCACGAGCACGAGTTGGAGTACCCAGGTAGGAGCAGGAGCATGCCGGTAGCTTCGTCAGGTAGGTACCCTCGTACCTTAGTATTAGGTAGGGAGGGAGGGATTATTACCTTAGGGGTACTGTAAGCGGGGCAGGCCACCCTGCCCCTCAACGCCTGACAGTATGACAGCACTGCTTTTCTCTAGGTAAATTTACCTAGGTACCCTACCTAGGCAAGGAGAATTCCTTTCTTATCTCACTATCTACCTTGGCCTTTCTACCTAGATGCTACAGACGTTAAGCAGGTGATTGCCTTATGTCAGGTAAGGTAAGGTAAGGTAAATCAGGGTACCTAGTTCATTCCCCTCTGACCTGGACTAGGCCGAGATAAACGGGCCTGAGCCAGCCTGGGCTATTGGCCTGGTATGCCTGGTCTTCGACCAACGTGGAAGCTCAGAGGAGTGCGAAACGAAAGGAATGGAAGAAAGGGGATAAGAGGCTGTTCGAGGGGAGACGGAGAGGTTTCCACCAACTAAAGGCTATGATCAGATTATCTCGTAGACATCATGCATGCACGGATACACGCCTTCTCTACTCTCCGAACGCGGTCGCATCAAAATTCGTCGGGTCCCTTCTCGTCCACCGTCGAGGTCTAAGGTAAGGTATCCATCGCTGTCGTCAGATTCCCCACACACCCACACCCACACCCACACCACACGCACACCACTACGGAGGAAAGTACCTTCCTACGCCTACAGTCGGTACCTAAAGGTAACCAACCAGTAAACTACTGTACTACTGTACCAGTACCTATCTGCCCTACCTTACTTACCCGCACCCACCCGCGGCAAGGGTCCAGATCCAGTTCCAGATCCAGATCCATGCTGGCTGGCTCGGAGACCTGATTCTCATCTCTGCTGGGTCTTCCTTATCCCTTATCCTTATCCTTGTCCTTATCCTTATCCTTATCCTTATCCTGACCCCATCCTTATCGATGGAGGTTATTCTCCAATCTCCAGTACGTAGGTAGGGACATTGGATATCGATAAGGTATCGATAGCAGAGGAGGGGCACGGCACGGCAGGGGATGACGACAATAACAAGAAGAGACCAGCTCGGCCAGCTACCTAACTACCTAGGCATTTATGTACCTCAGGACAAGAACAGAACATCGCAGAGATGATGTGATATCCCTTTTACAAGGTCCCACTCACTGTCACATCAAGAATCTCGGATGGAAAGATGGAAACACATCACCAGCCAACAGCCGCAAATGGCGAATCACGGTCTCTGTCTGGGTACAAATGCAGGTTCAGGCTCAGGCGGCAGCACGCGAAGCCAGGCTTCAACCTCAACTTTAACTCACCGAAAAGCAGCGAAGCGCTGAACCTAGAGGCAAGGAAGGAAGCCGAGTCTGAATGTGATGAGCGGGACTCTGATTTAGGCATGACACATTATGACATGACTCGTTGCTGCAGATAGCATAAGAATAGCACTGTATGGAGCAGCTACTTACCTGCAGAGGAGACGAAAAGGACGGCCTGACATTAACAAAGTCCTTGAGTGCTGTCAGTACCTAGGTACAACAGCTATTAGTACTTACTTATCTAGGTACTCACCAGCCATTCGAGTATGAATGGGAGTACGAGTAAACATAGATATAAATATAAACCCCCCCCCCCCCCCCCCCCCCCCCCCACCCCCTTTTTCTCCCCTCTCCCCTGTTCACCTTGTTCTCGTCCTTATTGCATCCTTCGGAGTATCCTCTTCTCATTGTCCCAGCCTTTTTGCGCTCTTCCGCCACTCCCGTCAGCCCTCAACCCTTATCTTGATTAGGACATGTCTACCTGCAACCTGCTCTGACACCAAACTCACCAGTCCATCTTCTGGCGGTGAAGGGAGAAAGAAGGGAAAGACGGGCATTATTGCAGTCGTAACAATGCATGAATTCCCTTACTTACATGTACTTGCTTTTACCGATTTCTACTCTGACCCATTCTTTTCCATTCACTCACCCATCCAATCCACATCCACCAACTTCAAGTCATCTGGTACGGTCTCGCCGGCCACTTTCTCGTCTCCGTCCGTGCGAGAGGCTCGCTGGAGCAGGTGGTTCCAGAGTCTCCACACACTCTCTCTGTCCACTGTTCAGCACTGAAATATGCTTGACACAGCACAAACAAACAACCTGGACCGGCCCTGGTAGACCGTTTGGTCTCAGACCCCTAACACCAAGTAATTCCTCCCTTCTGTACGCATTCCATCCCCTTGCCCAAGGTACCTGGGTAACGACTCTTGCCTTCCATTGCCCTTGTCCTCCATCCGCCCCGCTCCTCTTCCGAACAGCCAACCAGGTAACTCCAGACGTGCCTGCAAGTTGCAATTATTGTCTGGTCGCTGTGCCACAGACGTGCCCAAATAAGGCACGAACCGGTCAAGGGGGTCTGCAGTATCGTATCGCCTACGGTGCCGTGACGAAGGAAGAATTGTCACTTCGGAGGTGTCTGATGCTTGACGTTTTCACATCGTCAAGACTTGGATTTAATATGCACCTAGGCTTCTTATGCAGTGTCTTGCTACTTATTATCCCTGGCTCGTCTCCTTCCACGCATCCTGTTGAGCATGACCAGAATCGACAGAAACCAACGGACAGTCCATTATTTCTTAAGTCTATATTTCCCGCCAGCAAACTCCAAACTCCCATCTGCAACCTTCAGGCCCAAGAATTCCTGCAGTTCCTCATTGCTGTAGGGAAATCCATCCGAGATAAGCATTTTCAACATCATCGCAATCTTCTGCAGCGGCATCTGGCTTGAACTATTCTTTAGCATGCCCTGGATGAACTGCCAGTAGATACCCATCTTCTCCTTCCCAATGGCCCCATCTGCCGCAAACCCAATATCATCAACGCTTCCGTTTCCACCTGCCATAGCGGAAGCGGTTGCTTGTGCGTTTGACCGGGCGCGATCTTCTTTGTTCAGCGTTTCGAGAACAGCAAATTTATTGGGAGAGATTTCATGTAGCACGAGCTTGTTGACCCAAAATTTCAACGCGCTTCGAACAAGCGACTCATCCATTTCAAGACTGTCTACCAGCCCCTGTACACTCCTGTGCGGGTATTTCTCCTCCACTTCAGCGTTCTGAAAAGCCCAGATAACGGTCGCTTGCCACGTCTGAACCTCCTCAACGATCGTTCGATCCTCGAGTTCCAATTCAACTGTGGCATGGCCTAAAACATGAAGCCAAGTCAGTTTGCGGGCGGCTTTGAGAGATTCAAACCCTTTCTCGTATCTATTCTGAAGCTCCGTGATACTCTTCGGGATAAGATAGCTTTCCTCGGGTAGCTGAGGCCAAAATAGCCTGGATAAGATCTTTGCGTGCAATGAAGGCTTGAAGAGACCTTCCGGAGTTGAGCCGACATCCGTCAGATCCGTCTTTGATGTAGCTGTAAAGATCCCATGTTCACTAGGGTCCAAATTCTGGTTTCTCCTGATGATGCCATTGACTCTGCTGGAGTCTTGGATGTCCTTGAGCATGACCTCGCAGGCTTGTAAAGGCGCTTCTCCAAACCGATTTTTCAAGAGCTCGACTACTTTGATCTGGAATATGTTGTTAGTCCCAATGCAGCAGAATGTGGCTAGGAAGCCGACCTCCTTTTCAAAATTTCCATCATGCTTCAGCAGATTTTCGCTAATCATACTTTGGAATTCCTTAATAAATACATCTTGGGAACCAAGTGCTCCAATCAGAGTTCCGATGATATCGGCGTTCTTTGATCGTTTGTAACCAGGACCAGCATCAACTGGGTCAGGTACCCAATCCATATCATGCCAGTCAAGCTCTTCATCGTTTGCCCGTTTACCGACCTGGTCCGAGCCATGATTTAAGAGCTGTGCCAGCTCCACCAACTTATCGCTTGCAGACGTGATTGGATTCCCTTGTGCACCCTCAGTGTCTGACAGCAAACCGGCAATGATGATTCGAACTGTATCCTCTCTCGAGCACAAGTACAACTGTAGTGGATATGCTACTCGATCCAGTAGAACTTTGGAATGATCCAGGGAATGGAAAGACCAGATTATAGAGATGTAGGTCTGCAAAATCTGCAGGGTCGAGGTGCCCGGGTGCAAGAGCCTCCCTCCCAGCCGTGCAGCAAAAACTTCTGTCAGTTTTAAACGCCTTTGCGGCGTCGTAATGGCAGTGCGAAGATCGTCCAAGGCTCCATTACTGTCCGGCCAGTCTCCCACAATGTCGAATAACTCTTTCGTTCGAAGTTCTGCTAGACGACCAATACTCATCTCCTTGAACTTCTCTTTGTCAGTCCAAGATACTGATCTGGTGCCTACCATGTTAAGAACCTGGACAGCAAGTTTGGCATATCTATTCTCAATCCAGCCACACAAATTTGTGACACACGTAGACGGAGATAAGTTGTGGGCCGTCCGTGGCAAAATTGAGGTTCGATCTACGGATGAGGAAGCTCCGTGTTTGTCTCGAAGCACTTCCGACATATCCTCCAGAGTCCAGATACCTTTGCAGCCTCGGTAGACATAATCCATCATTGCAGTGTTCATGATCTCAGCAAAGTACACCTGAAATCTCTCACCTGCCAATCCAACCTTTCTGAAAGACTCAACTAAACAAAGAACTTCTCGGCGTGACTTTTCAGTTGCAGAATTTTCGGGAAGTATTGTCGCCGCAGTCCAATCATCATAATTCTGTGGAAGACCGAGAATTGAAAACACGTGTCGTTTGAAAACCACCTTCAAAGCGACCGATAATGGCTCCATGAGCGAATTGCTGACAATCGCGTCGAGATCTCGGCGAAATCTTGCCATAACTGGCCCTGAAGTTTCAGGTGAAGATAAATCCAGCTGTTCCTTAACGAATGAAAGACCGTGGTTATAATGCCGTTGTGCGGCCTCGAGATATTTGATGGATTTGAGCAGTATTGCCGCTGCGTCTTCATGCTCTCGCAAATGGAGTATCATAGGAAGAACATGCTGCAGGAAATGGTATCGTACTTGAATTGTGTGCCAGTCAACGAGATCCTCTGTTTGACGAGCACAAGGGACGTAGATTCGAGGATAAAGAACATCTTTGAGAGCACTGTAGAAATCCGAGTCCATTAATTGTCGTTCCGGTCTAAGAGGTTCGAGCACGGCTCTATTCACGGGGAAGTCAGGAAGAGACAGGGTTTCGGTGACAAGATGCCATGATCGATCCCAGCGAACCTGGTCTTGAATATGATCGGATGGATCTGATGATAGTGCTTTGGATGCATGTGATCGTTTATTATCCGATGATTGAAATGTTTCTTTGTCGTAATGAATAGGTGGGAGTGCTCCAAACGCCTGGCCAGAAATTGTGAAGCCAGTAGCTGGAGTCGCAACTGGTGTTGGAAGAGAAATATTCGCCCCACCGAAAACAGAGTCGAAAACGCGTCGTTTTCGTTGAGTGAGGGTTCGTCCTGGCATCTTGAAGATACAAGACCTGTCGTATTATGTATCCTGAACCAAGTACCTCCAGAACGGGTTGGCAAGAGAGCAGCTTACATGGCCCTTCGAGACGCTGCTATTGTTGTTGAATGGTGAGGAGATCTGGAGGCCGCGACTGTCTCAACATCGAGTCTCGCGATCACGTGATACGGGATTCCATGTTCTGGTCTCTGAATACTTACATACCCAGGTAGGTAGGGGTAGGCGTGGGAGAAGAAGAGGGTTCCAGAGTCATCGCATCTTTCTTGCTTCAGACAGGAGGGAAAAGGCACATCTGAAATGTTTTTTGTGTAGGTATGCAGTACTAGGTACTTCGTAGGGGCATAAGCAATAAGCCGGCTCACCCAACAATCAACATCTTGCACCGCACGGAGAACCTTCGGAAAATACAACAGCAAAGACTCAATGTCCAGCAAATTAAAATTTATTCATCGATGGACTCCTGTGCTGGGACATCCTGAGGATATGTACCTAGTATTAGATAACGACATTAAGTAGCGTTGAAAGTAACGCCAATTCCCCGATTGCTATGTCTGGTCGTGGTCCATATGTTCCGGACAAAAGAAATCATTAGACATGTGCATCAATCATATCGACGTAATTCTCCCACCACCTGGTGCTGTGCGGCCCCTCGGTCTCATGTTGATCACGGACTCAAGTTCTCTCAACATATTCGTATTTGCCTCCGCTTTATTCCTTGTCGAATCCCTCTTCACTCTTTCCTCTTTCAACTTCGCAATGCGTTCATCTCTAGTTAAGGCGCTTCTCTGTCGAGGAAGAGCAATAGCTTCGAACACTTCCTCGGCATCAGAGCAGCTGAAGTCCATGCTATTGCGAGACTGAGATTCACCATTGAGTGCTTTCAGAGCATCTGAAGCGCTACCTTCCTCCACGGCAGTGAGCCCCCCTAGAGACGTTGTTGGAGATAGCATGCCGCTCATAGACGATACCCGGCGTTCATTTCTGTCGATATTGGATGCAAGAGCCGCTTTCCCATCTTCCCATTCTTGCATCAATGCTTTGAGATCAATCCCTATGGATTCGTACTGAATCATCAGATGGGCTCCTAGCTCCGACACGTCTTGTGTTTCGTCCAGGTTCTTGTCTGATTCTTCACGAAGCACGTGCAATTTTGCCTGAAGCCCACGGATTCCTGACGACAGAGAATTGAGTTTGCGTAATTGAGCTCGCCACCGCTCGCGACTTGGTGTTGTAGGTAATTTGGGCGTTGGAGGGATAGGAAAATCTAAACACGGTCAGGGAAGGACGTAAATGCTCTCACCAAAATATCTTACTCTCTTGCTCACTCAAAATTCGATGGAGTCGTTCCCCAGCGTCACCAGTTACTACACTGGTCGCATGAATCTCATCGACTGCCGTGCTCCAACGCACAAAGTCGGGTTTCCCTCCATGTGCATCAAGTGCCATTAAACAGCAAAGAAATATCTTCCTTGTGGTATAAAACCTGGCAGCCAAAATCTTTAATACGCGGACTGACTCGGTATCTTCAAATTCTGCATCTGAATATCCTAGCATTGCTTCAGAGAAGTCAACATTACTGATATCATAAATATCTAGATACTTCTCGAGGTCCATCTCCTCGGCCAATGGCTTGAGAGTTCTGCATGCCTGATTATATCGTGGGATCACTCCCGCGAAACATAGTCGCAACTGCTTTCTCAACCGGGCACATCGTCTGTTTTGACTTCTTTCCTCTAATCGGCTTATTGGTGGTAATGGGACGCTTCTACTATTCGGTCAGTAGACATTCAGCATTGTGCAGTCCGACAACTTGCATTCTATACCCTCTCGAAACGAGTTCAACCTCTTGAACAAGTGCCAATGCTCCTGCTATCACCGAATCAAGTTCCTGAGCCTTGACGGACAGATCAGAGATTTCTGCCAACGATTGCTGTCGAAGATATTGCAGCCATTGTCTTCGCATATATGCGTATGAAACCATAGCAAATGATATTACTATGACGAGGACGACGGCTGTCCGTCCCTTATCAGCGGATGAGTCCTCACCACCTCGTGTCCAGTGTATTAGCCATACCAGAGCAAACGCAACTGATGCCGTGATAGCAGCTCCTGGAAGGCTGATGGCACCAATCTGCGGTGCATCTGGTGCAGGTACGACACCATCCCGAGACTGCCCTTGGGTGGCCTGGCCAAGATATGAATGCGTGTTGAGAAGCTGTGATGCTACTATAATGTATCGAAATCGCTCCAAGAACCTCACATTGTCAGCTCGACCAAGTCTAGAATTCACTGCCTTCTACAACACGACATGATTAGTGACGCCCAACGAAGGACAAATAAGCCATGGCATACTGAACAAGTGTTATGTATAGCCGCGACTGCATTATTCTGGGGTATCGCCAGTCGTAAAGGAGGTGGGAGATTCTGTCGAAACTTGGGGCGGACTTTCGGTCTGCCTCGAGGGGCAAAGGACGGACTTGATGCAATCGAGGGCAGTTCTGGAATATCATCAGAGTCGTCGCCGACTTCACCTGAATCGTAGATCAGCGGATGTGGCTCAAACGTGTATTGTTTGGCACGGGGATGATGCGTTATAGCTAACCTTCCAGATATTCAGCAAGAGGTGAATCCTCGAAAACTACGGCCTCCATGAATTGCAGAGCACTTTGTGAAATGGGTGCCGTCCCATGCCGATCATTCGTCCAAGTTGGATGCGGGCGAGCGAGCAGGCGGCGAGGTGGTCCTGAGTTCTGATATGGTCGCTGTCAAAAGGGGGCAGAGGCAGAGGCAGAGGCAGAGGCAGAGCCAGGCCAGGGTGGAGTGAGTCCAATGGAAACTTGGAAGTTAAGGCCACAGCTAAATCGCCATCCGGAAATCGCTATACTGCCATACGCTAATCAAGCGAGCGCAAAATGAAGAATTCATTTATACCAAAATTTGTATGAACAACTATGTACAATGCACAATGGGCACTTGTGCCAACTCATCTGACTCTGTATCTTGTTTATACCTTAACTCTACTAATTACTTCTTGTTGTATCGTCGCAGCAGCAACTAAAGCAATAACTTTAAATGCCATCTGGCTATTATACTAATAAAATATAGGCTCTCTCTTAGCAAGTACTGAGTTGCGTTGAAGTGTCCTTTTGGCAGTCGGAATAACTTCGATTTCCAGTTCCGGGGGCAATTTGGGAAGTATGCACAGTTGTCCTTGACATGAGTGATCCTTGCCCTGCAGTGCATATTTGTATGGCAGGGTAAGGTTGATAGATGACACTCGCCAAGTTACTAGAATTTTAGCGTTTGGCGGTATAGCGATTTCCGTATGGCGATTTAGCTGTGGCCAAAGTTAAACGTGATAGGTACCTAGGAACGTGAACGTGATTGGGATTCAGGGTGGGTCGGAGGATGAACCCCTGGAGAGGTGGACCCACAGGAGAGAATGAGTGGAAGGTGCGCCTAATGGAAGCGAGGACAACAGGGGACTGGCTCTCTATCGATCCGACTTTTAAGTGGCCGTTTGAGGCACGACACCTAAATCAGGAGAAAATGGTATTTCTAGCCGCAACAGCCTAATAAAATAATCAATGAAAAGGTCAGAGGATAATAAAGAGCTGTTTTTCAAAGAATTGCAAAGACTGATAATATCTTGAATCATTGTGCGTTACATAAATGTTCCCTCAAAACGTTGACTTCAGTGTTCTGCACGGCCTTAAACGGCTATTTAAAAGTCGAACCGATAGGAGACTGGGTCGGCTGGGCGGTAAACTCGATAAAGTGCAGGCGGTTTTCCCGCCATTATAAGTATTGATCACAGTACCTACCTACCCTCGCTACCCTGCTACCCTCCTACATTAGGTAGGTATGTCGGTTCTGTCGATCTACAAGACAAAATAAATAATACATCTGTGAGCTGACCTCTGAAGTCTGAGAAGAATCCCGCTACTCGCATGCGAAGAGAAGAGACGAGAAGAGACCTGACCTGACTTGGACTCCTCCGGTGGGCAACTCTCCCCTGAGTAGTCTTCGCCTGTCCATTGTCCCCTGTTTCGATTTGTCTTTTCAACGCCTCGTCTTGTCTTGTCAATGGCTACATCAATCGATCGCGTGGAATGGAGCACAGGTTTTTCAGCTTCATTGCAATCGCCTTCCATTCCGTTTGGTACCTCTTATTGCCACGATTCATTTGTCGGCTAGACTGCGGGTCTGTTGGCGATGGAGACAGAGAATGGGTCACGTGCAATATCGAGTCACAAACGACAGGAAGCATGCTCGCTGACCCGGTGCGCTTTCGCCGAAAACCATTGTTATTCGATGTTAGAACGGCATCGGGAAGCGCAAGACAGGAACATGAATTACCAACAAGGAGAACCTCTTAACGTCTTGATTTGGGTTGCTTTGCTCGCAGCTGACTTGTTCTCTATTATATACCTTGGTCTGTTAAGTGTGTTCTTAACCTATCCCTTCGTCCGCTGAGATACTACCCGAGCTAGCAGGGGTAGTGCGGCCCGGTATATAGGGGCAGCTGAACGTATTATTTTATATATTCCTATATACAATTTGTATAGTAAAAGATATCGCGGGAATAAATCAACATATTAACTCTATTAATTTATATTCTTAGAACGCGTTAGAAAAATAAAGCGCTCTCTTAAGGAGAATCCTAGTGATTTAGAAGCTTTAAAAGAACCCTTACTTAAAAAGAAGATAAAGGAGTTAACTCTTAAAGATATAATAAAAGAATTTAGATTAATTATAAGCGTTATCTTCGAACCTTTTAAGTATGAACTCTACTAACTTACTATAGTAACTTTACTACTTAAATTTCTTTCTTTTATATACTTATTCGACTACTTTACTTTATTTTTTATACTTTCTCTTCTATAAGTTATTACTACTAATATAAATCGATATATAAACCTCTAATAAATATAAGTTAAATAAGAAAGAGCTCGGAAGTAAAGAGATATAGTTCTAAAGGAAATATACATATTTCTAGGGGTAATTATATATATAAGAGTCTATAATAAGCCTCGTATTAATATATACTAGAATACTAATAAAAGAAAGGGTCTAATATATTCGGTTTCAGTAAGTATTATACTTAATTAATATAAAGATATTAAGAGGTATTATTATATCTCTAGTATAAAAGATAATAAATATTAAGGCTACTACTTACTTACAAATAAGATATAATAGTATAAGCTAGAACCTATAGCTTCAGAGATTTAGGCGTCTTATTAATAATATTACTCTCCTTCTATAGAAGTAAGTATTAATAAGCTTATAGTACGTTATTTTAGAAGGTAAGTACCTCTCTTTTTATAGATTACTTAACTTCTTCTAATTTATACTAGATTATTATATACTTATAAGATACTAGCTAAACCGATTAAGTAAGAGTATAAGATATTCGGAATTATAGACTATAAGTATATATATAATTAGATTTAGAGCTCTTACACGCATAGGTTATAAGCTCTTATTAAATATTCAGACCTTACTCTTACCGGCTCCCTTATAAGATCTTTAGTCCTTTCTCTACTATAGAAACGCCTTATAGTTTATCTTAATAATTACTTTACTTCCGTGCCTCTATTTAAGGAACTCCGAAGTTATAGCTATAGAGCTATTAGTACTACGTGTCTATATATACTTTTACCTAATAATTTTTCTGTCCTAAAAGCTTATTTTATTACTTCTTTACTATAGAATACCTTATTTATAAAAGTAGTAGAAAATATATTATATTTAGCTTAATAAGATAATAATATTGTTCTAGCTCTTAGTAATATCTATACTATCTACGAAGTAGATAACTTTTAAGCTAAATTACGAAGGAAGCTAGTAAAAATATTAACTAATAGCTGAATTATCAGATAAGTATTTAGAGAAGATTATATAAAAGAGCTGCGTATTCCGCGCTTTATTAATAATTATAACTATTATATAGGAAGAGTTAATTTAGCTAATTAATTCCGGGAATTATACGAATCTTACTATACTATACACCGGAATTAGTAGCCTTTATTCTACTAGTTAATTAATATAGCTTATATTAACGCTTATAAGTTATATCTACTCTATATAAAAGTTACGCGGCTATTAAGTTACCTATAATTTAGAGTAGAGTTATATTAAAGGCTCCTAAGCTACTCCTAAAAGCTATAGCTTACTTAATTATATCAGGAGTTAGGAAGTAAGAGACTCTTTAATCTAAACCTACTGACTTTATACTTTTAAACTAAGTTCTTTAAGTAATACTCTTACGTTTAGTATAAATACTAAAGAAAACATTAGAATATACTAAGAAGTAAACTTAATCTCTTAAAGTGTTCTTATAGTAGATATATCTTTTATTATATTTCTCTATATAAAGAGGGGGAGTGTTATAACGGCATAACGAAGGTTTATTAGTAGCTATAATATAAAGTAGAAAAGATAGCGAGAGGAAAAGGTTCCTAAGGAGCCTTAAGAATAAGTAAGGAGGATATAGCTACTAGTGAACTAGGCTAGTCCTAGGTTCACTATATAACTCTAGCCTTATAGCCTTACGATATTAGCTTTACTTATATGACTTACCTATTATAATTAGTCTATTATATTACTTCCTCTTCTAAGGAAGGCTTATCCTTAAGCTATGAAAAAATTTCCTGTGATTTACCTTAGATATAATAGTATTATCTACTAATCTGTTATATATATTATTATCCTCTGCCTCCTAAGTAGTTAGCTATTTAAGAAGTAGCTTAGGCGGTCCTAGTTTTATAGGGTAGGTCTAATAAAAATCCCGAAGTTTATATAGATAAGTTATAAAGTCTCTAGTAGAGTAGAATTTAGGGTTAGGATTAAGTCTCTTCTATTTAGCTTAGTACTACAGAGTCTTATCCTATTTAAAGTGTACCTTTAAGATATCTTAGACCTCTTATTCTTATTTAATATTAACTTAGATAAGTTCTTATTCTTATAGTACTTATCTAGGTAATAAGTTATTATTATACTATTAAAGCTTATCTATAGAGAATATAAGGTAGACCTTAACTAAAGCTAGGAGGTCTAAGTGAAATAAGTAGCTTTCTTTTCTAAGGACCTTAAATAGGCTTACTTATTAATCGTTTAGCTTCTTCTTTAAGCGGTATATCTTCTAGTTTCTTATTATTACTTATATAGAATCGCTTACCTCTTAGTTAATTTCCCGGTGTAACTTATTTATATTATATTACTTCTTTTCCTATTAGTTATAAAGGAACTCTTAGACTTTCCTCTAAACTTATTTATAATAATAGGTAAACGCTTATATATTAGTGATATTCAGCTTCTTAGTAACTATTTATTTAACCTCTAACTAGGGCTTATCCTAATCCTAACTAGTCCTTAGCTTATACTTATATTTTAACTAATATAGGGATATTCTTAGAGACTTATATAAGAGAGTTAGCTAAGTGTAGTCTATTATTAATAGGAGTTTAGATTAATTATCTTAGTAGTAGTTAATAAAAGGCCGGAGACACTAGTCTAGGTATTAATTTATAATCTCTATCTAACTATCTATCTAAGCGTAGTAAGTAGTAGAGAGCTTAACCTTAATACTAAGGATATAATAGAACTTATTCTAGAAGAAGGAGATAAACTATAAGCTTTTATCTAATACTATTATTCCGGGGGCTTATTAAACTTCTAGTAGTTAGAGATAAATAATTATACTAAGTCGCGAGTTATATAAGTAGAGAAACAAGGGATTAATATTACTTCTTTAGAGAAATAGTCTATTATAATAAGTATAGAATTATACTTAAACTTATCTTTTAGTATACTTTTAAAGTCTAT